AGCCAATCTCCTAAATCCTTGCTTATAGCTCATTCCTTCATGTTGCCAGCGTCCCGCACTCCCTCACTTGCATAAGCTGTCGAGCGAAGGGTTTTGCTGTAATCTCATCGCAGCTGTGGCCAGACGTCTGGAGATAAGATCTGATAAGGTACGTATAGGTATCGACCAGTGCAGGGCAAGTGCGGGCGTGGATGTCCCTGCATCGCGTCTAAGGCATCTGCCCAATTGTCCTTCTCACACCTGCCAACTCGTAATAACCTGCAATCGGATCAAAGGCAGCATTTCTCTCCGATTCTAAATCTCTATACAATATATCGTTCCTCGAAATGCCAGCCGAACTGATATCTTTGCTCTTATACAAGCCTCTTGCAAGCTACCTTACCTGGAAGCCTTTCCCTAATACTTTGCCTCGCATAGCAAACGCTGGCGATGTTATTCATGGAGAATGAAGGGTATGCTCCAGGGCTGATTGAATGCTTTCACGCAAGTATACTTGGAACTGACATGTTGGAGAAGATTGACGGTTAAGCCTCCGTTGGCCGATTTGATCCCCCCGATGCCTCGACATGCCCCGCGCGGTTGCGATGTCTCCGACGGTCTCATTATTCCTCGAAAACGAAACGGATACGAACCTGTAGTGCACCATACTGTCCTCGGCGACTAGTCTGCAAAAAGAGCGATTGAGCGTGACTTTCTATCGCCCCGTGACAGAGAACTGCATCGATAGACCAAACCTCTACAACAGACAGGACCCAAGCATGCTCAATATGAAAACAGACGTAACCTACCTCATTCCGCTCCATTTGGTCTCGAGCCACCGCTTAGAACGACAAGCACACTTACACGGATGGCCCTTTGTTGGTATCGGTAGAAGGGTGGGTTAGGCGAGTGGCAATTTCTACTCGCACTGACGGGTGTAAGCAAGGGTCGTGTGGTCGATCGCGCTGCCTCCCTATACGGTCATGTCAGTCTTCAAAGAAATTGAGTGTGTGAGATGCTGACGCTTTCACCCGACTGACTAATCCAGCCTACTCTTCAAAGAGAGAGGTTGAAAGGGGCGAGTAACGCGCCCAAAAGCGAACACAATCTGTATGCTTTACCTCATCCCTCGTACGCAAACGTTACACAAGTGTGCTCCCCAAGGGCTACTAACCTTTTCCTTTCCTGGAACAGACCGCAAGGCGTCGGCATATGTTGCCCTTTGGCCACTGCGGACAATAAGCAGAGGTCCAGACCCATGACAAAACGATTACCCGATCCGTACCTGTCTTAGGGCCATCAGCAGCTATATTTAGGGCCCGAGTCCACTGTAACTGCCATCGACAGCAACACCTAAAAATTACCACGCCAATCACAACCATTCTATTCCAGAATTAATTCTATTCCAGACAACAACACCAACCAACACCACGGCGCATTTTAGGCGTGATTACTTTCTGATATTCTCTGCCCGGCCTTTTGCGCCCTTGCTCATGCATAATTGAGCCCTATGACTGCAGCATCCCTTTGTTGCGCTTGACGGTATCGACCCATATTGGGATATCTCCGCCTACGTCTCGTCGATCGTTTGCGTAAATGAAGACCAATATCTTGACCCAGGAGGGGGACCAGTAGTCTGTTGGGCTGAAGACATAGCAACACGCGGCGTCAACATCCGACATACGCACCCGAACCCAAGGATCAATAGTTGGTGTTGGTTGTCGGAGATGCCCCTTTTAGCCCATCATCATTTCCTCTTTTCCCTACCCAGGTCCTTAATTAGCACATTACCCGAACCCACAGCATTCTAGCGACACCAGGCGGGGGAGAAGAAGAGCTTAGTCGGCGGCTAGTCCACCCCCAGCTCGATTCTCTCCACGACAGGACGTGGCTCCCGACGCCCCGAAGCTCTGGTACGCCGGCGGGCCCGACTTGATTCCTTCTTGCTATTTTCAACCACGTTGCATCCCAGATCTGCTCAATCCCATGGGCCCGGACGATGAGATGAGCCGGGAAGCCAAAACGCGACGGCCCTGTTCTTGGCACATCATAAAACATCCACAGAACCCTGAAAAGAAGGCCCTGGATATGGCTTAGTGCGTTCCATGAAACCTTCAGGGTCCCAAGCGTGGCCAATCAAGCAGAGACCGGGATCTTCGAATTGGATGGGTTGACTCATTTCCATAATTGGGTGGCTCTAGGGCCAGTTCCCCGACTAAAATTAGAAGCAAATCCTGACGCTTCGGCCAGCAGATCCCTAAAAACTCGGGCCATACATAGATAGAAACACGCTTCGCCGTCGTGATGGGCACAATGTTAAGCCGCGGAAGACCCTCAAAGAGGTAGCTGGGATCGATTGAACCGTTTCATGTTTCCAACCCAATCTCAACCAGCGCACCATGCAACATGTCACTCTTGACACTACCGAACGAGCTGCTGGAGACGATACTGGACTTCGTGCCTAGCAACGCCGACCTGAGCAGCTTGTGCGCAACCAACTCAACTATATTCGGTGCGGCAGTTGTACATCTCTACGAGAGAAATCACCTGCACGAAAACGGATCCGCGGTGACGTGGGCCGTGAAGAACGAGCAGCTTGAGACGGTCCAGCGAGCAACCAGTGTTGGAGTCGACATCGTCCGGCTGCACCACCTTACCAGAGCCGCCGCGTTCGGTCAGTTCGACATATTCCAATGTCTGTGGGAGGCCAAGGCCAGCCATGGCGGCTTTCATAACCTGAACAGGGATGAAGACGGCGGCTGCCCGCTCCTGGCAGGAGTTACCGCGGGCAACTATCGGATTGTCAAGACGCTGTTGGATACCGAGAGAGTCAACATCGAAGCTCGTGACGCATCTAGCCTGACCCCCTTGCACATCGCAGCCCAAAACGCAAACGACAAGCTTGTGAAGCTGCTTTTAGAGCACGGCGCCGACCCCATGGCCTGCGACAGGCAGGGACGCGTCCCCCTGGCAATGGCGGCGGCTCCACACAACACTCCCACCGTTGCTGTGACGAGGAGCCGAGATAGCATCATGCAGTGCCTGATTCTGCTCCTCGGATACGGGGCTAAGCTCGAGTACAAGGAGGGCGGTGGGGAGACGGCACTCTACGCAGCGGCAGCCTCCGGGCAGTGCGACGCCGTCCACGTCCTCGCCGGCTTCGGCGCCGATGTCAACAGCACCGACGGAACGGGCCACACGGCTCTGCACACTACGAGTCTCTACCTTGGGAAGCTCGAAATGACACGCATGCTTCTCTTCCACGGCGCCGACCCGAACGTATTGAACTGGGATAGGCAGAATGCCCTGTGGATGACACGGATGACGAAGGAGCCAGCACAGATTGCCGAATTCCTGCTCCAGAACGGCGCCAAGATGGTCGTGGACATCAGGAGGAAAACACCGCTCCACAACGCCGGAGCTGTTGGGTCGGCGGACCTCGTGTCGGTCTTGATGGCCCACGGAGCCGATATACACGCGCTGGACATGAACGACTCGACGCCGCTGCATACCGCAGTGGTTGAGCCCAGTTCCGGACCTGTCATCAAACGGCTGATCCAGTACGGCGCAAACGTGGAGGCAAAGAACAACCGAGGCGAGACACCCCTGGCCTGTGCGATGGAGCACCAGCCCGCGCACGTCATAGAGTACATGCTCCAAAAGGGCTCCGACCCTAAGGCAATGACGAGATCCGGCGCGCCAGTACTGTTTGAGGCTGTACGACGAGAATCAGTTGAGCTGATCAAGCTTCTCATCCATTATGGTGCGGAACTGCGAGCAGTGAATGCCGAAGGCCAGGGTTTGGTGCAATGTGCTTGCAAGACTGGAAACCCAGCCTTGGTTAAGTTCCTGCTGAGCATCGGGACGGAATTTAACATCCAAGATAAGAAGGACTGCACTGCGCTGATGATGGCCGTGAAGACGGAGTCTGTCCCTATCATCAGCATGCTCCTGAAGATGGGAGCCAACGTCAGCACGGCGGATAAGTCGAAGACGACGGCCATGCATTTGGCTGCCCAGAGAGGGTCGGTGGTGGTCACGGATATGCTCCTCCGGCACCACGCCCCCATTAACCCGAAAGACAGCCAGAGGCAGACACCACTCAGTATTGCGTCGGCAGCAGGAGATGCGAAGCTGGTCGAGTTTCTCCTGCAGAACGATGCGGACTATAATATTGCCGATAGCAAGGGCAACTCGCCCTTGAAGCTGGCCATGGAGAAGAATCACGAGGAGGTTGTTGATCTCCTAGTTATTAAGGGGGCGACTATAAGGAGTGCGGGACTAAAAGGCAGCATGAGAAGCTTTTTGAGATAGGGCGACTGAAAAGTGTATTTTGACTTCATTCTTTTTTGCGTCGGGCGTCAGGGGGCGGAAGCATTTGATAGAGCGACGGGGCATTGGGCGGCGTTTAGCGATTGCATATATACCGGTAATGTTTTAGGTTAACTTTGCTGTATAACAATAGGATAGACATAGACTTAACTCGTTATTATCATTCTTTTTACTTTAGCCCATCAGATACCTTACAGGCGATCGGGAATAGCTTATTGAAGGTAGGCTGTATCATCATGTTCACTGGCTACTTCAGGGATGTTGTTGTGAAGCCCTGAAAGGAGGACATGAAAGATTCAACACGACCTAAAGGGTTCTTATTTGAGTCTTGAGAGTGGGCAAGGTTGACTTTGGAATTTTCCCCCTGGTGTGCTGCCGACGAGATTTGACGAGCCATGAAGCCTGGCGTTTTATCATCACCGCCCAAGCACACCGAACGCCACCTCGCCGGCTCTTTTCTCCCACATCCTGCATCAACATCAACCCAGCCGATTCCAAACGCCTTGGCAAAGCGTCAAATCTACGACTAACGGCGAACCAACCAAGGTGACTCCTCTACAACACATCTCCTATCGCCTATTATACTAAAATTACTGACATTGGCGCTCATGTGCTCGTCACTTCCAGCTCCACGAGGCCCTTTACCACTTCACCCACGCAAAGAAGTCACCCACGCAAAGAGGGAAGCAATGGACAAAAAATCGCTCATGTTAAACAATCTCAGGATCTCGACTGAGGGATTATACATTCTCCGGGAGGCACTTGGGCTCGAGGGAGACCAGCCTGATTTCACTCGCCCCATCCTGCTTGCGATCGACTTTGAGCAGACCGAGAACTTTATGAATGGGTTTTCCCAGAGCGAAAAATGCCAGGTCGGCCTCGCGGCCCTCGATACGAGAGAGTTGCATACGTCACCGCCAGAAAAACTGATATCAACAGAGAGCCTGATCTCGGGGCCTTCCTCCTACACATCCGTGGTGTCAAATAATGTCCTTTTCGGAACAACAACGGTCATAAAACCAGCTGAGATCCTGCAGAAGATTCAGGACCTCATCCCTAGCGATCGGGACATCATTCTGATCGGACACAACGTGCGGGTAGAGCTCCGAATACTGGTGAGGCTGGGCTTCACCTTCTCCTCGCGCATCTCCAGCATCATCGATACATGTGATGTTGCTGACGAGGTCCTCGGGCCCCCTCACTACTCCCTTAGGAAGTTGCTGAAAACCCTCTGCTGCCCGGCCGATCGATTACACACCGCCGGGAACGATGCTCATTTCACGCTGAGGGCCTCGCTACTACTAGTAGCCCGCGATTTCCCAGACCAGGATCATCCCACGATTGGCATTTTGAGAAACACTGCAATGGATCCGCTGCCTCACTTGGTACGGCTTGCAGCTAAGGAAGCCATGAGAAAGGGGAGGAAGAGTGCATACCTGAACAGCAAGAAGTACCAAGCCCGGTTTCGGACCGCTGAGCAGATAGCTGAGATTCGCGCTGAGCGTGCGGCCAAGAAGGCGAGACAGATGGGTGTTGGCTACCCAGTGGTGAAATAGGAAGGGTGAGATGTATCACAGGGTGCATCATCTGCTGTGTCGTCGGCAAGGCATTGGTTCGTGGCTTGACTCTGGGAGGCGTAGAGGCATCGCAGGCGATTACCAACTAGGTAACGGCCAATCTGAGCTCTCTCACAATGAAAGCATCAATGTAGTGCACTTGATCTACAGACCACTGTCTTGAGAAAGCGGAGGCGTTGGAAATGTAGCTATGGAGTTCAATTCGTGAGAGCTAGTAGGAACGCATCTGCTTTCTAGGTACATGTTCGTGACTTGCTACTGCGTTATCTGATGTGCCGTAGGCACTAGCTGTAGACTCGTCCAAGCATTCAACTACCTAGATAGCTCAAGTCTGCCCCCTTCAATTCTTTCTTCAACATACAGTCGATACTACAGCAAATCTAGTAGATCTGGCTTCTCGTTACTTGTCCCCCTTCCGATTCCAAGATCCAGCGGGCATTAAGCCAGCTCAAGTTTGTTCTCCTCGATAGTTTCTCAGCATCCAGATGGCATCACAGCAAATCCACTTGGTTTTTTCTATGCCCTCTTCTCAGGGTATCGTTGTTCAAAGTCGTTGTCAAGTCTCGAGCGCTCACTGCGCACTGATCGGTCAATTCTTGCCGATTATCCTTCACAGATCCAAGGCACAGCGTTCACAGAGCCACTGACTCGTTAAAACTGCGCGATGCGGGGAGGGCGGGTCCATTTTCTCTTGCGCGGGTTGTTGGCGGGCTCGACGAACCGCTCCTGGACGAAGCGGATGTATCGAGTCTCGATCTTCCTCCCATCGTCCTCCATCCCTTTCTTTTGCATCCACCAGATTCCGTGGTCGGTCTTGCCCCTCTCCCAGCTCTCCTTGCGGACCTGGCCGTCCCACACCATGAAGCTGGTCTTCTCCTCAGGGCTGTCCTCACCCTCGGGCCCGGGAGCCTCGAACATCTAATTCTTGGCTACCTCGACCACGACGTTCAGCTCCCACTCCTTGACACGCCAGGTCTCGAGAGCGAACGTCATCTCGAAGTTCTCAGCAAAGGGGTGAAGGACGTCGAAGCTCCTGACGGAGTAGGGAGATGGCGGGTGGAGCATGGAGAGGATATTCTCGAGTTCTTCCTCCTCGTCTTCATCCTCGTCCTCGCTCCCCTCGGAATGCTCCACCTCATCCTTGGCCTTTGGCGGCTCGATGGGGTCGAACGACCAGCACCACCAGTCCTGGCGGTTGAGCCTGACCGTGAGATCCTGGATCTTGGTGTTCATGAGGCCAGCCTTGGCAAAGTCCTGAAGGAGCGGCGTGTCGAAGCACTTCTGCTTGATGAAGCGCTGCACATAGTACGCGGCGGAGCATCTCGCCTTGTGGAGCGTGGTGAGCCAGGCCTCCATGACGCCGTTCTCGAGCTGGTGCTGCGAGAGGGTGATTTGCACGTGCTGGAGCAGGAGCACCTGCCAAGCTGGGAGGCCGAGCAGCAGCTGCGACGGGTGGGACACCGTGGCGTTGGTCTTGCCAGGCATGCGGTCAACCTCGGATCCCTCGTGGATGATCATGGTGGTGTTCAGTGTTGGGATTGCCCAGCCCTCGACGTAGATGAGTTTACAGGTCCGCAGCAAGTTGGTATGGATGTGTGGCCGGCCTTCGACGCCGGGTCTTCTCCAAGACCTCCTGAGCGGGAACTTTTTGCCCTGGTTAGGCTCAGTTTGGAATACATACTCGTATATCTGTTGTCGAATCTCTGCCGAGAGCTTGAACAGGGGGCTGTCTGTCTGAGGTTTGATCTCCTGGGGACTGATGCTCACGTATACCGGGAAGATATTCTTGGTGACTGCATCGGGCGTCACATGAGGTACTGGGAACGAGATATTCTTGATATCCACCATGGCGGAAGGGAGGTCAAGAGTATTTCTCTTGATTTCCTTTTGACGTTGGAATTTAGTGACAGTAAGGAGAGCGGGCGATCTTCCTTGGCGATGGAAGACGGACAGTATGAACCTTGGAAGGGTCCAGCTGCAGGACGATGTGTATTTGAAAGAGAGTAACGGTGTGTGTTTGAAAGAGAGCTCAGCTGCAGGATGATGTGTATTTGGAGGAGAGTAACGGTGTGTATTTTAAAGAGAGTTCAGCTGCCTGCAGGACGATGTGTGTTTGAAAGAGAGTTCAGCCGCAGGATGATGTGAATTTGGAAGATAGTAACGGTGTGTATTTGAAAGAGATTTCAGCTGCAGGATGATGTGAACTTGGAAGAGAGTAAGATTGGAAGACGATGTGAGGTTGGGAAAGGGTAAAGTGGCGTGGTGAAGTTGTTTCTGTCAGGGAAGCGTGTTGACAGGCGTTGTTTGTTGTTTTGGTGAAAGCCATGCTAGCTGTAACAGCCCGCAGCGAGGGCTGTTTGTTGTTGTCCACCGCGCGCCTGGCCGCGGACGCCTGCGGGGTAACCTCACAATTTCCTCACCTCTTGCGTCATGGTCTGCCATGGGAATTTCTCTGTAGCCCCGAATCGTTAATAATCCTCTTGCTCTTGGGACTTATAACATAGTCATTCTTTTTGGTTCTTCTTGGTCCATGGCATGTTGGCTATCTATTTCCGTGATTGTACTAGGTTCATAGCGAGCAGTGCCTTCATGGAGCAAAGATGAGCAAGAACAACTCAGTAAAAACAAATTTAATCCCATGATTGAGCTTTGAATCTCTGAACTTTCCATCTCTGAACTTTGAAACATGTCTTCTGCGAGCAAGGGCTTTATTCATCACAGATCCGGCCGACTACTGAGCCCTCTCGTGTTGCAGTTTATTCCACTCGCATATCCTCCGCTGGGGGGCTTGCATGGCAAATGGTCCGCGGAGGGGAGACTGATCATCCGGACTTGCTGGAATCTAGCGTGACCGTCTGACCCCCTCTAACAGTCCCGTCTAACATTAAAAACAGACTTTCAAGACCACTAAACCGTCTGGTGCGAAGAATCATCATCCGATGTTTGATCGGTTCGTGCTTTTGCTCTCTCTACACAATCTGCGCAGATCTGCCTAGGTCAGAGGAGTGCAAAGCTAGAACATAAAGGTGTAACTCACAACTTGCGACTTGAGAAACTCTAGGACGAACTCTGAATCATCGCACTCGCAGTCAAGTGGAGTTGATGTGCCCTTCCTTCTGAAAAAAGGAAACTCGAAACACTCGGGGTAGAAGCCGGCACACTCCTAGTCGATGATAGCCTTTATAGCCAAGGTCTCGGGGTCCACAATGACATTTGACTGGGTCAGGTCGTTATGGCAGAAGACATATTCCTCTTGGTCCGAGGCCATCAGTGACCAGTGGTGGATGTTTGTGTGGCGCATCACACGACGAGGTGGGATGACGATGCTAGAGGGCCCGCCAAGACGATTCGATGTCAACGTTTTCAGTGTAGCAAGATGATGGCCTAGTTCTCTGGAAACGATGAATTCCTCGTGTGTCTGTAGATCAGCCATTCTGACACCGTGGATATACTCGGTTACGAGGTAGTACGCGCCGTCGTCTTCGAAATCGCAGTACACTTCTGGCACCGGAATGTTGGTGTAATTTCGTATAAAGCGCAAGCACGCGGCTTCGTTCATGAGGGTTTCGTAGCGGAGTCGTGGGACGTAGGGTCTATGAGCTCCGTGGTGGAATTCATGAGGTCGCAAGGATCTCTTTACGATAGAGTTTCCACGCTGATAGTACTTCCTTTCGAACGTAATGGCGAAGCAGCCTGGTTCAAGCCCGGCGTTGTGAGAAACAATTGAGAAATCCGTTGGGGAATCCATTGGAGGTGTGGACGGGGTAGATGTAGGTTGAAGGGGAAGGAGAAAGGAGAAGGAGACAGCAGAAGGAGAAGGAGACAGGAGTTGGCTCTAAAGGTTAGTACCCAAATCATGTACTGTGAATCGCTCCTGCAGCCTGGCAACCTCAACTGCACATCTCAGCCAATGGAGGTACGCAGCTGACCCAAGAAGTGGGACCATGTGCATGAAATCAACCAGCCAAACAGATCTTTGTCTGAGTTGACATTGGATTTTGGCAAATCCAGAATCTGTTCGCCGCCAAGCTGCAAAGCGCTGAAATCGGTACAGGGTGTGAGGTTATGATATGGTATATTAGTCCGTTGTCTAAGGTAAATTACATGTGCCCACAGGCACTGGTAATAAACTACAACTTGGGTTTCATACCCACCAAAACCCGTGACCCAATTTACCCTGTAACAGCGCCCAAGGGCAGCTCGAGGTGCCGAGATGGTCAAGGCCAATGTTACCAGGTGTCTAGAGGATGCCGAGATAAGCTCAGACTCCAGAGCTGGAGGTAAGCGCCTTTTTAAGCAAGCTAAAAGGTTTAAAAAGCTAGGCCCCAAGTATTGCAACCTGCTGAAGATAGCTTCTCAAATCCTTGTGAAAGAAGTTGACAGCAGCGCCGCCCCACGAGCCGCCGAGACGAGCCAAGCGGTCGAAAGATTCTCATTCGAACCTAGCGATGCATTTTGTGGCATGTCAATAATAAGGAACTTAGAAATCATTCTACGATATTTAGCTTACAATTGTGTTTATTACTAGGTTGATTGTTTTGGTATTGCGTCGAAATCTAACGCTATATGTTCAGGTGTGTCATATTTTATGTTAGTCGCTGGACTACGTGATGACAGTAGTACCAGCCAGATATCCCCCAGAATCAGAAAATATGAAGATAAACTATAAATATAAATTACACTAAATAAGCCATACCTGAAAAACTTGATCTGGTTGATTGAGGAAGAAAGAAGCGACTGGTGCAATGCCAGACGGTGGGGGAATTTCCTGATTGGAATGTCATGTGTCTAATAATAGTGACTGGAGAGCAAGGCTTCCATTATCGAGTGGCAAACGCCTCGAATTGGTTACATGACTCTTATTTCAGCTCTATTATCAGATATTTGCGTCGTTTCGGGGCTATGCAGTTCTGTCTTTCCCCGGCATGTGACGTAAGATGGCTGCTGACGGCATTTGGGAATGTCAACCTTTGCTGACGTGGCCGTGCACAGTACGCTCTTGTGGCCCGAAGCCACCACATGCAAGTAATCCAGGCGTACGATCGTGTATAAAGAGCTGATCGCTACTTGGACCGGTTAGTCAAGCTCTCGACCTGCATCCTAGCCAGGTGCTCAATCTACGTCCTGAGCCGAGCAGTCACTCGAAACCCTGAGCCTAACTTTCCTCCACTACAGCAAGAAAACATGGCGACTTTCGAATCGATGCCGTCCGAGATCATCACGGCAATTCTGTCCCACCTCCCTTTCCGAACTGCTGAAAAGGTGGCACAGACATACAGCCACCCCCTGACTGAAGTCGCTACTCGTTACATACGCCCTTTGTTGAAGGCTCGTCGAGAGTCGCGGATTCCCAAGGAGCACTGGCTGGATTTACATGGTTCCCGCAACGGAAAACCTGGAGGGAGAGGGGCTCTCCCGATTTGACAAGACTTTTGGGTGTTGGGAGTATAAACGATTAGGAGCGTTGGGTAGACTTAGCCTGGGGTCTGGAGGATTTCATTGACGGAGCATTTGATTACGAGACATGAAGCGATGATGAATTAATGATTTCATTAAATATAAGTCGCGTAAGAATTTACTTCTTGCGAAGCCTTGGTTCAGAATACCTTCTACCCGTCTCCCTGTTGAGACCCAGCGCTGCAGTGAAACAAGTAGTTTTGATACCTCCCCAGGAGACTCAATCGGAGAAAAAACGACATCCCGCAAGTCAAGAGGCAAGTTCACGGTTGTAAATCTCTCACGCTGAAGCCATAACTCCTCTCCACCCGGATCGGCCCCAGGGGGGTCAGGTCGTCTCTGCTGCCCACACTAGGTGACTGCACTCTGACGTGGTAGCTCCCCGGGTACGAGAGGTGTGCGCCGGAGCCGAGTTCGAGATACAGCTTGTCAGAGGACGGCACGGAATCGTGACGGTACATGGTTGGTTCAGAAGGACCGCTATTTCTCGTGCCCCTGAACAGGGAATAGACCGCTGGTAAGCAGGCGCAGAGAATGGACAAATTTGCTTCGAGACAGGTCCAGATTCCAAGCATGTTGATTTCGAAAGTCATGTTATTTAGGTTGGCACGGGCGACATATACCAGGCGCACGATGGTGAATACACAAACACTGTCAAATTCCAAGATTAGAAACTTCATTTGATCATTGAGAGAGGTCTGTGTGAAAGCAAGACGTTGTCCACCTACCAGAAACCAAGGAGGAAGAGGAGACAAATTGCCGTCTTCCGCTGGCTGGGCATATGCTTCCTCCAAATCTTGGCCTGCGGGGCCGCCAGAACGACAATGTCAAACACGAGGTTAAGAGCGGCGGTGGAGATCCAAAATATCCTGCTGTTTATCGCCGTCGAATGGGTGGTCTGTTCCCACTGGCCTTGGATGGGGTTGTTTGAGAAGATCAGGGCAAAGGTGACTGCAATGCAGTTGGCTATTATCGCTCCACCGGCACACTGCAGGAACCGCTTCAGTACGGTGTCGGTCGCGAGGATTCGATGATAGAAGAATAGGATGGATAGCTTCGAGGTCATGATGCTCCAGTTGTAGATGACGCTGTTGGCTAGGAAGATCTGTTTGGCGACCTCGGTCAGCTCTACCGCTGCTGTGATCGGGATGTGATTCTGGAATGTAGAGAAGATGATAATTTCAAATAATTCGTTACTGCCAAACTTACCTTCGAAAACCTGCCCAGCTGTAAGTCGGAATAGGTGTCGGCAGCGTAACCAGCATGAGCGCGAGTACCTCCGAGTACAGTGGTTGCCATCATGCCAATGGCGAAGACGAGCGAAGCGAGAATCGTCCAGTCATCCCACCAATAGCTTTTTATCTTGATGCGTTGAGAAAATCGTAGGACGACAACGATAGTGGAGAGAAAGGTGAAGACGCCGGAGCAAGCGAGGAGGGGAACATAATCTGAGCTGAGTTTGTCAGGGTGTGACGGAGGCATTATACTGTAGATACGGATGCATATAATAATTTAGGGTGTTGTAGGAGTTCAAGATGCTCGCAATTTAGGTGCGGATGGCTGATTTGTGTGGTCGCATAGTTGCTGTGCGGCGTCGTAGGTGGATGATGTCGGTTGGACTGGGGTTTGGCGAGAGACAGACCCGAAGGCAGGCGCGAGTCTCCCTGCGATCATCAGCTACCTCATATATTGGCAGGCTCAAGTGTGACGAGCCTCGCCGCAGCAGGGCAGACCAACAGTCTTGCAAGAGCGGCATGCTCTGATACAGGCACTACCCAAATACAGGGAGTGGCGTAGCAAGCCGCTGGTCGGAATGCAGGTCGTAGAATCCTCCAGGAGCCAGGACGCATCCGCTTCAACCAACGTACTCCCGCGTGTGTGCCTCCCTAAAGCAGGCACAGGCGCTCGTATCGACAGTGTACATGTAGGCTGCCGACCCCAACGAGGCACTCGCTGCTGCGTCTAGCCGCCTGCTCCCCGTTTCGGGTTGAGTGGAATGTGTAGGCCTGACGAGATGAAACTGGCGTGCCATCCATTGTTGGTTGGTTGGGCGAGTGCTGGGAGGGTGACATTGACAGTGGTGATCCCGGTGCTTGCCGGTTTGTAGGCGGCACCAACGTGCAGCACAGGCTGCAGCAGTGGACATTCCGGGTTCCGCAGCCCCCAACTGCCTCCCTCGATGGAAGGGTGATGAGGTTGAGCACTGCCAAGGATTCAGGGGCCATGAACGTTGGCTCGAGCTTCCTTCTGCACGGATTGCCCCTGCTGCCGCAAGTGAAACAATAGAAGGTTGCTTTCTTCAAAATTACAATAGCCTTACACTTTGCATCTTCACGTTCGATTCGACGAGTATCTTGTGCGCCTTGCACAAGGCTTTCACCCTAAAACCCGAGCCTACAGTTGCATCTATGTATCCTGATGGCACAGATTCATATAACATACAATGCATGCGAGGTCCGACATCACAGGCGTATCCTCTCGCCCCCACCATGTTCTTGAATGCACATCATGAGCCGCCTTATCACCAACGGCAACATCGCTAAGCGCCGTGATCACAAACGGGGGCTAATTCTTGTGATAGCAAGCAAGTTGACCATTTATGCGTCTAATTGGATAATCCTCCCTTGGCCAGCTAGCGAAGCAATGAATGCATCGGACAGACTAGGGAAAGCAGCGAAGGAGAATCCAATTGAATGGCCGGAGAATCTCACAGCTACAGTAAACTCGAGCCTATTTCAATCATTGCGCACCACCTATCACATTCAAGTAAAAGTTTGGTAACCATCGAGGTAGATTCTCTAACTACAGTCATATGCATTTTAAGGAAACCACAAATGAACCCCTTTCCGCCAGCCCCTGAAGCCTCGAAGCCACGCGTTGTAGAGTCCCGTATAGTCTGGCCGAGACTTAAGTCAAGTATTAGGATGGGTGACAACTGGACACGCGAGCGAGCCAGGCATGACTAGGTCCGACATATCAACCCTCTATGGGTTTTATGCCTCCATCTTAGCCTCAAATTCGGTACCAACTTGACCATAATCAAACAAGATAAAGTTGGGGTTCTCCTTCTGGATCTGCACCTCAAGCACCTTCAGTTGGAAAACGATGTCATCCCCCTCTCGGGTAATCTTCTCCAAACTTTCGTGCATCATCTTGATGAAGCTATATTGATCGGCTTCGTAGAATGCAGCCTGTCTAACTTCCTTCCATGCTTGAGCGTGACGCATGGTGAAGCACTGCGGATCAAGTGTGTTGTGCTCGCTCAGCAAGTCTTTCATAGTTGCGTTAGCCGCGATTCTTGTAGCCAAGGCCTCCGAGGCGCGGTCATGGCACTGATTCAATTTGGCAATCAGCTTTTCCTGCCGTTGCTTATTTTCGGTAAATTGGTTGAAGCGGTTCATGTAATGATCTTGCATGCTCACAACCGCTTCGGCTGCTAGATCCAGGCCAGCGTATGGCTGTTGCAATGGTTCCTGTATGCAAGGCATCAACTCCTCCTGGAAGGCTGGCTCGACCTGGAGTAGCCCCTCGTTCAGGTATGGTAGTTGGATAGGTTGCCCAATGTCGGGGACCAGGTGTAGAGATTGGTTATCCATAATCGCAATCCTATCTTGTCAAGTTGTATTGACCCCCCGGCAAAAGTGATTTGAGAAGCTTGGCTTGTCTATGATTAAATGGTCGGAGAATTAAAACCCACGGCGAAGAGACGCACGAGGGAAGTATTTATACCAAGGTCAGCTAAACTAGATGCTATATACGGCTTCGAGTTGACAATACTATCCAGTCTGCGAGGTCAGATCGCCTGGAAGCTCACACAAATCAGATGTGCTGATACTTCTTATGATCAAACCTGCTGGGTTCCAACTTGGTTCTGTAACTCATCTCGTTCATCAGAACAACAGCGAATCCCTCACTCTGTTGTTTACCGTACTCTGTGCCTTCTTGTTCTTCAAAGCTTTATTCCGTCCGATAGTTGATGGAAATCTTTCGACACACAATCACATAGTGTCTGAAATGATCATTACTAGAGTGGTGGCCCGTGCCTCGGGAACCAACCTGTTATGAATACCCTCAGTCCACGCACATGCTCCTTTGTTCTCTCCGCACACAAACATCTCTTCCGTATTTCCACAAAATCATTTCTCCTGCTCACCCTGGCCTCAGCAAACTATCGTATTAACTAGCGCTTCTTAGCTCAGAAATACTGACAAAGTGTAGTGTCTAGATACTTAGTGAGAGCTCATGCCTTGCACTGTCAACGTACCTAGTAGACAAAGATTAGATGATTATTCTTCCCCTTGGATTCTGGTGCTGCCGCTCGAGAGTAATGTGTGGTATCACTCTCATGGCCTTTCACCGCCCAAATCTCTCTAGTAACATACCCGGGGCATCTGAAATTTTGTATACATTCAATTAACATGACCACTGGGGCGGAATTGAGAGACAAGGTCAACAAAGCAATACTCAAAAGACGTACCGTAATTTGAACAATCTCCGAATAGGTCCCAGGGAATATGCTGACGGATGGATTGCCCTCACAGAAATGGTTGAGCCCGCAACCAAACTTGCGTTGAGCTCATTCTTCTGGGCTGGGAACCGCACCCATCCAACGTCATAAATTGCTCAGATTTTTTATCAATTTTTTGTCGCTCAAATATAATATCAGTGCGGTGCTGTGCGATGTCTCGGCCTGAAGAATGACTGGCACGTGCTACACGTGAGCCAACCCTTCAGCTGGCCCCGTACGCACGAGTCAGTCGAACGACGCGAGCGGGGTCACGCAATTGCTCTTCGGATGCGCGCGGACACGCCTTGCTAATCGCACCTAACGGACCCGACTGTGGGCTATGGCTGCTGATCCTGTATCTTCTGCGATGAATCGCATGATGTTCCGGACGAGAAAGGGCGGCGGACCCGGCACTTCGCTGATTTGCTCATGCTCACCCTTCGAATCCCCCGAGACTTGTGACGCCCTGCCCATTGTCCGTTACCAGCCACGGAACCCTGACCCCCAGCGGAAATCCAAGTTCTTCCTTCTTCCGCGGGAGTTAAGGGTGCAGATCGAAACAGAATATCTTGCCGAGTACCTCCGCGAGGCTGCTGCTCGCTGGAAACGCCTTGGCGGCCCTAGTTGGAATGGCTATGCGAGAGGACCAGCTGGTGTCGCGCCGTCTCCTTTGTCGCTCTCTTGTAAGCGCATGTACGACGGAGACATGGTTCCTCGAGGCAGCATGGGATTATTCTGGACCGCGGGCCCAGGACAACCTCACGGGTCCTGCCGTATCGCTCTTGTCGTGGAGGGGAGGCTCTGCTGGAGACGCCTGGAGCGATTGCGGTTTGTCAATGAGGCGGACAGGTTCCACACCGAAACGTGGAAGAATGATTTCTTTTTCACCCTGGGAAAGGCCTGGAACCTGAAAGAGCTGGAACTCGTCTGGGGGCCAAAGGTGACCATCCTCCCCGACCCAAGGAATGACGATCACATCATGAGACAGCTCCAAAAGCACACTTCACTCCGTATCGTGCGCTTCCGGGGCAATGTTCCGAGAGCATGGTTGCTTACGGAGTCGAGTTCTGGCTCTCGTATTAGGTATGTCACCCAGCCTCTGTGGTGGGTGAAGAGGGACTGGGAAGACGAAGAGCAGGAGGATCTCCAAAGGGCTGCCGACGAAGAGGTCCACTCCAGACGTGTCGAGCGGTACGAACAGCAACTGGCCATATTTTCCGCATCTTCTAAGAAGGGTTCAAAATCAAAGTTTTGGAGGCGATACCTTAAACTCTTTTGAGTGGTGTTGTTCTTTTGCTTCCATGTTATTATCCGCTGCTTCCTGCGTCAAGTCAACCTCCCAGACAAATTTATGTGGAGGTATTTGTATTGCAACCTACCAGATATTGATGAATATGATGTCTACATTTAATCTCATCGCGAGGGTCTGCTGAAGTACGGGGTGCCTACAGAGTTTCCTTGAAGTCCTAGCCATTACTCACACCGTTAGCCAAGTTAAGCCATATTAGACCCCTTGCGATGTTTTGAACGGGGCATCTCAGGTACTGGGGATGTTTTCGGTCATGCATTCGCACTTACTCCTTGACCTTCAAGTAAAGCTGGCACGGAACAGTTGATTGAAGAGGAATAATGCTTGAGTCCTGGCGTGGTATTGACAGCCTCCGCGAAATACTACCTCGCGCTCAGCGAGTGGATGATGCCTGGGCCATCAAGGTCGGTAGGTAAGCTCTCCGTGATAGGGCGAGCTGCTGACAGACCTATTTAAGCTGTGCTACCTGTGCTACCTGTGCTATCTGTGCTATCTGTGATGCATAATGGCATGATGTCATCTAATACTGCAGCCAAGCACAGGAAATGTGACGAGGACTTTGTGAGACAACGCTGAGCTCGAGCTGGCCCAATCATGTCGACTGATCCGTTGTGGAACTGAGGGGCAACGCGCTCTCCCCTCTTCAGCTCGTTGGGAAGGCCCAGTTCGCCTCCCATCTCTCGTCTCCCCCATCTCTCACTTCTCCATCTCTCACTACTCCATTTCCCATCTCTCACCCCATCTCTCCCACCCCTACTAGTCCATCTCTATCTCCCGCTAGTTCATCTGTTTCATATCCCACTACTCCATCTCTTCTATTTCCCACTACTGCATCTCTTCCATATCTCACTACGCCATCCCTCCATCTCTCTCCACCTCCATCTCGTCTCGTCAAGATGAGCTCAACTGACCTACCACCACTGTTGAGGCTTCCACTACACACTATAGCCCACATTCTTTCTGAATCCAACACTATCCAAGAACTTAAGCCTATTATCTTGAGCCACTCCATCTTCCGAGATGCTCTTCGGGAGAACCTTCATTTAGTGGCTGGCGCCATCGTCACGCGCCAGGCGCCAGATGGGACCCTTCCATTTGTAACCGCTCTGGTATCATCGCAGAGGCCATCGATATTCGAGCCTGATGCTGCCAAGCAAGTGTTGAGATGCGTGACATCGTCGCCTACCTTGGGTCTATCGATGGCAGAATATGCCTATATGAGTAAAAGCTGCTCCTCTGCTGACATCATTTGCAAACAAATGGCGACAGAGTTGCTAGCCTTCCAGTGCCAGGAACTAGGCACTAATCGGCGAGACCGCGCCTTTCCCCAGGAGGAGTTTCGCGTCTACCGAGCCGTCTTTCGTTATCAGCTCATGTGCAACTTATTTTGTCATCAACTTTGCTCTACCAGCAATACAGAATCCAGGCCACGATTTGAAGACGAGAACCTCAAACACTTGTTCTTTTCTTCATTCTCACCTTGGGTCAACGAGGAACTCTCGTGCGTTTTCGTATTTCTGCGACGCAAAGCAGCTCAAGGTAGGGACATTTTCTGTCTTGACCATTCCTCAACCAGCTATAGCGACGGTTTTAACAAATCTTCCCCTACAGCGTATGATGATATTCTCACACACGATGTTACACTCTTTCATCATGAGATTGAAGACAATCCGGATCTCAACTTCATTAGCCAAATTCATTGGATGGTGCGTGGCCCCGAAGATCTCTGCCGGATAATCAAACTTTGAAATATCTAACCTTGCAATCTAATCAGTTATGCATGGGGCTTCCATTCCTGAGTTATATAGTCTCAGGGGGCACTCTTCGGGCCTCAGGCATTCCTCAGTTTTCCAAGGGACTACCTGCGACAAGAGCCTACAACCCACAGACGATCCTCTTATGCTCGAGACTAAAACCGGAAGAACTCACCCTCAACCCACCCCTCCGGCACGGAGCGCTCAAACTGCAAGAATGGTCGAGTGCGCAAATTTCGCAACTCGACCCACGAAGACGAAGAGACCCTCAGACGAGCTCGTTTCATGCATGGATGGCTGCCCATGTCAAATCTCCCATCTCCCAAACCGTCTTCTGCGATGCTGATTCAAACCTATGGCTTATTGGGTACGTGTTGTGGAGGATTCCAGACACATCGCCTGTTCTGTTGCAGAAGATGTATGCTGCTCTCAGACGGGAGCAGTCACTCTTCCCGCGGCGTGGCCCAGAATGGGGAGAGGATGACCGCGTGCGATCAAGACGGCAACGAATGGATATCTTTCTTGCCCGCGGCCTTGGTTACTGGCCTCGAGGGGGTGGTGATTGGAGCCAGATACGGGGGTTGTCGGAGTCCCAGAAGGAAGCGCTTGAGGCCAAATGGTTACGTGAAGGGGTCACCGAACCTACGGGTGAGCGTTAGAGTGCGAAGTAAGGAAGATGTCAGACCCGGCATCTCAACACGAGGAATACGATATCCTCCTCCAGCAAACCTCCCTCCAACATATCTTCCTCCCTCAAACCTCCCTCCAACATATCGTCCTCCCGCAAACCTTCCTCCCGCAAACCTCCCCCCAGCAACCTCCCTCTAACAGATCGGATGTGAGAGTTCGAGTTGACTCACACAGTAAGGAAACAGCAATGAAATTTCAACACAATGGAGAATATTTTCAACAAATCTCCCTCCAGGAATAGTTTGGTGGTCAAATGTACATCCATTCCGGCATGTTGTCTGGTTGGATTTGGAGCTGCACGACCAGGGCTTGGTAATGATTCGGAATTGGACAGGGACCTATATGGATTAGCTTAACGACTTACTGCTCCCAGAATGGTTTCTAGAGCACAGAACAAGAATTTCAGGATAATGAATGATGACACATCCAGTAATATACTCTCACGTTTGAAAATCAAATGCTGTTGGCCTTAAGCATGAGGCGAGAACTCGTAGTGTCAGGGGCTGTTTTACTCTCCATTTACTAGGATCGAACGATCGCCCGGTAGAGAAAAAGATTGAAATATCGCACTGAGCTATTATTATCTATGTTCTTATTTCCAAGCTAGCCAAGCTTCACGGCCTTCTCATTACGGCTCCATCCTTCCTGCTGTGACGTGAACCGCAGACCCTGGCATTTTGGCACCCGGCATGTCCCGAAGCTCGATGTAGTGGTGCGCTGTGGCCTGGATCGACCCCGGGGCGCTAAAGTCTTCTTGGCGTTTCGAAGAGCGAACCGAGAGGCCCAGTCGCGAGCTTGTTACGTTTGTGCCCTGATTGCTTGTGCCGATGCGCGATGTCGAGCCAGTCTGCATGCCCCAGAATAGGTGGAACGCCGGCGCGCAGCTCACGAGAACTACGATACTGCTCTCAATAACGCTTTTACCCGGAACCAGTTAGCTCAATTGGAATTTTTACCATTTATATCTCGGAATTGGGAGCCCCGGGGGGATTCTCACCTGACAAGAAGAGCATTTGCGATGTTTGATGCTGTATCCCCTTTCTTCATGCTTGAAAAGTATAGCCCGAGGGCACTGGCAACGATCGCCCTGGGTTGATAAGATCTTGCAGTTAGGGAATCTGTAAATCTAAATCTTGGCTCTCGCTGGTTGACTTACAGAATTCCTGCAATAAAGACCAATACCAGTCCCAACTTCTTCCTAAATGGCAACTTGAGAGTTTGGATGATCGGGAGTGGTAGGGCGAATAAGAGTACGTCCATTGTAATAGATATCGAGCCTCGAGGGATAGTGACATCTGCAATTGATGTGATGCAAGTTATCAAGAACGTCGCGTTGACAGGATGTAGCTGAGGGCTGCACCGGACCGTGGGATAGATTGCCGTCGCCATAAATCCCATGAAGCCCAAGACCACCAGGATCTTGCAGATTATTTGTAGCCATCGTTTGATACCGAACGTTCGAATGAAAAGGAAGATGAGGGGTAGTTTTGCGGTATACAGCGCGCAGTTGGCAGCGAAGATCCCTACAGCACAAAGCTTTCAGCTGGGTCAACACGGCAATCACAGAAAAGAGACAGCAAGGACACAGTATCTTACCGTCGTGAGATAAGTAAGGTCAACCTTTTCGGGGTCAGAATTTAGTACTAATGCCGACGATCAGAATGCGTGCAACCTGATGGGATGCGACAACTGCGATCAAAATCAAGGGCTTACCTGAAAGTAGCAGGTAAAATGTTGCCGCAGTCCAGACCATGAAAATGAGAGCCACGATACATAAATCTTTATTCGGGATCGGTCAACGCTGGCCTTGGTGGTCAGAGCAGCAGCAGGGAGGATCAATTCCAAGAATCTACTCACAATCGTCAACAAAGACTTTGCCAGCGTGGCTATAATTTGACCAGAATCGTACAGCAATAGCGAGGGCCGTGAGTACACACATGGAAATTGTTGAGGCTAGAAATTCCGTTGGAGTGAGATTGGTGGGTTTGATGATCAGTGCCATGATCTCCTTGTCCTCCATTGTTGTTGGGCAAACCAAAGCGGATACCAGTTCTTTCAATCAGCTTTCTGGCCACCACCAAGAACGAGGCAAGTCTGATCAATTTATACGTTGGGGGGTATCAACTAGCGGCGAGATGAGCCGAGGCTTCCTAGTTATGAAATTGAATAGGTCTTGAATCATAATCACCAGTTGGAACCAACCGAATTATACGACAGGCGGGCGTGAACACCATTTGAACCTGTTTGATTAGAGAACCTAACTAAAAGAAGCGGAGAAAAGAAGAAATTTTCCTTCTTGGTAAGCCGTAGGACATCATGCTACTCATTTGCCGATATATCATGCGTCCGATCGAGCTGAAATCTACACCCCGGCTTGTGGAGCTGCAACCTTGTCCAGTGGACTGACTTCCAGGAACAAACCGTAGGGAATGTGTGATAACCACGTGTGATATCGGTGATCCTGGTAGAAATCTGCAAGAAGTTTGTTTTCCTGTGGAGCCATGGGGTATGAAGGGAGAAGACCGAGAATCCGAGGATGTGGTAACCCGGGGGGCTCCGGTTGTTTTCGCAAGGGGTGCTATTTTCGAAACCCTGGGTTACTCATCCGTCAATTCTGTCAGGCCATTGAACCCACAGTCGGATACTGACTCGTGCTGATTGCCAAGGACCTCTATTGCTTTGATCCGGCGAAGGAGGTTTGCCTGGTGTTTTAGTCACATCATTACCGTATGGCTAACCAACAGATCCGCTCAATTGACACACATGCACTTGCTGTCCAGAAACTTCTGAAGGCCGCCAAGTTCAAAGAACTCCATGGCAATGCGGAGGGTGCTTTCGCTGGTGAACCAGCGGAATGTTTTGACAAATAGCTTTTCATACTATATTGGCCGGTTAGTAATCTGGTATTGGTACGCCCAGGCTCCAAGCGGGATAGGAGACACACTCTGGCCTGGGAAAATCTCATTATAGCCTCAAGCTCCCTGACATGAAAGCCTCGGCTCTTGTCAACTTCCTCCTCAGAACCTACTGTCGACTTCCCGCTCGGAGTTTTGTCGAGCTCCAAACGCGTAGATTGCTGTTCAGCGGAGCCGAAGGCACCATGCTCAAGGGTCTTCTGGCGTGTCCGTATCTCTTCAGCCTGCTTGGCGCGCCGGCTCGTTCCTTGTGTGTGGATGGTTGGATGTCTGCCTCCTTCCGCACGAAATGTTGCGTCGAGGCGGGAATCGCGCACTAGCTCGGGGAAGCTGGTGAGCTGACTGAGGCTCGTTATATGCTGGGAGAGTGACAACGCATCACAGCGCCAACGATGCTTTCTTAATGCTGTAGAAAGGATTATGCTGTCCCAAGTTCCATTGCGAGAGGCTCGGTTGGGAATGGTTGAATGATGGTTATTAGTGTGGTTTAAGTGGGCGAGCTGAGCCTTGGGCTAAGCTAGATTAGGCCACTCCTGCTAGTCCGACTCGGGTCTAGACCACTTTTGCTAATGCGCTGTAAAGCGCCGTAAAGCGCTGTGGATGGCTGCAGGTAGCGCTGTAGGTGCTTGAGCGCATCATGGATCAGATCGAACGTGCCGCTTCTATGAGTCTGCCAACAGCCACCAAGTCTCAACCTCCAGAGCTGCAACTCCACCATTGCTTTACGAATTCGCCACAGACCAATCTGTATTGAAAAACACTCGGCTTCCGAGAAGGCGATTTTTTAAAAATAAAAAAATTGAAAGAAAGAAGGAAAGAAGGAAGTGAAGGAAGAGGGAAGAAACGGTGCTTGTCCATGTTTTTTTTTATTGGGACAGCTGAGACGGTTGCGCGAATCACGTACTCCTGCATTCACCACAAAGTTGATCTATTTATCCAAGTAACGTTTATCTCTTGACAGAAGAGTCTATCAGTAGATATGTAACAAGACATGTGAGAAGGTCGCTCCGGGCACAATGAGATTCTGATGCATCATCGGCCTAAAATATTTTGGAAGGAATAATCGATGAAGAGCCCCTACCTGCTACTCTAGCTTCGATGCGATGTACCGTTTGGCTTTCAATGGTAGCCCCCGAGTGGTATCGCCACAGAGCCTATTATCGATAGCATTGGTGAGCTTAGCACATAGAGAAGGAGGTCCCTTTATACGGATAGGCTAGTTGAGAGACCTTGGTGGGTTGCTGATGGCTTCTGCCTCAGGTGCCAACGTATCTCTGCTCCCACAACCCCCTCCCACCTCCAAACCGGTGTCAGTTGCTTGTACCCATATGCGCACCGATGATCCAAAAGTATTTGGGCATTTCATTATATCTGAAATATGTGGAAAAGCGTCTAATTCTCACCGTTACAATCATCTGCGAACAACTCATCGATATCTACGTTCGCTGGCCACTCAACAATACCACGAAGATGAAACGAAGAAGAGCACTCAGCACACCAGATGCGATGAATCACAGTTAGACCGGGCATATGTGGAGGCAAGTTTACTCTAACCCTTCTGGCGATCAAATATGCTTGTGCGCTTTTGCTGGCGACCCCGGAACATGGTTCGCTAAACATCGATGTTATGGATAGGAGGAGGAACTGATTGCTGGTGCTAACTAACGTGCGAGCAGGGGCAAGACTACGGTACGATATTTGCGAGAAGAGGATTAATATCTACCAGTCCGGGATTCACTTTAAAGGAGCACTTTATTACGTGAGGAGTTTGTGACGGTATCGGCTTGCCCTTGCCCTAGCCGATCGATTCTCCCGCTAGATCCCCTAGACACCCTCGACACGGTTTCATCACAAGGTTAAACACGGTTTCGATTCTTCCCAACCGGCGTTTTCAAGAAACAAAAATACCTTCTTCCTCAACAGTTCTACGAAACATCTCCGGTCGATCAAGCAAGTTCTGGACGGTTAGCTCCACGATCCAGAGACGGGTGCGCAGGAGTCTCACATTATTATATCAAACATTAATCTGTTTAGTAACAAGACGTAACCGACGGAGCAATGCTACGGCACAATCGGAAGCTTAATGGCGGCGCCATGACCCAACACAGACCCACAATCCTCTTTGCCTGTATATCGACCCGCGAAAGTAATATCCAACAGATCAGATCGATTGACGAACCGGCTTCTAAAGACGAAATTTGTCCCAGCATCCCAATCATCATGGGCAGGATTTAGTTAGTTATGTCTTCTTCGAGACGACGAGGACGATAGGCGAGTATCACCCACGAGGTTCCTGCCAAAAACACCTAAAGCGATGCAATATCTATGAAAGCAAGCCGGTAACTCGCTTCATGGACCGATACTTTGCTTCAAGTTTATACAGTGGTAGGAAACCTCACACTTACTTCTTGAAGTATCTTAGTGTTTCACTGGCTCTGACCTAACGAATTGTTCGCAGACCATCGTGGGTTATATATTACTCTACACCACAACATAGAAGGCTATGCAGTAGAATCCGGAAGCTGTTTGCTCCTTTACATCATTGGAACTGACGGATCAACCGGGGCTGCACAAGTTCTTGGAAGGTCGCTACAAAATTCTGCACCCCTGTCGGTCACACTTAGGCATACGGTAGCAACCTAGGCTTTCAGGCAGATGAGGTCATCCCGGCGTTGATCGACTCTGGACTGTGGTAGGTTGGTTTACGTGAACGACCCTCCCCCGTCCTCGCTATCCCCACACTCCATCATCTGACAATCCTCAACTTACAAGTGAGAACTACAACTAGAGCCATCAATGCACCACCCCCCCGCCTTCTCCGTGCCAGGGTATCCACCATTTCACACACGTTACGTCTCAATGGTGTGGTCTTTGGTCTGTTAGCCATCCAAGTTGGAAGGTTCTTCACTTGACCATCCACCACCCCCGCCTCCAACACCTTTGGTTCATGCGAGGAAGGGATTGATGCAAAGAAATGGATTGACATTGGTCGTTTAGCGATGAACATCCGGAAGCTTTCCGGTGTTTTGCTACAATTTACGTCATTGATCCCTCGACGATGTGACCCCACGGGGTAAATACGCCCCAATGGAAGCATCTATAAATTCCTCCTCATGAGCCTGCCTGCACCTTAAAAGTCCCCCATTGTTCAGCAAATCCCAAAAGGTTCCCTCTTGCTTCCCACTATGGTGACCATGGTCTCATTCAGTCTTCATTTGTTGGCCATGGCATTCAGCCTGTGCAATACGGCGCTGGCCCAGAACTACACTGAGCGCTATCGTCCACAATTTCATTTCACCCCAGCTAAGAATTGGATGAATGATCCAAATGGCTTGATTTACCATGAAGGGACTTACCATCTGTTCTATCAACATAACCCAGGGGGCATATCGTGGGGAGCCATGTCCTGGGGCCATGCCACTAGCTCGGATCTGGTGCACTGGGAGCATCAGCCAGTGGCACTTCTCGCCCGTGGATTTCCAGACAGCATCACCGAGATGTTTTTCTCCGGCACTGCAGTGTTCGACGCCCAGAATACCAGTGGCTTCGGCACCGATGATAAAGCTCCTCTGGTCGCTATGTACACGTCTCACGTAAGTCATGTCCTAGCATGTCCGTAGTAGCAACAAGATCTCTGACCACTTCTGTTAGTATCCTGTGGCACAAACTCTGCCAAGTGGAAAGACCGTCGATGCAAACCAGCAATCCCAATCGATCGCGTACAGCCTTGACGACGGCATGACTTGGAATACATATGACAGCGTGAATCCCGTCATTCTCAACCCCCCAGAGGAGTATTCCGACCAAATACATGACTTCCGTGACCCGGCTGTCTTCTGGCACGAGGAAACCCAGAGATGGGTTTCCGTGATGTCACTACCTGGCCTCCGTAAGCTGCTGATCTACACTTCTTCCAACCTCAAAGATTGGGAGCTTGTCAGTGAATTTGGCCCGGCCAATGCCGTCGGTGGCGTATGGGAATGCCCTAGTATGTTTCCTCTCCCCTTGGACGGAGGCGCAGAGCAGAAATGGGTTGTTCAAATTAGCCTCAACCCTGGCGGCCCGGCCGGCAACACTGGTTCTGGAACACAGTACGTCGTAGGCCAGTTTGACGGGACAACCTTCACCCCGGATGTCGAGAGCGTGACGCAGGCGAATTGGGTTGACTGGGGCCCTGACTTCTATGCCGCGCTTACGTTCGGTGGTCTTCCCGTGGAGGACCGGGTTGATATTGCGTGGATGACCAACTTGAGGTATGGAGGGGCCACGCCAACCGACCCCTGGCGAAGTGCTTTTACGGTTCCGCGAAGATTGTCGCTGAAGACAATAAACGGGAAGGCGACTCTCTCACAGGAGCCTATTTTGGGGGACGCTAATTATAGCAGTACTCATTGGGACATCCTACCAGCCGGCAGGACAAAATTAGACTTCTCCGGAAAAGCGCTGGATATTGTTCTGTCATTTTCTACGTCTGAATCGACCCATTTTGGCGTCATAGTTCGAGGTTCATCGGAACTAAGCGAACAAACTAAGGTGGGATATGACTTTGAGAAGAAGGAGGTGTTTATCAACCGGACCGTCTCAGGAGTTTCAGGGTTTGATGGCACATTTGCGGGAATCTTCTCTGCACCGTTCGAGTCGATAGATGGCAAGGTCACATTACGTGTTCTTGTTGACTGGTCTTCTGTTGAAGTGTTTGGCGGAGCAGGGGAAGTGACTTTGGCTTCGCTGATTTTTCCAAGTGATGAATCCTCTGATGTGTACCTGTTCTCGACGGGTGGAAGTACCAATGATGTTGAGGTGAAGGCCGCCAAGATCAAGTCGGTTTGGGTCACTGAATAAGACTTTATAGTAGGATTTGAGGCCAGGCGTGTATGATACATGAGCAAGTACTAGCTGGGTTGCAGTCACAATGTCAAGAAGCATCCATGATTCAGTCAAACTTGCAATTTAAATTTAAACATATGCTCTCCACCATAGGCTGCAAGGTAATTTTTCAAGTTGAGAAAAGAAACGCGATAGGTCTTGTAATAATATCCAGTCTCCGAAACCATGGAACTCTCGTCGATCTAGCCCCAACCACTCCGCCAGACGCGGTCCGCATTTCGCAACGATGTCATCATTTTCGTGGTTTCTCTTCACGTCCACGGAAACTGTTTATCTCTTTCTAAGAGGCCCAGCCGCAGAAACGTACTTAGGGGGGGTTCCTCTGCCGCTTCATCTCACAAGTAGATATGCGCGCTTTACCCTCTCTATGGCCTAAAACCATTCTCCTCCTCGTACTTTCCTATAGTGTCCTTTTGTCAACAGATGTCCCTCACTCCAAACGTGGGTCCTGCCTTGTTTTAAAACTGTCCCATCTGATAGTATCATAGGCACACATGATATGGAAACGTCCTTCATGTGGGCTACATTGATATCAGTTACTACGGGGGTAAGCCTCTTCCCATTTGCTCTCTTGTATGGCGGATCTGCCCAGGTCGCCCAATCCGACGATGCATCACCACGCAGCCGTACCGACCTGAGGCCTGGCCCAGACAAACATGTACGGAGCAAGTCCCCGAACTTGAGACGTTTCGCAGGTGGTTTTATAGCGTGGTTCGGATCAGGATACGCATTCCTAGGCATATTCATATGCCTCAAGTGGGTAATCCCGAACTGGGTTAGGTTCTGCAGGGCTTGTCGGAGCTGGTTCAGCTTATTGTTGCTTGGCGATAGTGCATCTGCAAAAATCACTTCATCTCCCATGATGTTGAGCACATTTTTCAAAATGAAAGTATGGATAATGCACCCTGCCTGGTGGAGAGCGATGGGAAGGTCCCAAATAATCCCGTCCAGTAATGCCATGTCATCTTTCACAGACTTCCTATCTCTTGTTGGTATCGAGAATAAACAGGGGGTGTTCGCCATATAGTTCAAGGCCATGGTTTCTGGGCCCGGAGCCGCCATATGCTCATACCAGCCGTCAACATTCGCAAATTTGAGGACGAGAGGGCGCTTCGCGAAGGAAACTAACTTGACCAAAGCAACAACAAGAGATCCTTCTGATGCAATACGGGACGTCTCATGATGTTCTTTTTTGTAGCGCTCATATGCCGATTGAATTAATTGCTCGTACTTCTCCTCGGCGTCGTTTGGCTTGGCTTCGTCGGCTCGCATATGCGGCCACTCTCGCCACCTGTCGGAATCAAACATGCATACATCTCTCCTGTCCCAAAGGGTCCGACTCTTGAATCTCCAGTTGGACTCTGAGAGATGCCTGGTCTGACCGAGGCAGTATATGCCCAGCATACTGTCTTCAAGGACTTGGGTGAAACGTGATTTGTCTAGCGCGAGAGACTTGAAGCGGTGGCCCAGGTTGACCGTAATGGCACGTACACCAGATGCAATGAGTGGTTTTTCGAGAATTCGTTGGACATAGTCTAGAGATTCTTGGGTTTGTCTGACTGAGATAGTATGGATCAAGAATGGCGATGCGATGGGGTCAAGTCGGCTGCAGACCAGGCGCAACGCCGGAATGTCTCCATGGTCAACGAGGCTGGCAATCTCGATCAGGAGCTCGTTAGGCAAGTAAAGTAGACCAGCTAGACGGGGTTCAGATTGCTGGAGCGATGCGTCCATGGCAAATGAAGGCATTTCGGTATCAGGAGTCGAAGGCTTGCGCAGGGCTGCTTTTGGTTCGGGTTCAGGTGAGAAAGCAAGCTGTCGGATAAAAAGGACAACTTGCACGTTGTGAGATCAGGTCCTTCTGATGTAACATCATTGGACAAAATGGATCTATGGAGCTTTCAGGGCTTGCAATTGCTCCTTTGTGGTGCCACTTGCCAGTCAAAATTGTGACAGTGACAGGTGTGGTGTTCGGTCTCTCCCAAAACTGCCGGGAGATACGTGTGGCCTTTGTTCAATCTTTGTCCTCTCGGCGTTTCTTACCGAGTGATATTTGGTGACGTCACAACTGACCGTTATTGGATCAGACTGCGCCTGAAAGCTGAAATGTCGGCCTGTAGCATTACATATTTGTTGGATCATGCGTGGCCAGTCGGTGTGCAGAACAAAGGCTGAGCATGCTTCTGGAGGCTGGATGCAGTTGTCTACGCGAGTTACCGAGGGACGGCAAGGCGAAGTCGCCTGGAAAAGATTTGACCGTTCGGTTTAAAGCGAACGTGGCGAAGCTTTCACTCGGTCTTATGTGATGTGCATATGCATGAGCACTTGGGTAGATACCGAGAACAGGTCCAGGGTAGGGCAATGCAAGAGTGAGGGGTCGAGGTCCGTCCGCCTCATTACTCGGCCTATTAATTAGGCCTCTGCCCACCACCAACCTGAACATGTATTTATTTATTCATCGCAGCGGCCCAACGCGAACCCAACTTCATTCATTCAGCACAACAATCAATCCTCCATCGCCGTGTGCAGCGGCCATTCATGACACTTGAGTTGAATTTGCTCTGACCAAGAGGCCTGCCTGTCTGTCGCAATGTCGCCGTCTCATTTTTCTACACCATGTCTGCCGGGGCTCCCCTCCGAATTGGTCATCGCCATCGGTCGCCTGCTGGACCCGATTGGCCTGGTCTCTCTCAGCCAGTCGTCTACTCTGTTCCGCCGCCTCATCCCCCTCCAGAAACGGCAGCTGGTAGAGCGGCTGCTGGCCCTGGAGTGCACGGAAGAGCACGGCGGCGGCGCGCCCACTCTACGGGTCCGTGATCAGACGCTTGAGCCTGCCTTCTCCGAGGAGGAGTGGGGAAACTATCGCTGGGCCTGTTCGAGCTGCCTGCGCCTTCTCCCGCACATTCACTTCGACAACCGCTCCATCCTGCGGCTCCAGAACCGGAAGCCCATTGCTGGCTCGCCCGCCGCAGAGCCCGTCTCGACCTGGGAGCCATCGCTTCGCGGCAAGGCATGGGGCCGCAAGGCATGGCAGCCAATCTCCAACGAGGAGCGCCGTGTCCGCCTTCGATACCGCCTCGCCATTCATCCGTTCGAGACATTCTATCCGCCCTTCCTTCACCGCTGGACTGTGGAGGAGTTGCGCGACGCCGGGATGCGAGGCTTTGATTACGTCGACGACGACGCGTATCAATGTATGAGCCAAGGTCTCAAGAACGCTATTTTTGATAGCAACCTCTTCGAGATCGAGCTTGCCACCAGCGGCTCGAAGCGCTACAATCGCATGTGCAACGAATGCCGATTTCAATCAGGGCAGTTGAGGGTGCAGCTGGGTGACAGGCGCGGCACCACGGCCACGCCAATCATGCATAGCAGACAGGTGCACTTCGCCTCTGCCCACGATCGCTTCTTCCCCGGCCTCCCAGAGCACTTGGGAATGCCAGAACCTCAGTTCTACCTCCCCATCGGCGAGATCGGCAAGGTTGGCGAGGTCTTCGTCATGGGCCCGGTGGGCCTCTACTCGCGACCCTGGACCATGTACATGGTCCGATGCCCAGACTGCGAGCGCTGGCAGGAGGTGCGAGCCTTTCGCCTTGGAGGGTATTCGGCATGGTGGAACCCGAATCTTGATGCCCAGCTGTGGAACAACGAAGCCCTCAGCATTGAGGACCTTCACGAGATCATTTGCAACGGCTGTTACGCGCGCAAGTATGGCAAATTGGCCTTGGGAACGCTGCTTGCCGACTTCGTGGAGTGGGTGATCTGCGAAAATGCCCGGCGATACCTCGAGGCCCAGCTTTGCTGGGGATGGTTCGCCCTCGAGCAAGTCGTGACGAGACTGCCCTCAGAGTACCGGCAGCAAGTGAGGCTCATCCTGAGAAACGTCAATCATCGAAGGAACAGGTCGTGGGAGGGAGAGGATTTCTCATACATGGATATCGCAAACCTCAAACTGCGCCATATGGACTTTGTCAACGTGGTCAACCAGGGGTTGGCCGCTTCGGACAACGAGGCAGTCCGGCATCTCTTCTCCGACTTTTGGTTCAGCACCTGGTATTACGTTTATGATAGGCTGGAGACGCAGTGGCTTTGGATGAGTGCGTATGTTGTCGAGGCACGCGAGAAGCCCGAAGTTTTGGCCGAATGGGCTTTGAGTCGAGACCCGGCTGCCTTCACTTGATATTGACGATTGAGCAATATCCCACAGCTCAAGATGGGCTGTTTCCATAACGAATTGATGATTGATTAACAACGGGTAGCCTGCTAGACAGGACAGAAGGTCTGTACGGGATGATTTGTTTGGTTTTCTTACGATAAGGGCACTTGATTTAGGGATGGGATAAATGGACTTGATGATTGAATGAATGAATGGAACATTGGGATAGGATAAAGGAAAATTTGGAATGGGATATATGATATTTGGGATGGGATACATGGATATTTCGGATAGGATACTTGGACGTTTAGGACAGTTACTTGGGTCACAGATTGAGCTCACATCTTATGATGTCTTGTTTTCTTTTACTCTTCTTTTTATCCTTGGGAAGAATATTTGGCAAATTGACTACAATTCAAACGAGTGAATTCTTACGCAGCCTCCACCTTTCTCTCTCTGAATCCCTTGACCTCTGGTCGGAGTCACAGCATGCAAGCGAATTCTGCGATAGTGACAACAGTGCCCTCTAGATCATGTCAACAACACATTCTGATCACTCTCCTTTACTGGACACCCAGAACCTTGATAGAGCTTTCGGTGAGTGAGTCATATGGTCATGAGGTAATTTGACTTCTTCACCTGTAAGGTCAAGGTCTATGCGTGAACCTTCCAATAAGCTTTCGGGCTATAGATATAGCATCAGCTTGTTCATTTCTTGGTGTTTAGGTATTTATATCGCATGTGGGCACCAAAAATATTTCTGTTTGACCCGGATTTTCCCCTTTCTTCACTCACATATAAGCAAGGCGCGTACCCCTCTTCTTAAATCCCTCAGTCATACAGGCAGTTTCTAAAGCCTAGCATCCTAGCCCTTCATTCTCAGCGGCCAAACCAAGCTGATCATGGACGAGACGGGTGACACCGGCATCGAAAATGTTCCCTGCCATCAGTGCTCGGACGTCGATCTGGACAGAGTCTTTAGGGGCGGCTATAAGATGCCACAAAAGGTCATGGATCTTGGCCCAGTACCTAGAGACTGCCTGAGAAGCCCATGTCCTCTCTGTCGCTTGGTGGCTGAAGCGATATACAGCCCGTTCGGTAACCCTGAACTGGCGTCTTTGCACGAAACATGCGGGTTTTGCACACCATCTCAAGAACGTGGAGGAGCCGAGCCGGGCTGTTACCAGTTGGTAGCAGAAATTGTCAAACCAGAGACAAAAAGGGACAGCATGGGCCACGGGAAAATGGCCAAATACAAGGACACATACTTGATCACTAACCCAGTACAAAATGAGACAAAATTCTCGAAGCGGGAGCCTCAACTTGGTCCCCAATCCATGGATGGGACTAAATTGGCCCCAGGCGAGTTCGTGGCCCTCAAGGTTGTCAAGACTGACGCGTCCGACTCTGGATATATTGCCTACTACGGCAGTATCTATCCGGCATTCGACTTGGCTGAAGCTATGGCTCCGACACGATCATTCTGTCTCTTCATTGGACTGGGATCTCCTGCGCTCCTATCTGAGAGAGTGCTATGACCATCACGATGGATGCTCATCTCCGAGGCCTCAACTCGATATCCATGGCTTCCGCCTCATAGATTGTCATACGAGGCGGCTAGTTCTGGCAGCCCAGGGAGCCAAGTATGTGGCGCTGAGTTATATCTGGGGAGCGCCCGAAAAGCATGCTCACATGGATATCCCGGAGCTTGGGGAGAAACTTGTACAGGCACCTTTGGTCATAGAAGACGCCATGGATGCCGTAAGGGAGTTGGGATACCACTTTCTTTGGGTAGACAGGTAAGACTTCCTGACCAAACCAACATCCAGTAATTAACCCCCCTTTAGGTTTTGTATACAGCAGAACGACTCGAAGTCTCTGCGGCACCACCTTGCAAATATGCATTCCATCTATCAAGGCGCGCTATTCACAATCGTTGCGGCTGCAGGGTCAGACTCGTCCTTTGGCTTACCTGGGGTTTCGTCAAGGGCACGGGAGCCGCAAGCAGAAGCTACTATCAACGGCTGCCTTCTGGTGTCTTCTGTCGAATTGTTCCCCGGAATTTTAAGCTGCAAGTGGAAAACTCGGGCTTGGACGTACGTAGCAATATCTTTGAGTTGCAGAGGATAAGAAGCCTGGAAAAATGTCAGAGACTGACTTGCGAACAGATACCAAGAAGAGCTCTTCTCGAACCGCCAGCTTATCTTCACGTCTCATCAAGTTTCGTTCCACTGCCTACAGAGCGAGAACTGCGAGATTTATACCTCGCCCGCAGTCACACCTCCTGGACTGTTGAATCGGACAGGGAACCGGACCTGTTCGATTTGGGAACATATTGAGCAGTACTCGAAGCGGGATTTGACATATGATTCTGACTCTCTCAATGGGTTAAGGGCTACGATCAATTCCTTTACTGAATCGGCCGAGGAACCGCTCGGTAGCCTATGGGGGATTATATTTTCAGAGACGATTGCCGCGTTAGACCATGACCATCCTTCCGAGACAGCTGACATGTCGAGCACCACGGGCATGCTATCTAGAGCGAGGTTTGCGTCGGCCTCGGCGGTGTTCGGGTATAGTCTCACTTGGAAGTTTCTTCCGCAAGAGCATCAAATCTTGCGCCGACGGGCCGGTTTTCCAACATGGTCCTGGACAAGCTGCGTCGGTCAAGTTGAATATCCCCGGCTCCCGTGGTTGACTCCAGATCAGCCGGTCATGCCTGACCCTGAGCTAGATATTTCTGTGCTGGGCCCAGATGGCTGTTGCATGCCGATATCTGAATATGTTGACGACTCCCTTGAGCCTTCACATTATTTGCATGTGAAGGCCTGGTCTGTTCGCGACGCCCTCACATTCAACCTTGCCGAGGGTGAAGCTTTACTAGATCTAGGGGATACAGATAATGAGCTGAAGGGCTTCATCCAATTCGATTCGATACCGACTAGGGACCATGAAGATATGTTCGACATCCTATCAGAGAGTCAAAACGGCCAAAAGCGTTGGGAAGCTATCATCACGTACGTGGCCCTTGGCTGTGACGGGGCCAATGTCCCGTTCTTATTGATCTTGGCGATCGCCGAGGACGCTCAGTATCCGGACAAGACGGTGTACGAGAGGATTGGATGCATCCCAAGACTGCACCTTGTTTGGAAGCCTAAAGAAAGCAGACGTGCCGCTCGGGCATTGGGCAAGAAACGTCAGAGCCCCAGGCCGACCATGAGGTGGGCAGCCGAAATAATTGAAGAACAAGAGAAAAAGTGGATGAATGATGAAAAGTGGATGAAGGACACGGAAGAGAAAATGCTGCAACGAAGAGAAGGTCAAACAGAAACTCAGCCAATAGCTGATCTCACCAAGGGAGGCACTGGCGAGGTCGACGACAGTGAAGAGGATGCTTTCGTAAAGAGCATGCTCGCGGAGCTTGAAGAATGTCAACAACGCACCATATCCGCGGAGGCGCAACGCGTGAACGCGATGGGCCAGGTCCATCTAGGCGAGACTGACGAAAGACCTACAGCTTCTATCTCAGCTGACGTCGGTGCGGACAACTCAACAAGCGACCACGACGAGGCATCGAAGGTTGACTCTGTAGCTATAGAGACCGTCGATGTGCAGGAGAAACATTTGGACGAGACAGATGATGGCGATACGAGTGACTCCAGCTCAAACGACTCGTATGATACGGGCGATGCTTTTATAAATTCGTTAATCGCTGAAGGGAGGGAGAAGGCTTGCTTTCCGCGCATACCTATGGTAAGAAGGGAGCTTGTAATTCGATAGGCTATCAATTTTTGCTCCAGTTTGTATTCAAAATTTTACGATGAGTGATATTACAATGCTAGTGATGAAATCGGCTTATACCGTAGTTGCTCCATCTGTAGCTTTTCTCTGAAGGTCGTCAGCAACACCATGGCGGCGTTATGTCGAACTGGGTTTTCATACTCAACTGGGCTTCAAACGCTTTGAAATATCTTAGGGTTCATATTTAATTTGAGTATGAAAACACTATGGTGAGGATAGTCAGGTGGCACGGGGTTAGCCGGGACTCTCAAGGTGGGGGTTTGTGGCGGCAAGGACGACGAACAAGAACCAATGCTGAGACCACTCCAAGTTTTACTATAGAAGGCTTAGATAAAACAAGGTTATTCAACTTGACTAGCTGGATGGTGAAATAGAAACCTTTGTTCAGCCAAGACATGTCCGTGCAGTGGTAGTGCCGCGGCGTGCCCAGCACGCACGCGCCATGGCAACTGACTATGCATAACGTAGCACGAGTTTAGTCTAGAACCTGTTTCTATTTATTTCTTGGTCCTATTCTATCTCCATTAGCTCATTCTATTCTGTAAGGATAAACAAAGAATATGAATAGTTACCCACACCTTAGTTAGTCGATCCCATGTTGCGTTAGCTCGGGTCAAATAGCTATTGTGTCTAAATCAAATCAAGTCAACAATAGAAACTCCATATGCAGGGTGGGGAGAGTTCGAACCATTTATAGAAACTGATGGTTGCTGCGAGTATGAGGGTGATCGTGCTTCTCACCATTGCAAAGACGCCGGGAAGTCTACTATTGGATTGGTATAGGTCTTGCCTAAAGGAAATCAGAACGCCCGAGATAGGACCCTTGCCTTATCCACTTTTTAAGTGCCAGCGGATTTCTTTCCCAAGCTCAAATTCTGTACCTAAACTTGACGTTGAACCAGCACCATGTTACCAGCAAGGATCTGAGATCGGCTTTGCACACTTGACCTCCCACACTCGTTCAACGACTCAGCCTCATTCAGGCGTAGAATAAAAGTGCCCGCGTTAGTCGACATACATTGTTACACGTCTCGCTCAGAAGTCGTACCCATAAGAGACAGGTTTGGTCAGAGCACTACACAGTAGTCAGTCACAAGATCTGGGCTCGAGCACGTGCACATTCTCGACTGATAATAATACCTTGTGGTCTTGTCTTCCCCGTTACCTTCTCCTATTCATCAACTTTGCGACGAAGACAAACCGAGCGCAAAGAAATAGAATCTTTGTGAAAACAACGAAGCGGACACGATCCAAGTGATAACGCCAGCCATAACCACAAGATGGTCGGGCCGGCAAAGGAGGTCATCGACAACCTCGGCGTCGACTGTACCAGCGGCGGCTCATTCTATGTGTGCAATAGCAAGTCAGTCAAGTTCGTCGGTTGCTGCACGCTCGACCCATGCAAGACATCCGACGGCAACTGCCCCGACCAGAACCTTCGAAACACCACGTTCCAGGCGTACTCCTACAACCAAATCAAGCCCCAGAAATGCGTTAGTGAAGACCCAGAGGTGCAGTGGTTTGCCTGTGCCGCATCCAAGCCCCCCTTCATGGGATGCTGCTCCGCCAATCCCTGCCAGCTTGGTGGGTGCCCAGCGGGCAAGCTCTATGCCGCGAGGCTGAACGACGACTACGAGCTTGCCAGACCGTTTCTCGCCGGAGCCCCGAATGAAGGACTCTCCACCGCCGCGACTATTGGGATATCTGTTGGAGTCACGTTGGCTGCAATGTTCATGACCGTCTCGGTGATTTTCTGGTGTGCTAGCCGGAGGAAGAAGAGGACCCAGGAGCCTCGCCGGTCTGAAGGCAGTGGCACGGTCCCGCCGGTTAGATACAGGTCGCACTCAGTTCGGTTTCCTGACAACACCAATCTCGGATTAGGTGTGCGCCTGAAATCTCCCTATTCAAAGAACTCTGAATACGACATGCTGCAGAAAACCTCAACCCAGAAGAACTCGCCCTCCCTGTCGCCACGATCGTTGAGCCTATCGCAGTGGCGAGAACAGTCAGTACACGGAAGCAGCGCCGGGAGTAACCCTCGCGGCTACCAGCAGTCAGATGGACGCATACCAAGTGCTATTTCATCGGAGCAGGGGCATTCTAGTAGATGGAGATGGAAGCATCCTACCCCTGTGGCGCAGGAGCTGCCCCCCGAGCACCAGATTTTAGAGATGGAGGATACTTCGAATCTTACACCAACTTCGGACACTGAGAAATTGTGAACTGGAATTAAGAGAAGGGGGGTTTCAAGAGTACAGATTCACGAGACTGTGAGAGGAACCAAAAAGGTGACCACGATGAGGTATTAGTTGTAAACGGAAACCCAAGCCAACTCCAGGTGAGGAGAGGGAAGCCTCCGCCCAAACCCACGTGTTCCAAGGGAGTAGGTTTGCTGGCCGTGACAAAGTATTGTGGCGTGAGTTGCTATAGTAAAGAACAAGGGGTTCGACCCAACGCAGTAATAACACAGTTATAGCTAGGTAAACAAAGTTAGTTGTTTTTGAATGTCTCCTATATTGTTCTTTGCTGTTCATGGTTATTGATGTATATTGCTTGAGAACCGGGTACAGGATTTTATTCCACTAGATGTGGGAAAGGACTTGACTAACTAGGCAAAGCCTCCTAATTTTCAAAGAATAGAAATTGAGTTAGCAGTCACCCTATGAATTCTGGTTGTTGTTTCCAGGTGGAAACCCTTGGTGCAAATCTTTTGCACCTAAATCTCAGTCTTCACCAAGATAGTTCAGCGCCTTTCGCGCCCAGTGTGGCGAAGTAAAGGTGAGTGGCGCCCATGATGATCATACGCCCGTCACCCGTAAACTGGAAGTTAGCAGCTGTTCTTCCAGTGAAGATCTTGCCAAGAAGTACGCCAGATGGATTCCACACATTGACGCCATCACCGCATCCCGCATAGACGTTGCCCTTATTATCACAATGGATTCCTAAAATGAGTTCGAGATCAGTGTCTGCACTGGTACGAGAGATAGGAACTGGAGGGAACCCGGATATTTTGGAGGGTTACCGCTTGTGCGGCTCGCTTACCGTCTGCGATCCTAACCGTTACGTGGGCAAACAGCTTTCGGTTCTCGAATGTGCCGTCTGGAGCAACCGTATATCGGTAACTGTCCCAATTGCGCGAATTGTTAGTTGATCTTGGTCTATTCCAATGAAAGATTTCCTTCTGCAACTTACATTCCAGCAGGTCGTGATTGTATGTAGCCCTGGAAGGCCATCGAAGCACCCGTCTCTGTAATGTACGCATACTTTCCATCTGGTGAAAAGGTGATACCTAAATTGACAGTCAGAAAGGTTATCAAGTTCTAGGGTGTCGCTGGAAGTCTTACCATTGGGATTGATTTGATCATCAGCAACAGCTGTCAGAGCCTTTGTCACTGCATTGAGTCTATAGGCTTGGTTTGGCAGCACAGGCTCAGGTCGAAAGTCTTGGAGGTAACCATACGTCACATCGGTGAAGTATATATCTCCATTGGCGGGGTTGACAGCAACATCGTTGACGGAGTTGAACTGGCGACCGTAGTAATTGTTCACAAGCTTGGTAGTATTGTACGGGGCAACCGGGTTGGCTAGATAGAGCGCTGGTGGCACTTGAGATCCTTGGCCTTCACCAGCGAAAATGAAGTTCCCATGATAGTTCGTTCCGCCTGCGGGAAGAAAACACTTGTGAGAATGGCTTGCTATGTGAACGCAAAGTTGATGGAGGAAGGAGGAGATTGAGCGACGAAATGAGGGGAGGAAAACATCTTCCGTTCAGCTTACCATTGGGGTTGATCACCGGCGGATCAAAAGGCACTACATCCACCTTGACCTGGCCAGTCGCATCGCGGAGGTGGGATACCGACACGGCCTGGGGGACGGAAACCTTCTGGAGAACACTAGAGCGATTTAACCCTGTGCCTGCTGCCTTTGCCCCGGCGTTCTGGCAGAAAAACACCTCATCCGTGGGGGGATACCAGACAGGGGCCTCGTGAAACATGGGGTTGGTGCCCGAGTCGGCAATCTTGGTCAGGGTGGGATTCAATCCGATGATGTCGAGGAAGTCTTGATGGTGGACATGGAACGGCTTTTCCAGGAGACTCTCCAAGGTGGTTCCCGGCGGAATAAAGAGCTATAGAATGCTGTTAGCAAGATGTTACAACGCTGAATGGAAGAATAGGATAGAATGTGATGATGGGGCGACTTGCAGCAGTGGCATTGGCGACATCAGGTGGCTGAACAAACGGCAAAACGACAGTAGAGGCAGGCAGCATCCATTGCGCCTGTGCGGGGAGGGAAATTGAACTCAGATCCATGATGGAATTGGGGTTTGCAAACGATGATAGAAGAGAAAACGGGTTCAGAGCTTTAAGGCCGCCGGCGTAGTAGAGGAACGCGCACTGAAAAATAAAGGCAGTGACGAGGGAGATAACTACCATGGCCAGGAGGGTGTTAAGGGTGCGAGCTTGTAATGACGCCATGTCTCCGGCTAGCTCACAGGACGAGAGTGAGACTAGAGCTGGGCTGTAGCTTCAATGCAACGTCGGGGATGGTGATCTGGAGGCAGCTCGCGGGGATGCAAGAGGTGAAGAGTTGAATTGTTCGGCAGAAGAGCTCTTGGCAGCTCCTTCCCCACCAATTTCAGGGTCGGGCAACCTCCGACTGTGGGGCCAGAGCCAGAATGACGGAGATGGATAATTATCCAGCTTCGTTCGCTGTATGATTACCCCGCCAGCGACGGTCCACATTGTCCCAACCAAGTTATTGAGCCGGTTGTTAGCTTCATGCAATGCAATGTCAATGGTTGACGAACAAGAACTCTTTTGCGGGGTTGCTGGGTTGATTTTGACTGTCTGATAGATGGCTGAGGTTGCATGCTCTGAACCCCTCTTTCACGGCACCTGCGATCAATCACTGGGCAGCTCCATTTCCAGACTTCATAACTTATTCACTACCCCACCATCAATTTGAAGTTCCAAGTCAGTATTTGTGCCTGAGGCCCGACGACACATGTTTTTCAAGGCAACATGCATTCCTCAACCCCAGAGATCGGCAGTACGTGACTTCAGCATGTCCAATGGGTGCGAGGCACTCTTCATTCCAACAAATCAAGAAACAGGACCATTCAGCGCGCGATATCCATGACTTCTCTGCCACCTTAATCACCAGGCTATTCTTGAAGAGTATAGCCATGCTGCTATGCCCCGGTCATAACACAAGACTAGCCAACGCAATTTATTAAGGCGATTAGAATTCACTAAAAGTTTTCTCTTTGATTTCCGGATCTATGGATCAAAACCATCACATGCATCGACTGGTTCATCTTGAAACAAAGAAATGTGAAGGAGAAAATTCAGAGACTTAAGTGACATAAGTGAGCGCGCACTTACGGCAGACATCTCGACGCCATGGCTACCTACAACCCATGGTCTTTGCGTAGCTTACAGCAGCCAAGGCCGGGTGCAGGGAGCTCCGTGTACGAGTGATCAAGACAAAAGAGTGACTGTACAGACCAAGTCAACCGAAAATGACCATTTATCTACACATCAAGAATAAATTACATGACAGTCGGCCCAGCGGAAGGAGGCTGTGGAAACAAGGACTCAAATAGGGGAGATATTTAGGCTTTGGGTTATCAAAGACGTGACATACTTGAAATAATCTGGCGTTGCTATTGCAGCCAGGTCAAATACGGACAATGTAAGAAAAGGAAAGATCTCATAGAGGCTCCTAAGCGTGTTTTGGGCTAATTCATCACTAAAATAGCATTCAATAAGTAATCCAGCGGCGCTTTAATCCACTCTAATGTAGATAAAGGAAGCTCAAGATGTTTTAGAGCCTTCGCTAGAAACTAAACAGCGGGTGTTAAGTCTCGAGCACCCTTCCACAATAGCCATAGTACGCCAATTAGCATTGCATACAACCTTGATTGTTGATTCAAGACAACAGCAAGGGCTCAGAGCAAGTATTAGAGGCAGCCGAGCAGGTATATATACCTAGTGCATGGACCAACGCATGCTAGAACAATGGCGATGACACTCGATCCAAGCAACATCTTCAAGGCCTGGAAAAAGTAGCTAAAGCGTTACTAAGAAAGGCATTGCAGACAAGAACGAGAGTTCTTAGGTCAGATCACCCTAGTACAATCGATACTATAAGAGAACTAAAAGCGCTCTCGGTGGTTAACCCTAAGGTTATATCACATATGAAACCCTTTTTGATACGGTTAAGGTTTTAAGAGGCATGAAAGCATATTACATGTTAGTTAGTATCCCATTTCTTATATAGGCCTAAGTTAGCATATAATAGGAAAGAAAGAAATTCTATAGAATAGGGTGCCGACAGGAGATACTAATGAAGCTAAACCTAGAGAGCGTACTCCCTGACCTGCAATAATATAATAATAATCCAGCAAAGTGGTCTTAATCTTCTTAGATTTTAAAGAACCACTTAGACTCTTTGCTGTAACATTCTATGCACTACAATGTTTGTGAAAGTAAGAGCCAAGGCAGAGAGATAGCAGAGTGTTTTATCAACCATCCATTTCTCCGTCTGGAAAGTCTAGGCCGGGTCCAATTAAATGTTCTCGAACGTCAACTTTATCCAAACTTATGGAGCTGTCAGGAATCGAAAAGAAACGTAATTCAACAGGATCACCGACAGCTAAGGCAGTACCTACTGCCAATGACAACAACACATAAATGGGACAAGTGCTGAAACACAGGCGCAAATCCTGTTGGATCTACACTCCCACCTAAGAATGACAGCAACTAGGAAAGAAATTCAGTTTTTTGTTTTATTTCACATGTATGCTTTCGATTGGTCTTCCTTGCTTCGACTTGCAGGAGGCTTTTAGAGATATCCCGAGGGATATAGGGTAGGCAAAGTCAGCTTACTCATTCATCTTTACTGACTAAGCTCAGGTTTGTCTCCACCAGATTTTGGTGGTGGTCAGCTAAGGCTACCGTTGCATAGAGGCACCGAAGAACAGATTCAATACAATGCCACATCAAATAAATAAATGAAGTGTTGAGAACTGAACCAGTAAATAACTGCGAAGGCTGTTTGATTGATTGATTGGAAGCGCTGGCCGCTCGCAATTGCGTCCCAGAGGAAGATTACGTCATCCTCACGCGAGAACGGGACCCAAAAAAGGTCCGTCTTTCTTCCTGGTCTTTATCAGTCTCTCATCAACACCGTTTCAAAACATGCAGAACCAGCCCAAAGTCCCGCCTGACCTGGCTCACCGTGGTCGCTTTGTTGCATCGAATTTTTCGTGTTTTGACGAGGGCCAAGTCATGGCAACAAAGTCCCAATTGTAGAGTGATACCGCGACGGCACCCACTCTTCGGCTCGGCCCCGTCCAATGGCATACGCACAATCTGGCCCCATGCATGACAGATCAGCAGACAACATGCATGGGACAATCCTTTGTTGTTCTTCTGAGATATTTTCCCGCGTTTGCCTACCACCGCCAGAATAGCTCCAAGATCCTCAAGCCGGCAAGATGCCTGGAGTTCCAAAACCGTACTGCCAACCTTGTAAGCACAAGCGAGTAAGGGTAAGTGTGTCACTGGGCCCCCAAAATCGTAAAACCCGCGTTAACTCGGCCGAACAAGTGTGACCAGGCATGGCCCACCTGCTCAGCCTGCTCGCGAGCCAACATCCTGTGCCCGGGCCCGTCATTCGCCCTCAAGTTCGTAGCGCATCACGTCCGGCAGGCGGCCTCGACCAAGCCTCGAGACATGGCCTCCGGCTCCAACGACAACAACCGCAGCCCCCGCGATCGAGCACGGGTATCCGCCGCTAGCGGAGCGAACGGGCGGGTACTGGTTGCACGGCCCCGTGCCGCCAGGGGAGTCGTCCCGGTTGGTGGACGGGGCTCATCCCTTCGCTCGTTTCGACTTGTTGCCAGTCCACAGGCTAGCCTCCTCTCCGTCTACGACCAGGTCGCATTTCGGCTGGTTGCGACTATAGAGGGGCCTGGGGCAATCAGGACCGCGGCCATGATCTGCCTCCCGTCGATCCCAGTGCGGCTGTCTCAGAGCGAATGTCTGCTCGAGAGCGCGAATTACTGGTGCTCCGCTTGGTCGGATTGCAAGCAAGGCTTGAGGACACCAAGTGTCGACACGATGAATACTTACGGAAAGGCACTCCAAAGCCTCCAGCTTGCTCTCAACGGGCCGCGAGTCCTCAGCCCAGAGACCTTGGCTGCCGCTACAATGATCCACCAAACCGGAGAGGCCTTCTTCCTCAACATGAGTTGGTCTGGCTGGAAGCTACACTCCGATGGCGTAGCCCAGCTGTTGATCCGGAAAGGGCTGCCCAACTTGGGAGACAAACTGGACGTCATGGCGACATTAACAAATCAGGCGCTAATGGTATGTCGTTGAGTTGTCCCCGGCTTACCTTTCCTATCCTAGCTAACATATATCCGCTCCTTAGGCAGGGTACGAACTTCAGTTTCCTGGTGAAACCCCTTTCAGCAGCGCGCCGTGGAAAGAAGCGTTGGAACAGATGCGGCGTATTAGTCTGGCTGATCAAGGCTTAGGACAAGACGGGCTATGGGTCCCAATGACTGAACTCTTGGAACAATCCTTCTATAAAAGAGTGGAATGGGCAACAGTCATCAAGTCAGCCCATGCTGATCCCATCTCGTACACTGACAGATCCGAAGAAATCTCAACCCACATGTGGCAGGCCTTGGACGAGCTCGAGGCCGGGTTGCCGGAATACTGGGCTTACATTCGAAAGAATGTCGGAGATTTCGGAGAAGTGGCTGATCCTGACTTCTTCGTGGGGAAGAAATACTGGGTGGCGCCTGGTCCGAAGAGCCGCGTGGTGACGGAGTACATCTTCAATATCTTCTACATCCAGCTCATGGTGTCCCGCATGCTCTACGATCTCGGCGTCCTGTACGACGAATCTTGGCTTGACGCCATCAGGGCGAAGCACCGGGAACTGAGTGCTCAAGCATGGATGCTCATCCCACACATGATGCAGATAAGTCCCTTTGAATTACAGGAATTCATGCCCATATTCTACTTGTCATTCGAAGGGGCCGATGATATAGAGCAGAAAAATATTCTCGACGTGGCTGAGCACATTGACACACCCATGCGCCGATTCGGCCAGCACCGGGATGAGCTGCGGTGCGGCTTACTCTCGAACGCAAAATTTATGACGGGCAAGCCATGAAAGACTGGGCTTAATATCGCGGCATTTCTTCATGTATCAAGAACGTATTGCACTGGTTTTTATAAGATACAGCTTCACAGCGGAACCTCATCCTAGAACCAGATAGAACACAGGGGGATTTCACCTCAAAATTGTGTCACGCAGTATTGAGAGGAATCATCCCATCTTCTCGGTCTTCAGTCCAGATGCACCCCTTTCTCAATATGCAGAGCGCCCTTCTAGTTTATTGACGATCTCCCTAGCCAATAACCGCCCAGTCTGCTCGCTTGGATGCAACTCGTCCCACCACATATAGCTATCCCTTTCTTCCAAAGTACAATCTCCCCTATTTCAACGGGTCAGTTGCTACCTCTGACATGAGACAGGGCATCGAAATATCTTACACTCCGCAGTAACGCCAATCAGTTGCATTGGGGCACTGGTGACAATGGCCCGTCACGTTGGCCGGCGCAGTGCCGTTGAAATATTGATCCGGATTGAGGTATATCTCCTCGAAGAATCTATACGTGTCGAAATATTCTATTCGTGCGTCTCTCTTCTGAGAAAAGCTCCTGACTCCCACCTGTAGGAGGGCATTCAGCGCGTTGGCGTATTGGAACATCTAATCAATCGTCAGAATACGCAGCCACCCAGCCGTATAATTCTTCTAGACTTGCCTGTCTGTGCCACGAAGCTCCGTCATGCGGCTCCGGCCAGTAAATCACGGGATCATCGACGGCCGAGTATAGCTTCGTCAAATGCAGAGGAATCGTTGACAAGAGGAGGAAGTTGCGCACCCCATAGTCATAGAGCTTCTGGAGAGAACCAAGCTGGCAATCCGCCAGATCCAACATCGTCGTGGCATTGTCGTTTCCGGCGGCGATTGGTGGGACTGCCGGGGTGAGTGGAGGAATGTTGGGCCAATAAGTTCTGCCTTCCGTGGCGTTGGGTGCCAGCAGAGAATGCAATCCGAGATCATTCGTGCCGACCCAGATTATGGCGAGTGTATTTGCGCCTGGGATATCCAACTTTGGTGGGATATGTCCTGTTCCATTGGAAAGCACGTGGTCCTCCACGAACCAGGCGAGCTGGCCGCCAGAAACTGCGGGAACGTTGAAGCCTGGTGTGAGGTCATTGTTACAAACCGCGCCTCCGACTGCATAGTTTTCATATGGCAGGTCGCTGTAGAACTATACAATTGGTTAATAGAGAGCTCAACACAAGTTGAAACGTTGTCTTCCAGAGTACACACTCCAAAATACCTAGGGATTTCATATCAATAACAACTCCCATATTGGTCCAAACAACGCGCGGCACTTACCGAGGCCAGGAAACACGGCCCTCCGCGGCAGGATCATCCGGGGGGTAGATGGTCTTGTAGTATTTCCCGGGGTATGTGCCATTGCCAATCGAATGTGCCCTGGACTGGTCCGTGAAAGAGTCTCCGAAGAATACTACATGTTCTAGACTTTTCCGCCATGAAGCTGATCCATAAACCTTGGGCCATAATGCGGCCATGGCAGCCAGGTATACAAATTCTGGTCGCATTTTCGTGATCTAATCCCACAAACTCGCTGTCGCCTCGCCTTTCGAAGCTGTAGGCTCATCTGACACTTACGATCGATGCTGGAAGACTTCGACGCCAAGAAGACAAAGCAAGATATAAGTACTCCCATCCATCATGAGTCAATATTCCAAAGGGTGCCTGGGATTAATAGCACGTCGTTGCGACGAGGGACGGAAAAACTATGACAAGCTCAACCCTTTTCCCGATCAGCCTAAATGTACTACCAATAGAGGCCACATACTGGCTACGGAACAGCGTGGTAGCCCCGGATAATACTCAAAGAAAGGGCAATACCTGGGCCCTTCCGGCATCTCATACCCATGAAACCGCTTCACAAAGGGAGCGGGGGTCAGGAATGGGCGCGAGTTGTATCCGCCACAGTGTATGATGAGCCCACCGATCAGGACCCAGCGCTTGACAATATTAAAACTATGGATGATCTGGCTCCGTATGTTTCCAAGATCAAACTTCACAGGAGTTTGCATTGTTTTCAGTTTTAATAGCCCACGCGAGACAGGTCACGGGGAGCAGATTGTGCCGGAGATGAAGCAGAGAAAACTTAAATTCACATTCTTTCAAATTGAAATTCCACGATAATTTGTCAAAAAAACATTCTTTCAACATGGACCGGTCAAGTACATTGGTCCAAGATCCAAAACTTCCATAGCGTCAGAACCTATGCACCGAGTTATGACCCATATGCCAGTACAGCCTTGAACGCCCTGCTCCGCATCAAGGGTCGGAAGATCGTGATTCACCACCCGATTCGGGGGTAGCCTTGGAACATAGATACTAGGCGTTCCGATGCCAAGTTCCAAAGGAAATGTTGCCACGGAAGTAACATCCAAGATTCTTCGCCCAGCGGTCAATTTTTGATTGAGCGTGGTATGCAGCTGCAACAAAGTGTAGTTAGTGAAAGAGGCTTGATATGGTGGCCAATTCAGACATACCTCAATTCCCATAGGTCCCTTGACATGCTTGTATACTACTAGGTGAGATAGACGTTCGTTACGGCTGATGTCTAAACGCAGCACAGAGCTATGTCCATTCTTTGTGCCGTAGGTGCTGACGGAGGAATCCGCATACTGAAACTCAATACCAACCAGCGCATAAAAATTGACCGTTACCTGTACCTGTTGAACAGGTATCTTCTTTCCATCCTGATCAACATTCTGGAAGAAGAGCAGTCCTCGGACATGGTAATAAGTCATCCTGATTTCATCCCTTGCTGCAGGGTTTTCGAACTTAGGATTGTTGAAATCGAAGTAGATGCGAGTATCGCCCGCAGATGAATCTCTAGGTCGAAAGTTTCGCTTGCTGTGTGCTAAGCAAAGATGGCCGTCTCCCAGTGCGAGCGTGGGCTGAAGACTAATCTGTACTTCATCCATATAGGAGTTGAATATCCAAGTGATGTTCCGCTATTCGCTCACTGTGTTAGATTCAAGGCATCAGACGCAAATATACGATGGGGGGAAAATCACCAAGTCTTCATAATGAGTCGAATAGTGGCGCACATGCGTCTCTTGTAGTGGTACCGCCTTGTCTGGCCGCACTTCGAAGCGTCGTCCAAGAGACGTGAGTAATCCGATACCAGTCACCGTGCCAAAGTCAGCTGATTCTCGATAGTTCTCACGGCCGGTATTCATCCAGAGGGAGAATTCGACAACTCGTTCACTCTCCTGGAGGCTAAAGACGTCCACCTCCTTCATCCACTGTCCCACTACTGCGCTCTGTTTACCGTGGTGATATTCGAGCAGGAGTCCAGAAACGTTGCCGCCAGTACGTGAGCGACCTTCTGCGCCCTGCGAGACATGGACAATCCGAAGATTCTCTAGAGAAGCGATATTACCGCAGGAGCCATGACCGTGTAGCATCCATCCAATATCAGTAACCAGATCGGGTGTAATACAAGGCGCGCTTGTGGATTCAATAGGCATGCGATAGCTTTGCTGTCCAGGTTGCTCAACGTGAATCTTTTCGGCTTTTAGATCCTCAAAGGCCCAGATAGGATACTGTACTCATTCGTTAGTGGGAACAGGGCTAGCTCAACTTGGATTCAGACCGCACTCACAGATACTCGACCAACTAATGCTATTATTCGACAGTCTTCAGAAGGGGCTTGGGGACTGATTTCCGGTCCGGATATACCGGCATCCCCAGTCAACGCTCCGAAAGTATACTGTCGGCCAAAATTCGTCCTGACCTAACCCAGAATAGCCAACGTTAGAAGCGCTGATAGGATATGTTCAAGGTTGATCTTACCTGAATCCTCTCAACAATGTGGCCATTGCCGAGTCCCGAATCCCCACGAGAGGCATCAAAAGAATTGATACGCTCCCCCGCTTCTCCATTGACTAAGAAGGTCTGCTCAACGCATGACTTAAACATGCCCAGGTTCAGGAGCGTTTCGTGTTGACCAAACCAAAACTCTTGGCCATCAGCATAGGTGAAGAGAAATCCAAAAAACCCCGATTTCCCATGCATAAACGCCGTAATCCTGCAAAGTGAGGATAAACGTGACCCATCCTCTCCAGCGAAGGGCATGTATAGATTGACAGAGAACCGGTTTTCCGTCTGTGGTGCGAGTTCCAATGGTGGAAGAAGCTGTGTGACTTCGGTATCCGGGAGCGAGGGGCTCCATGCGCTGATGGGAGCAATGAGTGAGCTGTTGACGACCTGCTGTTCAAGCAACTGAATAGAAACAGCTTTGTATAACTAGATTCGCGGGAAAGTTAGAGGACTCTTTCAAACGTTCATGGATATGGGATATTACATCAAACCCGACTATGATGCCTGCGATACCACTCTGAGCTGTCAGTCTTGCCATGCCGACGGTGTTGGAGGAGCAATGCTCATCGCCCACATGCTCAGTGTTAGTTGAATGAGTGAATGAAAATCTCAAGCCGTGGATACCCGAAGGGGAAAAGTATACATCAATCGAGGAGATCGTACTCTCGGGCAACAAACCAATTGAGGTTACATTAGATGGAATCATTAAACCGGCTTCCTGAACGACTTGTTCGCCGTCTCCATTCGCCCGGCTGGTGGTTCGTATGCCAGAAATGTATGTCGCTGAGTCGAGACGAATGACCGATACTTGTACAAGGAGCGCATCCTGTAACATGAATTGTTGCTGCTCTCGTGATCGAGCACCAAACCTTAGGTTCAGGCCCCTAGATGGATCAGGTAATAGGAACCCGTATCGGCCACGTAATTGCTCGGTCCCAAATCGATCAGGCAATTCGGGACACCTGATTTTCTGCCCCAGGAAGCAGGCATTGTCAATAACCTCGCTGGGCTGCTTCTTGCGGTGATGCGTGATAAGCGCGTCCAGGGTGATGGCAAACCCTTCGAGACATCGCCAGATCCGTCCACGGTTAAGAAAGGCGAGATGGCCCCTTTCTAAGGCTTCCTGATGGTTCATTTCTGTGGAGGCCATCTGGTGGCTCCCTTCTTTCAAGGTTTTCTTGCAGTCCAGATAAGTATGAAGCCATCTATCCGCACCATTTTGCGGGAGCAACTCGGCGAAAACAAAGCCCATTTCTCGGTCAGGCGAAAACCGAGAAGCCCAAAAGCCTTGGGGGAGGTTATTCATATGGCCCATGACCGCTAAGTGGCGAGAGCTAAGACGTGCGGCGCATGCATCCTTGAATGGTAGCAGAGTGAAGATGTCAAAAATCACTTCCAGAGGCAGCTTCGTGAAAGGGTCGCCCGGTCGCGTTGTTTGCTTGATTAGGGACTGCTCTTTGAATTCGTGTGAGGACGTCGCTGTCTGTGGGCCATCGTTGGCAAGAGGCAGATACTGCGACGGATCCGCCAACAGTAAGTCTGGCCTATCTGGTAAAGCCGCGTCTTGACGCAACTTGATGGCGCCATAGTAGCGGTGCTGAGGGATCAAATCTCCGGTCTTTGTCCAGGGGACCGAATTGAGAACATGGAAAAGCCAAGTTCCAACTTGGTTACAGTCGGGCTTGTTCTCCTCGGCACCGATTTTCGTCAAGAGCATTTGCCAACAAACCTCGTGAAAGGCAAACGGCCTGTCGGTACCAGGGCGAACCTGGACGTCGTAGTCTGCCAATCCACCGTTGCCGGCAGTTTCTTTGTAGCTGGCAGTGTGATCTGCGGGGGCTACCAGCTTGGAGGAGGAGGTCATGTAACCGAGGCCTGTCAGAACCGGCTCCTCGGGGCTGCGAGGATCTTGGGGGCCGCGAACTGAAATTTGGCGGCATGTATTAGTCGGGGATCCAAAATGAAGGGATCGATAACCTACCCAAGCGAGCCAACGCTGCCCAGTGCGGGTGTTCCAAAGCCGCCGGGTTATTATTAGGAATCGGGCAATAGGGGCCTCCGCAGAGGGAGCAATATGAATCAACCATGATCAAGGAACTCACGGTACGCTTTTCAATTGCAAGGAAACGTGGAGCCACAAGCTGGGCTGGGAAGGGGGTCGTCTGTGTGGGAGTGTGTTGCTGATTTTGCGAGGATGGAGGAGGATGGAGGAGGAAGGAGCAAGACAGAGGGGTTCCGGTCGGGCGCCCAAATTTATGCAAAACGAGAACTGTGGCTGCCTGATTCTTAAGGGGTTTCTGCCCTTGGTGGTACAAGAAAGTGCACTGAAATACGCAGTGTCACATTATTCAATACTCGCGAATCAGAGGGTGCATGCCATGAGATCAGTCACAATTGGTTGTATAGTATGTCGGAAAATGGAGCCGTTATCGCCCGCCCTCATTTGCTGGACGGTGCCGCTGACGTGGATGAAACAGTAGAGTCTACCCCTCTTGTGATCCGTGACTGTTGCTGAGAATGTTCTCCTCCGAGCGAGCGATCGCTTGCATTCTATGTAAAAAGCCGATCCTCAGACCCTTTTAATCAGCATATATGACGGATTGTTGATTTCCTCCACTGCGCCAGGTTTGCTGGCCTGCATCACGCAACATGATGCTTCAAGGCTCCGGTCCGGCTCGTGTCTCATCTCAGCCCCGATGGACCGTTCTGAGCTCATGAGGGAGCCGAGCCAGGTCGGCTATCTAGTCCCATGTCGTCTATAAATTTGTTGTTGTGACAGCCAAAATTGACTCCCGCATAGCCTAGGAGGCTCCTTCTTTCGGTCCGGTCGTAGCGTCCTATGTTTGAGATGTTGTTAGTTCTTTTCTATTGTTCCGCTTCGACCTGCCTTTGGGTAGAAAGAGCCGTCATATGAGAACGGCCGACCCAGCCATCGCCTTATGCCACGCACCTTCGGAATCGCTGTGCATCGAAGAATTCCGAAAATCATGAGACGAATTCCTCCGGAGAATATAACTATGGGCCTAGCCCTTCTAGTCCGCGGGAGGTGTGCGGCCCGGAGCATAGGGACCGGAATAAAGAAGAGGTAGAGGCGAGATAATAAGTTGAGGACCAATGAGACGTACACTTTAAGCTTGACAACAAAGCCCAGTATTGTGGTTGCTCATCTCATTCATAGAGTAATTGTTTCCTATATCTATTATCTTTCGGTTTTTTCTTTCATCTTGGGTATATTTTGATCATCTTCCGTGATAACTAACCCTTGTCGGTCAACGTGTCAACGTGAGCGCCGACACTGTAATCGAGCCTTCGCCTATAAATTCATCCAATGAATAGCATCATCATGAGAACTTGATAGACAGCTCTAAGCCAAATGACGACAGCATGTCTTGTGACCTTTCATGCGAAAAAATAGGATTGCGACACAAAACTCGATTTCATAGCAAGCGGAGTGCACGTCCTAATTTCACGAAACACGACATGACATACTTTAGTTCCAAAATCGTATTATATTGTAGTTGTTGAAATGATATTACGCTAAAATAAAAAAACATCAATCATAAATATGTCGCACGTCACATATGCCATCTACTGCCTGATAATGAAAGACTTCCACTCCGGGTTTGCAGCATCACATCCTCCAAGGGTGGCCTGGAATGGTTCTCCGTAACAGTCCTCTTCAACGAAAATGAAGACTACAATATTGTTAATAAAAAATACGCGACATCAATTCCGAGCAATTTGGAATGAAGACTTACGCTTGAAGTTGTCTGAAATATCACCGAGGCCGATACCATAGACAGAAGGGCCGGTTGGGTCATTCAAGTGCAGGCTTGTGCACTTGCTTGTGTCCGATTGAAGGACTGTCCAGATGCCATAGTTTTGCGTTCCGCTGCAGGTGGGTGAGCCCCAGAGACGGAAATCGGAGATATGGGGATCATTGCGCGCGCTGGGTCCTGCGGCTTGAGTGCCGGCGACGAAGACGGAGGCAGAGGCGGCGATCGTAGCGAAACGCATTTTGAAGTATGTGTGTCTTTGGGTCGTAAAGATCTAAAATTATGTGACTGTCGAGAATGATGTAAAATATATAGGAGCTGATGATAACTAGGGGAAATTGTTGCCCTGGAGAGATGTGGGTTAATATATCAAGACCAGTACAACAAAAGAACAGTCACGGCAAAGTCGGATCGGTAAGCATGGACTATGTCTCGTATTGGGACCCTCATAACAGTCATGTGAAGTGTCTTCGCATGATTCGGTGGATGTGACGGCCTTTCAGAACATGTAGGCGTCGTGGATCAATACCCGTGGAGCCGAGCTGGTGTAGATCAGCGGGGGCTGACGTGTCTGCCGTCAGGCTTGTGGAGAAGTGAGATCTGGATCGGATCAGTGGCTGCTCACAAGACTTGTGGGCGGTGTAAAATACGAAGCTTGAGGGTCCTGTCGTCATGATCTACATTGCCCGCGTCCCGCTTTTGAGAGACCCCGATGTAGAGTGTTCCGACGGGCTTACTCACATTTGACCGATATTCCTAGTGAATAACTGGTGAACGGAACGCGGCAAGTTATCGAACTTAAAGTGTCATCTATCTTCCTTATTGTCGCTATTTTGAGCAAGGTGTATTGAACATACGCAAGTGACAGTAAATAAGCCTTAGACATTGACCTAAATCCTCAATTGTCCATTGTCATCGATTGTTGGAAAATACTCCCCCTACTTCGATCCCAATATCTGAGCCATCTCATCCGGTGCAAAATGTAGAAGACGAGGGAGACGACCCCCACTGTAGGAATAAAAAACCGAGACACATTTCGCAATGAAGGAGATACTGGTGGTGTGGGAGGTCGTCATCCACCCATGCCACAACCCGTCTATCTCAAAGCTGAACTCGGTAGTTGGAACTCCAACGGATCCTCGTATAGCATCAATCCTTTCAAAGTCCCACATCATATCGTTAAAAAATCCTCCTGTTTCGTCATCCGGCGTTAGGTGAGATAGATAAATCTCTCCATTCTTGGAAACGTGAATACATAACATAAACCCGTCAAGAAGGGCAACGTGGTGAATATAGGATCCGCCCGAATCGCTCCCGCTGCTGAAACAGCTCTCAACAATTTTAGACTTTTGCGAATCAAACTTTTCATCTTCACATTTCGCATTGACTTTTTGCAGAGCGCTCGTAATTCCAAGCAGGGCATTGTTAGACCGCTGCTGCAACGTGACAAACGCATCAACGCCGGAAGGACCGGAATCAATATAGTTGAAATCCCAGATGATTCTGTGGATGACCGCACGATGAGTGGCTACTTCTTCTGTTTCAGGCAATATATATTAGTCCAATTCTTTCTGGCTCATCGTTAGCTCAAGGTTGTGCATACCATTACGTGTCAGAGCATCAACGAAGCTGAATCCAAGCTCGTGAAGGAGATTCACACAGAGCGGTTCGATGGTCTGCAAAGCCACTCGCCCCTCTGTTTCGAGCGCCGAGTCCGCTTGACGCAGTGCGGCGATTTTGCGAGTCCCAACGTTGCTCTGTTCAAGATTGCTGATCACCATCCGGGCTTTAGCCTGAATTTCTTGAAAGGGTTTCATAACGAAATTCATTACGTTGGTCATTTCGGAAGAGTCTCGGATTTGTGTGGCGACCCTTCCTTCAAATCCCAAGAATTCCTCACTTCTTGTTGTTTCCTCGTCGTTTATAATCTCGAGTCCGTCAATGCCGAGGGGAATTGAAGCCAACGCCAGGGGCTGGAGGTGTCTAGAAATATGGCGGTAATATCCTTTCGTCGTCTCGGCGTTTAGATCTGCTTTCCATTCCGAACAGAAAGGGCAAGATGAGGTGTCCAATGTGTGATTCTTCTGCTCGCATGCTTGGAGAAGCAGAGGGATCTGCAATTCCGTCATGTTTGCAGCATGCTTCAACTTAATGTGGTCAACCATCTCGGATTCATTGACGTACATGGTAGGGTTTGCAGTGAAGCAAAAACGACAAGAGTAATGCCGTCCGTGAAACGTTGTTTCGTGCTCGTACCACTCCCGTCGCGTTTCAAAGAGCTTGAAGGAACAATCCTCGAAGAGGCACACATATGGTTCAAGATCCTGGAATACGTGCTTCCTACGAATTATCAATATGTTAGCAACAGTGAAGTGGTCCTCGGGCGTCACTAAGAGATATGCTCACTTCCATTCGTGTCGATTCAGAGGTTTCTGCACCGTTCGACAGTATGGGCATTCAATGTGCTGTCCGTAATCCAACCTAATCCCATCCAGGATCATATTCGACAAGTCCGGGACACGGAGTTCAGCGGTATTTGCTTCCGCGGACACGTGTGAGGTACCTGCTGAAAGGATTGACTTGTTTTCATGGCTCTTGTTGCCAGATTCCACGCTATTTTCTTGGAATAATGATTGGTTTTGATCACCATTCCAGTTTACCTCTTTAAAAGTAGTAGCAAGTGTCTGAGCGTCTTCATTGGGTGCGGAGAGATCGGACATTGTCTGTAGCTTTTGCCGATGAGTCTGTCGGTAACGAATTGATTCCCTCCTATATGAGATAGCTTCCCCTAAGCGCTGTGCCAGCCATGGTGTTAGTCTCAGCTTTGGAAATCTGTCTTCAACATAAGTGATGTCGGCCGTCTTGTCGAGTGAGACAAGCCTCCTTGAGTCTAAACGTCTGCCTTTCGGCCGATCCCGGCGAATCAGCATAGCAAGAGAGAACAGATTGCTGATGGATGAATGTAGGCCCGTTAACAATTCGTCAAGTGGTGAACTTTCTTCCGGGAATAAATCCCGGTATGCACCGTCCGAAATCGAATCGAATGCATTGGGGTGCTTCCCTATCATGATCTCGTTCACTGCATAATACACGTTAGACCGTACTGCGAGAGAGGCCATATAAAAATCAAGTTAACATACCGCGTTGAGCAGCATCCTCCAAACGCTCCAATCCACTGATGATACCGGCTTTCATTTTCGGCCCATCTCTAAGCCTATGCTCGAGAGACGAAAGTGATGTTGATTCATGAAAAGCACCCAGGTTGCCACTCCAAACACGGAAGCGGCCCAGCTCGTCTTCCAGAGTTTCCACTAGATTTTGTTTTGATTGGAGATCAAGATTGGCATGCTTCTCTTTAGCAACTGTGACTATCCCGGAAATGATCTTGTTGATACCCAATGCGATGACGTGTATTGGTGGTGACGACATGGAAGATTCATCCATGGCCGCGGTCTCAGGCAGAACCAATCGGTGATCCCTCGCACCAAAATTAAGGCAAAAAGGACTTGTAATCATGCGGAAGTAACTAGACCATCCAATACGTTTAGTTTCGTGTGCTGAAATACGATATTGGCGTCCTGGGGCAAAAGTGAGGGCTTGCAGCTGAGCCTGACAGGTATGTTGAAGTTGCTATTCCTAGAAGAAACTGCGCATCAGGTGGAGAAATCTAGTGACCAAATCACCAAACTCTTGTAGGAGCATATAGCGCATTATAGCATCTCAATGCACACGCCGAGCGAAGTTACGGCAGCATCAGCGTGGGGTCGATCCTTGCTCATGTACATGTATGTAAGAACAAGACTCGTCAATGTGAAAAATCAAGTGAGTTATCTGACATTATGGATAAATACAAAATTCGCGATTATTCAATAGCTGCAGGTAATCTCTACTCTGCCTCATTTCCCCACCTGATAACTCCGATCGCAGTCCAAGACAATGCAATCGACGACCAACCACTTTCTGCTCTGGAGTTGCTTTCTTCGACCATGTCCGGGATAGAGGTCGCAGGGCTTGCTGTTGGAGCATTCCCAATTTTGTTTGAGGCCTTCAAGGAGTTCCGGAAGGCGGCCAAACCCCTCAAACTTTGGTGGCGTTTTGAGGTAGAGTTCGATAATTTTCTTGCGGCGGTACAGAGAGAGCAAATCGCGTACTCGCAGAATCTCGAAATCTTGATAGATGCTCTAGATCTTTCGGAGCACGAGAAGACGACTTTGCAGAATGTGCCAGAATCAAATGTTTGGTACGAACCTCGAGTTCAATCAGCATTGCGGCGGCGACTGCAGAACCGGCACTATCCCTGGTTTATGGAACAGCTGAGAGACACAAATGTTGCCGTAGAGAAGCTTCTAGGGCTCCTCCCAATCGGAAAAGTAGGATCATGTCCTCCTAGACTCACCCGACTGACTTACAAAGGCTAACCCATGCGCAATTTTAAATTGCAGGCTTATTTGGTCGACTCGAAAAGCATCGAAGCAGAGATGTTTCGACTAAAGAGAAGTTTTTCAAGAGAAAAGGATGACCTTCTCGGCATTGTGAGAGACAGAAATGAGGCCATTTTCCACTTCCTGAACCGTGATTCCATGGTGAATCATGCGAAAACCCAGCCACTGGAGCAAATTGAAAATCCTCGTTTCCTTTCCCTTCAGACACAGGCAAGGGATATATATGTTTGCCTAAGACAGCATTGGACTTGCACTTGTCCTGAAATGCACCCTTGCGGCATCACTGTTTCGCGAAACCATATCAATGGGAACCCATTAGAGCTGAGTTTTATCTTCAGCGGAGAGGATACGCCTATTCTCAAGGTTCAGTTTGACGAAGTACAGCTGCCAACCATCAAAATTAGTGAACCCGAAGACGAAGATATAGCCAACCTCCGCAGCCAACTAACAATTAGAAGGCATAAAGCTAGAATAATCTCGGATAAGGGGACCAAGGGCATCCTCTCCTCAATTGGTCTTTTGGCATTGGACTCAGAAGCTCGGAGAAGTTCCTCATTCCAGGATCGGACGCTTGAAAGACGTACAAGTTTGCTAGAAAGGGGAAGGTCATTTTTGAGATCATCTCGCTATAAGAGCATAGATGCAGATATCCATGAGCCAACACCGGCAATACCAGAGAAGCGCCGAATAAGCGCGTAAGTTTTTGATTCCCCTTTAGCATTTATTCACCCGTTGACATGTCCTGCAGTCCCAGTTTCAAGGCCCATGATGCCGAATCCTTCCCAAAGGTTCGGTTCTTATGCGATGACTCCACGCCAAGTTTCCTAAAACCTGCCAACCCAATGGGTGATCTCTGCTCTATGCTCAAGACCCCTTCTGTCAATGATTTACCAGGATTTTGGAATGCTGGTCAAGACAAGAGGATTCTATTAACAATGGGTCCATACAATCAAGCCGAAGGGCGCAAAGATCAACTTACGTCCCTCGAGGAATTTTTGTTGTCAACCGCAAGACGAGATCACCGTGTTGAGCAAGCGTTGGGAGTACTTGTGACGATATTGTCCCTGGGACCTTTGCCTCTGGTCCCCATGGGATGGGACAAATCCAAGATCTTTCTACGATCTTCTCAGATCAAAATTGCAGAGCCCTATTTAAGTCACAGCTCATTGAAGCTCGCAGTCAACAGCGAGAGCCATCCTCGGCGGCCGGACGAGGTAGCCAAAACATACATGTTTGCCATTGGAGTGTTGCTACTTGAATTGCTCTTTCGGGAGACCCTTGAGCGGCAGCCGTTCAGAACTCAATTCCTTGGCCCGACCGGAGAACCAAACGAATACACAGACTTTTGCACTGCGATGCAGTGGCAGAAAAAGGTGATGGAAGAGTGTGGCACCGGACTAGCTGACGCAATACACCGTTGCATCGTGTGTTCGTTTGACAGCCCTCTGGATCTTTCAAGTCCTTCTTTTGTAAACTCGGTATGGCAGGGTGTCGGTAGGCCTGTCGAAGAATTCTTGAAGGCATGGGACCCGGCCGTGTGATCATGTGATTGGAACCGTGACCATTGGAGTTGGATCTTGAATCTACTATCGAAGAAGAAGGGTAGTTACAGACATTAACACCTAATATAGGATGAACGGCACGAACCCCGTCTCTTCTCGTCCATGTTCCAGTGTGTAGTAACCATCTCTTTCTCCTTGCTATGCACCGCGAACCACAATGCGAACCACGAAGCCGCGGGCATGATATGCAAGGCAAGCGAGTACGACCTTGCAACCAATACGCAGTCAGCATTGTTATGCACCCCTATTAGATGCATAGGACTGTTCACGAATCCAGATGGACTATCACCCTGACGTGTCCCGCCCGCACCAGTCCGGCACCCACGGTTACCATGGGTCACATCGGTTGCTCAGAGTAGCACCAGAGCCAGCAGCAGCTCCACCGCAATCCAATCTATCTGCTCTGATTCGCGGTGATGTCGAGGGCTTATCCCGCTCTTCCTGAGTGGCCTTCGCGATAGGTTCACATGCATGTCAGCTGATTTCGTCCGGATACATAAGGTGCTCTACCCCTCTCAACAGACATCCGGCCGAGACAAATCATCATTGTCCTGTTCCTAGCTAGCTAAGCTCGCTGAATCCTGGGCTTCCCTATCATACATTTAAGCCCCGTCACCATAGGCTACTCACTCTTTGTGAGCCAGCCTACTTGTGTTGTTGCGGAGTCCAGGACTACCCCGCGCTGCCTAACAAACTCAACGAAGCAGTGACCGTGCTCATGTGGAGAACAAATCGTTCTTGACTGGCACAGCCGACCACACACAAAGCACCTCTTGTTTCAGCATTGGGCAACAAGCCATCATGGGAGGTGGCAGATACCCTCGTCGCACCAAACTCCCGAGCACCCGTCCAAGTCCGAGCCAAATTGATCCACCCGCCCCCGAGCAGGCCATTGAGCAGTCTTGCAACGTAGGCCACCCTGCAGCTAACCAAGCTTTCCATATCAACATAATCATGAACTTCAATGAACCATCCCACCCCAAGATAGCCACGGCTGATGCTGGGATGGGGACGTTTCCAGCGCTCCAGCAACGAGAGTCGTCCCAATACTTCCCCATCCCCTCCCAGCCAAACCCTTCCACTCAAGCCTCCGTCTGGCAGCCGACTTCCGTGTACGCGAGAGCCGACGAGTATGGATCGCAGACCATAGTTGTGAATACTTCCATCGCCCCCCGGGACCTCGTCAATGTTCCCGCGAACCCGTACCCCGTCCCCGTCCCCCTCAACGACCCACCAGTCACACCCGTCTCCTCTCCAGCCCAAGCCTCGAGCTCAGCCTCGGCAGAGTCATCAAGTGCGAGTTCATCAAGCGCCGGCTCATCAACCGCCAGTCCGCCGCCCAGATACTCCTGCCGCAGAGGATGCGACAAGTCGTTCACGAGCCCCAAGGACGTCTCGAGGCACTACAAGTCGCGGGTGCACACCCCGCCAAAGCACCTCCAGCACTTCGTCTGCCGCTGCGGGTACGCGACCCCCCGCAAGGACCACCACCGCCGGCACCTCGACAAGACCTCGTGCATGTTCAGCCTGAAGTACTTCAGCTGCGTGTGCACCCATCCTCCTCTGCACCCCGACCGCGCGGGTCATCTCGAGCACATCAACGGCTGCAAGGCGGGGCGGGGCCAGCAGGGGCGCCCGCCAAGAATGATGCCCCGCCGATCTCTCGATTGAAGCCGTGGGTTTCTTTGCTCCAGCTAGGCGCATATAATGACTGATATGAATGGGATGATAGGAATTTTTCATTATGTTTTGGACACTCCAGATTGCAATTGATGTCTTGGACGGTGGCGGTTGAAAGCTGGGTATCATTTGATCTTCAACAACAATAGCCATGTTATTGACTTGCACTCGTTCACATGGTACTTTACGATAGTTACGTCTCCTATTCTAAATTGATGTGATTTCATTCGTCCTCTGCCATCAAGTTGAAACCATGTCCTCTATCAATCGTGCCCGGAGTAGTATCCCGTTCAACCCGCTAGATAGCCGAGAACAGTAAATGCTCCTTACTTGAGAACAACAATCTTTCTCAGCAGGCAGAGATCACAGGTAGAGGTTCCTCGCCCCGGCTCTCCCGCCAACGATTAGTCGACTCCATCAGACACGCACAGCCCTCCATGGCCCACCGCCACTTGCGTACGAACCCAGGAGTCACCTCCCAGTTCGCGGCGTTGTACGGCTCCCCCCATACGATGAGACCCTTGCGTGTCGTGGTGAGCTCGTCGTCTCCCTGCAGGGGACCGGATCCGAGATAATCGTCCGAGTACTTCTCGGACTGCGGCATGTAGTGCCTAGTGATGTCTAGGAGGTCGCCGACAAGGTCCCGGGCGAATTCGCGGGGGTCGAAGCCCCCCTCCCGCTTGATCAGGTTGTCGCGCATCCCGGGGATCGGGAGCGCGTCGATCCAGGTCGGGTGCTCGGCCGTCATCTGCAATTCTGTCGGCAGGAGGGACGGCGGGAGGGCCTCGCGCGTCGTCCTTGGCAGGATGACGGCCCGGGTCGGGTGGTCGTCCTTCTGGAACGTGACGCGGAGCTGGCTGTCGGCAAAGTACGTGACCAGACTCATGATGGCGACTTTGTTGTCGAAGATTCCGCGCAGGACATTGTACTGTATCAAGCTCAACAGGAGGTCCTGTCTGGGTGAAGGCGTCGACGAGAGAGACTCGTAGGCGGAGCGTAGAGCGTGATCGCAAGTCTCCTTGTCGTCCCGCGCGCTCGCCGAAACCTCCAGCCGGATCATGTTTGCGAGCTGGGCCAAGATTCTCTGGTTTTCAGCAGCGACGGGCCAGAGAGGCGGCGGGGCGGTGCTGCGGCCGCTGAGACGCCATCGCGTGATGTCAAACGGGCCCTGATTAAGGATTTTGGTACTTGAATCCTTTTCTCTCAGACGATGTCCTGCATTCATCAGCTTCTGGCACCCTGGGAAGGTATGTGGGAGCCGTACTGCGTGCTCTTTGGTTGGCCCTGTTCTGCAGCCTGCGATGCTGCTTCTTGTCCTCCCCCTTGTCGGGAGGCGTCATGGAGCGAAGCTTGCGTCGCGCGCGTCCAAGCTCGGCCCGGCCGGAGAAAAAAAATTACTAATCGTGCAATGCTTAAAATCAAAAGCGTGCCAAGGTCTTTGGGGGAAATGGATTGATTTGATACAGGCCGAAGCGGATTGCAGAACTGGGAGGCAACAGCTGGGAGGGAAGAGAGGCCAGCTTCGGCTCGTCGGAGGCAGAGAGCTGGTCAATCAGATCAGACCAATCGTTGGACACATCTGGAAAAGAAGCCTAACTGCATCAGGCAAAAAACTGTCATCAACCACTGCCGGGGTCGATTCAGCGCCTCTAGTGAGTCTAGTCCAGCGACTCCAGTGACTCTAGTGGATCTCATCGCTCTTCACCCTGCTGCAAATGGCAATTCCCCGTCATCACACTTGACGAACCATCCAGACCTCTCATCTCTCTGGTCCAGTCGCCAGAATATAAATACACAGCCATGGCTACAGAATGCCATCGCTCCTGGATCACTCTGCTTTCTTTCAATTCACCCTAACTGGAACCAAGTCACGCCCGCCATGGTCGCTCTGCCAATCGCCAAGGCTTCCAATGCCAAAGTGGCCACTGCCCTCCCGCAGGAAATGGTCGCAGTCTTTGTTGGTGCCACCAGCGGCATAGGCGAATTCGCCCTCAAAGCCTTCGCCCAGCATTCCAAGAAACCTCGCATCTACTTCGTTGGCCGCTCCCAAGAGGACGCAACTCGCATTATATCCGAGTGCCAGAAGCTCAACGCAAATGGCCAGTACACATTCCTCAGGGCCGACGTGAGCCTACTCAACAAGGTCGACGAAGTATGCCAGCAGATCTTGTCCAAGGAGACCTACATCAACCTTCTGTTCCAGACGCAAGGCTCCATACGCACTGATAGTACGTGACTCGCGCCCCCGGTTCTCAGCACCCAAGCTAACATCGGCTGCAGAAACTTCCGAGGGCCTCCCGATTTCCTACGCTCTCCCCGTTGCGTCCCGCATCCTGTTCGCCCTGAACCTCCTTCCGGCTATCCAGGAGGCAACCTCCCTCAAGCGAGTTGTCTCCGTCTTTGCCGCTGGCCATGAGGGGCCTTTCTCCGAGAGCGAATGGACAGAGTATGCGTCAACTCACGGCCTGATGAAGGCCCGAGCCCATGTCTCCTCCATGATCACCATGGCCCACAATGCCATGGCAAGACGGGCGCCAGACGTCGCCTTCGTGCACAACTATCCCGGCTCCGTAAAGACCAAGTTTGGGAGAGACGCGACGGGGGTGCTGGGCGGCGTCCTCAAGGTCGCCAACGTGGTTTTCCACGTCGTGCCTGACCGCCTGGTGTTCCAGGCCCCCTCGGTCTGTGGAGAGCATCAGCTCTACCTTGCTACGAGTGCCAGATTCCCACCTGCCAAGGGCGATGCCGCCGGGGTGGCTGTGTCGGACGGTGTGTCTGCGGCCAGGGGCAGCGATGGTCTGTCGGGGAGTGGCAGCTACAATGTCAACTACGATGGCGAGAATGTTTCCGCTGATGTCGACGCTCACCTTGCAAAGGCCAAGGCGGACGGTGCCGAGGACAGAATGTGGACGCACATATTGGAGGAGATCAAACGTATCACTGGCAAAGCTCGGGATTGACTAAACTAACACCTTTTGTTTCTCCGTACTCTCTTCTGGTTCTGTTTTTTTTTGTTTCAAGGGCTAGACCCCATTGTTTACCTGAACCTTTTCTGCGCAAAGCGCCAACAGTCGAACTAGGAAATTTTTGATACAAAGAAAACTTGTCGTGAGTGTACCTAGGCACTGTTGGTAATCTACCAAGTGAGCCCTGCACCCACTGCGCATCCGTAAATCCTCACCGGCTGCTTCCGGGACCCCCTAGCCCATCATTCATATTCATAGCCTCTTCTGATCGTGCTCGTCCCAAAGTGCAAGCTGCGCGTCCCTCTGCTTGGCCTCCTCGTCGCTGATCTGCTCGTCCAGCTGCGCGATCTGCCTGTCAAACTTCTTGATCTCCTCCCAAACATCCATGTAGCTCTTGACAGCTGCGGACTTGAATTCTCGCCCCTCCTCGGAGTCCCGCTGAGCCTCCGTGTACTGGCCCCGCCAGACCCTGGTGAAGGCTGTTTCGGCGGCCTCCATCTGCCTGTACTTCTGATCTCTCCTCTCGCGAAGGCCATTCCGCACCGAGCGCAGAGTCTCCTGCTGATCCTTGATCCTCTTCATCCGCAGGACCAGTTCGTTAATGCCGTCCATGATGGGCTTGAGGGGAAAATTGCTGCGGCAGAGTTGTGTGAAGTGGAAGAGTGATGGTTGTCTGGAATTGATCGGTATGCTTAGGAAATCGAGCTGCTCCTAGATGTTCTTCGGTGGTGACAGTGGTTTCTGGGTCCAGAAGTTGTACTGGGGAAGCACGGAGGATCTCTTTTATAGGTAAATATGGCGGTTGATTCGCGATGTTCGTGCCACAAAGATCTATCGGAAAGATTACCATAGCTGGTTCATCCCGTGTTTAGAGAAACTCCGTATCGCAGTAGGCGTACAAGTGAGTTGCGGAAACGTTGGACGACTCCTGTTGTACACGGAAAAAGCTAAAGGGACGCTGTGTACGTGAACTCTTTCCATCTCACTGGCTTCTTTTAGATTGTTCAAGTAGCACATTTACCGAGCAATCTGCATATCTCTACGTATTCGCTGTGTTGAGATGTCGGGTCTGGCATCTTCTATTGTTTGTTCAACTTTATACTCGAACTCTCCGTGTTCCGTATCTGCCCATCTCTAAAAGGCGGTGATTGCCTTGCGAGTATGTGTTTCCATGGCACAAAGCTAAGCAGTTCCAGCACGTGCTTAGGGGCTAGCACAACAAGAGAACAAAGACTTCACGTTGTAGATTTCGGGTGTTATCCGCTGCGACGTGCCACATGCCACGTGGTAGAGGGCCCGTACGCCCTGGGACACTCTGCGATGCCTGGACGATCAATCCAGTTTCGTTTCCTTACTATCCTTTTCTTCTACGCTCAGGTATTCCGTAAAACACATCAAGATACTGCTGACAGTGAACCATCACATGACGAGTTGGCGGTCTACGAAGACGGCCTAGTTGGTTGTGTATCTTGGGTAGGGGATCATTCTGTAGGCTTTACGGGTGACTTCAGGAGTGAGTCTCTTATTTCATTGCCTTTGTCCACGTCGCTATGGCATGATTAACAACACGAAAGAAACTAATTCTTTCTACTTCACTACAAAGAGGTGACTAGAGACCATGGCGATAAGACATCCGTCCTGTTCGTAACGAGGTCTACACTTCATGTTGCCAGTCAGAACCAGCCTTTTGTGGCTGAGACTCAAGAGAGCCAATTATTTCTTCTCGATCGTAGAGGTTTAAGGAACATCCGTAAATGCAAATTTTTGAACCCGCCATTTTTGGGGGGGTTTGGCACAATCAGGAGTTTGGCACAATCGCTTTAGGATATAGGCTAGTCCAGACCTGAATGGTGGTGTTGTTGGCTGGAAGTGCGAAGGCGTCCTGGTATTAATAGCACAAGGAGCCTCATGGCAAAGGTCCTTCGTTCTAAGTTGCTGTACGGATCCCACAAATACCGGGAGGGCTGATGTTCCAGACTTGAGAGGACAAATCAATTAAATAAAGCCCGTGCCCTTGACGAATCCATGCAATTCCATTGGGTCATTGATTGATCGGTCCCGAGCGAAGCACGGGACATCTGGCCCCCATCGTAGGGCTCCTCTCATCCTACCTAATTATAGCCATGGATCCTCCCATTATGATTGACACTTTGCCGGCAACACCTTTCTTGATTAAGTGGTTCATCTTGGGCCTTCGGTGGAGCGATCGATAAGGTATGGCAAATCTGGGTTGCCCATGACCCGAGTGCGATTTGTAACGCCTCTCCATGCCGTGCATTGAAGGCATTCGCCCAACCCCTGTTCCTACTCTTGCTGGTCCTTCGCCTTGGCGGGCGTGATGTAGGGCATATTATTCGCTCTTCTACGGTAGGAACCGGCTGCGTCCCTGTATTGTCCAGCCCTCGTCTGATTCTCATTGGTCTTCGTTGTTGGTCCGAGAAATCGAGGGATGGAATGGCTTTGGTAGGAGCGGACAGAAAAATAGAACGTCTTGGTCCCAATGAGCCAATCTAGGCCACGAGATCTGCTTTTCATAATAATGCTAGATACGAGAAGTAATACATATTTAGGATCGCCCTCTGTGCTCTGTGATGTTTACACAAGTATCAACCAAGCTTCTCTCCTTTCTTTAGTCTTTCCTTATTCTCATTCTACTCCTTTCTCTTCCTTATTCGGTTTCATCTACTTTTAACTCTTCTTGTTCTTCTTCTTCTCTATTTACTCTTCGATTTCTGTCTTTTTCTATTCTTTTTTGGGGTTGTATTTCTCTATCGTCTACATCAAGATGCGTTTCCTGCAACTTACCTCGATCGTTGGTCTTCTGATGCAGACCCAGCAAACGCTCTGCTTCACGAACCCAATCCGAGAGAATGCTGCAGACCCTGATATCTTCTATACCGATGGCCACTATCACATGTATGTCAACACTTCAACTTACAACCCAAACGCTAACAGTATAATTATCCAGGACTTACACATCTGGCGACCGTATCGAGATCACCCGCGCCTCTGTCATCGAAGAGCTCCGAAGGGGAGAGACCAAGGTCATCTGGACGGACAGCAACGAGGGCAGGAACGATGCCATGTGGGCTCCCGAGATCCACCGGGTCGACGGCGTGTGGTACATGTTCTACTCCAGCCGCGCCATGGACGACAAGAACAGCCTCCGAACCCGCGTCCTGCGCGGCTGCGACGGCCCTAACCCGTTTGACTGCGACTACAGCTTCCAGGCGGACCTTGTTCCTCCCCCGGGGAAGCGCGGGGGGAAGGACGGCAATGACGCGTGGAGCATCGACGGCTCCTACATTGTCATTCCCGGGAAGGGGCGATTCCATCTGGTCAGCATGAAGGACAAGAACGGCGTGGCTGCCATTGCCATCGCCAAGCTGGACACGAGGAACTGGACCGTGGATCAGTGGCATGTCATCTCCTCGCCCGACCAGGCATGGGAAAAGAAGATGGGCGGTGGGAAGTCTGGGCTGGGAATTAACGAGGCACCTTTCGTGAGTACCTCTTTCGTTTATGAAAAGGGAGGGCGGACAGAGCCCGCGGTGGACATGCACTAACCTTTCGTCTCAACAGCCACTCTACCATGGCGACGACATCTGGATCACCTTTTCTGCCTCGCACTGCAAGGACGCCGGGTATTCTCTCGGCCTGCTCAAATATAACGGTGGCGATCCTCTCCAGAAATCCTCCTGGGACAAGTCGGGACCTGTCGTCTCTGCTGCCGGTGGAAACTATGGCGTCGGTCATAATGCATTCTTCCCCTCGCCCGACGGAAAGCAAGTTTGGGTAGGCCTCCACCATTAGACAAATCGCAGATTGGAGTGTTGGAAAGGCTGACCAAGATGTGTTCAACAGAATCTCTTCCATGCCACTAAAAAGTCGGAAGGAAGCTGCGGTTCCGACCGCTTCGCGATGATCCAGCAGGTCATCTTCGATAAGGACAGCAACCCCAGCTTTGACCAGCCCAGAGCACTTGATGCTGAGATGGCTCCCCCGAGTGGACAGTAGCGCTGGTGCTCAATGCATGTTGTTGCGTCATGTACTGATGAAGTCACTTTTTTTCTCCTTCTTCTCCTCCTTTCCTCTGCCTATATTTTTCATCTACTTTATTGCATTTAATCTTTTTTTGAACTTGTTGGATATTTATGCCCGGAGGCGGCAACGTTAGAGGCTATGGGAAGGTAGGCGTGTGTGAAAACAGGCCAAGATGTCCTACCCTACCCAAGACGGGACTTTAAAGATGGCACCATGGGCGCCGACTCGTATTCCGGAAGATGATCACACCAAATAACTCAATAAGAGTAACGGGTTGGGAAGCCATTGAATGATGATTTGTTATCTTCCCCTTCTTACAGTTATGAATGTCAACTCAACAACACCAGGCTCACTGGCCTTTCCAAGTAGACTAATGATCTCGCAGGGGCTTCTCAGTTGCCAGATCAACCGCCTCTTTCGCATCAAAGATACGGGAGAGAGAGTTCGGGTATAAAGTTAAACAACAATAGAAGATGCCAGACCCGACATCTCGACACAATGAATACGAAAGTTTAAAAAAAGCTTTATCCGCATCAAAGATAGTGAGCCTAGGAAGGGTTTCTGTTAATCTGCTGGTAGAAGCGCGGGGGGTCTCTGTTGGGCATTGGACGTTGGATACCTGTACGCCTCCACTTCTGTCTGTAGTGCCTCAACTGCTCTATTTCAGTCATGAATGGCGGGCGCTCAGTGCTTATCGTTTTCCAGCCCAACTTGCTGAGCGTAAGCCGGTCCCGGTCTGCAGGAGTGCCGTCTGCGATTTCTCGAGCAACCGGACTGATCTGGTGCCACCGCAACCGAGTCTCGGGGAGAAAGGTCAGAGTCACAACGTAAAAGTCGATGACACCCTCGAGTATCTCATCGCGCACCCATCTTAGGCGTTCCCACCGGCTCGTGCCTCTCCAACGACTTTCCTGTTGCTGAGAGGCATAGAGAGCCACACCGTCCGTCCTGCGGAAGGACCACTTCTCCATCATTTGCCTCGCGATCTCATCTACCTGGTGTCTCTTTCTATCGACCGACTCGAGCTCGATGTTCAGCTCGCGGACACTGGGTGGCATGACCTGGGAGACCCCCTCAAGCCATGTCCCATTGAAGGTGAGCGGCTGATCATGCTCCCAGTTCCACCAGTCGGTGTGTCGGATGGTCAACGTCACAACAGAAGGGTTAAGCTCTGGGACGGCCAGCACCTTGGACAGAGCGCCTTCTTCGAGCATGCACATCTGAGCAAACACACGAAGATTGGCGATCAGAACCGGCTTCTGCTCCCGCTCCCTCATGCTCTGGAGGGTGAGTTCCAGCCTCGTCAATTGCCGGGAGAAATCGTAGCCTGGCGGGGCACGATTTTTATTCGCAACGGCGTAATGGACCTGCTCGTAGAGGCGAAAGGGGAGGAACCAGCACTCTTTATAGATGGCCTTGCATGTCAGGACCAGGGCCGTTTCGGTTTTCTGGGGGGCGAAATACGACGGGCGGGTGTAGCAGGACCACGACTCGTAGGCTTTTTTGGGATCCGGGTTTGGATAGGCGCTCAATGCGTAGCAGAATATATTGAACCGGACCTCTGCGGGTAATTTCTTGAATAGGAGCGAAGACGGCTGCGGGTCGATGCGCGTGCTCAGGATGCGCTGGTGCACAGGGCGATATGGATACGGCGAGACGCTGGACATTTTGTCGGTGTTGCTTCTTGTCTGAACCAGTGTGTAGAGGGGGCACGACTTGTGTCGGGGGGCGGGCAGTGAGATATAAGCAGTTGTTCAGCGCGTCGGTACAATCCAAGCCAGTAACAGGGAACAATGCGTCGGTAACAACAACACAATCATTGCAACGGTGATGTAACAAGCATGCTGCAGGCGCCTTCGGCACAGCCTATTCGCCCTAATTTGTCGCGTTCAGAAGTTCCACCCCCATGAAGTCAGTTGGTCACAGGGTGGACATAGCGAACGGCAATGATTCGGATTCTCTCACTTCCTCACAGCCAGTAGATGCTCCGCCCTGCTAAGCTGAGATCTGCCCGAGGAGACCACGTAACGGCATCTTGTTGGGAGGGTCCAGGCAAATCGCACAAGCTGAATGCAGGAGTGTCGCCTCACGCGTGGTAAATACTGAGCCCTTACGCGGGGTAAACCAACCTCCATTCTATTTAACTTCCTAGGCGCAGGGCTGACTGGCCAACGGAGTCACGCCATCCCCAATCCAAATGCTGCCCTTGGCGCCGACTTGACATGGTGAGCGTCGCTTTGGGGGCGTACGTTGCCTCTCCGGTCCAGTAACTCTGTCGTCTTCCGTTTTCATGAAAAGTTCCACGTAAAGCCGACGGACAACTCCGCCGCTGTTACTTTCGTCGGGTGGAACGCGTCGTGCTGTTGTTGGTCGCCGAATGTGTAATTGTGCGTGAGCAGGGGTACAGGTCCGTGATTAGTGGTAGGGTGATCCGCGAGTTGAGACTGAGCAATTGGCACCACTTTCATACCAAAGAGCTAAATTGTCGGGCTCTCTCTAATCATTAAACGGCGATTTGGGGCGGTTATTTGAATGCGAGGTTAGGTTTTGAAGTCGTTGGAGGAAGTTGTAGCCGTCGGTACGAGACAAATGTGTGACCGATTGTGACGAAAGACAATGAAAATGCTGCATGCGGTCGCTATTCAGTTCAATCGCATCGACGAACCAAGGTCGAGAGATGAATGAGAGGTCTCTCCGATCGGCGTGAAGCTTAGCGACGCATCAGACTACCGAAGCTTCCTGCGACGTTTTTGAGTTTTGCCTTGCTTCTAAGCATTTGTGCCCAGGAATCATCGGATGGGATCGGTCGGTTCGTCTGCAGCGAGCCACTTTTGAGGCAGCGCCTGCGCAGCCGAGGCGATCCGGAGGGTCTGGTCTCCGAAAAGGTAACAATTGCAGCGACAATCTACGACGCTGTCATGCTACGCCCGTTCGGTAGGGGACACGCGAGGCGCGCCTGAGAATTGGGAGCCTGTCATGAGACTCACTGACCTGCGTCAGGCGTTTCGGCGGGGAATTGGTTATCTTTCTGCACTGTCGGAATTTTTGGCGCAGATCTCGGGCAAATGACTGGGATGATCTTCGATTATCTCGAGTGATGCGGATGTTGACATCGCTGTCAATTGGGAACTGAGCCCGGTGCCTATGCCTTCACTTTCATCGTGGATAACTCGGTAGGTCTCGTGGTAGGTAGGCTGGGTATCTAGTCCTCGGCGACGTTAAGCTCGGTCTGTTTAGGAGGGTCTCTTGTCGGGGACTTGGGGCGTGGGTGCTGAGGGCCGGCCTGTGCCTTGATGGCCTGTGGAGCCTCTGAATTAGCAAGACTCACAATTGTCAGAGCGACCTGGTCGTCATCATGCCAGTATTCTCTGCCGGCCCTAGCCTCGCTGTTGCGCAGTGAGAAGCGGCTGATACAAGTGGCTAACTGAGATGACGCGGCCAGACAGGAGATGCCTTCAAAAGATGGGAAAGAAAGCGTTGACTCATTTGAAGATCGCATCTCTCAGCCCCCTGCCCATCATCTAATGCGCGATTGAGATTGAAGCCGCGCTTCTTCCGGTTAGGCGGCTACGAGGTTATTTTTGGCAGCACAGGTTGGGCGCTTCGGGCTGGGGTTGTCGATTCCACGTTCTGCGTTGGCATTCTGGAGGGCGAGCTTGATGCCCACGAGCTGAATTTGATCTTGGAAACCGGTATTGGAGGATGCACAATTAGCTTTAATCTCGGTGCTCGTCTGGTGCTTTGGTCGAGGCTTCTTGCCTCAGGTACGAAGAGCGTAGGGTAGGCACGGCCAAGAAATGGGCGCTAGTCTCGATCTGGCTTCGGTTAGTCATCCAAGCATCATATGAGCAGCTTTGAAGGTACCTCATAATAAGACAAGCACCTTGAAGTCCCCTTCGCCTTAGGATTGAGCTACGGATAGCCAGTAAGCATGGGATGGTTTGCCCATTTTGTTTGGCAATGTTTCTCTTCTTGCCTGGAGTAGTTGTAATTTCCTTTGGAAGCTCGGGGCCAGAACGGATTGGGTTAGTCAAGTACGAGATGCCCCTCCACACGCCAATCGGGATTTATAGCAGGGTTATCCATCCCCTTGCCATGTCCGCGGATCTCGTCATCGTGGCTCTACACAATTACAGGGCTGGAGAGCCGTCTCGTATGTATCTAACCCTTTCGAATTGAGGCTATGTAGTCTCAAGATCGTGAGAGCGACTGTCAAAGTGTGAATAGTGCTGCGGGTGGCAGGATAAATAGACGGGAGGCAGTCCTGAATTGCAATAGAGGTAGATTAAATTCATCGTCACGAGTCTCTTATCATTGTCCTGTTCCCGGCTCCTTAAACTATACCTCAATTCCAATATATACAGCCGACATGCGTTCTTGTACTCTCCTCAGTATCGCCAACTGCACGGTGGAGACATGCCCCCTTAGTTGTGCTCAGGTGGAATATCTCCCAACTGTTGCTGGAAATGCCACCTATGCTGCTGCTTTTGGCCTCCTTCTCATCGTGCAGCTCGGGCTCGGCATCAAGTATAAAATATGGGGATTCCTGGTTGGCATGACATGCGGACTGGTCATTGAGATTGTCGGATATGTTGGCAGAATCATGCTGCATAACAACCCATTCGACTTCAACAATTTCATCATGTGAGCCTCATCCTCTGTATGAATAATAAGGTACTCCACCTTATGAATTCGGAATAAAATGCTGACAATTTTGTTAGGTATCTCGTCCCCTTGACAATCGGACCGGCTTTCCTCGCCGGTGCCCTCTATCTCTGCCTCTCTCGCATCATCATCGCCTACGGCCAGGAAATTTCCCGCTTCAGCCCGCGCACCTACGCAATCACCTTCATGACAAGCGACTTCGTATCTCTAGTCCTTCAAGGCGCCGGCGGAGGGCTCGCAGCCACAGCCGGCACCCAATCAGGGCTGGACACAGGAAGGGGAATCATGATCGCCGGTGTTGTGTTCCAAGTCGTCTCGCTGCTGATATTCATGGGCTCGTGGCTAGAGTTTGCGCTCAGCCTGCGCGGGGTGAGCGAGAACAATAGGGATGCGCGGTTTGCTAAGCTGAGGGCCTCGAAGAAGTTCACCTGGTTCCAGTATGCGCTCTGCGCAGCCATTGTACTCATTTTCATCCGTTCAGTGTACCGCGTCGCAGAGCTGCAGCAAGGCTTCACAGGACCCATTGCCAACGACGAGGTGTCGTTTATGATCCTAGAGGGGCCAATGATCATCTTGGCTGTGCTTGCGGTGACGATCCTGCACCCTGGTGTTGCATTTGCTGGTCACTGGAGTAGTGCGGCCTGGTCGGTCAAGCAGTCGAGAAAAAATGCCTTTCTCCCGAGTGGCTCATCGACTGAGGATATTCAGCTGCAGTAGAGAGACAAGTCATGAGAAAATGCATGTACTGAATAGCAAAAGCGTAGGAGCGGTGGTATCGAGCGGCCGTGTCGTCATGCAGAGGTTTGCTGCCACTACAGCTGAAAAGAAGTTATCAAGATAGAACCTCCAGAACCCCTTTCCTTAGATGTAGACTTATATGAACTTTCGTTTCCTCAATTCATACCCAACTTCATCTGAGTAGCATCTACTCAAAGCTGCAAGAAAGAGAGAACAAAGATACAACGCGATGAAGACAGACTCATTTGCAAGTGACGCCAGAATAACCCTGCATTATTGGCCATTGTGAATCGTAGAGCCTGTACTACAGACCACTCTTTGGACTGTCCAAAGCAGACAGCCACGGGATCAGGGATTGATATATTCCGTCATCATCTGAAAATCGCCCAACAAGCCCCATGGCTTTGTGTGGAATACAGTCTCAAGCCTTACTGGGTAAGCCGGGCTGAACATGATGCTGGGGTCAAAATTCCGAACACTCAGAGGCACCTCACCCGGGATGTGGATGCGGCACTTATCATCAGGAAGGGGGAGACCGTGAAGCCTCGAAACCTCATCTGGCAATTCTCGCCCGTTGAGATGCCTCTCTTCCAGCTCGATCACCCGCTTAGCGGTCAAGTACGCGTGGTGTGCATTCCAGACGCCTTCCCGCCGAGGTGCGAGTTTCAGCACCTCCAGCGCACGCCTCCGTGTGGTAGGGTAGCGGCATTTCAGGACAGCAAAGAACAGGGGTCCTAAGATTTGAATGTCGAAGGACAGCGGCTGCGGTGATGCCGTCCCCCCGCGCAAGCTGGTGACTTGCTCCGCATGATGCACAAGCTCCTGAAAGTCAGCGTGGTAAGAGTCCGGAGCCGTTTCCCCAGCTTCCGTGCAGACCCGCAGCCAGATATAAACTACTTTGTAATTGACCAAGAGCACATGGAACAAGTCCTGCTGCACCGTGCTGCCGTCCTTTGAGGTCCGATGGATCAGATCGTCTAGCTCGCTGCGCCATGTCTCGAGCCTTGCTACGAGTTTGATCTGTGTGGCGAGATCCTCCATGCCAATTCTGAACTTGGCAGCTTCAGGAATAGTGTCGCGGATGAACCGAATGCAGGTGTCTGAGAGATTAAAGAGCCGTCGTCTAGAATCAGTGAGGTCGTCGTGGGGACAGCCTTCCTTGGGTGTTTGGGTGTGTATTGACGGCGTGTCTTTGTTGGCAAGAGAACACAATACATTTAGACGTGAAAACATAGGAACGATGTGGTCTTCGATGACTCTCACTTCGGTGGAAGAGGGACTGGAGACCGAGGACGGAGCTTTATCGTTGGTGTAGCGGAGAGTGCCTAGAATGTTGAATCCATTTTGAGCGTGGAGCAAAGAAGACTCGACATTTCCCTTGAGGAGCTCGATGCAGGTGAAAAGAAGGCAGCAGACCAAAGGCACCAGGTTTGAATCAGGTTGTGCTTGGATCCGAGCTGATAAAGTTCTAACCGCCTTGATCCACTCCCGTTGAGCCTCGCGATTAGCCTCGACATAGCCTAGCGGTTCCCGTAAGGACGATTCGACGTCTTGATAAATGACGCTGATGGCTGATACTGCATGTCGAACCGACGGTTCTGAGTGTGATAGTTGCAGTACCAGTTTACTCCAGAAGCTTGAATCGGATTGCGCGTCCAACTTGGCGGCAAGGTTCAGATGGAAGTAGTCGAGGCCGCGTTCATTTATGAAGAATGGAGGCTGGCTCCGCGTGGGAGGTAGATATACCGTAATGACGTTGCGATGTTGCGGTGCCCTTGCGGCTTTGTATTCGCAGCTTCGACCCCCGATCTCACAACGTCGGCAGATGGGTTTTGCTTCGTCGCATTTTACGCGACGGCTTTTGCAAGTGCTGCACCCCGTTCGAGCCCTCGAAGTACTTTCGCGTGTTCTCTTAGGAGCAGGGTCAAATTCAGAGGTCATGATGATTGAAAAAATGGTCCAAAGGCACAGGCGACGGGCCGGTTACAAGAACTGGCGGAACCAGAATATGGGTTGCCTCCAGGATTGAGTGGAAAAGGACAAGTGGCAGGGGGTGGTTCTGAGATGGAGGAAGAGGAAGGAGCATTTCGCCCTGGTTGATGTCAGGCTGCACGGATAAGAGTGGACCCCTCTGGCTAGCGGCTACAGTGCCTAGAGGCTACGTAATAGCACGCCAAAGCCTCGAGGGTTGGATTTCGACACAATACTAGAACAATTAGCCTAGTAATAAAAACAATATTAAGCTAAATATTGCAGAATAATTTATTATTTTTTCATTATTGCGTTTAGTATTACTGATATGAAAACAAAGTCTCCAGCTTGCGCGAAAAGAGCTCTGGTGGGCCACGTTTTATCTCAGTCGCTTGCCTGCATTGCCCACTAAGGCTGGGTGCATTAACCGGTGTGTCCGTCATCTTCAGACCAGACGGATAGCAAAGATCAGACCTTCACTCGGTTCCTCCTTGTTCAAGGAAACCAGCGTAAATCCAATGTTAGCGCACAACGCTCTCACTCCAAGCCAAGTGACGCAACCTTTTCATTAAACGTACCTAGCGGCAACTTCGGTTACTCTGCCCATTCCATATTCCTCTCTCAACACCAATCTCTACTCTTGGCCAGACTATTTAGGCAGCTTGGGCTTTAGGTGCCCCGTATCTCTTCGGCGACAATAGCTTTTGGTGGCCATCCTGCTCGCGGAAATACTTCCCTCGGTAGCAAACTGCAAACACACACTCGCAGCGATGAAAGTTCTTATTTACCTTCCTTCAAAGAGACATACTTCTCTGTCGGGACATATCATCTCTCCGCGATCTTCAGTCTCCCCAGTTGAGCTCACTATACTTGATCGCTCTCCTCCACTGAGCGATTTCAGCTTGATCGCTTTTACGCACAGCGGTTCTGTTAACAAGCGCATCTCTCTCCACAGATTTCTTTAGAACAGTGTTTGCCTATGGTATAGGACAGCTTTTGAATCGATCGTTGTGTGAAGCCAACGTTGAGTCTACGCAGTCTCGGTCCGAGGCCAATAGGAAAACCCTAGGGACAAAGGTGCAAAGTCATTGTTGGCAATCTGCGATGCCGGCTTCAAGCTTGAGGGTTAAAATATTACCATCATCGTAACTTCGGCGCCATCCCGAAGCTTTGACTGGCTACCGAAGTCAATGTCGTTCAAAGTTTTCACTCCAGGAACTCTCACCTGGGACTTCCACCCAAATTTTCTAATACTGATCGTGATGGGCAGCACCTTTTACACCTGCACATCGCCATTTCTTTTAGACCAGCGTCGTTCAATACCGACATCGCGTTGTCTAGTATTCTTATCAACCTAAGATGCCTAAAGCTTCAATATTTCTAGCATTCCTTGGGCGTTGGCTCGAAGTTTTTAACAACAGACCTCACCATGTCTCAGTCACAACTGAACACCGAAAGCGATCGCGTAAGGCCGAGGAGCGGTGCGCCCCATCATATCCTACCTGTGACATGGGCGAAGACGAACCATCGTGCATATTGGCTCGGCGGGCCAATCTCGCAAGTTGCGGATTTTACCAGTTACCGGAAGAACTCATCTTACAAATCTTGAACGACCTCGACTACGTATCAAAGGTCATGGCTATGCGTACGTGTGGTCGCTTACTGAGAATCATGTTCGATCGGACGCTATTCTCCCAAATATCCATCGTGCCTCGTTGCTGTATAGACGTCCGGATCTGGCCTCCATTCGAACCAATAAATTGGAACATTCCCCATGAGGCCCGGCTTGCTCGGCGGCAGCAGGTCAACGACCTCCTAGACCGCGACCGATTCTGTGACCCTTGCCGCCGGTTTAGAGAGGATGGTGGATACGAAAAGGCTCTACTGGCTCTGCAAGCTACACTTTGGTGCTCTCATTGTAAGAGAACGCATAAACGTCCCCTCTTCTCCCCCCAACAGAGGGCCACCTCCTGTGCAACGCGAGTCTGTGTCTTGGTCGAAGGGAAAGCACCGGTCTGTGCTCACATGTCCATAGATTGGAAGTCCGCTCGGAACTTCGAATCGAGTGGAGAAAGAGAGAGGAAAGAGACTTGTCGGCACCCTGAACATGACTCCACGTGGCACGTCCGCTGGAAGAATTCATTCACGGCTCGCCAAGGATGCGAAAGGCCCCGTGTGCGGTTTAAGCCCGCCGACGACGACGAATGGTTTAGACTGAAGTCTGAAACACAAGTCTTCCTATTCTATATTCGCCGCGCAGTTCCTGTGACCCGAGAATTGTTGCATGAGCGACTAATGGAAAAAGCACACCTGCTGGACACGATGTTATGTCCACATGTCCGGGCTGGCGATGGCCAACTGTTGTTGGCCTTCAATCCCGCCGATTGCTTGTGCCTCGACAGCCACCCGTGGATCAACCATAATTGTTCATCTTACAACTATTTCTGCTGCCGCTGCAACACGTTGAAAAAGTCAAGCCCCGTAGCAAGTTTCATGTCGGAAGAGCTTGATCAGTTGCGGCATCGATACCGTTGTGCTGTTTGCCACGCCATGTATCGCTGGCGACGCGATGGCTCAGCCGTTTATCTCGAAATCAAGTCCTTCGATAGTTGCTATCGCTCAGTTTTGTATGCAGGGCCTAATTTCTATTCCACTGAGAGTTCCTGGTTATGCAGGATTGACCCGGAATCCTGGGGTATCTTCGACGACGAAGAGCTCCGCCACGTCGCATGGTGCGGCGAAATGAACTGCGCATCGCGTTGGAGATGGGAGAGGCTTATAAGGCTTCTGCAGCATGCTTAGCGCGGCATCGACATCGTGCGGATATGGTTTGAGCCACCGATTCTCGAGATTCCAGTTCTATTCTCCTCAATCCTATACATCAAAACAATCCTCACAAGTTCTTGGTTAACAAATGATTGTCTGGACTCGATTAAACAACATGTGGGAAGTATTCTTATTCACTCTTCGTCTTTCATACCATAAATTGGTTCGGCTTCATTCAGCAGAATGTCATCAACCGAAAATAGAAAGAAAACCAGACATATTGTTATTATTCAGTCTAGTATGAAGGTCAATAGCTAGCAATCTTTCATCATTTGATATTGATGCTTCTTTTGATTCTTCTTGCAAAGTGGATATTCTTTCTCGATAACATAAAAAGGGTCGCAGAGCCTATGAATGGCAGAAGTTGATATATTAGATCGAGGGCAAAGCGGGATCCGGGAAGTCAACATTGATGAATCTTCTTGACAACCAACCTCATAGGAGGGAAATCCTTTTTTATTGGGCCAGTGGCAACTCTCTTTTGATTGCTAGCCACTACTTTTGGAATCTTAGTACTGATCGTCAGAAGAGCTTGATTGGTTTATTCCGCTATCTCCCATTTTAGATCCTCGTTGAGCACCTTGAAGTCCTTCCTTCTATCTATCTCTGCTGATAGAATGGACGCCACTGGCTTCTGCCACCTTAAATCTTGGACTTTCGAAGAATTACCTGAGTTGTGTACCAAGATCAATACTTATCTACAGCCATCCACTCCTGTTCAAGCACTTGGTCCACCCAATGTCCCTCAGATTTCAATATACGAATTGAAATCCTTTCGAGACTGCCATTAGCCTAATATCATTTATCTCGATTAAAGACGACATCCCAAGCGGCCTGCTCGGAATCAAACGCCCAAATCATTGCAATAATCTGCATCAAGCTGCCATCCAGTGCCACTCGCCTCCCAAGACAGATGCTCTGGCCTTTCACAAGTACAGGAAACCGAAGCGCCGTCTTGAAATTGATTGATTCAACGAAGACTCAACTTTCTACTACCTACCTAAAGTGAGCCTAATCCTTGTCTACTTATTCTTGATTTGTGAATGACCGGGTCGTCACGTGTATACACCGATGCCTGCCTGATTAAGCTTCCCTGGATCATTTTTGAGTTCATGGATCCCCCGCATTCTGTCTTTATGATTCTTCCAACAGGATTTTCATGTCTTTTGGCATCAATTGTACTGGAAAGGACTGTATTTGTTCTCAATTAATAGGTCACCAAACGCTATCAAAAGCCCAACGTTATTCTCCTCGGCGAGTTTCCCATAACCAGTAAGATGGGCCAAGATCTCATTCCTACACTCCACTGCCTCCACCATTCCGCTGCACTCCGCGTTCTGTGGGCTCTCGAGGAGCTGAAGGCTTTGAATGGCACCACCTTCTATCTCAAGACGTACCCTCGACACCGTGGACTGGCCCCAGAAGAGCTGAAGAAAGTGTTTCCCCTTGGAAAATCACCCATCCTCGTTCTCGAATGGGCAGACAAACGCGACGAGCCCCTTCCCGTCTACCAACTCCAGCCCGGGGTTCTCACCGAGGCGCAGTTGATCCTACGCTTCCTCAGCGACGAGTACGGCGACGGGGTCTGGGAGCCAGAGTCCAAGGAGGATGAGAGACGTGACACGTTCTTCCAGGCGTTTGCCACCATGACACTCACCCCGAGGCTGGATATGCTCGTGACTCTCGAGAGTTTACTGAGGGCACTCCCCTTTGGCGTCTCGGGCCTGGTGCGCCTCGTCATCGGCCCCGTGATTAATATCTTCAAGGGCGGGCTCCCGGTTTTCTTTGACCTCCTGGAGACATCTCTTACCGATGAGAAGCCGTGGTTCTCGGGCGCAAAGTTTGGCCTTGCCGATTTCAATTTGAGCTTTGGTATTGATACGGCCTCGCAGAGGGGCTACATCGACCCTAAGAAGTACCCCAAATTGACCGAGTGGTCTTCGAAGATTCAGTCTCGGGAAGCGTATATCACGGCCGTTAAGGAAAGCGGTGGATACGATTTGAAAACATTCGGGATGAAGTGAACTCGGTGTCATTGATCAGATGTAGGGGACATTTGGGAACATCAAAGCCAGTATAACTGCATGGCAAGGACGTGTGGTAGTAATTCCGATTGCAACCATTTCTTCCGATCGTGACCTTTCTTCCTATGTACTTAATAACGACCAGTCATTTTTGCAGCCAGTCCAGGCGCAGATGATCATTTCCGTTTCGCCTGAGGGAAGCTGCGGTCAGCACGCCTCATTTTCGTCAATTGGCTGGGAATGCGTTATCTCAATGTTCTAGGCCCAACATTTGCGGCTGAGGTGCAGCAATGAGACAATAATTGCATAAAGTACGCCTGAATTCATCTCGTTGCCCGAGTCGCTCCATCCTTTGTTCTCGTTGAGTTAGAGGCTTGCTCCATGTTCCAATAGTTTAGGCATCCAAGACATTCCGCAGTTGCTCAGCTCGGCTCGGAAAAGGTGCACTTGCCGAGGAGGCGATGAAGGTATCTCAAAAACCGGTGGCACAATTTAATAATTGCGTACTGATTTTTTGTGCATGAATGAAGCTGCCCATACCAGAGTTGCATACTTGTCTCGCTCCTCTGTCTCCAAATGTCTATCTGCACCCGAGTAAGCCTTGAACCGGAACGGAGCTGACAGAGTACATAGTATGGCTCGATCAAGTGATGTAGAGCAATTTTTCGTGGTGACGGCATAATGGCATGAGCCTAGGCTAGACTTTCGCTGTGCCCTTGATTGATACCTACCCATAGGTACTTCACGAGCAACAGTATGTGGTAAAGATGCACTTGCTTGTTGTGCCTTTGTGGAGGTGGCCGCCAAGCGTAAGCGACATAGACCGATTAGGTTCCAGGTACATGTAACATGTGCGACCGATAATGCTGACCTAATAATCATATTTGATCGGATCGGTGACAACGCGATTCATCACTCCGCGTTCCTTCAACACCACCTCTGCCCAGCCAACCCAAACCTTCCACAACTACCCATCACTTTCAACTCCCATCGGATTTTGCGTCATGCTGAAATGCGACGTGAGGAGAATCGACATCTGGAAGTCGGAAGGCCGCCTCCAGCCTTCTTACATTCTAGACCACCTGGGAGAGGGCTACTTTGGCTATGACAGACTTGGGTCCCGCAGATTTCCATCTACAGAAAGTGAGCTGACTGAAGACGAGTTTACATCGCTTCTCCTCGCCGTGGGTCGGCTACCACCATCATGTGCTGGCCTAGGTCGATTTGCGTACCAGATCATTGCCTACCTGAGTCTCACGCCATTCTTCCCCCCCGCAGACGAGAAGCCGAGGGCAACGCTTACCATCGCTGAGATCTATCGAGGACTGGAGTGGCTCATCCCGAACAACGTCAGGGGAGGTAGTAATAGAGGTCGCGCTCGCACCCCAGCCGACGAACGAAGACTTCTGTTCCAGAGCTTGGCCACCGTGACCCACGACGGCACTCATGATCCAGATGGAGATCGACAGAGGGCCGCCCGCAACGCCTTTTTCATGCCCGAGCCTCACTACCAGGATATGGATTGGCTGGATACCAACTATTGCGACGACGGGGACGAGATGTTCCATGATGTCTTGGACGTGCTCTTCCTGTTCCAGTATGACGAGGACAAGTTTTACCCCCTGGGGAACGTACAACGTGAAGATTTTCGCGCAACCGCCAAAGAATTGACTGAAGATCAAGACCGCTTCAGGCTCCACACACTCGCGATACCTCTTGATCAATTCACTGCCCTGATCGGCCTCCTGTTAGCTGCGCAGTTCGGGTGGGAAGAGGGCGAGGAACCGGAATTGAGCCATTTCAATGAGGCTGCAGCCGACGTTGCGAGATCTTTCTGTGACGAGTCTTCGAATCTCATCACCTGGGGCAAATTTGACGATATGATCCCCCAAATGCCCTTCCTCTTCGACCCGCTGCACAGAATACTCGCAGTCGTGTTCATGGAAACATCGCCATTTGAGGTATCCTACTCCTACAAGGCTCCTACACCCCAAAGAGATTCTTTCATGACTCTGCCCCGTCTCACCCAATTAGCATCGATGGTGAATATGGATCTGGATTTCGAAGACTTTTATCGAGCCCACCGCTGGTACAAGTGTGTCCGCCCAGACGCGAAAGTTCTTGTAAACGTGTTGCGGTCTATGCCCGGGCTGAGCGTCTTGCTCGTCAAAGGATCAACTCCCTCAGGTGAAGAATTCATCTTTGGCATCTTCAATCCGCTGCCCGCCGAACTTGAGACCCTCAAACAACAGGAAGATGCTGATCTCGGCCCGCCGGTGGAGCTGGATGACGAGCTTGGCCGCCAACTCACCCTTACAAAGCAGGATGCAGTGCACGACCGCCTGGAATATCGGGGCACCATCACGTATCCTGCGCGGCCGCATTGGTTTATTCTCAGCCCGGCACAGCGGATGGTGCGCTTCGAGGGTGGGCTCCGCGTGGATGGAGACCGTCTTTGTTGCGGTGATGCCTTGCAGATGCGTGATGATGGGCTTGTTTCGATCCAGGACCGGGATCGCATTATTCGTCTGAAAGCAATCGACTTTGAAATTTGGGGCGAGACTCCGTAAAGGCTAGAGAGCAATTAGACCAGTTAGTTTTGGCTGGGCTTCGCTGCGGCATTTCACTCCGCTAGATATCAGACGGCGACAAAGGACGAGTGAAGAGCAAGTTAATGATACAAATGTCAGATCTACATTACCGAGTTCTTGAAGATGAATGTGTTGGATTCCTTCCGACCGGATCACTTGGCCGAATGATGAAGGTTGATCTCCGTGAGCCACGTGGTAGTGATCTCATGTAGCCCGATCATGTAACCAGAAATGTAAACTCCTGAAGGATCACTCCCAGGATTGTAGACTACGTCTACCGACGAAGACCACGTAGTATACGGACTCCGCTCCGCCAGGGTCATGAGGGCCCATGTTTTCCTAGCCGCACCTTCCACTTAAGCTACATTCTTGGGCAGAATCATTGACCATGTTTAGGTCCAGATGGATGTAGTCGTCATCTTGACGGGGCTCTCAAGAGTCCCCACCGCGGAGTCCGTGAAGCGGCTGAATTATTCAGCACCGCTATCCGACCAGGGACGACAACCAAGTTCGCGAAGCTAGCTCGATACGAGCAGACAGAGCCCCTGGCACTCTCAAAGTTGCTAGATTTCACCAATACAAGGGGTCATAGTCGTAGCCGATGACATACATCCCTGCCGCAGCATAATGTCTCTTCCTCAAATCAGCACACATCTTTTAATAATCCCGGTTGGATCGCGCCTCAAAGACAACCAAAAAAAGTCATAACTCAATATTCATGATGTCAGCCCTCTCCATTGGGACCTGGTTTTGGTCGTGCAACTTGCAACCGTTCAAGATGGGTAAATTTTCAAAGAGACAGGGCTATTCGCTATGCCGTCGGTGCTCGAGAAAGCGGTTGGTGTCAAGCTCACAACTCCTTGACCGTAGCCTCAAAGTCAAGGCACATCTACTCTATGCTCAGTCCGCGTACGGATTGATCATCGCCTAACTCGGATGTTCGCAAGCCTCGCATAGCCCAGGTCTGCCGGCGTGCCAAGCCACACGCCGAGTGACAGGGATACAGCTAGTGTTCCGTTTCTTCCGATTAATGAGATCCTACGTTCCTAAATTCCTTGAGCCCTATCAAAAGAAGATCGGTTAACAGCTGGAGTCTCCTAGAGGGTACAGAACCCAGGGGTGCAGAAAGCCGAGAGTCCCCAGATGCCCGGGGCAGACAGAAACCGTTTCATGTAGAGGGACTATCACCGCGCCCGCAGCACAGCCACGGGTCATTACGAAGTCCCAATTATACCTTGTGGGCATTGGTTTGGGAGGGGCGGTTTCGTGTTCATATATTTCGACAATGCTGCTCAATATATAAACCCAGTCATGGTTTGTACGCGCAAGAGGGCCATTCGTTTGGACTCTCGATCAACCAACACTTGGAATATTAGAATATACCACGATACCAGAGCACCTATCTTGCGAAATGGCGACTGAAGCCCTCCCAGGCGGTTTGATTGCCTTTGGGCCGGACGCAAACTGCACCCTTGCCCTCTGCCCCCTCGAGGCAAGCCTTCTCCAGTACCGCCCATCCTTACCGGCTAGCATCACATTCATTGCCGTATTTGGACTTTCTCTCCTGGCACATACAGCGCAGGGAATTCGATCAAAGACTTGGGGGTTCATGTCTTGCATGATAAGCGGGTGTATCTTTGAGGCTGTTGGTTACATTGGCCGGATCATCATCCACGACAATCCTTTTGACTTTGGCGGTTTCTTAATTCAAATCAGTGAGTACATCCTTCCAAAGTTGTACTAGGTACGAAGTCTTATCTCACACGCTTCTAGTTTGCATTACAATTGCCCCCGTGTTCTTCTGCTCCGCCATATATGTTCTACTATCTCAAGTGTATGTCGAATCCGACCATCCCATGGGCGCCAACTAATCCCAGAACTCCCAGGATAAATCTTCTCGATCGATCGATTTCGCGTTGCGACCCTCGGCTCTTCTACTGGATATTTATACCCTGCGACATCGTATCCCTCGTGCTCCAAGCAACCGGCGGCGCTCTGTCCTGCGTTGCCACAAGCAAGGCTGACATCGATGTCGGCGTGGATATTTCATTAGCCGGGCTTATCTTCCAGGTCGTCACGCTGACCATATTCTTCTTCTTATTCGCCGACTACATGATCCTGTGCTGGAGGTCAGGGCCACGAGAAAAGCTCACCAGGCGGCTGCTATTCTTTCTTTTGTTCTTGTCGCTTTCGGTGCTCTTCATTCTCATCCGATGCGTCTATCGCATCGTTGAGTTACATGAAGGCTACTTTAGTGAGCTCTTCCGGGAGGAAGTTCCTTTCACAATACTCGAATCAGGGTTAGTCTACCCTCTGATCCCGCTACTATGGCTGCCCCTCTGCTAACTCGTGATAGTATCATGTCAATAGGTGTCATATGCCTCAACATTGGCCACCCTAGTCTAGCTTTCGGCCGCCAAGGATCTAAGCACATGGAGCTGGATCCGACTGACTCTGGTGATTCTGCCTACGAGTTGACAAACCGCCTTGCAGTTAGCGCTGCGCTTGCCGCTGCCGCCGAGGAATAGGACAAACATCGATACTAGAATAGAACGAGAAGTGATTTTTATGAGGCTTTGTCAAAAGCTTCCCAATACTTTGAATTGCCATGGGGGACTTTAGAGCAGCTTCAGATGAGAGCCATTCAGCAACGATCGATAAGTGGAATGGTGATTCCCCGTTGTCGACCTGGGTGCTGCTCGCATTTGGTCATGAAGCGGCGCCACGCCTTTTGCTCACCCCGCCTAGGGGTGATGTTGGAAATCGTGTACATAAAGTCTGTCTGTCTTGTTCGACTACTTTACAAACAAAGCATCAAGTCCTATCCTCGCTCGCATGCTCCTTCTCCACACCCTAAATGCCGAGCTACCACGCGAACACATAACGCCATGGCTCGGAGGCCCCGGTAGCTCGTGTCCCAAGCCCTCGGGACCGAGAAGATGTCCGCCAGAGAAGGGAATTGTGGCGAGTGTTTTTTTTGGATGACCTAGAGCTACAGTTTGCGATCGCCCGATGGAATCGGACCTGAGAGCTCACCTTGGAGCTTATATGAGTGGCAGAAGGGTTTGTTTACTTGACGAATACGAGTTCTTAAATTGACTTGGCGCGGAATCTGCTCTGTTGCGTCTGGCCTCTTTCCGATACATCCTGGTGGGCGGCTCCGGTAAATTGGGCATCGAGCGGTCACACGATGACAGCAACGTTATTCAGAGAAAGTGTACGAATATCGAAGTGAAAATAATCTATTAATTTCAAGCCCACCTCAGGCAGGCCTTCTTATATCTCACACTAAACTAGTATCCGGTTGAAGGGCAGTGTGCCCCCTTACAATCAGACAAAAGCAGCTCTGCATGAGCCCTCTCTTCAGTTGGTCACCTTGTAAAATCCTTTCTATTGACGCTCGCGGCCTCTTAAAACTTAGAAGCAGGCTTGATTGGTCTAGGCTCCTTGGTCACTGGTCGGCCAGTGATCGACTGGCTACCACCTCCGCTGGGCCTAGGGGGAGGCACCACGATGGCGTTCTTACGCTTAGGCTGTGGTCGTGGCTGGGGAGCAGGAGGAGCCCTGCGGAACTTTGACACAGGCTTGATTGGCCTGGGCTCCTTCGTTATCGGCCGACCGGTGATTGAACCACCCCCTCCACTTGGCTTCGGTGGTACCAAGATAGCGTTCTTGCGCTTAGGCTGTGGTCGTGGCTGAGGGGCAGGAGGAGCCCTTCGAAACTTGGACGCAGGCTTGATTGGCCTGGGCTCCTTCGTTATAGGCCGGCCGGTGATCGACTGGCCGTGGCTACCGCCTCCGCTTGGCTTCGGTGGTACCACGATGGCGTTCTTGCGCTTGGGCTGTGGGACGGGAGGGGCCCTGGCCATCAACTCTTCAAGCTGATCCTCTAGATCACGATCGTCGAGGTCGACATCTTCGAGGAGGTCCCGAATGGCAAGTTGAAGCGCAAGGTCGCTGTCGACTTCAGATCGGAGCGCAAGGCGGTTGGAGGCCAATGGAGCACCAACAGCCGACTCGGCGAAGGCGACCAGGAAGACGGAAAGGATTGAAAATTGCTTGATAGAAACCATTTTGAAAGAATAGAGGGAATAAGAAGATTAAATAATAGATATGGAGAAGCGAATAGAGACCAGCTCTAGTGTTTGCGAGTGAACGGTTGATTTTTTTGGGTTTTGTGAAGAAGAAAGGAGAAAAGCTTTTGAGCAGGCGAATGACCTCTTTATATAGATACTGTGGCATCTAGCACCAACACAGTAAAAGACCCAACACATTGAAAGGACCAACATATTGAAAGGCAAGAACTCATTCGTTGGTGCAGCAATTTGCCTGTTGGTCCATGATATTCTAAATTTATATTATATATGGGGCCAGGAGCAGCTTTCTCCTCAATCCCTACCCGCTCATGCCGGACACAACCCCTCCGGCTGTTACCTGGCTAGGATCTGAGGCCTGTTTGATTCTCCGACTGCATGGTAGGTATCAGAGGATCTATTATTTTTACTTACCGTCTCCTAATAGAGGGATACTCTAGATCAACCTGCGATCAATGCGCGGAGTCAACTGCCGGCAGGAGTCGCGCTAATCGCATCCCTCAGGATCCAACGCGTGGTCCAGGGGTTTCAAGTCCCGGTCCAGGGCAACCGCCAGTTCGTGAAATCCCTCGGTGTAACTACTACATAAGTAGTACGTAGATAGTAGCCCATCTATTTGACAGTTGTCAGGCAATGTGTACTGCCCTAGATGCACCGGAACAGCCGGTGTATTGGTATCCTATCACAACTATAGAGTGTAATCCTTTTGAGAGAGTAATGTAGTCTGCTCTACCCTGCGGAAAGGCTTGCGGCTGTCTGAAGTCATCTGTCACCTCTTGTTTCCCCTATATTGGTGAAATAGCGGGTGGGAAGTCTACGATCTCGCTATTCAAGGTGTTGAATATAACATTGACCCTTCATCGCCAGACAAAGGGCGGCGAAGTGCTGCGGTATACTCGATTCTGGCAACTCACGGGATGCCCTGAGGTTTGAGCACCTTGTCGTCGGTGGCGATCGCACTAATTAGGCCCAGTTTAGTGAGCAATTCGTGGCTCTGTTTCTCTACTTCATTCATATGCAAAGCATTGAGGAACTTCACGGCTACCCTGGAGGATGGATTTTGCCTTCAAGGCCTGGGATAGCCTGTTTATTTGGCTGCCATTATTGTCCTGCAACATCGGCAACATCGGCAACATCGACCAGATAGGTTTCCTTAAGTTAGATTCAGGAATTAAACCCAGCACACAGTAATGCTTACCACCAGTCAGTGCAGGTGTCGGGACACAGAGCCCTGCCATACTTCCAGTATTGTTATCTAAAACATCAGTGATGACGGTGTCAGTATAGTCGTGACCCGGTTTGGCTCACAAGAAATTGAGTCTTAGTCTGTTGCTTCTCTACATAGTACAATGGCGTCCTTTTTCTCGCCAACACATAAATTATACGATCCATATTCGCCGCGTGACAGCGTTGGAGTCAAGTTGGGCGTCATTGACCAGGGTGTCGGGATTTTTAGCCGGTCAGACGCAAAGTCTTGGCCATGACGAGCCACTCAGCAAATCGACATGACAAGCCACTATTATCCGCATCTCGTCATCACCGTCATTCTCTTAACCCGGGCGCTATAATACCGCTCAATTCTGACTTGGGAGCGTATTCAAAATACGAAGCCCACAATGAGGCAATGGCTAAGATGATAGTGTTATGGCAGTGCATAATGACAAAAATAAGCGTAGCCAAACCACAACAGGAGGAAATACGAGCTGATCTGGGCCATCTCAATCGCTGACTGTTTTTATAAGTTAGAACCAAAGGCGACAAACAACACAGGATTCCAGCATCGCATTTGATCTGGTTTTGGTATGAGCAACCATTGATCGTGGAATGCTGGGCTTCTCACCGTCAACTTCAATATCGCCTCCATTATGCATATTGCGAAGCGGCTGTGATGGCACCACTATGACTGGTGATCAACCAGCTGAAACGAAATCCGATTGGTGAACCTCCCATGGTCCTGCAGCAGCATCTCGTATTCGAGAGGCTATGATGCGTCCCCATCTCCCGCTTGGTCCAAAGATCGGCACTCTCACAGTAGCGTTGGGACACGAGGCCAGGGAGCGTCTCAGCTGGGTTATAGCGGCCCACATCACTGACGGTCTCTGCTATAAAGAAGACGGTGAGCCTTCTCTGTTGACCGGTTGACATCAATCGACCATCAGTTCACTCATCAGTCAATCAACAGCCAACGGCTCGGGACATTAATCGAAGATGCGCTTCTCTCTTGCTGCTGCCGCTGCCGCTCTGGCGGCCACTGCCCAAGCCCGTATTTCCGGCATCAGTGTGCCTGAGACGATCAAGCCGGGAGATACTGTCGATCTCAAGATCATCAGCGAAAACTACATCCAGAGAGTCGACGATGTTGCTATCGCCTATGGCTGGGCGACAGCCAACGGCTACCCTGGCACTCTGACCAACCTCCTCGACTCCTTCTATCTCGGACTTGGTACGTCGCGCATGGATGCTGTATCGGCTAGTCTTCTGAACCCTGTTGCTGACCCAATTATTCACAGATGAGTCCAATTTGCCCAACGGACAGACCGTCGTCAAGACCGTCACGTTCCCTGCCGATATTACCAAGGGCCCAGGCCTCGTCACGGCTGGAGCTTACAGCTTGTACGGTGCATCCAAGACCACGACCATTGTCAACTATAATGTCAGCGTCACCTTTGGTGATGAGACGTCGACTACATACAAGAACAGCTTTTGAGGAATGAAACTCTGTATGCAAGGAATGATACCATGCGGAATGAAAAATTTGTTTGGTTTAAATAGAGATAGCCTATACAACATCGGACACGTCATGAATTGATGCCATTATATCAACGAATTACTAAAGAGTGACCCCTTGCTACTTGGAGCTGGCTGAGTCCCTGGAAGCAGCTCGGCAGTGGGCCTCAAGCTACCTGTGTAGTTGTAACGCCCAAATTCTAAGACCCCGAGCCGTTTGTACCAACACTTTTAGTGAACAGACCGTAGGTACTTTAGTTATGCCATGTAGAAATTGCGTTAGAGCTTGATCGCATTATTCACACTATTCAGCGATTATAGAATCCAGCTACGAGCCGAGTACCGTTGCAACTGCAGATCTTCAATCCTATTAAGAATTATTATACTCTGTGCTGCTTTCTCCCTCTCTCTACACCGCCAAGTATTTCTTACTAACTTCTCTCTCCCTAGGCTTAATACTAAGGCCAGTTCATGCTCTTTTATTGAAATATGTAATGGGCCGCACAGAATTAGACACCGAAATAGAAGATTATCGATTAGCTTCAGATTTACTTCATACAGCTATGTAAAGACTTAGTACTTCTGTATTATTGGTAAGCAGGCGTTTGAAGATTGGATATTTTGAGGTGATGGTAATACAGTTCTAAAACCCTACTATGGACCCTTTGAATAATCGGAGCAAATGATGCAGGTGATCTTGTCCAAATATCAGCAGGCCAATCCTGAATTCCGAAAGTCGGAATTTTATAAACGTTACCTGGTAGGATTCACTGGGGAAAGTAAGCCAATTTTCACACACTCGGACTTTCAGCGGAAGAATGTGATTGTTGGCAAGGATGGGCTTGTAGTATAGATCGATTGGGAGGCTGCTGGTTGGTAATTAGCACATTGGGAATACAGCATCGCTCTGTTTTCGTGCAATTGGAGGGACGATTGGCATATCTGGGTGCCGAAGGCTCTAGACCAGTATGCTAACCATGGTTTTTGGCTCGATATAAGTGTTCGAGAGCTCTAATCGTAGCAACACTCAAGAGCTAGGCTAGATGCTAGCTTCTGACAGTGAACTCTCCATGAACGTCCCGAATCCATAAACATCGCTGCTTGAAACCATCTGCTGCTGGATGATGCGCCATCTTAGGTAATACCCATAAGACTGGCTTTCCCCAGAACTGTGAGGGATGATGTCCACACTCTGCTATTATATCACCAAGCCGCAAGAGACGAGCAATGCCACCATTGTGGCCAATGCCCGCGTTGATAAGGTTGTTTTCGAAGAGAATAACGACGGAACCTAACGGCTGTTGATATCAAGACTGTGCGAGAAGACGTATGAGCTTTCGAAGCCGGTGCGAAGAAGAAAGTGATTACGAGTGAAGGAGCCTTCTCCAGTCCCAATATCCTCAATCGCTCAGGGAACGGGGAAACGTCAGATCATGAATAGGATGGTATTCCGACCCTTGTACACTCCCCGGTGTTGTAAGAACTTTATGGATCACCAAGCAAGTTGTCCGATAGCAATTGCAAGTGTATCACAACACCGACCCTGCGACAATCCCGGTGGTTGACTGTGGTTATCTTAGCGATCCTCTCGCTCGAGAGCTTTTTCCAGGCTGCCGGTCTCGGAACGAAAGTATTGTCGGCGACATAGGTACTGAGAACATCGTCGAGGGTTCGTGGCCGCCCGAGGCTTCGTATCATAAACTCGTTACGCGCGAAGACTGGAAGCCTTTCGTGAAGAAGTATGCTACCACTTGTAAGTTAAAAGTCCGCCATATATAGAGGTGTTATCTTGCTCCTCATATGGGCTACCATGGTTCGGACACCGGTGCCACAAGAAAAGAGACTCAAACAAAAAGGCTGTGATTGAGGAGCGGTTTTGCATTGGGGAGGAAGGTGGCAGATATGATGATGAAGGATTAAAGGTTCCTGCAGAGAGCAAGTAGAATCAAGCAGCCTCGATACCGAACAAGTTGAATGTTGACTACCTCGCCTTAACGAATGGACAGAAGATAGGCTGCTCTCGCGGTGAGAATATAGTCTCGAGGTAATGTAAGCAAAAAGCGTCATCAAAGACCTCTCTGGTCGGTCGTATTGGCAGAACGGCTTGATAGATGATCATGTCAGCGGGTAGTAGTAGGGTAGGTTGTCCAGCCAAAGGAAGAGGGTGCGTGCCTGACATTTCCGGCCGACAGTATCATCGACCGTCTATTACTGAACCAAGTTACGTATATTATGGTTAATCTGAAGCGTACCACTGACCTCTTAATTGCTCCCCGTTCTTTGGCCTTTCTGATTCTAGTTCACCCAACCCACACCTGGCAACACCCGAAAGTCAGTTATGGAAGCAGTTATTTTCCGTCGGATTCCCAAGCTTCTAGAAGGAGGTAGAAGGTTTTGTGTACTTGCCAATGACACCGTCCTCAAGCCAGAAGACTAACGAAAAATCCCATTTCACGGACGAGGAATTCAACAAGCTTTTTTCAACACCATTCCTTTCGACATATCGCGGACCCCGTCGCCGTCTAGCAAGATCGAACGATAACATGTTTCTCGAGGACGATTAGACGAGTTGGAACTTCTTGCCTGGTACCCATGCCCGAATCATCGACCGTTATCTACAACTGTTACACTTCAGTGGCACGCAGCTTCCATTCAGACTCCCCACCACCCAAAGCGACCCGACCCCCTTTGCTTGAAAGACTATCAACCTGTTTCCACGAGTCAGATCAGATGGCCTAGGTTGAAAGCTCGCTCTCGTTAGATATCACGCTTTACAACTCATAACTGTCAGTAGATCAATTCAACAGGCTCAAGATGCAACTTCAAATCAAGTCGCCGTCCCGGATCATCCGAACGGACGTGACAGGCAATCTCCTGTATTCTGACGGGCCTGGTATCGCTAATTTGATCTTCTCCTGGTGCCCGGCGCTGACGGATCGGTTTGAAGCGGTCAAGGCACAGGACTGGTTTTCGATTTGTACGGCTGCCTCAGCAAACGAGAACTGAAGCGAACTTTGCTCTACAAATACGTGGTCGATGCCGAGCCCGGGGTGTTTCCCAACCATCTTCCTATCCTGCATCGTTTCGACCAACACATACGAAAATTTTAAGATACCTTACGGCTTAAAAAGGTTTGTAATAGCTTCCAGCCCTCGCCCTTGCGACCGATTTAGATACAATCCAGCCACAACAGCGACGCCTATCGCGGACAGTGCCCACGTCCCTGCTCCAGAGGAGCCTTTGCGTTGGTCTTCCAAGGTCTCTCCTCTCTTGAATCCCAAAGAATTCTTTGGCTTGAGGTAACTCACCTTGCTGAGTTGATAAGGAGGGTAAGTAAAAGCCATTAGCCCGTCCAGCCATGAGGGTGGCGTGGCAACGGTCCTCTTGTGAGTGAAACAGTCGATTCCTGTCACGCCATGGTAGTAACCATATCCAGATCCGCCGACCCCTCCGAACGGTGCCCCGCGGATAGACGAATGAATCACGACGTTGTTAACCGTAACTCCTCCGCTCAGCGTTCGGTTTAAGAAGTCCTGGACCACAGAGTCATCTTTGCTAAAGATGTACGAGGCGAGAGGGTTGGAGAGCGAATTGATGCACTGAATGGCGTCCTCAAAAGTGGCCGTGATGATGGGAAGAATCGGCCCAAACAGCTCCTCCGACATAAGCGAGTCCTCGAGAGTGACATCCCTGACGATGGTTGGATGAATAAATGTCGCCTCCTTGTCCAACTTTCCACCATAGACAATCTTGCCATTTGTCTGCTCGAGAAGACCAACGAGCCTGTCAAAGTTGCGAGCGTTGATAATCTTGCACATGGGGTTGTCTCCCTCCTTCATGAATTGGTCATTCCAGTACGACAATCTCTCCACCAGTTTATCCACGATTTCAGGTTCGGCTATAACGTGATTGACGGCAACACATATCTGACCGGCGTTGATAAACTTGGAATAGGCGATTCGGCGGGCAGCCAGATCAATATCGGCAGTTTTTGTGACAACTGCCGGACCCAGTCCTCCAAGCTCCAGGACCGTAGGTGTCAGATGCTTAGCGGCAGCCTCAGCGACAAACTGGCCGACTTTACTGGATCCCGTGAAGAAGATCTGGTTCCATCGCTTCTCGAGAATATATGTGGTCTCGGATACACCACCAGTCAGAATACGAATAGCCGTTGGGTCAAAATACTTTGGAATAAGCTCCCTGAGAAGGGCCTCGGAGTGGATAGCGAGCTCCGAAGGCTTGATCAATATACAACAGCCTGGTCTCTGCGTTAGATTGCCTCACGCCAATTATTGAAGGGTGGAGGGCACATTGGGCACATACCAGACGCTATGGCAGGCACTACTGGCAGTAGGGCCATGAGTATTGGGAAGTTCCATGCGCCAATGATGAGAGACACTCCCAGAGGCTCCTTGCGATAATGCGATTTGCTGAGATATCCAAAAATCAGGCCAGCGTCAATCTTGACTTCAGCCGTCCATTTGTCCAGGTTCTTTAGGAAGTCGAGAATTTCCTCCTTCAGAACTAGGAGATCTGTCATACAGCTTTCGAATGTGTGGCGATCCAGGTCTTTGCGCAACACTTCAAGAATCCGTTCTTCATTGTCTTCAAGGAGCCACCAGAGTTGTTTCAGCTGCCATTTCCTCCAGGCAAGATCCTTGCTTCTTCCAGTGGCAAAGGTGGCCGTCAGTGCCGAATGAGCCTCGTCGATTTCCTCCCGGGTGCTGTAAGGGGCGGCCATTGTGCTTGGTGTGGTGGCAATTGAGATCTGTAAATCAGAGAGGTGAGTATTGAAAGAGGGAAAATGACAAGCTCACTCGCTGATGACTTCATTTGACTATGTCATCGATTACCCCCTGTCGCCTTGGAAATTGGCTCCCCCACAGGTTGCCACTGGTGCTGATTCAGCTCACGGTTTTGCCAGGCCAAGGCGGTCAATTTCTCCATCCTTCTAATAAAAGAGGTAATAATACTCTAAGAAGCTAATCTAGAGCTAGAAAGGGTGGGATATATAGGTACTATATTGAAATACTACTACTAAAGATAAGGGCTATAAACTTATCCTCTATCTATTTACTTTTAATATTTTTATTTAGGATATTAATATTAATATATAGCTATACTATTCGAACGCTTCAGCGTTAATCTGGCGAATCACCTTATTCCTTTTTTACTTTCTATTTTATTTTTGGAAGTGTTGGGCTCTGGGCTTTGGCTCTGGCCCCACAAGAGACCGTTTACATCTACCGCGGTCGCTAGTTCAGAGAGGGACTGATGCCTCACCTTCAGCCTCGTCATTCTTCCCCTCTCCTCCAGCGATCTATCCCACTACGTTTTCGTCTCTCCCACAACCCTCTTTCAGTCAACATCGCGGATTCGAACGAGTTGGATACTGATATTTCTTTACACAGAATCCATTGTTCTTTCTGCTTCTTCATCATGAAATCTGACTCTGCCCTTAAATTTCGCATCTTGGATGCGAGCATCGACTCCGATGGCGGCGGCGATCTTCGCCTTCTTGTTGACGGCCACGCTATAAAATATATCGCAATTGACAGCAACATATATTCTCCTGAAGACCTCACATTCCTACCGACATTGGTTGAACTACTCCCTGCCCTCCCATCCGGGGACTGGAACGTATCTACTATCTCCCGAGACCCCAATACTGGCCAGCCCCAGTTTACTCAAGTTCAACGCGCCGAGTTGCCTGGGATTAAACAGGTGTGGCATCCCACGCAAATCGAGTTCCTTGAGCTTCGGCTTGGAAAAAAGCTGCGCAGCAATGTTTACGAGACTCAGTGTGATCATTTTGGTCAAACTGTCATCGCCAAGTTCGCCCGATTCGCCTGGGAAACTTGGATGTTGGAAGCTGAGACTGAAGCCTATCAGTGGATAGAGGGCCACGCGATAGGGCCCAACTTCCTTGGGCATATTGCGGAATTCGGCAGGGTCATTGGATTCCTCATCAGTAGAATAGACCCTTGTCGCCATGCAAATTTGCAAGACCTCCCTCTATGCTCTTCAATCTTGCAGAAGCTTCATGACTTGGGCATCAAGCATGGCGACACCAATAAGCACAACTTTCTAATCTCAGGGAAAGAAGTTGTCCTTATCGATTTTGACTCTGCCAAGCGCACACAGGATACTGATGAGTTGAGCAAAGAGATGTCGGGATTGAAGGAGCAGTTCAGTGATGAATCTGGTAGAGGAGGGGTGACTGTTCATAGTTAGTTGATATTGCAGTATATATCCATATATATTTCTGGTGTATTTCTGCGCTGCACTCTTATGGCCTATAAGGATTGCTCCTTGCTGAATCCTCAGAGTTCATAATCAGGAGCCTTGACCTCACGTCCTATGTTGCCACTCAGCTTGATGTGACCCCCAGCCAGAAATTGCATGCCCGGTACCAATCCCCTGCCATTTACTTCTAGCATTTTCACTTAGGACATCGATATCAACACGTGGCTACACCATCTATCGAAACGGCTTGAAGTATCAGAGACATCGAGCCATGATATTCCTATTCTATTCACTTCTCACAGTTATAGTTCAGTTTCTCCATATCCTTGGCGTGTTTGTAGACCAATGTCTTCGCCTCCTCATCGTCCAAATAGATGGTGAAAGAATCATTGTGGTTTCTTCCATACGAATATCCCGAGTATCCGTATTGCCAGTACACTGTTCAAGGTTAACAACAACTTGGATCGATCACTATCATTACGCCAAATTTTCTCAGGGCCGACTTACTATCGGAAATCTTTTCCTCGAGACCGATTTGCTGCCATCCCCCGATGGCCTCGATTCTCGAGACGTTGCTCACCTTGCCAAGATTTTCCCATCTTCCCAAGTCTGTCATCCACCCATACTGTTGTCGGGGTTAGCGATTGTGACAGGATGGCAGGGAGAGTTTACAGTTACGAGGCTTACCTCTTCATGAAGAACGGGCTTGTTGGCCTTGCGGGCAGCTTCAGCATGATCTTTGATCCACTGATCCGTCCACTCGACTGTCTTGCTCCACCAGTCCGGATACGAGTGGAACGTGCCGAAGTCAATGGTGTCCAGAGCGATGTCAGCTGCGAAGTCTCCTCCATTCTTCCCGTTATATGCCCAGTCATCGGATTCGATATTGAAATCGCCTTCGCCGCCCCAAGTTACGAGATGGTTTGGATCGAGTTCCTTGATGTATGCGCTCATCTCTGAGATCCAAGCGCCGAGGACATGGGGATCGCAGCCGTCTTCGCTCCTCGGGAGATTTCGCACGCCATCTGCGCCGCACCTAGGTTCATTTCCAAGCTGCACCGCCAGTCAGCCGCTTGAAATCAGTCGACGCAACCTCTAGGCTCGAATATGGGGAACCCCTGACCTCCCAAGCAAAGATTGTGGGTGAATCTTTGTATCGAGTCACAAACTCTTTGACATAACGCTTAAAAGCGTCCTTGATTCGGGGCACCTTGTAGAACTATAAGAAGTCAGAATTGAAAGTTCGGGACTGTCTAGGATGAATACTGACATCGTCATGATACTGACCGCCAAGATTCACGACATAAACATCAGAGCCTCCATAGTCGGCCCAGTTGTTTGTCAGCGCAACTAAGAGCTTGATGTTGTTCTTCTCTGCGGCTGATACTACTCGGTCAAAGGGAGTGACGTCAATCGTGGATTTTCCATTGTCCCATCGCTGAAAGACGACCTCGGTGGCTCCAGCGCCCTCGTCGCCATATTTGGGAAGACCATCGGGATTGTAGGTGACATTCTTGTCGTTGAATCCCCAGGTGCGGAACACCTTGAGCTTTGCCTCACGGGCTGCCTTCAGCCCCTTTTCGACATCCTCATCCGTCTAGAGGACAAGTCTTAGTCGCGCTGCCGCTCTATCATACACAACGGTTTGGACTTACACCAGAGAAAGGAAAATAATACGCATTGGACCCGGCAAAGTAAAAATCTTTCCCATCCAACTTGAACTTCCCACCCTCGGTCGTAACGAAACCTGGAGGGACCTGATTTCGCGGATGAGGGACCGCGTTTGCCGGCTCCGACAGAAGTAGGCACCATGGCACCGCTTGGACACAATTGAAGCGCATATCGATGGTGGGGCAAGAATTTGTCCTTTAGAGCATCACTGATTCAATATGAGGTGTGGCCATGGCAGTGCTCTACTTATGGTATCAAGAGATTGGCCAAGACCACTCTCCTCTATGTCGCGATGGACACATCTCTTCCAGAACAGGCCAAGTAGGGTGGAATTGCGGCTTCAGAGCCGGGGCCGCGGTGCGGTTAATTGTGCGGGAAAACACATCTCCACGAGTTACGGTTTCCTTCGGGGTTGTTTTCCAAATGGACACCGTGCCGGAATGATAAATTGCCGTAGACGTTCTCGAACTTCCGTTTTTCCTTTACCGAAGCCCCTCACCGTCGACTTGGTCCTGTTTAGTCGGACGATGTATGTGCCTAGCTTTGCCAGACCAGCGGAAGCATGGGAGCATTACATCAACGAGTCTCTCCAAGCTATACCATACCCTAAGGGGGTTCTCTGCTTGGCATTCATCGGATCCTGGACCGATATGCCGGGACTTGTCTTTTATCTGGGCTATAATCCAAAAGCCCTTGATCAATATCGGCCCTGAAGACTTGGTGAGCAGCTATTGTGGCCCGTCTTTTGACTGGCGTTCTCAGAATATGGGTCCGCCTGGAATACGGGTAACTTTAGCTCAAGGGAGTTGCTTTGAACACTCTTGTGTTATGTCATTGACTGCTTTCCATGGACAAAGCGGGATATATTTCTCGTATCATCTTCCCTCCATTAACCCAACCGGCTTTTTCTATTCGCAAAAACCCAAGCTCTAAAGATGAATGAACCTAGCAACAACTCCAAAGGAAAAAAAAAGAAAAAAGGAAACAAAAAGGACAAAAGACTGCGACCATGCCATTCCGTATTATTCCTTGACGCCAAACTCCTGTGTTTATACAATATCATTGCCGCTCAAGTATATTCCCACAGGAACATTCTTATGCGAGCGACACCTCTGCTCAGCCGAATATCCTGTTCCTCTATGCTCGGTAGACGAATGCCACGCAGTGGAGACGAGCCCCAAAAGAAAGAGTCCCTCAAACCTTTGATTCTAGGATGAGGCACCTGTTCCTTGACGATCGTCCACACAGAAGCCTTTTGCGATATCTTGAGGTCGTGTCTCCATAACATGTCTCGTGCCTGTTGACTACTAGCGGCGTGGCTGTCCTCATTTGTATCACGGACCCATGATACCTCGCGCTCGAAACGAGAAGGCAGGCCGAATGTATGACCCATCATATTCCACACATCATGCCAGTAGTCCTCACTTCCGGGCAACTTGCAATCCAGTCTCTCCGTGCTAGGTCTGAACACACGCGTGGGCGCACAGATCGGAAGGGGCGAGTAGTGCTGGCCCCTACTCGTCATCGGGTCCGGGTGGATCCACCCTCTGGTTGAGATGATGGCACCAGTCCCCTTTTTCGCGCTATCCAGGACAACCTCGCATTCTCCATTCAGTAGCCCGGGTCCTTTGGAGCTCTCGGTTTTTAGAATGGCTCGAAGAACTTGGCGTTCCAGATCAATCCACTCGAGGGCGCCGGCGATCTTCCGAGCTTTTTCCCGGGACTCCAACGAGTAAAACTCGATGTCAAGCGTCGGGCGATCGCCTTTTGAAGGCCCCCAGGTGTGCGGGCACCCTGCTCGTTTCTTAGAGTCTTCGTTCTGGCAAGATTCCGACATGTGGAGTTCAATGTCGGCAATGTTGCTAGACAGTTTATAGAAATCCAGAGCATTGTTCTTGAACAGGTGGGCCAACTCGAGCGATGACCCCAGCGGGTGCCGTAGCCATCTCTTCCAGACTGGAACGCTCTTCTTCCTTACAGATCCTTCTATTAGGTACGCATCTTGGGGGGTTCCGGTCCTTGGCAGTGGCTCTTCGACTGGAACTTCCTCGAACGCCTTTGTGACGTCTTTTCCGAGTTTGTCTAATGACAGCAGGTATGTGTTCATGACCTGTTGTTGATCCTCCCACAGCGTCGTCTCGTTTGATACAATGTCTGGCCGGATCCAGCCGAGGATACTCCCTTTGAGTTCCGTGAAACCGTCGCCTTGAGGAGCCGGAGCGGTGAGTCGTGCCTGCATCTCTTCTATCACCCGGGCCGTGTCCTGCAGAGCCATTTTCTGTGCTGCTCCTATGGTCGGTTCCACCCGAGACAAGGCTTGTGTGAGTTGCTTGGCGACCTGGCACTGCCTCACTACTGCCCGCATGCCCCTTTCATCTTTTGCACTCGAAAGGAAGAGGCTCGTCATGTTGGCCCTCCTGCTTTTCGTTTTGCCCGTAATCTCCCAGTTTTCAGAACTTGGTTTCTTGTACGTGCGCAGTTCCTCCCACTTGATGGGACCCTGGCAGATGTTGTCAACGTAATCGCTACTGCGCCTCAGAAGTTTGTCTGTGGCTGCCGCCGAAGAGCTCATCAGGACGTTCGAGAGGTCCAGGACTGGCTGGTGTACCGGCAGTAACAGTACCTCGCCGTCCTCGACATTGCGAAACCGGTGCGCGTCCTCGACAACGAGCAGAATTCCAAGACCAAGTACTGCCATGAACACAAGTCCGACTAGGCAGCTTAGACAACGCTTCACTCTTCGCGCGCGGTGGATGGGCAATCCGTAAAGATATTCGCCCTCCTGCTCGACCCTGGCTTGTTGCCTCGCTTCTTTGGGTGTGGACTCTAGAAAGGTTGGTCGCTCTGGACGTCTGAGTCCTGGCGCTTCAACAAGGGGTCTTACGACTCTTGCCCGTTGTTGCTGTCTTGGACGTTCATTCACCGGTCTTCCCCACACAAAGGTAGACTCGTCGGGTGTGTCTACTGTCAGAGGCACGCCGAATCTGTTATTTGGCCTTGGCCTTGGCGTGGGCGTGTCATCAGCCATTGTTGTGCTGCTAGACTCGTGGTGCGATAAGTCACCCTGGGGAGGTGATGGAGGTGTAACCTCTGGATTCCTTTGGTGAGACTCATCATTCTCCGCGGGGCTGGATGCGTTGGGCCGTGTAGACAGGTTAATGAGGGGAGGTTGCTCTAGACGGAGAGGTTGTTCTAGACGGCGAGGTTGTACTAGACGGAGAGGTTGTTCTAGATGGAGAGGTTGTTCTAGGTGGAGAGGTTGTTCTAGGCGAATTGGTTGTTCCAGACGGACTGGTTGCTCTAGGCGAACTGGTTGCTCTAGGCGAACAGGTTGCTCTAGGCGAACTGGCTGCTCTATGCGAAGAGCTTGCTCCAGGCGAGTAGGGCTTAAGCGAGGCACAGGAGGGGGGGCTGGCCTCCATTGCGGTGGGCTCTTATCCTTGGCTGGAATCGCATCCTGGGCTTGCGCCTGCTCTTCCTGTTGCGGTTCGATGTCTCCTTTCTTCGTTTGAGTATCAGTAGACTCGAACTTTGGTACTGGGGGCTTCTTGGTCGCAGTCTTCTTCTTCTTCGGTTGTGTTTTCCTAGGCTTACTGGGCGTTGGCTCAACCGGTGCGGCCGGACCTGCGGCTGCGGCCGGACCGCGCGGGCGCAGTCTTCTGACCGACCATGTGTTATCCATGGCTCAGTCGTTGAATATTCAACCTGGGGATGTTGTTTTCCCTTGGCTATGTCTTAATCTGCAGTTAGTGCTAAAGAATAGAGTTAAGCGGAAAATGGGTATGAAGAAAACGAGCGACGTCGCAGGGTTGGGGGCAACCAGAGCGTTCTTATTTTGATCAGGGGTTCAAGCTGGAAGAGAAACGGGATTCCTTGGGCGGATGAGCTTTGTTTAACTCATCAGTTTGTAGAGGTACCGGGACAATTGTAGTTTGCCAAGGGACATCCCGCCTTTCACGATTCTCTGCTTGCATGGGGCAGCGAGGGGACAAAGCTTGTTCTCTTGCGGCACAAGGAAACCCGTGTTTGCTATCATTAGATTCCAATTCTTTGTTTGTTAGCTGTGAATCAACGTGCTACGTAGTCACATGAAGCATTGATTCAATGCTACCCCTTGCATGGAGCGGAGAAGGTTTGTTCCCAACTGTCTGGTGTTGTGCTGGTCTCAGGTAATCACCCATGGTGGAAGATTCGGGGCTGTAGGCATTTAGATGTTGACGCCGGTGAATGTCTCGTCTCAAAAACAAAACATAGATTCCGTGTATTTCAATCTGTCGGAGTACTGAAAGCAACTAGAGCTAAAACACGACCTGCCAATTTCGTTCCCGTTCACCAAAGTCATCATTTTCCAAACAATTTGTTCCAGCTAAAGTCGTTAATCGTTATCGTACTGATACCTCGGACCGCCCATGAGGCGACCAGTCCTCCCTTGCAAAATCAAGATGCATCGATAGCGACCAAAGCTTCCGATGGCTTGATACTCTTCTTCTTCTCCTTCAGCACAAACATTGTGCCCACCCAGCCGTACGCCCGATGCATGCGTCTTCCGTAGTGTCGTGCCGTCTCAAATGGCAACTTTGGGTCCGGGTGAGGCTCGTGAAATTGAACCCCCCTCAGGTTGCTGTCGACCCGGTGGAACTGCCATGCTGATCCCTGACTCTTCTCGGCTGAGAACAAGCCGGTAGAGGTCATAGCGTAGACGAAGTCAGTCCATGCAAGCATTCCGGGTGTTGATGTAACGTTGGGATTGTAGAAGACTGTTCTGAAAACTTTCAGGGAACGTGCATCGACGGGGATTGAGGGCAGATCAGCCACTGGGGGGGCCATCGCTTGAACGTCAATGGCAAGAGAGGCTTCATGTTGGTTCTCAGATGGCTGCCCTTTTGTCTTGGTCTTTGTCTTAGTCTTTGCCTTGTCTCTCGCATGTCTGGACTGTCCTTGGTCTTGGTGGCCAATAAAGAGATTGGACAATGGTCTGTAGATCATGTCGACAGCATCGACATTGTTCACCTGTGAGGCTTTGGCTTGCTTGGTCTTTGGGTCGACCCATTCTGGGGTCCTCTGGATATGACGGGGCTGCGAGAGCATTCTCCAAAAGGCAAAGCGGTCCAGTTCTGAACATTCTTTCTGGATGATCTTATCAATCTGAACCCAGAAGTACTCAAGGGTCTCCTCTGCCCGCCGCATCGTCTCGGTTGTTTCCTTGGTTCGCCGACCGGAAGTTGGATACTCAAGCTTCTTGTCCGACGGATCGCACAATTTCGCCGCTTGCATGATTTTCTTCTCGTCAAGGCTCTTCCTCACAGTTTCCAAAGGGCCTGCATTCTTTACGAATTCCGCCGTGATCCCTTTCTGCTGTTCAAAAAGCTTGTCCTCGAAGCCCCTCGCCCAAGGCAAGAAATGGTCAATCTGGTCACAGCATTGAGAGATGATGGATAGATCACCAATTAGTCCTGCAACTGTTGGAGAGATGAGCTTCTTCGCGCTGGGGTTGGACTGAACCACGCGATCGAGCTCGTCCATGACGGTGGCGAGGCCAAGCAAGGAAAGATCTTTTTCCTTGTCCTTTCTCCACATCAATTGGAGAAGCATGGTGGCGTCGCTCTCAGGCTCGCTCATGCATGCATCGGGCTCCATTATGACCTGGTCTCTGGAGCTGAACGCATTTCGCGGCGGCAGTCGAACGTAATATTTACGAGCAGTGGGGGATGCTGGAAAGGCCGTTTGTAGCTGACCAAATGATGAATTGGATGACTGCCCGAGATAGTGCCTGAATCTCAAGATGGCAGAGAGGAAGTCATCGGGCAGATCTTCATCCGAAGAGAGCGTGCTTTCGTATCTCTTGTGCAGCGACCGTAGCGTTTGAGCCTGCTCCCGAAGCCTGGTAAAGATTTCCAGTTGTTCGATGGCAGTGGCGATGACAGATCCCACCACGCGAGAGAGGAACTCATCTTTGCGGGCCCCCTTGAGGATTGGGTGAGTTTGACCCATTGTATCCTTGAGGGTTTCCTTCCGGTGCTCTCTGGCAGCCTGAATCGTATCAGCGAAGTAGCCCGGATCAATGCGCATCGACCAGAAATGATCGTCTGCGGCAGACTCGGCAGCTCCGAGAATCGCCTCTATCTGGTCAAAACTGATCTCGGCGGGGAGGCGATATGGACGTTCAGCAGCCATCGCTGCGAATGACTCGAATCCATCTATTTCTGCATTCCTCTTGAGATGGGGCTCCGGCTGGATAACCGAGTCTCCACCAACAAGAGACTCAGCAGGAATGTCGTGAAGAATAATCTTGCAAACCTTGACGAGGAATTCCATGAGCCTCTCTTGGGCTTCAAGGACCAGCAGACCTTCTCCTGGTAAGAATTGAGACCTGGTCTTCATCCATTCAAACGTGTCTTTATGTTCATTCCACGCAAGGAGCGTGCCATATTTCTCTCGGTCTGAAATCTTATGTAGAATCATGACATGTTCGTTGAGGTAGATGGGCATCACCTTCTTGGCGGCAAGCCCCAGATGCATGGCTTCGAAGTCAGCGGCAGCAAACTCTGTCGGCTGGTGTCGACCACGAGCATTCAGCAGCAGGAGTAACGACCTCGGCTTGAGCAAGTCTTCCTTGTTGATGTGTGGCCATTTGAAAGAATCGATGTGGGCCTTGACATCGGCTGGCCCCGACAGCTTGGCTTTTTTGTAGAGCGCGACAAGGTCCGGTCGATGGATTTCAGCCATACCGGGCCAAGCCTTGTCGAGAACCTCAGCCTGTTGGGTCCTCTTCTTCTTGGTCCAGCGGCTCTGGATGATGCTCTCATGTCGTAAGAGGATGGCATTCAGAGTATCATAGTTGGCAAAGATGCTGGAGGCTTTCTGCTTTGCTTCTTGAATGACCTCCTCAAGGGTCTTGGAAGAGGCTTGGGTGTCTAGGAGCCTGGTTACGGTCGCTGAATCACCGTCACACCAGGGCTCGAGACTGAAGTCTTGGGGTCCTTCATCACCTGGGGCAGAGGGGTCAAATACTTGCTCTGGGTTGGGATCCATGATGAGCGGCAGGAGGAATGTTGGCCAGTGTGTTCAGTCGATGGACAGCAAGTGAAGAGATGAGAGGATGAAGGAGAAGAGAGAGGGGAAGCGGGGAGACACAAAGTGCAGCATCAGGCAGCCTCACTGCGTCGTCGCCTGCATATTGTGGCTTACTAACATGAGACATGTTACGTGAGAGGTAGGAAGTACCCAGGGCCAAGCCACCGTGGTAGTAAGGTGTGCATTGTTCTGTACAACCAGACCCTGAGGAGTTGGTAGAAATCGTTGATCGGGGCGTATTTCCTTCACCATTCGGCGATTTTAGAATATATTGCTGGGATGTTTTAATCGGGGAGTCATCAATTGATCCCTGGAAAACAATCGTCAGTCGGGGTGTGGTTCAGGGATCTGATTGGCTAATAATAGTGGACCGCGCCTCCACCTTACTAAACGCCCGACCCGCCTACTGTCGGGTATCAGTTTGAGTGGGACCGACACCCAACCAAGTAACAGGACTGCAAAGGTCAATATTGAGAGACAATACTTGATAATAATTATGATAATAATTATGATACATTGTTGAGTAATTGCTATGCAATATTATCTGCTGACTATTGCACAAAAAGAAGCATTGTTATGTGACTGTCTGCCACAATAATTCTGCGCAGTGACTTTGCAGTCCTCATGTTGATTAGTTAAGCGCCCCACATAAATTCCCAAATTTTGCTTGTGACGGATGTCCAGTTGTTATTAATGTCATTTCACACTTCGCTCTTACATCTCATCTTCATGATGCCTGTAGAACCGCTCCACCGTCATCAGTCTTCCCTTGAGGGAATCCTTGACTTTTCGGCTCGGCCACCCTTGGACCCAGCTCAACGCCAAGCAGCTGACCAGCGATTCACTGAGCTCATAAAGCGCTTTGACCAACCTCCTATGGAGGGCGAAGATGTCAAATACGACCGTGTCAAACTTGTTCAACTGACGTACCAATACTCCCTGAGCGATGAGTCAAAGGGGGCTTTTCTTCGTGCATTCTTCGAGTCAATCGGGACTCCAATAAGCGAGGATTTCAATACCGCTGAAATTAATTTACCCAATACCGCTGAAATTAATTCACCCAATACCGATGAAATTAATTTACCCAATACCGCTCTCCGTTCTTCCATATTCTCATTTGCTGATTATTTGTTTGAAAACTTCTTTATGCCACGTAAGCCATGGCTGCCCCCTTTCAGCTTTCAACAAGGTAGCTCTCATTAACCACTGCCAACAATCTAGTGAAAGCATCAACCAGGAAAACTCCCCAGCCAACACCCGGGTCGCAATCGGCTGTTCTCGCCCTGCAACAAGGTGCTGTTACATTTCTGGGCACTCCAGAGCGAGTTTCGGCTCTTAGAGGAGCTTGTCTTATTCGAGATCGCCATCGATGTGTCATTACGCGGCGATTTGATATTGAGCAAGTCAAGAGGCAGCAAAAAGCCTCTCAAGAACTTCAAGATGATGATGGGAACTCTTTAGCCGGGCACACTCGCTTCTCTAATCTTGAGGTCGCTCATATTATCCCTCATTCACTCACTCGATTAAATGCGAATAGCGAGCTAGTAAGGACTGTTTTCTTTTAACTTACTTATCATATCCATGAACTTGCATTAAATGTTCACATCACCAACACGACGTCTTTATTATATGTTGACTACTAACCCTTTTTTTTCTCTTAGGATCCCTCTAAGGTTGCAGCTCTAGCCATTCTTAACATGTTTGACGTTGGTGCTGCCTTCTTAATTGAGGGGATTAATATCGACCGTCCCGGAAATGCTCTGACTCTTACTCCGAACATGCATTATCATTTTGGAGCTTTTGATATTTATTTTGAGCCTGTGGAGGGTCAAAACCACACTTATTATATCCGGTCCTTCTTGATAGATGGTCTCATTGATGATATCCCAACGACCCGCACTCTCTTCTTAGCTGAATCACGGACTATTGACCCTCCCTCACCGCGATTGCTAGCCATCCATAGGGCCATAGGGCACATTCTCCATCTCTCTGGAGCTGGGGGTTATATTGATGACATCATCCGTGATTATGAAGAACTACACGCAAAGGAAGATGGGTCAACGCAATTAGACCTATTAGTGAAGCTCAAGCTCCAACTTCAAGGAGACCAGGCGGGGCAGGGCGCTATAAGGTCAGCTTCATAGACTGTTTACCAATAATGAAAACAAGCGAGCGTTGATGACAACTTTACTAATTGGTTTACACTCCATGAAACCTCAAGACCTAACAATTCAGGGGCACCAGAAAATTTGAGGACATCAATATTCATCTGCGTATCTTGACACAAGGCAGCCAGGGGCAGTCTCTAGCTTCGGGTTAGAACCTTTGGTATGCTCATCTGTATTGGTAGATGCATTTCGTGTTGCTAGATTTCAGGCTAGTATGACGGAACTGGGCTATCTCGCAGGATGTTGTATTGGGGGCGGGAGCATTCTTAGTAGTATGGCGTAGTCCAGTTCACTTATTGTAATCAGACTGAGTACTGAAAGTAGCCTTTGGTGCGATTGATTTGTAGGATAGTGCTTGGCTGTGTAATGTGCGTAGTCACGATGTGTATCAATTTACGTCACTCGATTGCCACCCAGGGGCAAGAATATAATATATCGGATACTCAACATTCTGGTCCATAGAATGTCATCCAGCTTCGTACCTAGAGTCTGTACAAGCGTTTGAGGGGCTTAAGCCAAGGGTAAGGAAGGCTCTTTGCGCATATATCTCAGTATATTGTAAAGTTCGGGTGTTTCCAACTCGTGGTGAGACCAAAATCGCTGATAGAAGAAACAGCGTTTCATTACCAATCCAGCCTTGCTCGCGTTACTGATATGTGAGGTAAGAAAAAAGAAAATGTCTGGGTCAACTCAAACAGCTGTACGGAAACATTCTGGCGCTATGTGCGACACAGCCACCTTGTCACGTCACTGATATATCATCATCATCTTTGGCTTTGTGAACTCTCTGACAGCCCAGGTTCCGCCAAACCGGCCATAACCGCTGTTTGTCGTACCACCATGAGGAAAGTTTCCTTCATCATGAACACTACCTGCATTGATGTGCACGGCGCCCACATCCAGGCGTCTACCCAGATTGACGGCCCTCAGGGTGTCCTTGGAAAAGATAGAGCAAGACAATCCGTGATCCGTGGCGTGGACAAGTCTTACGGCATCGTCCTCGCTGGATATAGGCTGAACCGCAAGAAGAGGACCAAAGAACTCGGTGCGATGATGTTTGGAATCCGCAGGCACATCTTCAATGAGCGCTGCAGGAATGGCAGGATGCTCACCGGTTGCCGTTGTTACTTTGGCGCCAGCTGCAGCAACCTCTTCCAGTGTCTGGATTATCCTCTGACGGGCCTTGTCTGTGATGACACGGTAAGTGAGAGAGGAAGGCCTATCCAAATGCTTGCGTATTGCTGCAGTGAAGTCCTTCATGATTGCCTCGTGGACAAGGATGCTGTCTGTGGCCATGCAAACTTGGCCATTCTATTGTTAAACCCGATGCATTAGTTAGGATCTTGACAGGCCACAGTGGTGACTTACATTCATCATGGCATGGTTCCAACTCTCTTCTGCTGCCTTTTCGATATCCGCGTCTTCCAGGACTATGCTGATGTTTTTCCCACCAAGTTCTAATAGCACTGGTTTCAGATATTTAGCCGCCGTAACGGCAATAGATCTCCCAACGGCGGTGGACCCCGTAAAGTTAGCCTTCTTTATAAAGGGATGACTGATACAAGTCTCGAACACTTCGACGGCGTCCTCTGGGCGATGAAGAAGGAAGTTGCAGACTCCGGGAGGGAAACCCGACCAGCGGATCAGATTCGCAATAAACCTATGAGTTCTCGGGGATAATTCTGAGCCCTGTGAGTGAAATACTAGTCAGCGGGTTTCAATACAAAGAAGCACCATCCATCGGGCCACATACTCGGAAGATGACGGTATTGCCGGCAGCGAGGGCACCAACGATCGATCGCAACCCGAGAATCAACGGCGCATTCCACGGTGCCATTCCGAGGATAACTCCGTAGGGTTCTTGGATCACGAGGGGATACGCGCCGGGGACCATGGAGTGCAAGATCTGTCCCGCCGCGGCCTCCGAACTCATAGCTGCTGCCGCCTCTTCAATCACACTGACCCCAACGACTAGCTGGATCGTGATCCAATAGTCGTCGCAATGGATTTCTTCTTTGATCATTTGGCCGATCGCCTCTCGGTTGTTTCGGATACCCTAACCCCGTTATGAGAAAGAAGTCATCGACATCAGCGGACGCTGGCAATTTACACACCTCTACTAGCTTCTGGAATAGGGTTCTTCTCTCCCCTACTCGGGTCTGAGACCAGGTTTCAAAGGCCTTCTGAGATCCCTCAACTGCCTTGAGAACCGTGGCTGCGTCCGCGCCTTGAAAAGTCGCTGATGGGCCAGCATTTTCGTCACCGTTATCCAAGGTCCAATGTCGGCTGGTATCCGAATGTTTAACGTCCGCTCCGTTGATGAGAAGGGGGATGAAAGCACCCTTTGGCGGGATCAACGTCGCATCAGCGCCGTTGGAATGCGCTCCGTTGTTCGAGGCCATTGGTGATGTATTCTGCGTGCTTTGTGGGGAATTAGGGGTCCATCAGATGAGACGAAAACTGACCGAAGGACGGATCCAGGTAAAGAGTCATTATCAATCTAAATGAGGGGAGATCGGATAAACTGATCCCATGTGCGGAGTTGATCATGGTCGCTAGGGATTTAGTAAGGATGGTCGCGCGACCGAAGAGGGTCGATTGTGCCAGGGGGCAAATACAGCGATGACGGAAAGAACAAGGCAGGACCACCTTCCGGCTCGGAATCGGGACAGCCCCCCAACTTCCGACCACCTCACGAGGCACAGTGGACAGACGGTGGACACAGCGGGACACAGCGGCTGGCCCACAGCACACTCGGCCCCTCAATGCCCGTAGCTAGGGGACTTTGGCCTGATGGAGGCTCCCGTCAGCAGACTCTGCCAAAGTACCTAGGCCCAGCTGATTATTCCATTGTCGCAAGGTCCCGAGGAAATTTAACGCCTTGATTTTTTTGGATTATAAAACATGTCAGGCGGGCAGCTTAAGAGCCGATAGCAAGAAAGAAAGGAAGAAGAAGATGCGAGCAGATAATAAAAAGAAAAGCAAAAAGAAGGCACAATGGTGGAGTTAAACCACCTAAGATGGACGAACAGGGAATCGAACCCTGGACCACTCCCAATAGATGGCTCAAGAGGTGAGAACATGCTAAGGGAGTATTATACCACTAAACCATTCGCCCAGGAATTGGTTTGTTACATTGCCAGTATGATAAAATTGCTTATATAGCGTGTATTTTGTGTCCATCATAACGAACCGAACCCCTATCCTGGTGGCATTCTGCTGTAATGCCTCGGGAGTACAAATTGCGAGGTAGATCTTGTGGAAGAGGAAAAACATAGCGGTGCTCTAGTAGGTTTTCTTTACTAGACTGAATGCGTAGAGGCTCGGTCGGTGTGAGCCAGCTCAATGATTGCAGCATGTTGTTGTATTTTTATCCGAAGATGCATTGTTCCATTATTTTACCACCAGGTCTCCTCCAAATTTTGAGTTTATTCTCTGAATACAATGCAAACCCCAAGTGATGTTCACAAAAATAAAATTCAACGGTCTACAGCAACAGCTATCAGGTAAAATTCGTCAGGCCATTAGTTCTATCATTCTATGCGTAGAGTTCTATGACTTTGTTTCGCTGGAGGCGTATGAGGTGTATAGGGTAGTTGTCCCTTGCGCACAGATTTTAGGTCCAATTATTAATGAAAGAGGAGTTGATCAAATACTTGCTGCATGCCTGCCTAGCAATTAATTACATACAAATTATCGGGCAACTCGCGCCTTTTCACACCGAGCTCAATCCGGGCAACCCATTCAGCGAGTCCACCGCCAAGAAACCCACCCCGCAAAGACCGCACCGGTGATCCAATGCCCCCATGCCTTGTATCTTAGCTCTGGGCCTCCGTGAAGCCACACCACCAGCCCATCGCCAAACCTGACAAGCGAGATGATTCCCAGAAACGTCGTGAGAGCCTTGTCGAGACCTTGCTGCTGCAGAGCCACCATTGTCGCCCCGTAGGAGATCTCGCGAATCCCCTTGTAGTACATCAGGGGCGACACGAGGCCGGTGGACGCGTCTTCCACGGGACCGGGAGCCTCGAGCGGCAGGCCCATGTGGCCGTATTCCGCGCGAGGGGAGAGCGAGGCCATGACGCCGCGACTGACGCAGGCCGCTCCAAAGATGTATGCAGGGAATGGTGAGTACGTTGTCATGTTGGCGGATGTCGTGACTCGCTGGGGAAGCCAATGCGGGGCCTCGGATGCTATCCTGGGTTGAGCCGAAGATGGGTTGGAGGGGAGCTTTCACGCGTCGCCCTGTCACTCGGAACTGCCTTCGTCGCGACTTGCCTTGCTTGCAGGCAAGGTCGGTTGCTCGGTATGCTATGTCACCGTCCAGGCGTGTCGTGAGAGGTGCGGAGTCAGAGGATGGAGTGTTGATGAGCGCTGATGTCCACAGAGCCTGGTCTCGGCACGAATAGCCGCGCTTATCCGCTATTCCTCTTCGTCAGGAGTCAGCATTCGCCAATCAAGCAAAGAGCTCCCGCCTTGCTCTAGCACCGTTTGGGTAGAGATTCTGTTTCGATGCGCGATCTCTTCCTGGGCTCGCCAGAAGGGTGACGTAAAACGAGGTGCACGAGAATGTCGCGCGCAACCTCCGATTGTAAGTATGGGCATGCCATTCAATGGTCAACGAAACAAAAGGAAGCCTAATCATTATAAAGTGAATAATTAATTTTTACATGGTGCACTGTGTTGATACATTGTTATAGTGTCTATTTGGATGTAATTGAAAACTCATCGTTTCATTCCTCTGGTGCGTGGTGTATTATGTCACCCCTGTAACATAACACTTTACCGGTGCCTTTCACAAAATTATACCTAGAAGGAGATGGCCTAAATTTCAAACAAAGAAATGCCGTTGGCTAATCTATTGATGGTTACGTAAATTTGAGGTCCCCTTGCCTTGAGGAGTCGATGTATCAGTGCAGCTTGGAAGAACAGCACGGCCGTTCTCGTGAAACAGCTTTGTTTACCGCTTCGACCTGTTACCTGAACAAGGGAAAAGATGTGTCACATCTCTTGCATAATTTAAGGCATGTCCTCAAGACCGAACTGCTCTCTGGTCTCGGTCGCTCGGGGGTACAAACAAGCCGCGAGTCAATTAGTGCTGTCATGCAAGTAGTAGCCATGCAACATGCCATAGAATTACCACGAAAAGACGATTATAGCTCGCCGTATATACAGGCTGACTCCACACGGATATTGCTTAAACTTCCAAAGATGCTAAGATCTGCATGATTTAACGAACCGAGTTGAGGTATTTTGTCACCCAGCGAGTCTCATTTGCCAAGCTGCATGCAGTGTTTGATATATATCGATCATCGCGGGTGCAAGGCCCACCATTGATGAGAGCTTCCGCCCAAAGAAAGCTTGGAGTTTAGTAAGCGGCATTTCACGGACAGCCAGACATGTCCGAGACGATCTGAAAGATCTAGCCGGGACGGCTAAGGCCACTCATTCTTGTATCCCGGACCCGCAACGACCCCCAGTTGATCGGCAGTTCTCTTCTCGGGAATTCGCGAATGCGGAAAGTGTTCTAATGTTTGACGGAAGCACCTTTGCCGGAATTTCAATGCAATGAAGTTGATGGTCGTATTCGATATAAGAATGATCGACTTCCCAGCTGTTATTCTGAATGCCCTCTCCTCTAGAAACCATCGTCCTGTGTACGTCTTGATGAGCAGGAATAATCTAGAGTTTATTCCACATTGGCTCTTCTATTACGACCTGGTTAGAAGTCTATGATTATTGGATTTGCGACTGGTCATGCATCATATGCTTCCCCTCGCCCTTGGGGGCGTTTCTTTGATTCTTTATGCACTTTTTTCCATCTTCCGGTCGCTGTTTTCATCCACACGAGCTGTCCCCGGGCCGTTCCTAGCTAGGTTTAGCAACTTCTGGTATTCTAGAAGGCTTTATACCGGAAAATTTGAGACAGAGAACTGTGAGCTTCATAAGATATATGGTACGTGCTTGACCGAGTTTGCAAGATGGCGCTGGATTCAAGTCTAACATGCCTCTCCAGGGCCTATCGTTCGCTACGGACCAAACCGCTTCAGCTTCGATGACCCCGAGGCGACAAAGATCATTTTCGGCCACGGAACCCAGTTCGCAAAGTCCTCCTGGTACGACGCATGGGGCATCCCCGGAGCATGGAACCTCTTCAATGAGCGCCATATAAAAACCCACGCGCAGAACAGAAGACTCTACCAGAGCACATACTCCATGTCCAGCCTGGTCCACTATGAGCCGTACGTGGACGAGTGCGCCGATCTCTTCAGCCAGAGGCTGCTCGAGGTTTCCGAGGCCGGCATTGCCATTGACATGGCTCACTGGTTCCAGTGCTATGCTTTTGATGTCATCGGGCAAATTACGTATGCGGAACGGTTGGGATTTCTGGATAAAGGGGAGGATATTGCGGGCTTCATCCAAGCCCTCGACCAGAGCTTCATCTACTCCGCGCTTGTTGGATTATTCCCAAGTCTTCACCCCAAGCTGTTTGCTTTGGCAAACTACATCGAAGGAAACAGCGGCGTAGGGACGCAGTACGTCAGCAATTTGACACAGAGAAAGATAGATCAGCATAAAGCTGAGCCAAAAGTCATCCCCACGGATGGGGACCACGCTGAGCCATTTGTGTCCAAGTACTTGAGACAGCATACCGACGACCCGGTTAGGTTTACAAAGTACCACATCCTGAACGGGTGCAGTTCCAACATGATCGCTGGCTCTGACACGACAGCAATCAGCCTCTCGGCCACTCTGTACTATCTGCTGAAAACTCCCCGCTGCTTGGAAAAACTGCGGACGGAAATTCTCGAGTTCCAAGAGCAGGGAAGGATTTCCAAGTCGCCGACCTTCAAAGAGAGCCAGGACATGCCGTACCTGCAAGCTGTGATCAAAGAGGCATTACGCATGCATCCTGCCACGGGTCTACCCCTCGAGCGGGTCGTCCCAGAGGGTGGTGCTACGATCAGCGGCACTTTCTTTCCAGAAGGCGTGAGTGCTCCGCTGAACCTTTGGGCTCGGTTTCTCTTCGCTTGACTAACTTGTAATTCCCCTAGACAATTGTATCGGTAAACACGTGGGTACAGCACCGCAACCGAAGCGTTTTCGGCGAGGATGCCGACAGCTTCAATCCCGAGAGATGGCTGTCCAACGATGCGGAAAGAATTTCGCTGATGAATCGCTACTGGATGCCCGTAAGCCTTCTGACGCAGCCACTTCTAGGACGCTTGTTCTTTGCTGACTCTGTATTATTAGTTTGGTCTGGGCTCTCGAACCTGCATAGGGCGGCACATTTCAATGCTGGAGATGTGTAAACTCATCCCACGTATTGTCCGAGACTTTGATTTCCAGCTTGATGGAAGCATAGCGAATCCAGATGTCTCCTGGAAGACAACGGCTTACTGGTTTGTGAAGCCTAGGGACTTCAATGTTCGAGTCACTCCACGCCAAGAGGTCTACACCGAGAAGACGGCTGTAGCTTGATTTTATCCTTTTTTTTCATTGCTGTAATAGTATAAAACCATAGCCTGCGTCGAGAATGCGCATCTTGTGATCTGATTTTCATCTTCGGACCAGGGGAAAATACCGGTATGATGCAGCGCCAGCACGTAATGAATCAAGGCTGAGGGGTGGCCACGCTCCTTTGACTGAGCTCCTGCGACCGATGGGACCTACCTACTTGAGAAACCTTGATATTTATTTGCCCTGCGGCCTGAATCCTGGCCCATTGTTATTGAGGTTACGACCATTGTTGCGCCCGTATTGATTGATGCCAACGACCAACAGGCACATGCAAATGCAACCGTAAGCAAGATAACCAACGGCGGTCGCCTCGCTGCCTCGTCATGATGCGGGGAAAGCTCTCGTCGCAACATCATTCCCTTTCCCTCATCTACTCACATCCCTAAGGCGCGGCAAGATGGAGATCCAGTACGCAACCCTCAACACATATCAGTTTGAGATCAGGCTTCTCACAGTCGGCCCCGGAAAGGCTGCGGATGAGCTGCGCTGCTCGCTCTCTGTGGTGTCCTTGAACACGAATCCCAAATATGAGGCCCTTTCGTACGTCTGGGGCGATCCGTCCATCACAGCCAATATCACAGTGGACGGGACCTCGCATCCGGTCACTGCGAACTTGAAATATGCACTCTGCGCTCTGCGGGGGCTTTCAAAGCCGCGAATCATTTGGGTGGATGCGATCTGCATCAACCGGGAGGATCTCGTCGAGAAGAACAATCAGATCCCGCTCATGGCAAGGATCTACTCTGCGGCCTTCAACGTCGTCGTGTCCCTTGGGCCGGGCAGCCCAAGCCTGGATTATTTTGCGCAGTGGGCGGATGCCCATCATTCAAAAAGGCCCTTCTCATTTCGTTGGATCCAGAGGAACGTTCTACCGGGACTCACGCCTACGGCACGGGCGCAGAAGCGGATACGAGACGCCAAGTTCTTGAGATCAGAGATGTCATTCTGGAAGCATCAATACTTTCGGCGCATGTGGACGGTCCAGGAGCTTGCCCTGGCCCATAAACCGCCCATTGTTTTCATCGGGCAGAAGTCGGTTCTTCTCACGAGAGCCAATGACGAATGGGTGTCGCTGCTTGAGAATTGCGAAAGCGCTTATGCCAAAGTCTCTGAGAGCAGATTTGTTCGCCTCAGATCCAAAGAGGAGTTCAAGAATATCCTGGAACAGGTTCATGCTATGATGGATCCGCCGGCGCTCCGAGAAAGCACCATCACGGCTTCTCCACACCTGGTTCAGATATTCCCTATGCAACTGTCTTCCACGGCGCACCGGGATTGCTTTGATCCTCGGGACAGGATCTTCGCGCTGTACCCCTTGTTTCCTGAGCTCCAGGCAGTCTGCCCCGCCGATTATCGAAAACCACCTGAGCAGGTTCTCATGGATACCTTGACTTATATACTGGAGCACCACCCCATGTTCTTCTCCGTCATCCATACATGGCCGTTGAGACCGCACAGGCTGGAGGATGAAAGCTACCCAACCTGGCTGCCTGACATAACTGGGCGCCAGCCTGCTGGTGTCACAGGTTCGGGGTTCTATGAAGGTGCCCGGCATGTCCGTTCGAGGCCGGTAATCGACAACAACATTCTGTTTGTTGATGCATGGATGGTTGGCAAATGCAAAGTCGTGCTCCGTTTCGAGGACAGCGCAGCGAGGAACTTGGATACGATGTTCCAATATCTGGACGGAGTAATGGAAGCATCACTCGAATATGAGTCTTGGGGCATAAGAGAGCTGGATGGGACGAAGATACACCGGCGCATTGCTTACGCCTGCTACTATCATGATCACGTCGGGCCACCAGAATTTCCGGAGGAGGAATATCACCAAATACAGGCAGAAGTTGAGGCTCGGGGCGCTGAAAATCTCCCATGGCAGCGCCTGCCCAAGTCGCTGCAGATTCTCAGAGACAAAGCAGAGCGCCTGGCCGGCAAGGTCCTTTTTGTTACCCGTTCTGGCCTGTTTGGGATCTGCTCGGACTTGATTGAGGATGGGGATTACTTGTTTGTCTCGCCCTCTCTGTATCAGCCGATGCCGCTCCGGATCCGAGGTGAGTATTGCGATGGGAACGATAGGCGATATGCGAGGCTTGTTGATTTTGCCTTTGTCGACGGTCTGATTGGGGATAGCAAGCATGATGCTGTCCTGAAATTTGTTGAGTCGCAAAAGCTTACGAGGCTTCGAATTGGATGAGAGCGTGGTGACCCAGGCCAATTTGGCGCTAGGGGACATGACCAAGGTTGATGGTTAGGATGGTCGGTAATTTTCAGATTGTGAGGGAGTTCTAATTAGCCAATTCAGCGTGAATTCTTTGTTTCCTCTTTGAAGGCTTAAATGGTAGACATGAACGGAAAACTTTCCATGCCTTGGCAACCTTTGAACTTGTTGTGCACGGCGACGACGCACGCATTTGGCGACCACCCTCGAGGGAGCGCAAAATTGCTGTGCAAGCCGGAGCATGTTGCGCACTCACCAATCCTCTGCTCGTGGGTCAATCATTCGCATGGAGGGGCCTTCTGGGGCTAAAATTGCTGTGCTGCGGCAGCGACGGCGGGAGGGAGAAGAGAGGAGAGGCGTACTTTGTGTGGCCAGTTTTCTGATTGGTTTGAAGTGGTCAACGTCGGGGCATGCCATGTCGTATCGTAGGTACATGTTTAGACCTCGGTCATGTCCTGGGGACGTAAAAGCTACTGGAGCTGTTGGCAATCCGCCCTGGTGAGCTTTTGGTTGGCGACGCAGGCCGAAGAGCTTAGTCAGCATATTTGAAGTGACTGGGTAGCTTCGAGCCTTTTCCCTAGGTAAATTGTGATCGCTTGTTACTGTGTTATTACTTCTCGTTAAATAGAAGCAGAGGAAATGATATGATGGCATCAAAGAGAGATGCGAGCCATACCTACCCAGACGAGCTTGCCGGGCTCTGATTTTGAATTGCGGGCGGTATACACGGGAAGGTACCTGAGCTGCTCCTCCCCACCTCAGACTGTTCTCGGCACTCTCATGAGCATCCCCACCAAATCTCACGGACTCATCTTTTGGTGCCGAAGCTGCACCTCGTCCGGTCGCGACACAGTAGAAAACCAGCCAGCTCCCCCAGCCGACAAGGTTCCCTCATTGGCATCCAGTTCGCAAACAGGGAGCGAGTCCAATTGAATTATACACAAGATGAATTCGGTATTTGCGACGGCTCGGCTGGGTCTCTCTGGCAGACAGCCAAAGGCGACCTTGGTTTGTCGCATCTCACTCAGAACAGCCCCGGCCCAGCACATGCGCCGAGGGTTCGCATCGACCAGAATTGTGCTTTCCGCCACCGCTGTAAAGAGCAATTCAAAGCTGTTCAGGGACGCGGATGCCGCCGTCGCCGACGTGCAAAGCGGATCCACCATCCTGAGCTCAGGCTTTGGCCTCTGTGGTGTTGCAGGTACGTCTTGAGTGGACCAGAAAAGGAGTGCAAGGGAACTGCTAATCGAAGTGCTCCTGCCGTCAGATACCCTTATTTCCGCGCTGCACCGACGTGGCCCAGAGTCGCTCCATTCCCTCCGCGCCGTCTCCAATAATGCGGGCCAAGAAGGAAAAGGTGGCCTTGCTACGCTCACCAGCTCAGGCCAGGTTGACCGACTTGTGCTGTCATACCTGGGAAACAACAAGGTCCTCGAGAAGAAATACCTGTCCGGAGAACTCGCAATCGAGCTCTGCCCTCAGGGCACTCTGGCCGAGAGAATCAGAGCGGCGGGAGCTGGAATCCCTGCATTCTTTACACCTACAGCTGCGCGTAAGTTGGATTGTCTAGCGCTAATTGCGCATTTTCCTACAAGGAGCGAGAATGAGATATGCTGACCGTTTGCATTTTGCGACCAGACACTCTTCTCCAAGAGGGAGAGATTCCCGTGCGGTTAGACAAGTCCGGGGCCGTCATCCAAGCCGGACGAAAGCGCGAGACAAGAGAGTTTGGAGGACGAACGTTTCTGTTGGAGGAGAGTCTGCCTGGTGATGTTGCCATTATTAGGGCCTGGAAGGCCGACAAGGAGGGCAACTGCGTTTTCAGGTATGTTTAGCCACATTTCCATGCGAGCGATTCTGGATCAAAGGGAAGCAATCTTCTGACAACTGGTAATAGATATACCACCAAAGCTTTTGGGCCAATCATGGCCAAGGCTGCCAAGTTGACGATCGTGGAGGCGGAGCACATCGTTGAAGTCGGAGAGATCGACCCGAACCAGGTCGACTTGCCCGGAATTTTCGTCGATCGCATCGTGCCATCGACCGCCGAGAAGCAGATTGAGGTTTTGAAACTAAGAGAGGAGGGCGTGGATGTCAAGTCAGTCAGCTCGGCGCAGCAGAAGAGATTAAGGATCGCTGGCCGGGCTGCCAAGGAACTGAAGCATGGTTACTACGTCAATCTGGGTGTTGGTAAGTTCTTTACTGATAAACAGCTATCTACAGTGTTCTATGGGACCTTGCTAATTCAACTACTGCCTAGGTATCCCTACGCTCGCTGCTTCTTTGCTTCCATCCTCCCGTAAGGTTTGGATTCAATCGGAAAACGGACTGCTTGGAATGGGTCCTTATCCCACCAAGGATCAGGTTGACCCGTAAGTGGTTTCCATGCGGTGATGATCCTGGCTAGTAGACTAACCATGGTCTCTTCGTTGTAGTGACATCGTCAATGCCGGCAAAGAGACCGTCACCTTGGTACCAGGCGCCTCCTGCTTCGACTCAGCCGAGTCCTTTGGCATGATCCGTGGTGGCCATGTCGATGTATCCATTCTGGGGGTAAGGACGTTGTGCCCTTCTGGGACTCGAGGTCTTGAGACTAATGATTTCTCTTTCTAGGCCCTACAAGTAAGCGCGACGGGCGATCTAGCCAACTACATGATCCCCGGAAAGGTCTTCAAAGGCATGGGTGGTGCCATGGACCTGGTCGCCAACCCGGATAACACTAAGATTGTTGTTGCCACCGAGCACGTCGCTAAGGACGGATCATCTAAGATTGTCCAGGAATGCTCACTGCCCCTAACAGGTGCTCGCGTCGTCAGCACTATCATTACTGATTTGGTTAGTTCCCTCATCTTTATTCTTGGCTACTGTTTGCTAACTGGCCCAAATAGTGCGTGTTTGAAGTAAACCGTGCCAAGGGCGGCCTGACCCTGACCGAGTTGGCTCCCGGTGTTACTGTTGACGAAGTGAGGAGTAAGACAGATGCTAGATTTGAGGTGCAATTGGATGAAGCCAACACCTACGAGTAATTAAACGGCCGGAGATTTGTTGACCATGTTGTTGCATGGCAATTGTACATAAACAGCTTTTAAACAGGCCACCCATAACTTTCTTCCACGGCAGTTTGTTTGCAAATCGTTTGAGGCGTTATTGAGCTGGAATAAGTCATTGAAGATTAGAGTTATGCTATGTGTCTATTTTCTGACGAACTCCTCAGACTAAATTGCGCCGTTGGAGGCGGCCTATTGACTGCCCAATTCAATTGCTCCTATTCAAGATAGCAGCGTCTTATGAACAAGGACTGCTTTCAGTCTCTGGGATCAAAAGTTCCAAGCTTCCCATCGAGGTGATGGCAACTAGGAGATGGGCATCGTAAAGTTGGTCTTCCGGCTTTGCAAGCTCTTGCACATCGTCTTCGTCAAATGCCGACCTGAGGATTTTCATATTATCTATCACCCTCCAAGCAACGTCTAAGGATGCTGGGTGATCATAACCACCCTTGGACAGCTTCCCATTCAAGACCTCAAAGCTGCGTTTTTCCAACTTCTTGATGTCGGTGTCGATTTCGTTGGTCTTTTTCGTGTAGTCTGTTGCGGGCTGCACCTTTTTTCGAATATCTTTCAACGCATTGTGAGCCAATCCTAGAGACTGGAATATCATGTGCAGCGGCCCGAAATTGTCGTGGGGGGTAGTTGTTTGGTTCATGTTGGTGAGCGTAGGGGTTGTCATGCTGGGTGGGTATCGTTGAGGTCCTTGCACCATTGTTGGGGGTAATTTAAACTTAATTTTGCAGAGCTGGAGCAGAACTCGTAATAGGTAGGGAGGAATTGGGTACATACAATGATGGGCTCACTATTATTCACAAAGTCTTCATAGTAACTTCGTTCCTGGAAACTTGGCAAAAACGAGGCTTGATTTTCTGATGGGAATGTGAATAGAGGACAAAACCCACTTAACAATGGACTGACAAAGGGACTACTAAAAGACAAGGGCGGAAGTCTACGTATGTTTATGAAGCGAAAGTGTGAATCACTGTTTTTGTCGTCATTCGGTCCAAGTTGTGTATCACCTTGACATTGATGCTGTGTAGCTATGAACAATTCTGAGTTTCATCCTCACTAAACACAATCCTAAAGAGCCCCCCCTTATATGGAAACTATTGCTAACAGTGGCGAAACAATGCAGACTCTTTGATGAATCGTAAAGATTCAATGGAATTCTCAAACAGCTCACCAGAGGGAGAGATGGGGTGCGAGTTGTCGATCAACGACGTTCGCTCTCATTTGGATGAATCCTCTGTGTGCGAGATGTCGGTGCCCTCGGTGACGGAGATGCGGGCAACCCATTTACGCGAGATGCGTGCATAGAATACCTCTCCTGGCGATTCACGGGTACGGGAAACCTCTCTAGGGGAGTCTTGAGCACGGGAAACCTCTCTAGGGGAGTCTTGAGCACAGGTAGCCTCCCTGGGGGAGTCCTGAATACGGGTCTCCTCTGTTGATGCGACTCGGGTGCCTTCTGTGTTCGAGATCCGTCTGATTCGGGATATTCCGCCAAGGAGCTTTCCAACGCTTCCATAGAATCCTCACAATATTCGAGATTACCATAGCATAATTTTGCGTCCGGCAGCACATATCGAAAAATATCGGACGTTTTGAATGTCGCCAGGATCTCTTGCATCCGTGCCATCAGCCAATTGATGGCCTCGTAGCATTTTTTGCGTTGAGGCCTGTCCTGGAAAGTCTTGTTCTCAAAGAAGGTATCACAATAACCCTTCAACCAATGGAGAGATTTCTCGATCACATCGAGAATATCTGCGGTGCCCGGTGCTGTTCCCAACGTTTCGGTAATCCTTCTAAGCGCTTTGAGAGTTGGATCCAGGACCCTATAAAATTGGCTGCAAAGTCTGAACTCGTCTCCTTCGGGGGTGGAAGCAGCAAGATCCTCCCTTAGGTCGTCCCTAAGGTCCTTAAGTATGCCTGCCATCGTGAAAGCTTGGGCAACGAGAGTTGTAGAGATACCCGTAATGTATCTTGGTTGGTTGGTGGTATCGGCGGGAGGTTCTTCCAGGCTGACTTTTCTCATGCTGTGGCATAAGTTCTAGTCGCCAAGGGGATATCGCTCATATATAATGATTACCCAAGTGTTGTTCACGGACATATCCAGCACCTTTGTCTACTGCTACTCAACAACGAGTGGTTTCGTTGTTTTCGTTGTCTGATAAGACAATGCTTCAAGTTGCTGGACAGGGAGAACTCTGTCATAGATTACGTGTCAGTGAGTCAAATACGCCGATACAAACAGACGAGAGTTTACATACATGTATACAAGATGATCAAAGATTTCCCATTCACCTCTTCACTACGGAAATTGGATGAAAAGAATGGCGAATTAGTTGTACTATACTAAGAGATTGTCTAGATACAGGTAACAACTAGCCTTGTTCTCTATCATCATCTAGACGCCTGAACATGCATAATTCTTCAAAGAACAAAAGTCCTCTCACAACCCGTCCTTGAATCACAAGAAAACACCTGGAAATTGAGAACTAGGTTTCGGCGTACACTCCATTACGTCTTCGGCGCGAGGCTGGACACTGACCAGCATCACTGCACCTCCTTTTCCATCTCAACGAAGCAAAGACCTTCTGGCAGTGCTCTACCGTTGATAGCAGCAACAGGGAAAGGGCTCAGCTCCCCAGTCTTCTGATACCCTCGGCGGCCGTACCACGCAATAAGGGGACCCCGGGCCGAGAGAGCGTTGAGCCCAATGACCTTCACGCCCCATGTCTGGCGGCCGTACTCCTCAGCATGCTCGAGGACCCTGCGCCCGATCCCACCACGATGACTCTTCTGGTCCACGGCGAGCCAGGAGACTCGAGCCATGCTCTCGCCGTGCTTCGAGACGGCGACGCAACCCAGGTACTTGCTTTCGCTGTCGGAGGCGATGAGCACCTCGCTGGTAGGGCTGCTGATCCTCTCCTTGACCTCGTTGACGTCCATGGTGAAGCCTGCTGCGAGATCGGCGAGGCCGACCCAGCCCTCCCTCGTGTCCTCGGCACGGAAGGCGGCCTGGATCAGTTCCTTGAGAGGCTCGGCGTCCTCGAGAGTTGCGATGCGGAAGTTGAGCTGGTTGTCAGACATGTTGGCGGTTGAGTCGGGTGGCTAGTCGGTGACGGACAATGAAGATGAAATGTGAATAGAAATGATGTATATATAGATATAAGTGCTCCTTTGGGCAGATTTTGTGCATCGAGGCGGCGGATATGCCTCAATTTAATGTGCCGGTAGTTGGCAAACACCTTCCTGTTTCTTGTGACTTGATGCCGCTATTTCCGGGCTCAACAGGCGATAAATGCGCCAAAAGGTCGCGGTTAGGGCGTCAATGGCACGATTACAGCGCCCGCCAAGCACATTTCCGGCGGCTCTGCAGGGCGTCAGATCTGCCAAGGCTTTTGCGCCCTTTGAGGCAGAGGATCTTGACAAGTGACGCCTTGGTGATGATTTGGTCGTATTTATCTTCTATCGGCATATAATTCTATTCAGTTTCAATTGTAATGTTACAGCTTGGCTTCCCGCGCGCCTGCCGCGGCGAAATTCGACCCGCCCATGGCCTCGACAATGCTGTCGATCGTCTTCAGGATCCATTCACCTCCCTCGTCCGTCGCGAGCCACCTCACCGCATCCTCGCTCTCTCCCTCGGGGTCCGCCTTGAACGAGCTATCGTCAAGCGTCTTCCGGAGCCCAAAGACATGCGACAGCACTTGGGGCCCAACGCCCGTCTGCGTCCTCAGGCACGAGATGGCGACCAGCGAAGTGTGCACCCTGCCGACGCTGGCGAGGGCTCCTCGTTCCGACTGCGGTGGGTCGGACAGCAGACCGGCATAGTTGTGGTTCAGGATGAAGACCGGTAGGTCCGGGTGCGCGAGGCCCAGCTTCTCGTAGAGCTTATCCTCGAAGGGCTGGTACACCGAGTCCCAGAGACGCCTGCCGCGGGCGATACCGTCTGTGACGTTTTCGGGGGTGGATTGTCGGCTCGGCGTCGTGGACAATTGCGCGGTGAGGGACTTTGGGAGGGACGCGTGGAAGGCATTGAGGCAGTTGATTGAGCGGGGGATGCCGTTGAAGCTGATGCACTTGAGGCCGACCTCTCTCATGAACTCGGCCGCTCGCACGTCGCTCTTGGGCTGCTGCGCCGAGGCGACGCCGTGGAGGATGGGAAGCGCATCGGGGGAGTTGAGCGAGAAGGTCGTTGCGGTCTGGAGTGTCAGGTCATGTCAGCGGAGTGATCAACTGATGGTATCCCAGGCAGACTCCGGGAAAGCATTGTATTGAGCGACTCACAGAGATTGCCAGCCACGACCTGGGGCTGAGGTTCTTCTTGGCGGCGTCCTGCGCGATGGACTGGAAGAGCTCCTTTGTGTGGGCTGGGGCTGGGAGGGGCCCTGGGCGCGAGAAGGGCGCGTTGATGAGCGCTTTGAGGGAGGGCGACAGCTTGGACATTGCGGAAGATCTTTGCCTGGTTTCTGATCAGGGCAGCCGAATATGCAGGAGGAGTTGGGCGATCACGCACAGTCGCCATCATTTAAGAAGGCCATTCTCGTGGTTCCTGCTCGGACACAGAAATAGAGGCCGCAATTATTCCCCACGCCATTCCCATGACTCTGAAGCACGTCAGTCCACAGAGTGGAGGTTGCAGGGTGCAGCACGTTCCCGCTTCTCCGAGCCAAGCCCGGAGCAAGCGCAGTCTGTATCAGGCGGGGCTGGTCACTTACTTTTGGGATCCGTGGGTAGTCATAACCAGGAGAGGTATCCCGCTGGGCGCGTCGCTCGATTGTCGAGTTGTGATGTTCAAGCCGACTGTCGAGTGAAGCTTGCAAAGATGCCTTCAAAAGAACCCTTTTGGTTGGGGTGAGTTCACTGCTGCTACCCACTTTTTCTTGCACCAGGAGATGGCTAACAGGCTCTGGAATACAGGGGGGCAGCTGCCTGTATGAGCGTGTGCTTTAGTGAGTAGAGCCCCCTAAGTTGTTTGGTAGGACGGCGCTGAACAGATGGAAACAGCACATCCGCTAGATCAGACCAAATAGTGAGTATTGATTGTTATCACCTTTACTAGGCTCTCGCTAATCTTATCAATCAGCCGGATGCAAGTCCTTAAATCACAGGAGTCTATGTTCAGTTTGATCGTCCGTTCTGCTGGTCGAGATGGTAGGTGATGGACACGGGTACGCGCGCACTGAATTTAATGGCTAACCGGCGTCATGAAGGAATCCTTTCCCTCTGGACTGGGCTTTCCGGTTCCATCCTTAGACAAGGAAGTTATTCTACAGCAAGATTTGGCATTCACACCGTTCTATCACAGCGCGTCATGGACTACACAGGGCAGAAGAGGTTGTCACTCGGCTCCAATATCGCTTGTGCGGGTGTCGCTGGTGGTATCGCAGGTGTCGTGGGCAATCCAGCTGAGGTTGTTCTGGTCCGAATGTGTGCGGATGGCGCCAAGCCACTCTCACAGAGATTTGGATACTCAAATGCCATCGAGGCGCTGTGGAGAATAATTCGCGAGGAAGGAGTGCAGGTGTTCGGGAAGGGCCTCACTGCCAATATTACGAGGAGCGTGCTCATGAGTAAGTGTGCAGCCTGTTGATTTCCCCGATTCTAGGCCGAGCTGACAACGGAACAGACGTATCCCAAATCGCAACGTGAGGGACCCAAGACCAGAAACCGGGATTATTACTAACTCCGCATACAGATACTCTTCTACAAAGCAATACCTCGTCTCCCAAATGGGTCTGGCCGACGACATCAAGACTCATGCGGCAGCATCACTTGCGGCTGGCACCATGGCAACGACGCTGTGCGCACCTGCCGACGTGATCAAGAGCAGGCTGCAGTCGAGCGCCGGAAAAGAGGCAAGCACCCGAGAGCGAGAGCTCTTACATGCATCGTGACTGACGAAAATTTACAGGGCCTGGGCGCAGTTCTTCGATCAGGGCTGCGCGAGGAGGGAACCCTATTCCTGATGAAGGGGTGGACTCCTGCGTGGCTGAGATTAACGTGAGTAAACCGCCCGCCCACGCAACAACTCTTCCTGTGACTCATTGTTTGACTTTCCCGGGCGGAAATTAGACCCCACACGGTTCTCACATTCGTCTTCATGGAAAAGCTTCGACAGCTGACGACGATCGGGATCCCATGGCTGCACACCCGCCAGGTCGGGAGGGAGGAGGAACAGGTCCTCAGGTAATCCTGGTTGTAGATAGGGGCTCGAATTTTCTATCTTTTCTCTTGCTTTGCTTGGAGTTATTCCATAGGGACTTTACTATGGATATGCCAAATATCACCCAGTGCGTAGAGGTTGTTTCTCTCTCGTTTTATCGAGTTTTGCCTTTCTAAACATCCTTGTGTGGCAATAAGTGACCTGACGTACCTGGTGATCGGCAGGAATACTACTAGTACTCTATAACAGTAGCTATTAAGCTTTTCATCAACTTCCGCAGCCACAGAATTAGCGTTTCTTGTTGCCAAAACCTGCCCCATGTCCCCCGGCTATCATATGCCAACCTGGCTATGACAAATGGGCCTCGCGCGATGCTCATGAATGGCATGTTTCTATACAGAAGGGTCTATTGGATTGCGGACGATTCATTAATCGACGTATTTCCTTTCGTACTTGCATCTTCCCTGTATGGATGTTGGTATGGGCGACTCTCCCCGTCGTTAAGCGCATATATCCACCGACATTGTCATCCGCCAGCCACAAACTGCACGCTATGGCATTTCTCGCGGGAAAGATAGAGTAGAGTTCGCGATAGTTGAAGCAACAAAAAGTTATTTTCTGGTGACTCGCACAAAAAAAATTGGTTGCCATGGTGCTAGTAGAATGACAGCAGCCACAAAACCATCGCCGCCCGCCCAGTCTTGTCCTTCAAGTTCTTCCCCAGACACTCTTCTCATATTTCTCACCATACTCCTTAGACGAGGAGTTTACATCCCCTAGACTTCACTTCAATCAAAGAATTTCCCAATATTCTACGCCCGAAACGGTCAGTATCATCGTCTGCCCAGGACGTGCTTGGCAAATATCTAACCGCAGTTCGATATACAGTTACCCAGTTCTCCTAACGTTGAGCTCGACTGATCCTGAACCAACCCAAACACCATCCATTGTTCGAACGTTGCCTCTTATCTAGCCTACCTGAACGGCTTGGCCATCCCAACAACAGACCATATTCGACCCTTCCGTGGTCGTTAGAGATCCAACCATGTCGGGCATCAGAGCCTCCCACTCGACCCTGTTCTCCCTCAAAGCCCGCCGGTCCCATCTCAACAGGATCAAAAACGAGCAGAAGTACCTCAAGACCCTGTTCGACCAGACCCTCTTGGTGACCAACCCCATGGTCGTCGCGGAAGCCGATGAGATCATCGCGCAGAGGCCCGCCTGGACCCCTCAGAGCGACACCCTCCTCTTCGTCCAGGCCCAACCCGTCATCCGCCGCCTGGAAAGATGGGTCCCCATCCTGCGGCGCAGGAAGTTGTTGACCGGAAGAATCCCCCGGATGGGGGTCGTTGTTTCTGCAGAGCATGTCGTCCTGTTCGCGGGGTATATGGAGCGCCTTGAGCAACTCGGGCGGGCGCTGCGCAATGGCATACGCCGCGAGCGCGACGTGCAGGAGGCTAGGAGCGAGCTGTACATGGACCAGGAGCAGAGGTACATCGTCTTGATGGAGTGCCGCGATAGGGAGAGCGGCCTGCGCAACTGTGTTTCTACCGACGAGGTCTAGGTTCGTTGTGGGCTTGTTGTGTCAAGAGCCAGGAGTCGGCGGCGTTTGCAGGAGGAGTATGGGGGCCATACTTAGCTCGAGTGTGTAGATTTGTTTAAGAACAAATGAATTTAAAAGAATTTTGGCGTTTATAAATGGAGAGACTTATTAGAAATGACTGAGGGTGATGTAGTCGCTCGACACTGTCTAACAGAAGTTACTGACTGAGGCTAACAACCTGCTCCGAGAGCCACGCAAACCACGGCATATATGGTTCACAGCCACACTCAGATAAGCTGGCAATTAATGATCTCTTTAGGGAAGGACTTTTAGATTTGCACCCTTCCGATTGGCCGCAGGAGGTTCTCGGGCGGTCCCAAGTGTCCTCCCTTGGCAACTTGGCAACTTGGCATCTGGGGAGGCTCGGCAGGGTATCCAACTCCACTTCCGTATGCTCTTCGTAGGTGATGCTGAGGACGGCTAGACACTCCAATTCTGCCTTGGAAATTGGCAGATACCAAGAGCTGAGTTTGGCGCGTACAAAACAAGAACTGAGTCTTCGGTCAGGTCACATAGTAATCGCCCGGTATCGAGAATGAAACGGACTGTGGCCTAGTTAGGTAGGTAATTAAATTAGTCTTTGCTGTTAAGCTTACGTGCAAATCTCCGGTAAACCGGCTTTGCAAAACGCTGGAGTCTGCATTAGTACTCGGGGAAACTAGTATGACGCCAACGCAAATTGTATAAACTCCAATTACCAATATACCAGAACCTCCAGATGCAAGAATCGATCCATAAAGCGGTCTTCTTGCAGCCCTTCAGGTGGAAAGCTGAGGGTTCTAAGATTCCGATTCTGAGCATGATCGACAAGCCATTTGGGAAGCTGTCTTCCCCTAGGTATCTCGCTCACTCCCAAAACGCACGTGGCACCATCTTGTACCCGATTACGAGCGTGTCAGTGTAGTGGATCACACCTTCGACGCAACCCCAGGCCAAGATAACCCCTTTGAATCCTCATCAGCCATTGGTCTCGTGCGCCGTCCTAGCCGAGTTTTGGTTCCCTCTTACCCCATGCTACCCTGATGTTGTATCCTATTATCCCTTCCCCTCAGTCCCCCACCCTTCCCTCCTCCGCAACCGCTAGACCTCGCTGTCGCCGGCCTCCAGATGTGAGCCCGACGCCTTTCTGCTTGCGTCCGCTACCCCAGGTTTCCACCGCCAGTTCGTCCCCGCGCTCGACCCCCGCGATCTCTGGAGTAGTTTTTCCCCACAGGCCTCCCTGCCAGCCCATCACGACTCGCCATTATAAATACCTGGGTCAGCCAGGTAGGATTTTCATTCCATCTTGCTCTCCAACAACCCAGCTCAGTCTCCTCGCAGAGTAACCTTCACCTCCCTCCTCTGCCACCCCTGCTTCAGTCTGTCCTCTTGCAATGGGAGCCTCCACCGACAGTAAGCGCGAACCGATTGGTAGCGATACCAAGGACGGGGCCAATGTTGCGCACGTCAACAGTGTCCTCGAGTATGAGAAGCCCTCTCAGACCGAGGAGCGCGACTGGACCGGCACAGTCAAGAAGACGGACCCGGAAGAGATCGCCCTAGTGAGAAAACTAGATATTTGGATCATGGTACGTTTTCCCACGCTGCGAGTTCCGCAACCTCGGTCCATGCTGATTGTTGTCCCAAGCCTTGCCTCTGTCTCATGTACTTCCTCAACTATGTCGACCGGAACGCCATCGCACAAGCCCGGCTGAACAATTTGGAGAAGGACCTCAACATGAAGGGGTCCGAGTTCAACACGACCGTGTCGATGTGAGTAGCGCGCTTAGCATCACTCAAGCCCCACGATTTGAGAGCAACCGTGCTCTTCCCAATACCCTTGCTTTCCGAGAGCCCATTGCTATCAGGCGTCGCTAATCAGCCGTGCAGTCTCTTTGTCGGCTACGTCTTGATGCAAGTGCCCAGCAACATGTTGATCACAAAGGTCAGGCCTGGTCCTTACATGTCTGCCTGGATGCTCGTTTGGGCTGCCGTATCCGGTGCGTATTGTGATGTCTAGGGAATCATACTGTGACCCCAAACGGCTAATTTTACTCTGCTCAGCATGCACGGCTCTTGTCAAGAACTACGTTGGTCTCCTCGTCTGCCGATTCTTCCTCGGTATCACTGAGGCACCTGTAAGCAAACTTCAATTTTCTTGAGAGGCATCTCTGACTGACCACTCGCAGTTCTATCCCGGCGCTACCTATATGCTCTCCATCTTCTACACCCGCAAAGGTGAGTTGCCCCATCTTCGTTGCCATCTAGCTATTGCAATATCCACAGGGCTGACTCTTGATATCTGATACACAGAGGTTGCTACCCGCATTGCCTTACTCTACTGTGCTCAAATTCTCGCAACCGGCCTCTCTGGTCTCATCGCTGCCGGTGTCTTCCAAATGGACGGCGTGAAGGGACTCGCAGGATGGCGATGGTAAGACCAAGCAGCATTGAACGCCCGACACCCTGCCCTCATACTAAACATGGAATGTCATTAGGTTGTTCCTCATTGAGGGTGTCGTCACTGCAGGTGTCGCCATTATCGGCTTCTTCATGTTGCCAAACACCCCGCTGACAACCTGGTGGTTGACCGACCGCGAGAAGGAGCTGGCACACTCCCGCATGGAGCGCGACAAGATCTCCGATGCCGACGAGAACGATGCCTCTGCCTGGCAGGGTCTGAAGCAGGCCGCCTCCGACAAGAGGACTTGGCTCTTCTGCTTGATGCAGAACTTTCACCTGAGCGCCTGTTCATTCGTAAGTCTTCTTCGTGTCGGGGGGCGATCAAAAAGATGTGCAAGTCGCTAACTTTATTCTAGAACTCCTTCTTCCCAACGTAAGCACACTTCGCCTTGAAAAAACGGAAGAGCCAATCACTAACACCTCATGCCACCAGTGTCGTGAAGACCTTGGGGTTCAACACAACCATCACCCTCGTCTTGACCTGCCCTCCCTTCATCTTCGCGGGCGCCGCCGGCATATTGGTCGGCTGGAGCTCAGGTAGATTCCACGAGCGTACATGGCACATCACAGGTGGTCTCGCCATCTCCATCGTTGGCTTCGTCCTGGCCGCTGCCACGCTGAATACTCCCGCTCGCTACATTGCCTGCTTCATCTTCGCCATGGGCGCCTACTCAGTCAACTCCGTCATCATCGGATGGGCTTCGTCAACACTCTGCCAGACCAAGGAGAAGAAAGCAGTACGTGCATCACCAATACCATCTTGGGGGTTTCACGGTTTCCACTAACTTCCCATCGCTACTAGGTTGTCCTTGCCATGACCAATGTCGGCGGCCAGGTATGTATCCCTCGTCGGCCATCTGCCCTTCAGCAGCTAACTCTCTGTACAGATCGGCTACATCTACGGTGCTTACCTCTGGCCAAGCAGCGACTCTCCCCGCTACGGAATCGGCTTCGGCGCGTCCGCCGGCTTCGCCCTGCTCTCCATCGTCTGCGCCTGGGGTATCCGCTTCATGCTGGTCAAGGAGAACAGGAAGATCAGGGCCTCCAACAGCGAGCAGGTCAACCTCTACGGATACTAACGAGTTTTTGGAAACGCCGGTGATGTTTCGGTAGTGAATGTGATGCTTGGTTAGTTCGCAAATTCTAAGATATCAATAAATGAGTCAAACTGTTTCTATTAAAAAGAAGACCCTCCTTCCTATAGCTAACTAAGGCGTAAGGCTCCTCACTATCTAATGTAGAAGATTTACCTCGCTATCCTTTTAGGATAGAGAAATAAATTATTAAGTGAAGCTGAGATAGATGTTCTTTTTAAAATTGCTTTATATATGCCCACCCCTTAATATAGATAGTTAAATAAAAAAAATAGGTTTCTTAAGCTAGAGAGTCTACTCTAACTAACCTCTAAAACTAGGAAGACTATCTAAGGTGTAAGAGGAATTATTATCTTTAACTTTAATTTCTACTCCTTAATTAATATATCTATCCTAGACCTTCTTTACCTTAGTAGGATGCATTATGTAACCGAACTTGTTATAAGGATTATGTCTGTTAACTTATAGATAGAGGGGCTAGGAGCCAACGACTAGCTTAATACCACTGAGGTTTGGATTCTTTAGAACTAATTACACGATTGACCGCACCCCGCTAGACACCCAAGTGTCCCTGGAGGAGTGGTCTAATGTGCAATGGACCAAGAGTGTAAAGGTCTAGCAGCCAACCCGATCTCGTGTTAGAGCTTAGCCTTGGGGTTTGCGCTGACTACTTGCATTTACATGGACTCATGGCCTTATCCCCCTTTTCATTGTAGGTGCCACAGACTGCACCCTTACGTAGACAAATCAACTTTGCTATTATATTCAGCGAAATTGCAGTTCCCGTCCTGAACAATATAAGTAAATATATACTAGAAGCTTGGGATAGCCAGAAAGCGAGGCTTACATAAATGACTTCCTGTTTGCGTCGAAAAAGGTCACGCTGCTCCATATACTCATCGCGGGCGATGAGGTAGTTTTCTCGGGCTATCTCAAACGCCTCACGACGCTCAAGGTCTCCAGCCTGAGCAGCGGCAAAGCCGGCAAGGGCGAAGACAGTGATGATAGTTTTAGTGAAATACATATTGTAAAGATGGATTGTAAAAATCAGAGATTTGTCTTTGAATAATATGTTTAACAATGGAGAATATAATCTTGAAATCAAACTAATAGAGGGAAGGAACATAAACACTTATATATTTATCCCCCCCCTTTATCCCTCTATAATATCGCCGCTTTTATTATATGGTATTTCCTTTATAAGTAATCTAAAAAAAATCGAAACACGTAAGTATATCTGCCGAGGAAGTCATTGGGACTAGGATCGTGGTAATAATGCACTAGGGATCGCAATAAAGGATGTATCAGAGATCGCAAGAAAAGACTACCGGTGTTTTTTCCAGCCATGATAGAATTATAAGCTTATATAGAGATTTAGTATCAGGAGCCCACTTATTAGCACCATTACTTACTGGGAGAAAAATATTCCATGCAGCTGCTATAGCTAATCTAACTCAAACACTAATAGGAATCGCAAATACAAAACATCTGCAGCTACAGCCTCTCCGCGAACATGAAATTAGGTACTATTTAGCGATGGCTCCGGGAACGATCAAACTTTTGTAAAAAAACGTTCAAAAACTACATAGGCTTTAAATGCCGTCATACCACCAAGCATACCTTACCTTACCATTCATCATCAGGAGGGATTTCAGGGGTATGGTGGACAGTACACAATCAATATAGGGCGGGATGATATAGCGACTTAAATCTCTTCGACCAGAGACCCCAGCCTTCCCAAGTATGGCCTGACCTGTAGCACTTACATAGGTTGGACGCTGCGATTAAGCATACGCTACACTCGCTAGTGATATGGGCCGTAGGTCAGCGCAACAGCGCCCTAGACCACCTGTACTTCGAAAAGCACTCATGATGATCTTAAAGTCGAAGTTTCAGCCTACCTTATTGAAGAGCTTTCTCAAATGGCCCCCCCCCCTAAGAGTTGCTGGGGCTCTATGAGTATGTTGATCAGCCTTCTACACTGATCTGCTGATGGCCGTATTCTACCGCGGCTGCCTACCCTGTAGAAGTTAACAAAATTATGCCGAATGGGGTCCCCGGAGGCTGCCCGCCTTCAGCGGAACTTGACCGCTCGCCCGGCTTGCAACGGGTTTAGTGCCCTAGAATTGCTGATTGGCGACCGATTACGGCGGATCGAATGCTGACTACTACGGCTAAAGTCTCTTCCGAGTAAATTTCAGCCTCGCGTCACAAAACATGCCCTTCACTCTCTCGGGACAGCTGTTGGCCCTTATCGCTGACCATGTCGACCGAAATCAGTGCCGAGCAATTGGATGAGATATATGCCTTCGCCGTCCAACTCGGCAAGGATGCTGGCAAGATGCTCATGGACGCCGCGGCGCTCCGCATAAGCAGCGCCCCTGGCCAAGGCCAACAGGTGTACGAAGACAAGGATAATGCGGTGGATATTGTCACCAAAACCGATACCGGTATTCACATAGCTTCCGCTGGTTATTCTTGTTGCTCTTACGGTTAGCTAATCTATTCCCCTCCAGATGTCGAGGCTTTCATTCACAATTCGATATCTAAGAAATACCCCGACCACAAGTATGTCACATTCTCTGTTGACTATCGTCAAGGGTGAACACGAAGCTTATTGCGGTTTGGAACATCTAGATTCATCGGTGAGGAGACATACTCGGCTGGCTCCTCCAAAGACTATCTCATCACCCCGGACCACCCCACCTGGTGCGTCGACCCCCTTGACGGCACGGTCAACTACACTCACCTGTTTCCGATGTTCTGCGTCTCCATCGCCTTCATTGTGTCTGGAAAACCCGTCATTGGCGTCATCTACGCCCCCTTCCTCAACCAGCTCTTCACCTCATGCAAGGGCAAAGGCGCCTGGCTTAACGAGACGCAGAGTCTACCCTTGGTCAAAGCGGTGCCCATTCCAGCCAATGCCCCCAAGGGATGTGTTTTCAGCTGTGAGTGGGGCAAGGATAGACGGGATCCAGACTCGGAGAAGGGGAAAGAGGGTAACTTGGGCCGTAAGGTTGAGAGTTTCGTGAATATGGCTGTAGAGATTGGGGGACGAGGCGGGAAAGGTGGCATGGTGCACGGGGTGAGAAGTTTGGGCAGGTAAGTCGATCTCATGGTCGAAGACTCACGCGGGGTGGAAAGTTAGGACCGTGGACAGAGAAAAGCTAACGAATGATCAGTGCCACGCTCGATCTAGCGTACATAGCCGTGGGCGCCTTTGACATATGGTGGGAAGGTGGTTGCTGGGAATGGGACGTGGCGGCCGGCATTGCTCTCCTTGAAGAGGCTGGTGGTTTAGTCACAACGGCCAACCCACCCTCTGATCCCGCAACAGCAGAGATAACAGATGTCAGATTAGGGAGTAGACTGTATCTGGCCATAAGGTATGCTCATGACGCCGTTGTACGCCTGTTTGAAGTGAACTCATTGGTTAACTATTGTATGCAGACCAGCTGGACCATCCGCGACGGAAACGGGGCGACAAGGCCAAGAGAGATTAGTGAGAGAAGTTTGGAAGCGTGTTCGTGATCTAGACTACTCCCGTCCAGGAGCTTGATAGGTCGCAGTATGCATGAGGTGAGAAATTAGACTGGTGAAGCAAGAGATCGGGGATTGACGATGACTATACACAAATAGAAGTTATATAAAATAGCCATTTTACTATTTTAAAACCAGTCCCTTAACCATTCCATTAGCTCACTTGTTACCCTTCTTTTTTTCCAAAAAAAAAAAAAAAATGAAGATAGTCCTGGTGTTAGGCATATCTTGAAGTGCTCAGTGCTATTTATGTTAACCCTGACAGCCCAGCCATCACCAGTCCTCACCATCAAGCACTCTATTAGTTGTGAGACATCACTTGCTTTGGATCCAGCCAGCGAACCATCAGTAATTGTGCTTCTCGCCGACATTACATACCGCGTGACGCAAGCGTGAAGATGGTGGCAGCTCAAACATCTTGCTGCATTCAGCTCCCTCGTCGCATCCTAATGATCTCTCAAATTGGTCTATAGGGCGTATACTTAAGCACACTGCCATCACCACATAATGTTTACATGTTCGTCTTTGCCTAAGCTGCCGCAATCGTCTAATAGATTTGCACAATCTTAAGACAGAGAGGGATTCCTGTCAACGGTAAAAAAAACTTACACAGGTATGTACATTTGGTTGCTGCTGTAGCGGCCCTCTATAGTGGCTAGCCATCCGCTAATGCCATTGTACACTTGACATTGAGGGGTGGGCGGTCCCCAAAGGCCCTGGAAGAGCAGGTGATAGGGCTTAAGCCAGCCGCAAGCACCTTCCTCGTTCTTGTTGGAACTTAGCCACTTCAACCTTCAGCCCTGCAGCAGCTTTCGAAATGGCGAGACACGTCTGAGCAGATCCCTATTGCATCTTCTATCGCCTCACAATTCCACTTGACCACCTAATAAAAAAAAAATCCAAATCCGCTCAAGGGTATGATGATGATACTTGGTGGACTGATTTGCTCTACGGTAGGTAAAACACAAAACCAACCGCCGTCAACAAAAACACTTAACCCACGATGGTGCAGTTATTAAAGGCTACGACTCTGAAAGTGTACACAAAGGTTCGCGCAATTCGATTTTCCATGCCAGTCCGATAGATTCTACTAATCCAATGCGCGCGGCCCTTCACACCAGCATATGGATGTCTGCTCCGGCCGAGAGGCCTGCTCGCTTTGCGACCCGCAGGATTCAATCAACTGTGCGCATAGAGTATGCTACAGCCTAGCCCAAGAGACGGTCCCGGGGTTCTCTAATTCGTTGTCTAGGCCCTGCCACCCGCCGAAGCCGTCTAGTTGATACTTGGGATGCAGCATCAACAGTGCACAAACCGTCTCATGTCTTGCAACTCCAGCCCAACAGTCCAAACTTGTCAACAAGTTCGGACGGTTGATCAAAAAGATTAAAGCACGGCTGCCTACCGAACTACAGGCCCTGATCCGTCGCGATCTCACGGGGGAGTTGTTTTGTCTTTCAAAATACTCAGATCATTTGCAGGAATTGAGTTCCCACAGACTTGAAAAGCTCTGCCGTCTCGCTCTTCACCCATTGCCGTGTCAAGACCTTTACAAAATCTCCCCAGGCTGACGAGAGTTGACGTGGATTTCGTTGGTGTAGCTGAAGAACGGTTTTCTCAAGTCTGGGGGGGCAAGAGAGTCAGAAAGTTCGAGGTGGAGATGTCTATCGAAGATCGCGCTATTCTGGCCATTGAATACTCCCTTGGGTTTCATTGTTTTGTTGTGTCAAGGGTCATTCACGATTCGATGTCTAAGCCTCGGTGGCTTGGGAGGACTCCTCGGAAATGGACGATTTTAAGTGGAGGTAAACCTAGAAACAATTCAAATATTCTCGAATGTAGGCAAAACCCATCCCAAGGTTACAAGAATAGCTCACTGATACAGAAAAGGGTTTCAAGATTATCCGACTCGAGCTCGACACGGTTGTTAATACGCCAATCTGATTAGCCTGGACTGAGTACTTTGGGACTGAGATGCTATTGTTGGATTTCTCGAATCGGTTCAGGCACTGTTTGGTGTTTTAAGCCTTAAAACTGAATTCTTAGATATCCCATGGCTCGCTTTTCTCAGTGTCTTACTCTGGATTCAAACCCTGGAGCTCAAGGAAGCATGGCCGTAAGGTGGGAGGAATGCCGAATAAGAACGCAAGAATTGCTTAGGGCTAGAACATTAGCACTAAGAGTAAAAACTGGGAGCAATATGTGATGATGAATCAAATTAAGCCGATTTATTATTGTATGGCCTCTTACCATAACGTGCACAAACGGATATGACCTGGTTAGGATGAACAGATGGTTAGCTTTTCAATCAATCTTTATCACATTCATTGCTTTAATTACTTTGCGTTGCTTCTATACAGCTGTATAGGTACTGTCAAACCACAAACATCTCTAGGAGTCGGGCCTACTTTTTGTTGACCTTGGGAACCTTCTGGCGCCATGGTATCAAGCACTCAATCTTCTCCACATCCAGTCCCGCGAAGACCTGGTCCTCGTCGTACCCATCGCTAAAGGGCTGGAGAGGTATCAATATGGTTTTACCAGGATCGGCAAACCAGGGGGCCTGATGCGACCATGGTTGGCATGCTGTCCACCATGAGCAGGATCGTATCAAGGAGCTCCGGGATTGCAAACACTTGGTCTGCTTTTGGTGATGCCTTTTGGCCAGCCGTTGTTTCTCTCTAGATGCCGCCGTTTTTGCCTTGGCATGAGCTGGGCGGGTGCTTCGTCTCATGGCAGCAGCGATGGTCCGGAAACTGGATGATGAAGGGACGAGAATCCTGAGTGCAAGCCTCAGGCCAGGAGTTTCCCTCACAGTGGCCTCGTGAGCAGCTCACTCACCGCCCACCACCTCCTTCCCCACGACTAATGTACGCACACTGGACACTGAGCTCTACCGGTTTGAGGCTCTAACGATTCACTAACCGACTGTTCCTTTAGTGACTTAGTATTAATGGTCCCCTAACTGGTGATGTGGGCTATGAAACGTTCTGCATTCTGCCATACCTAGGCACTAGGATTACTGCCCCATCTCCTACTCAAACCTAACCTAAGAGAAAGAGAATAAAGTTTAACAGCAATGGAAGCTGCCAGAGCCCGACAACTCAACACAATGAATACGATCTCCTACTCAAAAAGATCTGCAATCGTCTGCCTCCGCGCGTCCTCGGCCAGCTCCTCGATCTCCTTGGGCTTTTTCGGAATCTCCCGTCTCTCAACGAGCATGTGCTTCACATACTCGGCCAGCCCCGGAACAGTATCTGCCTCAAGTCTGCATACCCAGTAAAGAACCTCGGTGTAATACAAGTTGGCTAGGTAGGTTTCAAAGTCCATCCCCACCAGCTCAAGGGTACAGCCATGTGCCAGGATCTCCACCTTCTGCGCCTTCGAGTCGTCCCTCTCTTCCTGGGTCACGTAAGGGCAGTCCTCTTCTTCATGGGGCACGTTTACACCATCCACCTCGTAAGGGCACTCATCTTCCATGTCCGTCAATACAGAGCACACTCCATCCTTTCCCGGCTCAAGGTACAACATCACACCATCTATGAGATAAGAGAGAAAACCGATGGCGTAGCCCACGCGACCCCCGATCCGCGACTTGGGGATCCTGAGCAAGCCCCCCGAGGTTAAATGAAAGGCGCCGGCATGGTGTGAGGGGATACGCAACTGGAGTTCTTCATTCTGCAAGAACCTGATAAAGGCGGGCGGGATGGTGACACCCACACGCTCCGCGCTCGACAGGAGGTCATCAAGTGCCGAGCCAATGATCGCCGGACCACGATAGTGGCCAGCCATGTCATCTACAACTGATCTAGGCAGTGGCTTAAGCCAGTCGAAGTCTCCGTTGAATTCCATGAAATCCAGGTCGAGAGTGCGTCTCCGGCGGGGCAGCTTGATAACGTCCCTGCGCGACAGGCTGAGAGTCTTCCTCACTGGCGAATCCAGGTCCAGAGACTCTAGGCCATGCGGCACAGGAAATCTCTCTCCGAATTCGCCAAAGGCGCGGACGAGATCTTTCCTGTCCCGCCGGGACTTGAAAAGTGGTTGGAGGAGGGGGATGCATATGTCGGTGATGGGGTGGTTGAAGGTCTTAGCGACGGTCTCGAGTTCCTTCAGAGGCAGGTGGGAAAGTATCTCAAGAATTGTCTCGTGCGGGAGGAACTGCAGGGTACCCATCTTGTGCTTTGTCGCCTGTGGCAGCAGTGTTGGATGATTGATAATTGATGGCAGGATGCGTTGGACGATGATGTTGGGTGAGCACGGAAAAATGGACGGTCCATTCTCGGCTTTATTCAGCCACGGACTCACGTGCTGTCAGAGTCGCAGCCAGTAATATTGTCCCACGACTGTGGCCTTCGGTAAAGCATGTGCCCTCTCTATCTACTCATAGGTCGTGTAGAAGAAGTTGATTTGGCCGGCTTGGATGTAGATTGAACCAATATCGCTCTTACAGTCAAGTCGACATGCAACGAGATCGGTCCCATAATGTCTTTGATTGCCGGCGCTATCTTCTGTACCAGCGGGTCCTTCGGCGAAGCTAATAAGTGGCCCCTCGTTTGCGGAGTCTCTCAATCTCCAAACGAGGACCCGCCAGATAAGCGTCAGCAATGAGGTAAGCATCGAGATGGAGGGGAATGTGGCAGGATAAGGGCAGCTACCCTGTAGCTTTCGACAATATCATCACCCGGTCAATTCAGCACGCAGAAATACTGATGGTTATTGATTATTGAATTCTTGATGTCGAGTTTTTTTTTTTTTTGCCTTGGTCTATACTACAATATTCTTCCACACCTGTTTTTTTGCAGCTGTGATGATGCCCTCGTCCTGCTCCACTTTGAATGCAGTCGTTACATTCACTCCAGGTATTACTGGTATATGTTTCGATCCTCTCGTAATTCATTGGCTTTGAATTTGGCCAAATCTGTGTTCACGAAAAAAAAAAGACAGATAAATATCCTAGAAACAAGAATGAAGCCACCCTAATTAGATCAATTCCGCCTCAATGACGTTTTCCGCTTCCTTGGACCAGATCCCAGTAATCTTCAATCCAGACTTGGCCAGCAGATCGCGCCACTGGCTCTCAGTCCGCTCTCGACTGACCAACATCCCCATCATAGTCCAGTCCAGGCTGGTTTGCTGCCAAGGGGCTCCTACATCATTTAGAACAGCCTCGTTGATAATGACCTTGGAGTAGCCCTTGACCATGGCGTCACGCAGGTTATTGAGAATGGTCTGGCACTGCGAGTCGGGCCAGTCGTGGAGAACCAGGCGCATGAAGTAAGCCCGGGCGCCCTTGTATTCTTCGGGCATGGGCTGGAAAAAGTCGTGAGGAACTGCTTGGATCGCCGAGGGGAGAGTCTTGGAGTCCGTGGCTTCCTGAATTACTGAAGGAAGATCCTGCAGCACGAGTTGGCCTTTCAGTTGCTCTCCCTGGGCAGCGTGGAATCCGCTGAGCTCGTGTCCGAGGCCGCCGCCAACATCAACCAGAAGTGGACCCTTCGTGGCATCTGAGCCTCCCAACTGCTCCAGAGCGGGATAGAAGTCGTACCAGCGAGGTCTCATCTTAGCATAACCCGTCATGAAACCGTTGAACGCGGTTCCCAGACGCTGGTTGCTCTGCAGAATACCAAAGAATGGTTGAGTTGTCTTGAGACCATACTGGACCGGACCGTCCTCTGCATTCGTCGGGTTTTGATAATCCGTCTTTGCCAGGAATTCAGGTAGACCATAGAAAGTAGGAATCATGCCCTCAAAACTGTAGGTGAGACCGCCGGCAATTGTGGGATCCTGTGTGGCGCCAGAAAATGGTGTAGCAACGTAGGAGTCTTGGCCGACCTCCTTAACCAGATCGTTTGCAGCAAGATGCTTCATCACTCTTGCTATTGGTTTATGTGTGGTCAGTTTACATCGTCTTTGAGTCGTAGAGCAAATGTAGTGCGTAACTTACCCACGAGAGTCGGGTCGGCTTTGGTGCCTTCTGCCAACTGTACACTGCTCAACGGTTTGTCCGAGAGCTTTTTGAGAAGTCCCAGCTCAAATGCCGTTCTCAAAGCAGCAGCCTTGGTCGGCTCTCCCCAGCCAATCCGAGCCATGACCTCACCAGGGTTCTCGAGGCTCGCGATCAGGGAGCTGGCAGCAGCGATAACCTTCCGCCTGGCGCCGTCATCTTGGGTCTCGAGAAACAGCTTGCCGTTCTCGGCGATATCGTTGAGAAACGGGGCGGCCATCTTGGGTACGATGCTCCGTGAATCGAAAGGTAATGGCGGTGTGGGAATTGTAGGTTGACTGGTGATAGGAGGGAGGGAGTTGAGGACAAGGGATCACTTTAAATGGGCCACTCTGCCAGGAGAGTTTCGAAACTCCCGTTCCCTGCGTCGAATGTTCGGGTGAGTATGATGCCACATCCTTGTTTGCCTGCCCTATGAGACCAGTTTGGCCCCAGTTAGTTGTCAGAGTCGCTAAGAGTAGCGCTTATTCAAGGCTGAATCTGGTGCTGGATAGCCCACTATCCGCGCGGCAGAACTGACATAATTACCCCGCATCTGCTGTCGATGTGTACCTCTTCATTCATCAATTGTCCAAGGCGATTCTTCCCGGCCGTTACGAGATTGAGTGAATATGGATGAGACCGGAGAGTCTCTGGTAGAGGATCTCTGGGAACTCTCTTCTACCATTAGCAAGGGCAATGTCGGTGTAAGTCGACAAAAGTGCCAATTCCTGAGACTGGGAGGAAGGAAGCATCGCCCCACCTGCAGGCGTCTTGCTTACTACTGTGCCACCGTGCCACTGCTCGGCGTCTCATGATGTCCGCGGCCGAGCTTCTCTACCGTCCGTGTTGGCGGTGGCCGTTGCCGTGGTTCTATCGTGATAAGAACTTGCTGCGCAAATTGTAGAATTTCGACGGTGCTGGCAACGGGTAGTTATCGCAGCGAGCAATCAGCGAATCAAAGTTCAGTAGATGCTGGCAGTGACCTGCCTCTAGCTAAAATCGACCATGGCGAGTCTTTTCAGGTGGCAAATAGGGGTGTTGATGATTAGTCATCACACAACGCGTATCTCGATGAGAAGCATCGCAGCAATTGCCAGATTAGCCGATTTATTACCTCAACCCACACGACATGGAGGACTCTCCTCGTCCGAAACAGGCTGCCTGCCTGGTCTGTCGGCGCAGCAAGATCAAATGCGATTGGAAGCATGGCGAAGACCGATGCCACCGCTGCGTCCAGCTCGACGCGGAGTGCATCCGGCCTGTCTTTGTCCCAGGTCGCCAAAAGGGCATCAAGAAGCAAGTCTCGTGCACTTATTTGCCAATGCCTTTCTTTGCATCCTCGCTAACATTGCGCTCCAAGTAAACGCGTTGGGCTAGACAAGGCGCTTTTTCAAATTGACGAAGCAGTGAAAAGAGCGCGTTCTGGTTCGCAGACGAATAATGACGACCAGCGCGTCTTGGCACATCTACACCAGCTGCTAGGCCAACTGACAGATGCAGATGATGCCAACTCAGTCCATGTACCGCTGGGTCCTGGCTCCGCGTCATCGTCTAGAATAGACCACGACACTGCGATGGACCGCATGGCTGAAGAAGGCGATCACTCGTCGGATGAAGAGGATGCCGCCAACACGGTGGGCGTCCCGGAAATCATCCAGCAGACCGAAGACAGTCTCGCGATTGATGATGCAGAGAATCCATTGCAGCTGCTAGCCCGTGCTTCGTACAATATCCAACCGTCGCCCGACTCCCGCCACGGGAAATCTCCTCAGTCCGTACTGGCTTCTGTATCCTCCAAAGATCAACAACAGACAGAGGACGAGCTCCAAGCCTTCTTCGCCCCTGCACGTGCAAGCCTCGACATAGGCGGAGACTATGACCCGATCTCCCTCGGACTTGTCAGTGAAGAAGAAGCCCAGATGTTGTTCACATAGTACGTAGAGCCGGCCCGCTTCATTGGTCTTGTGCAATCCAGACACCCGCCTTGTGAGTGCCAAATGACTGATGTTGACCCAGCTTCCACGAGAATCTTGCGCACACAAGATGGGGATTTGACCCAAGGCTTTATACTGCCGAGTTTGCTAGGTCCCGCTCCACATTCCTCTTCACCTCCGTCATGGCCGCCTCGGCTCTCTTCATACCCTCTGGTGAAGGCTTGTCACGCCGCTTGTCCAACCATACAAAGAAGCTCGCCCATAGGGTGATTGAGTGCCGGTTCAAATCAGTAGAAATCGTTCTGGCATTTCTGGTCAATATCCCGTGGATGTTCCCGGGGAAGCAGAGCACCGACGACGAAACGTGCACGTACATGTCCTTGGCCACCACGATTGCGACCGACCTGTCACTCCATAAAAAGGTAGTGTCACCGGAAATGTTCGACCCCATCATAGACGCGGGACTTGCGCGTGCCGACTGCCTTGACCCTCGTTCTGCATTGGTCATTGACGGCTTTCCAAGCGTGAATCCAAGGTCGGAGAGAGGTCGCCTGCTTCTGCGTAGTCGGGAGAGGTGCTGGATCTCGCTTTTCGTTCTTGAGAGAGGGTAAGATGGAAAGGTCGCGAACTAGTTCTGCGAGTCCTTGCTAACAATTTGGTTCTTCTTTCGTGATGCAGAATGTCGCTGGCGCGTGGACGCCCCTTTTCAGTGCCCATCACGAGATCACTCAAGGACTGTGACAACTGGCACAGATCGGACCTGCGTGATCCCCAAGATGGCCCTTTGGTATCGATGGCGGTCCTGAGGAGAGACCTGGTAATTGGAGTTTTCTATGCCTGGGAAATCACCTCACTCGCTAACATTCATTAGGACGGCTTGTTCTCCGCGGTTCGTGCTTTATGTGATAGCTCGCGCAACCCTACAAGCAACGGCGCATTGGTTGCTCAATCGTTCGTCTCCGCCTTCCGTAACAGCGACTGAGCATGGAACTAACTACATTGGTAACAGAATCGAAGGCGCCATTGAGAGATTCTTTGATCAATGGTTCACAGAATGGGGGCACTCGATCGGCAGGGGACCAGGTAAGGACGTGCTCCTGCGGCTCTCACTAGATGTACCATGCTAATGTCACGCAGATCGCCGTCTGCCCCCATATGTTGAGATTCTCGTTGTTCATACCCGTTTATCCATTTATGGAGGTGTGATAAACCACCCTACCGCTCACCTGGAGGTGAGGAGCTTCTTCCGCACCGCCGGACTCAGCTCTGCGCTTAACGTGATGCGTGTCGCCATCCAAGGTGAATCACAGCTGCGGTCGATGCCCAACAACACGGCTATCATGATATCCTTCGCAGCTTGCTTCGCCCTTGTCCTTAGTTCTCATGCCAACGGCGGCTCGGCCCTTGCACCGAGCATCCGGAATCTGATCGAGGAGGCGGCCAGCGTCCTCATCAGGACCGGGCGTGTGACCAACCACCGAAATGGACTATCTGTATTGCACGGAAAATATCTCCAGCAACTCTCGAGAAGAGCCGCTCCCGCTGGAAACAATAATATCCCTCACATGGATAACATCGCTACATCGTTGTCCTCCACTGCCACACGTCTGCAGGACCCCATGGCTTTGCAGGCTCAAGGAAACGATATGCTGGGCGACCAGTCCTTGTGGTCAGAAACATTCCAGTTCTCGGCCATGTCGAATGATGAGATCCAGCAGGTGCTGAACCAACCTGGAAATGACTTGGACCCGACCTTTGGCGGGCTATCGTGGGAGGACATGTCGAATTTCCAGTGGTTGTTTTGGCCCGAGGTTGGGATATAATGCATAAATAATAAAGAAGCAAAAAAAGATTAAATATAATAAAAATTGTAAACCTACTCTCGTGGTATCGAACCTGAATATCGAGTAGAGCACCATATTTCTTTTTCAAAAAAAGGAGAGAAAAAAAAAACTGTCAATAGACTATTTGGCTGGCTTCTACTTATACGAGCATATACATCAACACTACCGGGACGGCAAAAGCAGTCCAAAAAGACACCAAGAGGGGAGCCCCTGAACTCTTGTCACATGTGTATCCCGATGGAAGCGTCCTGTTGGCGAAGATGCCACAGTCTAGCTTACCCGAGGCATCACGGACCGAGAACGACTGGGTCACTTCCACATTATTGGCAATGAACGAATCGCTGTCACCATTGCGTTAGCTTGGGCAGTGGGGAGAATTGTTCGCATTTCGTAGCGAAAAGGGGGAAGGAGGAGGGGGCTTACAAGAATGAAGTTGACACGTTCGAGGTGATGTTCACGCTTGCCATCGAGCTCTTGGGCCAGTACCACGTCTTCTTACCGTCTGCGCCATTCTCTGACTCGAGTCTCAAGCTCCCACAACCGCTGATAGCCAAAAAAAGGTTCTTCCAGTTCTCCGCCTGAGATGGTAGGGTGACAGAGCGCAGCTTGCTGGAGTTGAAGACGGTTATAGAGTCGACCGTATCAAAGGGGAGGGTCAGATCCGTGATATCATGGTCCGTATCTAGCTTGAACTTGCCGACGTGTAGATTTTCCAGGTTGTCTGCGCGCTTGATTCCGAGAACGCCACCGTGCAGGATGACCTCCTTGTACGAGATGGACTTTGTCTCGGGCCCGCCGAGCACGATCGTCAGATTGGTGCCCCAGACCTCGAGCTTATCCATCGCCGTCCAGCCGAGGTTGAGAGTGCGCACGTTACGCAGGGCCGGGGGGTTCAGGAGAAGCCCCTTTCCTGGGGTCCAAGTAGGGATCTCGGATGTGTTGATCGGGTTCTTGAAAAAGGCATCGACGTTGTCCAGCTTGCCTGCGTTGTTGAGGTAGATGCCGCCAGTGTAGCCTGATTCCGGCAGCAGCTCCTTGATGCCGTTCATATGCAGTTTCTCAAGATTCGTGGTTCCCAGCTCAAACGACGAAACAGACTCGAAGTTGGTGAGGTCCATCTCCTTTAGAGAAGCCGTGTCCTGGACGGCAAACTCGTTCCAGACGTACGACAGGTTGGGAAGGCTGAGCTTCTCGAGGTTGTTGTACGTCATGAAGTCGATGCTTCCATTGACCTTCCTCAGCGTGGAGCTGAAGAACTCGAGCGGGCCCCTGGGGAAGTTCTTGCAGCGGATGATGGCAGTCGCATCGCATCCGTAGTGGGTGAGATCTCCGTGGATCTCTTCGACGCCGTCGAGGTTGATGGTGTCGAGGAGCTGTTCGGTCAGAGTAACGTCTCCGCGGATGACCTTGCACGCCTTTCGAACTTGCTCGGCGTCGGTCGCGTTTCCGATCGTGATGGGCGCGTTACAGTCCACTTCGGCCAAGACATCTGCCAGCCAGGTGGATGGGATTAGCCTACTAGAAGCAAGATGACTGATGGTTTGACTTACGATTGGTCAGGGTAACAAGCCCGGCAGCGAGAAGCGGAAGACGCGCGAGCATGGACGATCTGTGGCTTGAGGCGAAGGTATCGTCCTGTTCACCCGCACCGCATCATTCTCCTCACTCCGGGGAACAGCGTGGAAGCGACGGAGGAAAGCCATTTTGTAGATGTCCCAGGCAAATCAGCCGCAGTGGATATGGGCTTGGAAAAGCGGCTTGCTCACGGAGGAGCCCAAAGGGGTTTCTCGTCTCTCGGTCTCAGTTGGAACCGTCTTGGCATGTTGGAAATGTGGAAGAGTTGAGCTGCCACGTGCCTCGTTGGCCTCTGATCATTCGCCCAGGAATCTCCACCCGGAGATTATTCAAACGGGCAGATCGGCCATTAGTAAGGGTATTTTTATGCCTAAAATAAAATAAAACAAGGCCTGCGAAACGGTTTCGATGTCCTACAAGAATCCATGGGGAGAAAACAAGTCGGGTTCTGCGCATTTTTGTCACCCACTTCCCGGTTGTAGCTGCCATTTCCATCGTGGCTGCTGATATGTGGAACCCTATAAGGAAGGTAGATAAAATCAACGACAGATGGTTTAGAATATCAAATGTCGGGGTATTTGGACGAATTTGTAATCAAACTACCCATACGCAGATACACCCTCACTTCTATTACCTTGGTCGTAAGATTGTATGATTTTTGTGTGATATTCAATGCATTCAATTGCAAAGTATCGCTCAGCTGGTGATTTAATAGCCTACAGCAGCAAGTGGTAGAGTTTCGAACTAGCTTATTCCGAAAATTATGGTACCAGGACACTGTAAAGCGGTCTTCGCCGATCAGGAGAAAGGGTTAAGTGTAGACACTGGTAAGGAGACGCACCAACGCAAGAATCTACGGTGCTTCAAAGTGATTAATGGGTGAACAGGATCCTAATGTTCTCTCACAATAGTAGAGAGTTAGTGAACTGAGATGTACCATTGTCTTTCGTCTGCGGCATTGTTCGGCCAGGTGAATGTTACAGGCCGCTCCACGCTAAAGCATGAAAGAAAAGGCAACTACCTAGTACTCTACTCATCAACAAGATGGACCAGTGGGTAGATAGTGTATTATAAGTTTCATATGGCTTCTCTTTCAATCATTCGATCAGTGATAGAAATCGGCATGAAAGTACCAACAAAGTTTTGCATGAACCTAAGGTACTGTCCATCGCTTATAGGTTGAATGTTTATCTCAGTAAATAGAGGTAACAATAAAACAACCCGGGGCTCAGGAAATGCCAGGGTTTTGGTCCGTTTCTTCTGGATTCGGACCTTTCACTGCGGTGACTTTGTTGTAACGTTGGCGGACTTGCTACTTCGGCGAGTAGTGAAGCTCCAGCGCGCACAGCCCAACTTCTTCCTGCACATCACAGGTAGACGCGGCTCATTATGCTTTGATTTACAGACAAAATTCCACAACCGGTAACTGCTGTGCTCCCATATTAAAGCACCGAAGGTGGTACCAAGTTGCACGTGCCAGAATTTATGATGCCTTTTCTCACTGACAAAAGAATTCATCCAGTTGCCCCCGACAGTCAGTGAGCACATCACTCCGGACCAAGACTTCGGCCCTTTCTTTAACAACGTGAGTCACTCTGCCTTGCGAAGGAATTGTGATATTAATTCGTAAACTATCTGTGGATGAGAGATCACAGGATGCTGATACCAAACTTTTAGCACAAGACATCTGGGCAGTAGAGTCTTCTATCAAAACATCAAAACAAAGATACAGCACAATCAACACCGTGGCTGTTCCAAAAGCACACTCACTGCCACCACGAGATTCATGACTTCTACTCGACCCAAGAAGTGCTAACGATCGACTGATCTTCGATCCTTCCCCGATCTTAACCTCGACCATTCCTCCTAACCACGATGCCGTGCCTCGTGTGCTACACCAACGATCGGAGCCAGCCGAAAACTATGAATCTCATAGACGCATACCGATTGGTCAAATGCGAGGCCTGCTCTATCCTTTGCCATGAATGCATGGGTCTGGGACGATGCCGGCAATGTCTAGGAACGGCCCGTGTGGCAAACACGGGTGCTGACAACAAATGTGCCAAGTGCAGAGGGATCGGGATAGTTCAATTCTCGAGAATCATTGTGTGCCGTCATCCTATGTGGCGACATGTTGCATGAATGAAGGTCTGGGGTGGAAGGAGTTTTTGTTTTCTTTGTCCTGCTTTGGCGGAGTTCGATTCTATGAACTCAGATAAACAAGGACATGAAACTATTACTGTGCGTGCCACGTTTGATAATCTAAGTAATCGAGACCAAGTTTTCACACACCTGTGTCTCCCCCACATCGAGCTTAATTAACTACCTACATTCTAATATGCACGGCGGATAAGGTGTCCAAGTCCACTGAATCCTTCCTGAACCACTTTATACCCGGCAAGTCTGTTGGAAAACTGAAGTCTTTTCTGCAGTGACCAGTGTTTCGGGTGGGCTATGTACGAGTAGAGCATCCCGGTGATGAACGCATCGCCGGCCCCGACGGAACTAGGCTAGTTAGTATTCAAGTCATGGGAAGGTGGCTGGACTTTTACTCACTCGATGACGGCAGAACCAAACGGGGTCCATGCAGGTTCGTGAAAATATTCGCCAGTCGCAATTTCGAGAGCAGAGGCCCCTTCGTCACCCCGGGTGCAGCAGAGGAAGAGTCTCCTATATGGTATTTAGGTCAGCCTAAGCGAGGAGCCGAGTGCCACAGGTCGACGCTTACACGCCACGACAAATCAACGCTTGGGCTCGAAGACAAGTTTCCGCGTCTTTGTACCCGTTTCCCTTTTCGGACATGCGCCATTAGCAGAGTTCGAATGATTCATTCGTCAATGGTGACTGGCCAGAGCGTGGGGAGACGGTGCATACTAGAGCCCAAGTCTTGGAATAAAACGCAGCGTCAACTTCGGGCACAAGCTCTTGGAGTCCCTCACTGGGAAAGTTCTCGATCTCGACGCTGATCTTGGCACCAGGCCATGCTTCCCGCAGATATCGCATGCAAGGCAGTGTAACGTCAGGGACACGACCCTGGCCAAGTCAGTCCACACAATTCTGTTAAGAGTTGACAAGAAGTCCAGGCTCACCTCGAAGTGATACCAAAACCCATCTCTACCCAAGGCTTCGGCGACGCGTTTGAATTCATGGACCTCAATGTCAGACAAAGTATTGGAGCTGATGACTGTCCTGGAGTCGGATTCCAGGTTCTTGACGACGTAGCTCGACGCAGGCTCGACGCATTCCTCGCGGTAGATGCAGAATTCAGTGTCCACACCAGGGCCCAAGGACTGGTCTATGTCCTGCACTACCGGGCAGCGGGAGCTGGGGAGGACCGCAACGAGATGTAACCCGATGTTGCCATAGATGGCAAGGTCGGTGCGGAAAAGTTGGCCTATAACCTCAAGCATATTTGAGCTATTTCCTGCTCTTCTTTTCTTGACATCCGAGGCTTGAAGCTTGTCACCCTCTGAAACGAAGTGTGGGACACTGGTAAGAATTAGCCAGGCGTTAATGGAACATATCAAGGAATAGTACTGGCCTCAAAATGGTCTCAACGCAGCAGTTTCCGACCGCAACTAAATGCCGCATGATGATCCAGATGCTGAAATATTTTAGATAAGGGGGCCAGTAATGGTTATTTGGATACTTGATCCGACAGTGGCTCTTTCGTCCAGCTCAATGGGTGGGTGATATCTGGACGTAGGTACCTATCATGTGATGTGTGGAGGGGCGACTTCAAAGTGGGCTAACCCCTCTAACAACGTAGAAACTTCTCCATTCCTTACTCCTCGTTTGGCCCAGCAGTTGTTAAAGCGCCTATCCGTACCACTTTGACGAAGATCTGCGATTTCTTGCCAGCATTACTGCAATCGAAGTACGAGAGATCAGCCAAATCTGACCCTCGACAGCTATCGCTGTCGCTTCAATATTTTGACGATGGCCTTGCCTGAACCAAAGTGCCGGCCCTCCTCCAACATTGATGGTTTACTCTAACGTAGATGCTAGGTTTCCACCTATTCGGGCTTTGATATTCGACATGGACGGGCTGCTCATCAACTCCGAAGACATCATCCACGAGGCCACGAACGCGCTCCTTGAAAAATACGGAAGACCCCTCTTGACGCAGTCCATGCGGGCCAAGCTCATGGGCGTGGCGGGCTCAACCAACAGCGACATGTTCCATAGCTGGGCTCAGCTTTCCATCCCTCGCGAGCAATTTCGTCACGAATTAGGGGAGCAAATGAGGCACCGATTCCCCAACTGCGAACCACTGACTGGTGCCGAAACACTGCTGTCAAACCTCTGCCAGGGACGCAACATCTCGACCGGGGCGAAGATTGAGTTGGCACTGGCATCCAACACCAAGAGCACTTCCTATGAATTGAAAGTCTCGAGACCAGAGACAAGGCATTTGCTAGCCTGCTTCCAGCCGGAGAGGCGGGTGCTGGGCGACGATCCGCGACTAAGACAGGGGAGGACGAAGCCAGTGCCCGACATCTACCTCATCGCTCTCGAGTCGCTTAATTCGAGTCTGGATCCTGGCTTGAAGCCCATACAACCCAACGAATGTTTAGTTCTTGAAGATAGCGTGGCCGGGGTAGAAGCTGGGAGGCGGGCTGGGATGAGAGTTATTTGGGTACCGCATCCAATTCTGGCGGCTGAGTATCAGTCCAAACAAAAGGGTATATTGGCAGGAAGGTCGGGAATGTTTAACATCGGAGATGACTGGCAGCTAGGCGAAGTCGACGATGGCTGGGCCGAAAGCATTCCGAGTCTGCGGCACTTTGATTATGGCAAATATGACATCCATATACCGTTGTAGATGGATTCCTCCCCGTCATATAGTATTACGTATTCACTCATCAACTGATTATAGACAGTTTTCTCGCCTACCGCTATCCAAAAGACTTGACTCTTTCTAGGTAGTCTACTATATGCCTACTATTACTCATACAAATAATACGCGAGACACGCAACATCGACGGCAGAAGGAAACTAAAGGCCGTCATATCCCTTTCCACTCACACAAAATAGGTCCCTAGCCGGTGCCCAAGAGTATAGACAGATTTGTGAAGAAATCATCTTTACTAGAGATGATTAAAGGCAGCAGTTACAACGGCTTCGAGCCGGCTCAACTTAGCTTTCTGTCACCTGCACTCTGCCAGCTTTGAGTTTCGACATTGCCGCCATTACCTATAAGATACCCATAGTCAGCTCCGTCCGCATGAAAGCCCGGCCTGTTAGTTCTGCGCCGGCCCCTGGCCTGCGTCAACTATTGCTATTCCCTCATGTACATTGGGTGTAACTTCTCCTGCCCCGAAGAGAACAAGGCATCCCTGTCAGTTGAACATACACCAGAAAGGAAGAACAAGTAACACTCCCACAGCCTGTTGGACGCTCGAACAAAAGGCTCCCAGATACTAGTACGAACTTTTTATACAGAGGTAACACCGAGTATATGACGGCACTATGACAGTGATTTATTGGATACGAATATAACATACTTGAAAGAATTAGAACGGCCACTATTACTGTCGTGTAAGTCAACGCCGAGCACAATCTGAAGGAATCACAATCTATAGAAATACAAATTTGGACCGTGGGCCGGACTTGACTGAGTTTGGCTGCGACCATCCCTGCAGGAAGCCAACTTGGCTGTTTCTTCCTCTGGCCAAAATCGGCCTAATGCGAAGTATCAGGCTTTATTAATTCCAGACCGATGGGCTCTGACGCAGCCACTCCTCCAACGTCGTAGGGTTGGGGTTAAACCTCCTGTTTTCGTCCACGTCGGCCTTGAACCCTTCCTTGGCAAGCCAAATTGTCATTGTGCCATACTGTGGGGTGCCAGGGACTCCATACTTGAGGAGCTTTCCAACAAGCCCGTAGGTTGTCTGCGCTGGCTTTCCGGTGGCCTTCTCGAACGCTCTGTTGACCTCGGAAAAGGTAAGAACTTCTGACACAATCCCGGTTGACTTTCCCTTCCAGCCCTCCAAGTCATGGAATGCTTCCGCTACGGCAATTCCAATGTCCTTGCAAGCAACCCATTGCAATGGCGTTTCCCCCATGATCTGGCGCAGCATGGTCAGGAAGGCCCTGATGTTGAATGATGGCTCGAGATTGTCCATGAACATCGTAGGGCGAATGATCGTCCACTCCATAGTGCTCTTTGCCTTCTTCAACTGGTCGAGAAGGTAGTGCTCGAGAACGTACTTGGTTTGGAAGTGCGGGACCGGAGTCCGGTTCTCCCAAGATCTCTGATCCCCACCTCGCTCGACGCTGCTGTAGACGAAATGGCGGACTCCAGCTTTGATGGATTCGTCGATCATGGCCTTTCCTTGGCGCAACTCGCTCTCGAGCGACGCGCCGGGGGCGAAGAACACCTGGACGGAGTAGACCCCCCAGAGGGGAATCCAGCCCGCGGCATCTTTGGCAGCCTTGAAAAGCGCGGGGACGTCATTCAAATCTCCCTTCACAAGCTTGATTGAAGATGACTTGGCTAAGATGCGCTTCGCGGCCGGGGAGTCGGTGCTGCGAGTCACAGCGAGAATGAGAAAGTCATCGCTGTTCTTGGCGAGGAGAGCATCGATTACGGCGCCGCCTTGCCGGCCGGTGGCGCCGGTGATGAGAAGGGCTCTAGACTCGGACATGGCGCGGATTGGGAATAGTAGAGGTCTTATTTCTTCGAAGGAGATCGAAAGCGAATATGGTAGACGGCGTTCTCGGTATGCGAGAGTAGGGCGGGAGTCTGACAGCACGGAATGATCAACTATTCGAATACGGGAAATGGGACAGAACGTTACGAGAGGGGCAGCTTACAACTTCCCGGGGAGATCGAGACTAAATAGACGTGCGCCTCCCATTTTTCCAAGGCCGGGGGGATTCTGTTTCCGAAGTGTTCACATTGCCGTGTCGGTATCGAAATTGGGCCGACGGTGAAGTGGATATCCGGACTCGGGCTTGGAGAGACAATAAACAAGGATCGCAAAAGTGATTAACAAGCGTCTTCGTTTGTAAGCAGTATTATTGCTGCGAAACGAGATCACCAATACCAACTGCCAGGCTACAGTATCGGATCATCTGCCGCTCTAGACCGCCAACCAGATCCTGAGCCTTCTCTTCCTTGAATTAGTACCTGAGGTATCCTGTTCTCTCGGTCTCCGGCTACCCTAGAGCCATCAAAGTTTGACGACATCACGGCCACCCAGGGATCCTCGCAAGATGCTGTGGCCTGGCCTATGTTTTAACTTGAGAGCTTCTTAATTCCGGTGCTGCTAGCAGGATTAAAGCACCATTTTAGAGGCTGATAACTACCTATGTTCAAATTGAAATGATGTTCTGAAGGAGGATAAGCAAGATAGGTAGCTAAATTATGCGGAAGGAGCCCTTGTGATAGCTTGGCTGCTAACATGGCCGCAACATAATGCTCTGAAACCCCAAACGTCTGCTACTATCAAGTGCAGTGGGTAACTCCAGACTCTGGCTTCACTACCCACAATATTCTCCTCCTTCAACTTCCCCGACTTTTCTTGGTTTCTCTAATCTACTACAAATGTTTGATGTATCCTGCATTGCGCGAATCAGCCCCCATCAACATGTTTGACGAGCGTCTCGACACCGGAACACTTGATCATCACCAACACCCCGCTCGTGATGGCTTCTGCCAGCCGGAGGATTGCAAGCCCGAGACTGCCCGCCTTGACGGCGATTATTGCAAGCATGACGAGGACTGCCACGCCGCCCATCCATGTGCCGAGGATCATTCTCACCCGCATGGCGTAGTAGCTCGTGTCGATGACAATGCCAGCGTCACTTCCAAGGCGTCCACTTGCTGTGGCTCCGTCGAGCGGTGCGATGGTACTGTCACCGCCGCCTCTCTGATCATGGCCTAACCCGAGTGACCCCTGATACTGCTTCTGGGTGGAGAGAAATGCATCTGCACTGCTGCTCAAATCGAATGCGCCAAACCCTACCAGGGCGAGGGCGACTACGACCGTAACGTAACTGGCTCAAGACCCCTTTTGAACGATTGCTAATCGCTCTTGACTCACTCTAGAGCACAAGAAGCATCCACACGAACACAATGCTGCCGGAGAAAGTCCTGACATGGACCGTACCTCGCACCTTACTGCTGCCTTCGAAAAGTACGTAAGCTATATCGAGTAAGCAAAATGCATCTGCCGCACAATGGTGTCGAACGGCCTCTCTTCCTCTGCACGCTGCAAGCCCGCAGCCTCTCAGGTTATCAAAGTGACGCCGTCCGTCACTACGGCCCGCATCACCATCATGGACGTGGTCGTCATCATCACCACCAGCACGGAGTGTCCGACGGCATTGTTCGAAGACACATTGCCAAGACGCTTTCTTCGCACCACGACGATAATATGTCGACCCATCTTGTTGGAGGCGCCGCTTATGACTATGACCGTGCTCATGACCGCGATCATGGACACGGCTACAGCCACAGTCACGATCATGGCAAGGGACCTTGCTGCACTGGGCACCCTCCCAAGGGCCCCATGGTCGTCGAAGCTGGGTTTGTTCAGAACGGTGACTTTAACATTGAGAAGAGCGTTGATTACGACCTCATGTCTGTTGCCGTTGGAGGCATGGACTGCAAGCGGCGACAAGCTTTCCCGTGCTTTTCTTATGATACCTGGTGTTACTCAAGCTTCAGTAAATTTCGAATGCAAGCCGTGCTGATTTCACGGTCAATACAAAGGCCACTACCGCCGACCAAGCTGTTCATCCTGCCATGGCTAGATCTGGATTTCGTCTGACACAAGCATAGTCGGGGGTGCCTACTTCCTCAACGTTGCTGATAACTCCGGCATTGCTAAAGACCGTGCCCGCCAGCCTTCTAATAGAGTCACTGATGTCTTCGTCTTGGACAAGAAAACCATCCAGCTAGCCTATGGCCCCACCACTGCTGGAGCGAGGACCATTCTCGATTCCATCTCCGATAAGACGCCCGCGCTCGCGCCACCCTGCGCTGATCCTCAGCTGGAGACTTTCCGCCGCGGGCTTTGGGACGAAGCCATCAAGACGGGCCTGGCGGCTGTCTGTATTATCCCCGTCGTTGTACTTTCTCGGGGTCAAGGTCTCACCGACAAGAAGACAAAGGAAGACAAAGGCTGTCGCTGTTATTGTCCGCGGTTCGGCCGTTTAAGCGATCGCCGATCCTGAATTCTATAGACCTGCTCTGTCCACTCTCCTCTACAGTCGTGGCATTAAAATGGATATGCTTGTTGTTATCAGCATCACCGCTGCCTACCTCTACTCCGTTGTTGCTCTTGGCTTCCAAATGGCAGGCAGACCCTTTGGAACATCTGAATTCTTCGAAACCAGTACCCTCCTAATGACACTGACCCTTGCTGGGCGTCTGATCGCTACTTTCGCTGGTTACGGGGCCATCTCTGCTGTCTCTGCCCGGTCCATCCAACCTACCATCGCTGTATTTGTCAATAGGGGGAGAAGAGACGATGAGATTGACGCTCGTCTTCCCCAGTAAGTACGGCGACCAGGTCCGTGTTCTGCCGCACTCTGATGTGCTAACCGACGGAAAGATCATCGATGGCATCACCGAAATCTATGAGTCTATATTGACTGGAGAAGCTATGTCTGTGCTGAAGAAGGCCAGTGGTCTAATCGCTACACGGACCGGACCATCAATGGCGACAGCGCCATTTTCGTCCAGCTTGAGCGATTCCCGGGCAAGAATACAGTGACCGACATTGCACAGCTTTTTGATAGAGCAGCCAACACGAAACCTGAAACTCAGGATCTTGCAGATAAAGTTCCCAGCTGGTTTGTTCCTGCTGTGTCTTCCATCGCCATTGCCGTTCTTGTTATCTGGATTGTTGTCACATCTAAAGTCATGGATTACTCTGCCAGCAAGGCCGTCTTGGAGGCAATCATCTACTTCATCACCACCCTCACAGTGGCATGCCTTTGGCTCTTGGGCTCCCCGTCCCTGTGGTTCTCGTCGTTACTAGAGGCATCGCGGCTCGCAGTGGTGCTATCATAGAGTCGGCCGAGACCACCGGGCGAGCCCGTAAGGCAACCGATATCATCTTCGATAAAATAGGCACCACCACGGGAAACGACCTCTTCGTTAGTGAAGAGAATTCTTTGATAAGGAGAAGAAGAATCTTGCCACCGATCTTGCTAAGGCCCTCGTGGCTGGTAAAAAATACCGTGCCTCTGCGGCGGTCTCAAAGCACCTGGCCATCACGATCGGGAGCAACGTTGCGTTGAAAGACATATCACGGATATTCACGTCGTGCCTAGTGCAAGGATTACGGCTAAGTTTGGTGACGATGTTTGGACTCTCCGCGGCGGCCACCCACGTTAGACCAAAACGGACACGAATCCCATTGTCGATGGTCTCCAAAAGAGAGGACTTACAACGCTTGTCACTCTTGATGGTGCTTCTCTCGTGGCCTTTGGCCTTCGCACCCAAATTCGCCCTGAAGCATCCTGAATCATCTCAGAACTCGAGTCCCGCAGCCTCAACGTCCACCTAGTCTCTGGAGACCAGCGCACGGCTGTGAAAGCGGTCGTGACGGCCGTTGGTATTCCTGAGCACAACGTCGCTGCGGAGTATACACCTTCTCAGAATCGTGACTATGTAGCGTCTCTCATGGAAGTCTCCTCGAGGTACTTTCTATTCTGCGGCCATGGCACCAATGATGCTGTGGCAGCCGCGCAAGTAACTGTCGGCATCCAGATTAGCGGTAGCTACGCCGCGTCCAGCGACGAGACCCAAGCTGCCGCAGATGCCATTCTGCTCAATGCCTTCGAGGGGATACCGTTCTTGATCAAGATGAGCAGCGCCCTTTTAACCGTTTGGCTTTCAACTTTGTGTGGCCAGCAATCTACAATGTTCTGGCCATCACGAATTCACGATGGCTAGAGAGTTTATCAGTGTCCTGCCTGCTATTGCGGCATCTATGACGGTGTTTATCATAAAATCAAAGCTGAATAAAAGCATTTAGATGCAGCGGATTGACTAGGATGAGCCTGATCGGGGCTCGATGTCATTCTCTCGCTGGTTTACATCCCAGGCCAGATGACGGAACGAGGTGGAAGTTGAGAGCCAAGCACAGAAGAGTAAAAGGAACGAGCACAAAAAAACCAAATAAACATGAAATAATAAGACACGAAAAGAAGGAACGGAACTTCACATGATTCATATTTAGCGAGAGGGGTGCGTCTCCCTGGGAAGGGCCTAGAATCTAGGGAGGATAGTCAATATACGCATTTCTCTCGATGGACTTTTCCCATTGAAACATGACAATATGCCCAGCGTGGCTGATAGGCAGCTTTACGAACTAGATTTCCCGGCAGCGCGTTGTAGACCTCCGCGTTTCCATCACCTTCTCAGCCGCGATCGGCATGACGACGCAACCATGTAAGCGATGTGGCTATGCAAGATACGACATATGACACTGCCCTTGACAACAAGCAGATGACCCCCAATTGGAGCAAGAAACTTTGAAAATGTATTAATTACAAATTATTTCAGGCGTATCAGATATCAGACGCTGCAGCCCGTTCAGAAGTGTGGAAGATTGATTGGTGAGGGTGCATCGAAGATGATATCAAGATCGACAAGGCATTCAAGAAGGCGCACAATTGCGCGACATCTTCCGATGTATCCGAAGTATAAAGCCGCGCCCTTCCAGATGATATCTTCGATGTTTCCTGTCTGACATCGTTTCATCTCAACGAAATCTAATCCGTTTTTCCTCAGGCCTTCTAGTTAGCTGATTCACCATGGGTTGTGGGTAACACATCTAATTTTCACAAGATCGATATATTCCTAACGATGTAACAGTTCTCGACAAAATCATCACCGCTATCAGCCCGAAAGGGGAGCAGGCGGCAAAGCAGGTAGTGGACCAAGCAGCTGGAGCAGGGGCTCAAAAGGCGCAAGAAGAACATGACAAAAGAGAGAAAGAGGACAAGAATGACCGAGATGAGGACCGCTGGGATTAGTAAAGTGACGGCTTAGAGATAATATTGTCTTCTCCAAGGAAAAGTCGTCGAGGCGTCGATCGGCGCTCGGCAACGACAACCAGGGGTGGTGGACGTGGACTTTGCCATTTCTCGCTGGGGTATGCAACCTTGTACGGATTATGAGCTCAGAGATTCAACTAGTTACTGTTTTGTTTTTAACGGATCAAAGAGATAAACTTAACGGGTACTTTGGTTCGAATACTATAACGTACGATTTGCTTTTGATCCAGAGCATACATTACTTCTCCATTTCGCGCATACTTTGTGACGCCTTCGCAAAAGAACTCATTCCATTAATATGTGACTGGCTTAAACCTACTGCAATACGTCTCGATCAATCAGGCAACGGGTGCTTGTGAACAGTCTGAATGCCACGTTTGTCAAGAGCTGTCCCATCTTCGATGCAAAGACATCCGATGGCCGATCCAAGGATTTCTTTCAACGAGATCAGTTATAAGCCTAAACAAGCGAGTATTGTTATCTTACCTGGGATTCCGGGACTGAGATTCCTACAGAGACCATGATGTCGCGAATTTGACTGTATAGTGACTCTGCAACGCTGTTCTTCTCGCCAACAGAACCTAGAATGGAGGACAAAAAGCAAGCCGTGTCTCTGCTCTGTTGACGGTCATTACCCAAGAAGTCCTCAATCAGAACGAGGCAGGAGAGGTAAATTGAAAAATTCAAAATCGGGTTCTTGAACGTTGTCTTGAGATCGGTAGTCATGCGTAAGATATGGGCAATCTCCTCTGCCCCGGCGAGCGCTCGTTCTTGGCTGTGCCGAATGCTCTGATCGGCGGATGCTTTTTGAGGTTCCGCTCTAAGTAAACATGTACGGGTTCTGTGAAGAGTCATAATCGCCGTGTGTATTTGGGCATTGACCGCTGCCGCGCTTTGGCTGCGCGCATATTGATGCGATCTCAGATCGTTAGGTAGCCTGGCCAATAGCAAGGAAAGCCCATTGTCCAGCTCGCGATGTCTATCCCAGTACGTAGTGGCCTTTTCAGGGGATGCTTCAACTTGAGATGCCAAGCTAGTGTGTTCCATGCTTTGCTGCACCAGATGTGCGACCAAAACTCTGGCTGATAGTTCTGATAGAATAGTCGACGGGCGTGTATTTAATGAGCTCTGTAGGGAGCCAGTTTCTTCTTCTCGTCCCTCGATGAATGCTTCATCTGACACCGGGAGGGGTGTGTCAACCTATAGAGCTTAGCATCAATCTTTCAGGATAATTTAGGTTACTGTCTCCATACGTCTCTGTTGTAGATCACGGCCGGTAGTCCTGTTGTAGCGCACATTAAGCGGTCTGATATGAAAATCACCCACCACGTCCGGCATTGTTCCTCGACTTCAATAGTGTCCAGGCGGGAAGGGTTGGATTTTCTATCGAGACAGTGCAGCTGGAGCACCTGCGCAATCCGGGCACTCTGGCAGAAACTGGCTGAAGCTTTAGAGAACATGCTTTGCTGAGCTTCGTAGTTGGCTATCAAATCCCAACATTGGACGTGGGCCACAGAGATTGAATTCACCCCTTCCGCCTATTTACAATTAGCGGACTATAAACAATCGGTGAGTGTACAACAAACATTAGACTCGTCCATTTTGGCATATGCTCTGGCTCTCTCGTAGAGGGGTATTGCCATTGCTCCATAGTTATCGGAGGCATCGGCTCCAAGAGCCATGATGATGCATTGGAGGCATAGCGGCGGCTGAGACTGAGGTGGAAGGGAAAGGGATTCCATGTATCGGAATCTATGAATCATAGGAGAGCAGTGACTCTGCCTCTCGAAATATAGGTTTGATCTTGGCGATTTTAGCAGCCTTCCTTGCATTTTTGGGGGGCCTCCTTACAGTTCCTTCGCTAGACCCGAGGAAGCGTGTTGGCTTGAGGAACGTTCAGAGCTAGTTGTCTGGATGGAAGAGGACGGATCTTCGAAGACGTAATCCTCAATATTATCTTGGATGTCTTCCATTACCAGCGCTGCGTTTTCTTCGCCATCGATGGCTCCCCACAGTGGGTTGTTGGAGTGAACCGCATCAAGCTTACTCTCGAGTTCGGCTGGTGACAGGTTGTAAGCGTGATTTGTAATGGAGTTGGCTTTGATTTAGGTTACCTAGCTTCGCTTCCAACTCCCGGACTTGTTTCCTCTTTCCCGTAACCTTCTTTCTTGCGCTGGGATAGTCGCACGGGTGGGCTAATCGTTGGCATCGACCACAGCATGGCGCGTTACGATCGCACTTGAGTTTCTTCTCCCGGCACTGGAAGCAAGACAGAGGCGCTATAGGGTGGCTCATCTTGTCGAAGGAATGCGACCCGGGTCGGGGGAGTGCTGCATGAGTCGGGCGAACGTGATAGATGTCGGTGTCCGACAGATGCCAGAGAGCAAGTCGGCCAGAACGAGGTGGGTGCTGTCCATTATTAGTCAGCACCTCCTGCCCGGTGTCCGATGAAGACCGTAAAGTGGGGCCAAACGGTGTTTTGTTATCAGTTCCTCCGACCGTCCGTAGTTTCAGTTACCCTACACCTACCACCTTCCTCCTGATGATCGAGTAATTGCGTCACGACTGTTAAGTAAAGTCGAACCACTACTACTACAACCTTAAGGCATAAGTGAACAATCTTAACCGATGTCGTAGATTTGGGTTTTCAAGAACCAATATTTCCTCGTTGCACTCAGAGCGTTCCAACGACCTTTGCATCCTTGCCATCACCGTCTTATCAGCACGCATGATGAGGAAAGATGAACGAAGAACGGTATGCCAAACCTACGTATACAAGGTTTCTTTACGACTTTCACTACAATTTGAGGAAGCATCAGCAAGGCAGTTTGTAAACATATCGCAGAAAGACATCTCTCTTCGCCTACTAAATGGCATGTTTGCTACAGACTCGTCCACCGCCAGACTCAAAACTCCTCACGACATATCCATCGCGTCACCATCAGCTACAGCCGAGTTCGCGGCACCTCCTCCGCCCAAGAAATAATTCAAAAAGATAATGATGTCGTCCACACCGCCAGGGGAGTGAAGCCAGTGACCACCTGAAGGGTACTCCCTCCACTCGACATTGGCCCCAAAGGACTTCAAGATATCCCTGTTCTTCCGTCCATTCTCCACCACGACCAACGGATCATCAGCACAATGCTCCAGCAGCATGGGAGTATTCCGAAGGAACGCATTATCACCAGGAGCGCCGCCCACCTTCAAAACCTCCCGCATCTCGGCCAGGCTCCTCCCCGCAAAGGGGCAGCGGCAACTGAACCCTATGAAGGCGCCCAGCCCGGTGGGTACGTCTAGGTTGAAGAGCGTGTGGATACTCGTGGCGGCACCCATGCTGATCCCCGCAAGGACGACGCGACGGTAGTCCCCTCCCAGGAGCGCGGCCTCGCCCTTTATGAATTCGCGGACGGTGGGGACGACCTCCCTGAGGCCCGCGGCCTGCACCTCCTCCTTGTCGGAGAAGTCCTTTGTATTCCAGACGTCGAACCACTGCGGCATGATGATGGACGGCGAGCTGGCGCATGGGCGAGGGGGGGCCTGGGGGAAGACCCATTTGAAGGAGGGGTAGACGTCGAAGAGGTTCCGCTTCTGGGAGTCGAGCCAGCTGTACAGCGCGCGGGAGAAGTTCGTGGCGTTGTCGCCCCGTCCGTGGAGGAAGACGATGGTGTGGGTGTGTCCCTGCGTAGGAGCGATGACGTGGGTTGCAATATTGATGGTGGCCATCTTTGCTTGTGATAGCACGCGTCGTTCTTCGACCGGGATGATCGCTTATGCTTGATGAGACCGGACAAGACGGTGAGTGATGAGGAGAGGGGTTATTGCGTAGGAAAGGAAAAGTTGGTGGTCTGTTGATGGGGAGGGGAATATTCGAAGCGTCGCGGCCATTCAATAGCTGCCGTGTGGTTTTCTGTCCCACGTACCACCTATCATATCGTAAACAGTTTCTAATTTTAGATCGCGAGTTCCCCTCTAGAGGTAGGTAGGTAGGTAGTAATGGCGGCAAACGATGCAACCGTTAAGCGCTTGCAGGGCGCCTAGCATCTACAACCAACCTCGCGTGGGTACGCAATTGAGACGGTATATTTTTTTCATTCTTAGTATATTTTTATTTATTTTATTTTTCAAAAAGTTCCTCAAGAATAAACCCCAGATTCTCCCCTGAGCCGATTGTTCTTACTTCTGTTTCCTCTCTCTGATCGCACCAGGCCTTCTTTTTCAGGGTTGCCTCTGCAGATGATTCATTTTTCCTCCGTCCGTTAACCACTCCAAGCTTTCTTTATTTACCTCTGCAGCTTATTACTTCCTCCCTCCCTTCTAGATATCTCCAGGTGATCGCAGAGAAGCCCCTCATCGGATACTTACAAGAGTTCCACGAACCCTACAAGGAACATGACAGTGGGTAGCAGCACGGGTTTGTCTGTGCACTCTTGATGTGCACTCTTGATTTGGTACTCTTGATTTGGTAAGGTAGGTGTGATCAAATGTATGCCCAATTCTCTTCTCGCAAGTCATGAGTTATGACACAGGTGATATGGAACGTCCATGCAAGACTTTAAATTGATCTCTGACCACTGGTCCTATATGACACGGAAAGAGCATGCAAGATTTACACTCAAGAATCATCGTTTCCTTGTTTGGCCCTCTTCAGAACGCCTTCTGCCCCTGGCACATCCTTCCCAAGAGCAGTGACTATAGACGACCACACTCGTTCTGATCGCATGGTGGCATTCGGATCAGAACAATACCATGCTGGGCTGTGGTTCAATGTTAGCAGCCAACCTTTCACTAAATTGTCTTGTGGTCTTAGTCACGCACCTGTCGATGGAATCCCACTGCCAAAATCGGCCATGCCCGCGCTCTCCAAGTGCGAGACCGCTGAGATAAACCCTCGCACCCTGCTCGGCCGTCTTCATCATCAGATATACCACGCTGAAAGCCATCCGGAAAAGGAGCGACCTGTTGTCGAACTCCCTCGTGATGGCGGACTGAGTAGGGCCTGGGCCCACGACGACCACGTATGCCCGAGGCAATCCAGAGTCCTCGTCGGCAACGAGATCTACAAGATGCCGTTGCACATACATGAGGAACAGCTTGGATAGAGAGTATTGCTCCAGGAATCCGAACTCTTCGAACGACTCCCGGGTATTATACACCTCGAGAGGATCTTTGTCGGGGTTGTCCGTGTCTGGCAATAGGCTGCGGAGGCGCTGGTGCGTACCAGATCCAACCAACTCAAGCACAGGGGTGAAGTCACTTGTTTGGCTTTCCATCAACTTCGGCAGCAGCAGCAAGGACAGAAGCGTGGTGGAGATGAGATTGACCTGCAGGGCTGATTCGAACCCGTACTTTGATTCCCTGAACTCGTGCGGGCTGATGCCAGCATTGAGAACAACGTACTCCAGGCGGTCGACCTCCTTGTTCACCCGAGAAGCAAACGCCTGGATCGAGTCATAGTCCAGCATGTCCAATTGGTAGACGTCAATCGTCACATCCGTCTCTCCCGCCTGAGCCAGAATCTTCTTCTTCGCATCCTCCCCCTTCTCCACGGACCGCACCCCGATAATGACCCGCTTGGCGGAGCCCCGGACGAACTTGACGACTGACTCATAGCCCAGACCAGAATTCTAAAAATGCGCCGCGTTTAGTGTCCCATCGTGGTAAAGGAGGTGTTAGGGGGGTTACCGCGCCAGTGATAAGGAGAGTCTTGCCAGTCAGATTAGGCCCGATGTCGCGAGGGGGCCAAATCTTACTGCCTAGCATCTGATACAGGAATGCCATGGTGAAGTGCTGGCGATGATTTCGCCGCTTTTTCCGGTGTGTGTATGAGAGGGGGGAGATGCCACGTCGAGCATTAGGGAATCCACATCTTAAATGTAATGATTTTGAGTTCATCATCCGATAACAAGAAAGGAAGGTTGCTCTAGCTACGTGATGTGCATTCATTAGCGGAAAGTTTTGAGACATTCTAATCTCAGACGGGGTTGATCGGCTGTACACTTACATGGGGCCTCCGGCAGCCGCCAATAAACAAACCTAGACTCTTCCATGATATTAGTTACTACCCCACAATCTGACAGGTGTCAGTAACGCCAACTACCCCTCTCACTGAGTCTAAGGATGGACCGTAGTCTAATAGTCGACCCCTCCTTTCGCAGGAAGTTTATCTTAGGTGCCTCTGTCCCAATGCTTCCATCCAGCTTTAATCTGCAATAAATCTACGTAGCTGAATGAGATAGTGGCGGAAAGTTCGGATATTACTCATTGACTATAGGTGTTCCCATAGTATCAGTTTGAGACATGCCAGAGTAATAGCTATATCGCAGTTAAAAGTGTGTGCAGCGCCTCCTCTCACCAGGCACAGCATCTCGCCCCCTCGCTCCTCCAATCTCTCGAAGTACCTTCTTCAGCTTGCACGAGCACGGCCATGAGCGCTACTCGGCCTGCTCATCCGGCTGCTCCTCCTCGTACCCCTCCTCCTCGTCATCGTCCACCGCGACGTCCTGGTACTGCTGATACTCGGAGATCAGGTCGTGCATGTTGGACTCGGCCTCGGTGAACTCCATCTCGTCCATGCCCTCGGCCGTGTACCAGTGCAGGAAGGCCTTTCGCCGGAACATGACCGAGAACTGGTCGCCGATGCGCTTGAAGACCTCCTGCGACGCGGTCGTGTTGGCGACGAACGTCGCGGACATTTTTAACTTTGGCGGCGGGACGGCGCACAGGGCCGTCTGGATGTTGTTTGGGATCCACTCGACGAAGTAGGACGAGTTCTTGCTCTGCATCTTGAACATCTGGTCCTCGACGTCCTTCATCCCGAGTTTCCCGCGGCTGTTTCATGATGGGTTAGCTATCAGATCGATCCCGGTTGTGGGGCAGTGCTACGCCTTTCACTTACAAGATGGCCGAGCAGGTTAGGAACCTCCCGTTCCTGAAATCGGAGGCGGACATCATGTTCTTCGGCTCGAACAGCTGGAGCGCCAGCTCCTGCGCGGTCATTGATCGGAAAACCGAAGATCCACGGGCAGTTAGAGGTGCAAATCCCACGCTGAAGAAGTGCAGGCGGGGGAAGGGGATGGTGTTGACTGCCATCTTTCGAAGATCAGAATTAAGCTGCCCAGGGAACCGGAAGCCAGTTGTGATGCCAGACATGACGAGCGCCACTAGATGATTGAGGTCCCCGTATGACGGGCTGGCGAGTTTCAATGTCCGCTGGCAGATGTCAATGAGGGCCTCGTTATCGAGGCAAAACGTCTGGTCCGCATTCTCCACCAGCTGGTGGACAGAGAGCGTGGCATTGTATGGCTCGACGACCACTTCCGAGACCTTGGCCGACGGCATCACAGAAAAGGTCGCCATCATTCGATCGGGGTATTCTTCGCGGACCTTGGCCAGCAAGAGCGTGCCCATTCCTGCGCCAGTTCCGCCGCCGATCGAGTGCGTGACCTGGAAGCCCTGCAAGCAGTCGCAATCCTCGACCTCACGGCGGATCACATCGACCACTTGCTCGACGAGCTCCGCGCCCTCGGTATAGTGGCCTTTCGCCCAGTTGTTTCCGGCACCCGCTTGTCCGAACACGTAGTTGTCGGGATGGAAAAGTCCTCCGAGAGGGCCGGCCTTGATCGCGTCCATTGTTCCGGGCTCCAGGTCGACGAGAACGGCGCGAGGGACGTATTTGTTTCTGGCCTGGAGGAATGTTAGCGAAACATAACATCAAGTGCGAATTGGTTCGACACTTTACCTCGTTGAAATACACATTGAGCCGCTCCTTCTGAGTGTCCGAACTCCCGCCGTACCTATTGCCGGGGGATGTTAGACTTAGCCAACTGCTTCAAGGGGGCGAACTCACACTCCATCACCGTCAAGCCCATGTTCGGCAGTGATATTTTGCCTATAATCGATCAGAATCTACATCCTGATGAAGCTTTTCGTCTACTTACCAGAACGCGGTACCGACTTGGTTGCCCTAGAAGCTCGTTAGTCAACTGGACGAATCGTAAGAGACAGTGGCTTTACCTACACATTGTCCTGTCTGTATTTGGATCTGGAGGGGAATGAATTAGCATCAAATCAAAATCCCAACCGAGCCAGAGAGCGGAAGGATTGTTTTCTTACGATTTCACGCATTTTCAAGATTCGTCGGAGGGGACCACGTGGAATTGGATTTGGATGGGATGAATTTTCAGATTGACCACGAGTAGAAGAAAAAATTTCTTCGGCTTCTACGACATTTTATTCGAAGGGCGATACAACGGAGTGATCAGGCTGCCGAATTAATCCCCCTGTTTTGGTAGGCAACAGAATAAACAAGACCTGATTGTTGGCAACTGTCGGCGGAAGCAGGGGTGTAAGCGGCGAGGTGGTGCGGGGCCACGGGGGATAACTGGAAAATAAGCAACGGCGGGATTGTTGCTTTGTTTAATTCCGCCCTGGATTCCACAGCAACGGGGCGTAGAGTCTGTTGACTGGCTGCTGGAGGTGGTCGGATGAGGTCTGTAAGGGGAAGCACCGGAGCTTTGAACCGTCGACGGCGGAGACTAAGTGGAGACCCGAAGCCCCTGGATTGGTCCATTGGCTCGCTGGAGGGCGAAGACTGCATCGCGTCTGCCTCGAGACATCAACCAGCTCGCGCTTTGCCTCGCCCCCCCTGAGCAGGGTGTGACCCCGATCTGTACCGCCTCCAGCAGCCATCAGGATGAACTCGACCGCTACAGGAAGGCGCCAAGGGCTCCGGAAGGGCACTCGAAGCTGCTGGGAATGCAAGAGGCGCAAGACCCGCTGCATCTTCAGCTCCGGGGCCTCCCACAACACGCCTTGCACTGGATGCCAACGCCGAGGGCTGGCCTGCGTGAGCCAGCAGGTGCCAGAGGAGAGTGCCCGGCCTACTGTGCCGTACCAGCCGCTGAGTGACCGGCTGGTCCGCGTGGAGAAGCTCCTTGAGGAAATTGCGGCGAAGCAGGATTCTGGCGCGACGCCGACACGGCACTCGGATCCAGGCAATGTGTTCAACGTGAACTCCGAAATTGTCTACACGCCCGGTATCTCTGCATGTATGGCTGTCGAGGACGGTTGTGAGGGTGAGTATGTTTCCCTGAACAGGAGGCACGTGGAAAATATGCCCAGGCAACCCAGAGAGCAGCCAGAGAAGCTTCAGGCAGTGCTGCCAACAACTGAAGACATGAGCATCATCGCTCGGGTCATTAGTCACGATGCGCTCTATTATCATATGATGATGGCGATCCCATATACGCAGGCCAAGTTCCCAACGTCCAACACTCTAGGCTCCCTGGCCACGCTGCCAGACCTCACTTCGCACCCGGTTCTCATCGCAAAGAGGCTGCTCATCATAGCGACTTTCTTGCAGGGCATGGCGCCCGAGCATAGAAGCCAGGCCATGCGTCTGTCCATGCCAGTTGACGTTATGAAGACGTGCCTCGTGGATGTTGCCAGGCGCTTGGTCGAAACCAGGGACGACCAGATCAAATTCATGGAGGAGATGGAGTGTATCCTCCTCGAGGCCGTCTTCCATGCCAACTCTGGGAACCTGAGGCGTTGCTGGCTGGCTTTTCGCCGATTGATGGCCATCGGACAGATGCTTGGTATGAACCGCCCAGGCCGTCAGCTTGTCCAGTTTCTGGATGCTGAGAACGCGGCTGACCCGCCTTTCATGTATTTCCAAATCATATACATGGAACGCGTGCTGTGCTTACTGCTCGGGCAGCCCCAAGGCTCCTCGGGCAGCGATCTAATGCCTTTTAGCGACGAGAACCCGGTCCAGCGGATGGAATTCCTGCATTCGTCGGTAGCCAGCCAGATACTCACGCGCAACGAGGAGGGGCTCTGCTACGAAGACTTTTCGGCCACGCAAAAGATTGACATCGAGATGCAAAAGGCCGCTCGCATGGTCCCTCAAGACTGGTGGCTTGTGCCCGATCTATCTGCCAAGTCTGATCGAGTCAGGGGTTTCTGTCAGCTCACCACCCACCTCATGCATCATTATCTACTTATCCAGCTTCACCTACCGTTCATCCTCCCGTCGCCCACGGAGGTCAGGCAGGACTACAGCATCTTCACGTGCGTCCACGCCAGCCGCGAGGTCCTGACCCGCTTCATATCCTTCCACTGCCTCAACGGCGTGACGTTCAACTTCTCCCGCCTCTACTTCTTCGCTCTGATCGCCATCGAGGCCATCCTGCTGGCGCACATCAACAGCCGGAGCTTTCGGGACTGGGGCGACATCCTCGCCCACCAGCGGGCAAACGACCGTTCCATCGCGATGCAGGTTTTGAGGCACGTGGATAAGGCGAGCGAGATTTGTCCCGAGGTGCGGTACGGGAAGAGCGCCCATGTCCTCCGTCAGCTGCTGCAGATCGAGAACGAGGCCTACGAGCAGTGTAGCCTCGAAGGTCCGGATCCGCAGGGCGCGCAGCATGAGCTGCGGGTGAGCGTGCCTTTCTTTGGTATTGTTACTGTGACGCGGCAGGGGATCATCAAGTCTCAAGGTCCTATTGTCACTCCTCTTCAAAGTTATGGGCCGCAGGTCTTGGGTCTCGAACCTGGGCGTCAGGGAAATCCTGGTCAGCCCTTTCCATATGCCACAGGGATTGAGACAAATAGTTCAACGACTTTCGGCAATGATGGCCATCGGCTTTTTTCTGACTCGGGTCAGACACGAACCGGCCTGGATCATTCGGACTTCTTGATAGAGGAGGCTTTTCCGGGGGTAGATGCAAACTTCTTTGATAGCATAGTAAGTGAATCTTAGTTGGAGAACAAACAAATTGTGGCAGAGGCAGTGTGGGTATTTCGCGGAATTGGCTTGGCATCCAGTTTCCGACCAAAAGCGTCAATGTATGCTAGACCGAGTATTTCATCTCTCAGCCCACCAGGCTATGCGTCCGGACTCGAACATTGGGGATTCGGGTCTGGCGTCTTCAATTGCTGTTTTTTATGTTGTACTTGAACTCTCATCCGTAACATTAGCTATCCGGGGAGAGGAGTTCACGGTTGCAGCACGGCGAGGTGTGCTGTCGTCGGGAACTGGAATGACGTAATTTGATCACATCCGGGCACTGGGCACCTCTACAGAGTTACTCAGGTATGCAGTCGCCGTGCAGAGTCACTCAGGTATGCAGAGTCGCCGTGCAGACTGGAGTCGTGCAGGGTCGCTGTGCAGAGTCGGCCACTGGACCGCGGGCCACACTAGAGCTAAGGTTACCGGCTTGCAGCCACATCATTGATCACATTCATCATTATCGCGGCAAAGAGGATCTGACTTAACTGCTCAAGGCAGCGCGAGGCTGCGGCTGTTGATTGCATTCATCTAGATCGCCGTCAGCAAGATCAAGGAAGGGTCTGACTTACCTGCTAAAGGCTGCAGCTGTTGATCCTATCCGCGAGAGTCAGCGTCGATGGAATCAGACTTGCCTGCTTGAAGTTGCTTGACGCTGTTGCTGTTGATAGTATTTATGAAGGTCAGGGCAAATGGAATCATGGAAAGGAAAAGAAGCAGATTCTTGCTGCCTTGGGCGGCGACTTCATAGCCCGGCCTTGGAAGGAAGGCACATCAAGGCAGGAAGGCACGATACCTACCTAATTACCTACCTTACTTCAAAAGCGGCTCCAACAGCGGCTCCAACAGCAGCCTTCCCTTCTAATAGCATTTCCTCCTAGATAGAATCAGTCACAGCACGTCCTTCACATATTCTTTTTAAGCCTCTCTACATTGTATCTCATCATTTAAAAAGTATTTGCAAGGGATAGTATAAATGCCCTTTCCACAGCTATCTGGCTAAGCATAGCTAGGCATAGCCCACACACCGTTTGTGTACTGTACATCCATTCGGCTAGCCAACATACTGCCCAAAAACAGGGCCCCGTAGGGAGGTAGTGAGCAGCGAAAGTCCGGTCGGCTATCTGCAGTCAACTGCGGGTACTCGATCGAGGCTCGGGGATCCGGCATTTGGTCATGCTCCACAACAGTCGCAAACCCGAACCTTGAGATTCGGGAATGCCATTGCCAATTGTTGGGGATCGTCATCATCGGGTACTAACTGTTGGCGACCAGCTGCTCTTATATTAAAGGACCCAATGTCGCTATCGAAGTCTGCCTGTCCTGAACAGCATCTCACCAACACTTCCTCGCATCGACCGCACATCAACCCGCCAAAAAATGGAGTTCCCCAACGTCGACCTCAATCTTCGGTGGCAAGACCAGAAAGTGGTCAAGAAGGATGGCCTATGGGTCGTTGAAGGGTACGTATACCGCCAACCTCATTCGGCACCATCTCTAACAACCACGGCAGTCGACCAACCTTCAATGTCAAGGTTTCCCATCTCCACCACCCCCCTAACTTACCGGGCAAGACATGGACGGGAGTGCTCGTCTCCGGACCACCGAAAGCAGGTGGGCATTTTCACCTTCTGCACCTCAACTCCTAAAATATACTAACCCGTGGTTTTGTCTAGCCACGCCCCCTCACACGCACGCAGGTGCCGCTGTCGTCGCCACGGTAATCCGAGGCCATGTGCTCAACCAGATGGTCCATACCCATGTAGACCCAGTAACCGGCAAGAAGCACGAGCACAGCAGCGGTGCCAAGATATACGGACCCGGCGAGAGCTGGTACGAGGCTCCCGGATGCCACCACGTTCGCTCGGAGAATGCCGGCAGCGAGGACTGCGAGTTCGTGGCCAACATGATTCTCGATTCGAGTGTCTTTGACGGCTTGGATCTCGAGGATCGAAGCCAGCTCGCCGACATCCAGAAAATCCAACGCTTCGTCATCATTGATGCTGATGTTGAGGAGAAGAGGCTGCAGGGCTCCGAGTGATTGCGTCACTTGCTCCGGTTTGGACAGAAACACAGTAAGAGTTAGGCTTCACAATATCATACTGGAAGAAATACTATCGTGCTTCCCCTAGAGTCAGGCTTGTGTGATGAACTGTTACTTTGAGTCATGGCCCAAGTGAACGATGCCGGGTCGTCCTATAATCGAAGCCGCCGCTCGGATATCGAGCTCTCTAGCAAGGAGAGGAGTTGAAGAACAACTGGGCAACTTGAATTTTGAACCTGGGGGGCGTGAATGCAAGCATAGATTGATGGCTAGCGAGTTGGTGCGCCTTGAAACTTTAGGCTTTTCCGGGTGTAGATACAACCTTCTATGATAGCATAGTAAGTCAATCTTAGCTGGAGAACATGCAAATTCCTTATTTGTGCGCGCTGTGGAGGTCCTGGATTCCCTGTCCTTGATGTTATTCATTTGTATTGCATCTATGTTAGCACTAGTCATTTGCCTACCATCTTTTCTCGCCCGTAGCAAGACCAGTCTCAACTATGTGAGATGATGGAGCATCACAGGAGCCTCTGGAGGAAAAAGCATTCAGTGGTCCAAGAATGTAAACCGGGCTATCGATGCTCATGGGACGAGGAAGGGTTGGTGCCTAGGCACAGCTAGAGCTAAGATAGACAGCAAATGTTTAGGTGGAGGTTCCTCAGAAGTAATACCAATCACCTGCATCACTTTTGTCAAGTGAGCGAGTCCCCTGTAGGCTGCATGGCTGTAGGTTTAATGAAGGTAAGATTCAGGGGCAGTGTCCTTTTGAGAGAATTCGAACTGCCGGTTCAAGTGCTGTTCCCCGAAAGCCTACGGAGCTCCATTGAGAAATTCTTCGGGTAACACCCTTTTCTTGGGAAGAACGATGCTTCTGGAATACAGCCAGGTAGGACCAAATTAATAAGCGGCATATGCTGGCGATGAGACTGCAGAAAGGCCTATAGAGGCGGAAGGGAGTGCCAAAAGTAGGTTAGGTTTCGTAATACCGCTGCTGACTGCCGTGCAAGGGTGCCATGCCTATAAATGCCGTATCAGGGTGCAATGGCCGGAAGCATAATCCTTACCGCCAATAATTAATCCTCCCAAACCTGGTCCGCTGACGCCACCTCCTCCTTCCCCATCGACTAGACCAAGAAGGCCCGGCCCCTGACCTGGCCCCCGACCTCCACTGATTCGCCAGCGGGAGCTCGACTATCTTAAAGCATGTGGCTATGAGAATGGTCTTTATTAGAAGGGCTTTTACTAGAAGAAGCTTTATCCGTTAGAGTAGTAATTCTAGTTTCTTAGATTACAGACAATGAGACCGGAAGCGCGCAATCGACCGTGATACTTGTGAGAACCAGGCTTGAAACGTGCAAAGAGTAAACCTACCTCTCGAAGCTTCGTCAGTCCAGCAACTGGGTGACTCACTGACGGCTCGGTAAGCGATGAATATTTCTGCCTGTCCAAACAGTATGGGATTATGGCTACTGATCATCTAGCCGAGGATCTCTACTTGGATGAAATTCTAAGCTAGCTACGAGCTGTCGAGACTAAACCCCCGCCGTTATGTCGCCGCACGCAAAGAACCGCCCTATTTTTGCAGACTCGGCTCTACGCTACCAATGGTGGGTTTGTGTCATGGACCTAAATAATAGACAGATCAGTCAAGCAAGCATAAGCACGACATTTCATGGGCTTCCCACGTCATGAGTGTATGCCTCAGCCTAGCTTCTTCGGCTTGGGCTCGGATATCAACCACGTCTACTTAGCCGAAGCAGTCAGCAGGTAGAGCAAACCGTCTCCAAGAAATGAAACATGTACGGTTGCAGATTATTAGTCTAGGTCATGAGTCGTTATACGCCCTTGGAAAAATCCAGGCCCCTTTTACTCCACTTACAAAGCTCCTGGGATGAAGGGGAGAGTTATGTGTCTACCTCATGGACAACTGGCCAATCAGTTGATTACAATAATCAATCCGTTGTTGTGCATCCTGCAGAAAAGCCCTGTCAACTACTAAGCAGCTAGCGAGTGACATCCTGGGGAATGTGGGCGCAGTTTGGCACGGACTTTCTCTAGAATTGCTAGAATAGGCAAGACGTGCCGCCGCCCCTGCTAACGAAGGGCGTATTAGTAGTGTTGCATATTAACGTTATCACTATGTCTACTATGTAGATGGTATTATTGAATTTGACTGCATGCGTCCATTTTTGACCAGTTGAAACATGGTAGAAATATCCACTAAGAACTCGTGACCCCGAGAGTCGTTAACCCGGAATCAAACACGTACTAGCTCTCTGATTGCTAGAATTAACATACAAATTTAGCACGGACTCCGTTAGAATTATTAGAATAAGTGAAATATTCCCCTCCCCCGCCCTTTCTTTTTAACTAGATAGTTTAAGGACTCTACCAGTATTAGGAGTATTAGAGTTATTACTAAATTTAACGGATGATTACTAGAATCCTTATGCAATTTTAGGTGATGGAAGTAGGTGTGGGGTACACTGAAATTTATGCGAGAAATGCCAATTTTGGAGCTTATATCAGCCTGTTCCTGGATCTGTCTGTTTTAAGTAGCATCTCCTCTGCTTTGTTGCCGCCGAGTATGGATCCCTGTTACCTGTTGCAGGCCTCGTCTTGAATCATATAATATGTACATAGAGCTGTATGTAGGCATGTGTGCATGGGTAGAACCTTGCTGAAAGTTGCACAATCTCGTTGGTTAGCAAATTTGTGCCTTTCTATCATACGAGTAAGGGTATATGGGCTGTTATTAGAACTATTGTTAATTATAGCTCTCCATCCTTATGTTGACTTGTAATTCTTCTATAAAGACTAAGACCTAGTCTTGGAATTATCTCCTCTTCTTCAGCTTCTACTCTATTTTCTCCAATTTTTCATTGTGTCGACTTCTTCAGCTTCTACTTTGCATTCTCCAATTTTCGTTGTCTCCTCTTCTTCAGCCTCTACTCTCTATTATCCAATTTTTCTTTCCTCTCTTCTCTCTCGCTAGCTTTTGTGCTTTATTCGTTAAAATAATATCATATTTTTGTCCTTTTCAAACCAACAAGCACCACTTATATCGTTTACCACATCCCATATCCAAGGTACTCACCTATATATTACCCACAATGGTTGCCATTCAGCAATTTGCCGTTGCCAGTTTCGCCATGTGCAGCATGGTTCAGACGGCCATGGCTTTTAGGACCGAGAGTGCCAAAGGCCTCACGCTTCGTGACTTGGAAGAGCGCGGTGCTGCCATGTCCGTTGTCAAGGCCGCGACCAAGGGTGGCAAGAAGGGGAATGGCAAGAGATCTCTTGGTGAGCGTGGTGCCGCCATGTCTGTTGTCAAGGCCGCGACTAAGGGTGGTAAGAAGGGGAGTAAGAGATCTCTTAGTGAGCGCGGTGCTGCCATGTCTGTTGTCAAGGCTGCGACAAAGGGTGGCAAGAAGGCGGGCAAGAGATCTCTTGGTGAGCGCGGTGCTGCCATGTCTGTTGTCAAGGCTGCGACCAAGGGCGGCAAGAAGGCGGGCAAGAGATCTCTTGGTGAGCGTGGTGCTGCCATGTCTGTTGTCAAGGCTGCCACCAAGGGTGCTAAGAAGGGGAACAAGAGATCTCTTAGTGAACGTGGTGCTGCCATGTCTGTTGTCAAGGCTGCGACTAAGGGTGCTAAGAAGGGGAATAAGAGATCTCTCGATTAGCGTGGTGCTGCTGTATCTATTGTCAAGGCTGAAGGGCAAGAGATCTCTTAGTGAGCGTGGTGTTACTATATCTATTATCAAGGCTGCAGCTAAGGGTCGAGCTCTCTAGCAAGGAGAGGAGTTGAAGAACAACTGGGCTGCTTGAATTTTGAACCTAGGGGGGGCGTGAATGCAAGTATAGATTGATGGCTGGCGAGCTGGTGTACCTTGAAACTTTGCCTCAAGTTTGCAAGTTTGGTAGGCACAGGCAATCGTGGAGAACGAGCAACACAATTTCACCTTTTAGATCCACAATTGATCAAAACCGCGTCGGCCATGTTCTTTTTACAGCACCATTTCCCGCCGCTGTCTGATTCACGAGTACACGCAGCTAATCGGGTTCTCTTCGCTGTACACAATCCCGCCCCAAGCCGTGTATCCCTCGGGCAAATCATCGATTTCGCTGATGTACATCTGGTAGATGTCGTCTGGTGTTCCCGTCGTGACGTTCGTCCATCCTCTGAAACGCTTCCCATTCAGCCTTACCTCATTGGTAGTCCTGTCAATCGCCCAACCCTTGAGTGTGCTTCCCTCCGGAGCTTCCTCGCCGTCTGTTATGTATCCCAGAGCACCTAACACTACAGAGTATCCATCAGTTACAGATTTGGTCAAGAGATATCTCTCTTCGTGTTCGGCAGACTTACACTCGCCGTTGGTGCCGTAGACTTGTTGGCGCCTTCTGCCTTTGGAGTAGAGGAACAGCTCGTCGCTCTTCAACGTGAAGGTCGCATAGTCTTGCTTAGCACCTCTCTCGCATCTGGCGTCATCGTTTGGCTTGTTGGCGAAGATACTTCCCCCAATTGCTGTAAATTTGAAGTACATTTGCGGTCCATTGGGGCCAGTCAGCGTTTCAAGCGTGAAGGCTCGCCGACTATGGTCTGGGCTGGGAGCGGCGAGAACGAAGGGAACAAAAAGGAACGAGAGGCCGAGTTCAAACTTCATTTTCATGGGCTATCTATCGGAGTATGCTGTTGAGTTGTGGAAAGTTTGGAGTAACTGATGTGTGTTGGGAACAGAAGAATGATGGACCACGAGTGATCACGGGCGAGGTTCGTTGTTTGTATTAGGATTACATTGAAGAGGACTAGTTATTTAACTAATATGAAGGAGTAACTAATAGAATGAATTGCATCAACATACGAAATACGAAATACGTGGTATGGTGTCTGCATCATGCTAATACGCTAACATCAGCTTTCAAGGGTGCCCCAGAACTGTGAGCTAGCAGCAGGCATTGAACTTGGTGTTGATGGAGTATCGCCAAGCAACTACTGACAACTACGTATACGAGGTGCGGAGAGTGTGTTGCCCTGTTAAGATGGCTTGGATGTGTCCAATTGTCCGCCTTCCCTAACAGCGTCTGAGTTCCCTTCTGATCCCACTCGCCGACATATTCGCATCCACCACAAGAATCTCTCAATTACATCTCCCACCAGTTATACACCTTCTGAAATCCTTATTCGCTCTTTACAGACTTCCTCTTTGGGGGCATGATCCACGGAACTGTCCCGACCAGTTCCTCTTCGCTATCCAGAAAGTCAAATGCAGGTGCCCGCGCTGTTCTACTGGCCTGTTGGTTTGACAAAAACTTCTGAACGACGTGCATTGAAAAAATGTACCGGTCGATGAATTTCAAAATCCAGTTCGGCCAAGTTGCCAAGGCAGTGGCATTACCGGCTGCCCTGCAACCTTCAATGACTGGCTCCTTGCGTGAGGCTTCATAAGCCTTGAAGGCAGCCATCACTTGGGCTTTCCCCGATTCAGCTGCCAGGCCAAGTGGTTCCGCGTGAGCCGCTTGCAATTCCTTGACGAGTTCGTTGACGAGTGCGACGACATCAATGATCCCGTTGTTGAACCCGGCGCCGGTGCTCGGTGTGAATTTATGCGCTGCATCGCCCGCCAGCACGATACGGCCGTCCCAGCTCCAGTGCTTCACGACGCCTTCCTCCAGGTTTACCAGGCCAGATTGTATGCTCGACTTGTAAGCGTCTCGGATAGTAAGAGTCTGGCCAGGTGTGAGCGGCAGATGTCCCCAGCGCCCAACCAAAGCCTCCTCGTCAGCTTTTGAATATCGGCAGCGATCGTAGGTGGGCTCGTCAAGGCGCTCATATATGCACATGACGACAGTATCGACACCCGCAAACAGTTGGGTCGCCAGTTTCTCGCCGTGAGTCTCCCAGGTCGTTCCAGGCGTCAGGCCATTCGTGGTTGGAAAGCGAGTCCATAGGCAGCGGTAAGTCGTTAGAAAAGGCTTCTCTTCATTTAACAGTGGGGATTCATTGTCGATTGCAAGCTGCCGCATGCGCTCTCGCACAAAACTATGGGCGCCATCCGCGCCGATGACCACGGATCCCTCGTATGAAGTACCATCCGTGCATGTAATGCTCACACCGTTCGTAGTCGTAGAGATGTCGGATACTTTCTTGTTCGGAAGCAGGTTGGGCATGGTATCTGTTGGAAGTGACTGGTAGAGAACCTTGGTCAAGTCATGTCGGCTGATGACTCTGGGATATGCACCGAAACTGCGCGATTTTGTCAGTACAGTGCAGTCTAGGGAGTAGCCCTGTTCCAATCTTCGACTCACTACTCGTTGTCATAGAGAAACCACTTCATACTACCAAGTCGCCCACCGCTGTGATCCATACGGTTGATGATGCCAAGTGGGGAGCTGACTTTCTTCAGCTCTTCGAGTAGGCCTAGCTGCCCCAGAACCCGCATGCTCATGGGGACTAAGATCAGATTGGATCCAGCGTCTATGACGAAGCTCGACCGCTGCTCAAGGACAATAAAATCAATGCCGGCTTGTGATAATGCGTGGGCGCACGACAGCCCTACTGGGCCGCCACCGACAACGATGACTCGGAAGTTGGTTGGTCCCATGATGAGTATTTTCGTTATTCAAATAGCTTGAGGCGTCCGCCTTGAAGGATTGAATTTCTTCTTGGTCGGTTTTTTGGTGCAAGATGGTCGATTAGAAGGGAGTGACAGCCACCAAAAGGAGGCCCGAAGTTGCAAAACGAGATGAGAGAGAGCACAGTTAATCATATCGACGTAGCACAAAATACTCACCTGAAAATGGATCTACCTTTATATTTAGAGAAATCGTAAAAATATAAAATAAGCAACAGGTATTCGCGGTCTCGGAGCTCGCTGCAGAATCGATGTGTGTCTTCGCGTTCGGCCTTACAAAAGAAAGATGCTGTTGCGTTCCCGCTGACAGGGTTTGCGATTGGTCCCGTTCTGCTGCCACGCTAACCCATTTTCGTGTTCGCCCCTACCAGCCAATCAGTGTCCGAGGCTTGCATCAAGGAACAGAGGCTTCCAAGATGCGCATTGTCAGGCCGAAGAAAATATGCGGATTATCCCCGTTTTCTGACAGCGCTAGCCAGTTTTCGTGTTCCCTCGCTTCTAAGAAATAATCCCGAGATGTCTGGAGCTTGACGCCGGCACGACGATGCTGGGCACTTTTATTGCAAGCGACTGGTAATTACCTGGTCTTTCCGGCAGGTGGGCGCTAGGTACGTACCTTTTGTGGGTCCCTCTTTGGTCCTTGGGAAACGGCTTGGTAACCTGGGGAGCCAATGTCAAATGCAGTGTCGAATTCGGAGCAGCTTAATTAACTTGGCCAAAAAGGAAACATTCTTCATGGCACTCGAATGCCTATGGTTTTCTACAAAAATTATTTCTAGGGGCTTCTATCTGTAGGATAAAATCCATAACGGCTCGGAAGTTAATAAGAAGCTACAGGTTTGCCAGATTGAAGGTATTGTCTCCATTTTCATCGGACCGATGCAAGTTTAGGGTCTAGGGTAGGTAGGTCCGCTTGGCATTAGAACAAGGACCCGAGAAGCTGAAGTGGTCCCGCAAATTTCCCAAGCGGGAGATGGAAGGCTCTGGAGGATTCCAGCAGACACCACTAACTTCCAGGGCCTTCAGCGCTGTAGCAACACCAACTTGGTGCATTCGAGATGCTTCACTTCCTCCAGAATACAACATTCTCGAAGTTGCCTGAAATCATCGCGTTGAGTATAAAGTGCTCCCTTCAGTGCCACTCTCTGGCCCAAAATCTTCATCCAAACACATCATCATCATCAAACACTTCAACGGTTCTCTTCTCCAAAATAGCTCCAGCTGCCACAAATCTTAGTCGCAACCAGACTTCAACAGCAACTCAAAAACCCACCAAAATGGCTTTCTTCCCACGAACCTTTTACAACACCGAGGCCTCATTCACGCCTCTCTTCCGCCTGCTCGACGACTTTGACTCGTACTCTCGCAGCGGAAGCAACACCAATGGCACCACCCGCTCGCACATCTCGGACTGGCAGCCCAAGTTTGACGTCCGCGAAACAACAGACGCCTACCACTTCCACGGTGAGCTGCCGGGCTTGACCAAGGACGACATCTCCATCGAGTTCCCAGAGCACCAAGGCATGGTCATCCGCGGCAAGACCGAGCGCACTTACACTTCGGGCACCCCGCCTGCCGGCCTCCTCGAATCCACCGACAAGGATACGCCTGCTACTGTGACGGAGGCTGGCGAGCGCCGCAACTCACACCAAGCCACCGTTGAAGACGAGGCCGACGCCGAGAAGTCCGACGACAAGGCAGTTGCTGCTCCGGACAGCGAAAACTCAGTTGACAAGGCGGACGCGTCTGCCGCTCCGGCTGACAACTCCAAATACTGGCTCACCGAGCGCAGCATTGGCGAGTTTGCGCGCCACTTCAGCTTCCCTTCCCGCATCGACCAGGACGGCGTTAGCGCCAGCTTGAAGGATGGCATCCTGACCATCGATGTGCCCAAGGCCAAGAAGCACGAATCTCGCCACGTCGCTATCAACTAAACTCTTTCTTTCCCTACCTACCCACGCTTTAATTTTAATTGCCTGGCGGCTTGCTTAGGCAGGGAGGGATCATTTCACGGTGGACATGTTTCGACTGAGTTTGGGGCGCTTTTGATTAGCAGGATGAGAAATTCTTGCATTGCTGTTCGATAGCTACGTACCTAGTTAATGAATGATGAGTAATTTTGTTTCAAAGCTCGATGGAGTTCCTATATCTTGTGAAGTGCATTGGCCCTTTGTAAATGCTTTGTTACAGCTACCCACCCAGCTTAAACAAAGATCCCGTCTGGATTGGCAAGGCTAAGAAGGGTAGGCCGTAGATCTCGTAAATTATCTCCCCGGTGTGCTAAAACCGTATAGAATTGGGATCATTGTGACCAACGAGGGAGGCGGTTAGCTAATCACCCCGAGGCGTCTGACTATGCGTTCACCTGCTTGGCTTAGAGCAGCTTATTGACCTTTCAGACCAGGAAGAATTCGACGGCTTCAAGGTTAAGCGTGGGGAAATCGACTCTCAGTCACGTAATCGACCTGATACCCCAAACGTCGATAGAATGACTAAGGCATCGGAACTTTTGAGGTTGAGGAGCTTGGCGAGTATGTGAGAGGCGAGCGTGGCAGGCATATTTTCAAGATAGCGCCCAATCAACCTCTCGACATCGATGGTCTTCTTCAAAGTTTGGTTAAACGGCTGGAGAAGACGGCAGCATCAAAAATGTCAATGAGCTATCGCACATGAACGATAAAGCTCGAATAGTTAACAGTGAATATAATGAGAATGTATCTGTTCCCGCTGTAAGGTGCGCTTACTTGGGTAAACAGCTGTTATGCGGTCAATCAGAATTTCCTGTCCCTGTCGCTGATGATGATTGTTGGAATGCCCCAATCGCACAGCAGCAATGCTCTCTTACATCCTCAAACTGCTCATTCACTACATACATTGGGACGCATTCACATCTACATTGAAATCTATTCGGCACACAAACATGAGCACTAAAAACAAGCCCGCCGAAGCGGCGGTCGAGTACCACCTCCCTCTGTGGGACGGCAAGAACAACAAGACGCTGCAGGAAGTCACCGATTCATACAAAAAATACACCTACCAATTGTTATGCGGTCAATCAGAATGTGTGTAAAGGCTTGAATTACTCCTAGCTAACTTCTCGGGCGACATGGATCTTTCGGACGTATCGGACCAGTTGGTCCGGTTCGCAACAACAGCGGAATTTCGGATCGAGAATCAGAATTACGAACATCGAAGCGAAATTCTGGTCCTAGAATGTCTAGTATCAATGCTAAATATTTTTTAAATAATTCCCGAACCTTTCTTAACCACTTGCTGCTTGTGAGAATAGAGACAACGATCCAACCAAGTAACCAAGTGCATAAAGTAAGATTTCAGGGGAAATCTGCCGCCCACCCCCCTTACTTGAAAACCTCCCTTGCCTACAAAGATATCGTGAGGAGATTTCGCAAATCCTTGAGCAACGTCGCGTAGAGAGCTAGTGACTCCTGGGTGTAGGCCTCTGCCAACTTAGAGAACGACTCATAAAGATCTGCGTAATATGGAGACGAATGACGGGCTTACCCAAGATGGAGATGTCGTCAATGATTGACTTGATGCTAACTAAATCACATTGCCTAATAATTACTCAATAATGTATTATTATTAACTATTGTCTATCAATATCGTGGCCTGTGTTGGAAAGTTGGGATTAAGGCACCTTCGTAATCCCTGTTATTCTGCCGCCTACTTGCTATCAAAGGAAGGAATAAAATAACCAACTCAGGGATTTCCAACTTGGAAGCCCAAGCCATCGGCCCAACCCGCTGTGGCTGCCCTTTGGGGCAATTGCGTTAGCGGTCAGTCAACCACTGTAGCAGCTGTATTAGCGGACCTCGTGTTCGCTGTAGCAGCCGCATTAGCGGACCTCGTGTTCACTGTAGCAGCTACATTAGCGGACCTCTTGTCCACTGTAGAGTTTAGATTAGCGCTCTCACACTCCCCTGTACGAGAACCTTACAGCAGTTACGAGCCCAGCGTTTGAACCGCTAGCCACAGGGCGCCAAGAGCCTGGAGCCTTTGGCCACAGCGCCCACTAGAGCGCCCCAAGAGCTTGAAGAGCTTCTGGCCATAGCGCCCACCACAGCGCCCCAAGAGCCTGAAGAGCTTCTGGCCACAGCGCCCACCACAGCGCCCCAAGAGACTGAAGAGCCGCTGGCCTAACGCCTGAACCTAGTGAGCCAAGGCCTAACCACGAGCCTATAGGCGACCCAATGGACCTATCTAACTGCCCTGGGCACAGGCAACCGGTATAGCGTACCAAGCAAGCGCTAAAACACGCACTGAAGCACAGCTAGCCCTAGAGCCTAACAACTGGAACGAGGTGCTAAAGCTGCCGCTATAGCGGTTGCCTGTGCCCAGTTAGATAGGTCCATTGGGTCGCCTGTAGGCTCCTCGTTAGGCCTTGGCTCACTAGGTAGGTTCAGGCGTTAGGCCAGCGGCTCTTCAGGCTCTTCCCTTGACCGTGACCGTGGACTCCATGTGTAATCCAGAGCTCAGTCTACACTCCCTCACAGTGAGTTCATACTTCAAGCGCGCGACCCCAAAACGTTATATTTATGTTGAAACCTACCAAGTTCTCCATATCCAGTCATCAGGGACTAATCATGATCTGCGCCTTCTACCACTCTTATAGCTCTAAGTTGTAATACTTCTCTATTCTATTCACACTGAATCTCTACTAAGTTGTTTGTCCAGCCGCTTTCGTTTGACGAGCACCCTGTTCCCAGCGTTCACAACATCGGATATGATGTAGTAGCACACGCCGCAGCTACATTTCCTGGTGCAGAATATTGACTGGCTGTAGCGAGGCTATCATAACCGACTCTATATCTCGCTGTGTTGCCGTAGTTTCGCGAGGAAGCCGAAGATACTGATGGAAAAGGGGGACGGAAAGAAAAAGGCAGAGAGAGAATAGCAGGCCACCTTTGATGGAAGCTAACAATTCAAACGCGGAAACACTCATTGGCTTTCTAAGGGAACTAAGTGCCCTCGGAGGGGAAGCATCAATAGGCTTCTGGCTTCTGGCCGCCGCAACTGAACCATCATAGGAGCCGGGCGAGACTTCCCTCAAGAGTAATTTACCATACGCTGCAGCCGTAGCCGCAGCGTACTCCTGCCACATTTTATTCTTATACGCATCTGCATAGTCACAGATACCGCGAATGATGAGACAAGGGAACACGTTCATGACGCCGGCAGCCTCCATCTCGAAACACATAACCCCGTGCTGACTTGCCCATCGATCTCGGAATTGGGCGTCTTTTATGACCACGTTGCCAGAAGCGATCAGACCATAGTGTATCTCTGGTGCATTTGATGCTCGTGGTACTCTGACTTCTAAATGCATTTCCAGGCTGCCGCAGTCTTCTTGTGCCAGACACCTAGGGCAGAGTTCTTTGAAAAGCTTATCATGTTCATGCCCAGGATACTGGTATTGGGGAATACGGTCAACAACCTGTTGTAAATATGGCTCGAGGGGGTCGGTTGGAAGCCGTGGATCTGATGAAAGAGAGCTGATTGCGGTCATCAGGAATCTTGGTGGTGGTTGAAGAGCCCCTATTCGCTGAAAATCATGATTTTCATACACTTTACCCCGATCATGTTGAATGACACCGGGATATGTCTCGGTTGGCATACTAACGACTACGTCTCCAAGGCGTATATCATGAAGACGGGAAGGCGCGCCACCTCCGATTCCAATCAAAAGGCAAAATTTGACGTTTGTAAAGCTTCTCTTCATATTTGAGGCGGCTTCTGCCGCCGAAATGTTTCCGAAATCCCCAGCTGGAAGACATGCCACGACAACCATATGCCCGCCAATTTGTCCCAGCGAATAGTGGTTAGTATCCCCAGGCAACAACGGGCCTTTTATGCCGTGGTCTATATCGAAGAGCGCCCTGACAGCGAGGATTTCCTTTGGGAGAGCGCAGAGTATCCCGACCTTGTACTTCGTCGGATGTCGAACATCGTTCTCTTCAGCGCCGCCAACACCGGTATCTGCGCAAAGTTAGATGCGTCCAACATATAGAGCCATGGATCACAAACCGGAGTGTAAGTAACTCTTAACACGATCATAATGTCGGATTTTGTCGCTGTCTGTAGCGTCATAACGACTTGTAATACTTAAAAATCGGCGGTATTTTGCTACGAAGCCCCAGCCCTTAATCTCCAGTTCGCTCGCGAGTTGCTGGACGCGGATACTTTGAAGCATTGACATTTCGCCGCGCTCTTCATTCGAAAACAGACCACTCATTTTGATTCTGCTACTCGGGGAAGAGTTCAAACCCGGCCCTTGCAGTAACAGAGATGATGTTTTGCCGCCGTATCCAGTGTAGCTATGACCCTTATCTCTTAGACACCGAGAGACATCGGACGGGCCTACCAACTCGCCGGCCTGTCCTGGATCACGTCGATGTGATTTAAGTAACGGAAAGGCATGATATACGTCTATCTCAGACGTATTGACTGTTGGGATGCCATTTGCAGCCTTGAAAGCATCGACCTCGGGTGGCGGGCTGGCGGTATAAATATCATCATCTCGCAAGCCGCTATGCATCTGACCTAAGATGGCAAGATCTTTCACAGACTTAACGGATTCGCCACTGTGAAAATATTCGACAAAGTTCCCATCTTTGAGGAACTCGATATGCCAACGTTGTGGTTGATTTGAAGATGGGCGGGGTTCTGAAGAGGCTCCAGTTAGAATTGCTTTGCACAATGGTATGACTTCTGCTTACCAGCAATGAGCTCTCGTTTCCGATCATTTTCTTTACCAAGATACCGGCGGCGGGCCTTTCTTATCTTTTTCTCCTCAAAGATATGATGACCGATCATCACCCGAGGTTTTAAGCCTCGTTTTTCCAGCTGGTCATGGATTGGTAAGATAACCTCCCAGTCACATCTCTTCAAATTTTTGAAAGCACCCCAGCCTCTAAAAGTTGATTCATACTGGGAACGTCTAAGCACTAGTTAGCCGATTTCACAAGACTGGGCCAATCGATTCACTCTCGAAATGGATCCCGACGATGGTTCATCGATCCATTCTGAGAGTTGAAGGGCAAAGTAGACAGTTTTGTCAGACTCACGTGGCGACAAAATTGTGCTCGTCTTTCATAACCTGCATTAAACTCCGTGTATTGGAGCCAGTTCCTTCTATAGGCAGATTTTCGTCGAACCAGAGTCGAAGAATGACCTCCTTGCGGCGTTCCCACTCTTCCGGTGGAATTGTGAGATGAGGAGGTGCCATGACTTGCAATTATTGTTGAGAAAATATTCGATGGCAGATTGCATTGTTCCATGCTAGTAGCAGCAGAGGAATGTGTGCCTGGGCTGTGTCTTTTACTTCCATTTTGGCCGTGAGGATGCTGGTGCCGGCATTGGGTGCCTTCTTGAAAATTTTCTTGGACGCCAAGTAATGCCAGCAGATTTGCTGCACATCGCCTCAACTTTTGTGTCGACAAATCAGATCTTGCCGCGTATGATCTGGCCGCCTTGCCAAATGTCACTGCTGACAACGAATATAGGTTCGGATGAAAGCCCCGCACCACCCAGGGTCATCTGGCATCTATCGCTTACTTACTGTTCCCAATGCAGAACCACAGGATGGGCAGTGATACTACATGATGGCCAGCTGAAAGTAGCCGTGATGATGGACCCGATACATAATTGGGATCAAATCAGGCAGCTCCCCCTTAACGATCGGAGACGCCGAAGACCTAATGGTCATCATCTTTTGGATACGTTTTCGCCTACAACCTTTGCCTAACAGAGTCAAATCTTATCAGCAACATGTACCGGGCGCTTATTACTCACAGAGCGTACAACTTCTGCCGGATGCTCATTGTAAATTTGTAAGCTAGGTATTCCTATCAGGCGGGAAGTGTGCAGGGATCATAGTGTGGTCCTCAAAACGGAGCACGTAGCTGACCTTACTGAACGAAGAGAGGAAATACAAGCTGGAGGAGGCGGAGTGACATCCCCCTTTCCTTTTTTTTCTTTTCTAAAAAAGGCATATAACCAAAAAAGGGAAAGATGAGTCACCCTCCCATCATAAGGGGCGTGCTCCCTCAAATTTTGGACCTGGAAGACTGCAAGTGCCGCATACGTGCAATCCAATAGTTGATTGCCATCGGGTCAGCCGCTTCCTCGAGAAAAGCCACTTGCTGCATGGATTGCTGAACCAGGTCGGCGTGACCAAGACGTCGCAGAATATCACAAATTGATAAAACGATGACTCGGGTAGTACGCCCGTTAGTGAGGTGGAAACTTCCGGTTTCTCTCAACGCCGCGCTCCAATGTGTCAAGGAATCAAGGTCGTTTGTTTCAAAGTACAACCTTCCAGACAGAAGGTGCAAACGCAGCCTCTCGAATTTCAAAAGTGTTGGTCGATCCTGGATGTTCTTGCAGATGACTTCTGCTGCTTTCAAGCGACCCTGCGCAAACAAGGCCTCCGCCAGGCTTAGCTCAAGAAGGGCTACACCAGCAGTGATCCCATTTCCTGTTCTTCTCGCGATTTCCGATTGAAGATAGGTTTCGGCCAACTGCGGGTTGTCCAACTCCCTCAAAGTGTCCCCAATCGTCGCATCCAAGCAAGCGAATGCCGAATCTATCTGCCCCGTTATTCGAGCTACTACAGCGCGAGATTGGGCAATACGGCAATCGACCTCCCAGTTAGCAAATTCTTTGGAAAGAAAGGCTGCTTCATCAATAGCAAAGCGCTTCCACGATAACTTAGGTAGCCGGGATGCTTCAAGCAAAGTCATCGCGAGATCGACCTGAGTATTCTGGGGCAAAGAGTCATCAAAGTTTTTCGTTTCATGGAGGGTGTGCCGAAGGTGTGGGACAAAATAATTGCGTGCTAGGGTTACTTTGGCATCGTCAATGGAACAGCACGGCGCGGAGATACATACGAGGGGCTTGCAGTGGTTCAGTATATTTCCATGGGATGGCAAGATATGCGACAATCAAAGTTTGGCATCTCCATGATCCGAGATACTCTGGAGGAACTGATTTGTGGACCGAATTGGAGACTGTTTTCTCAAGAGAGTGTGTCTCGTTTTCATGGTTAGAAAGACCTGACAGCTCTAACTCGCCCAAAGTCGCCGTCAACATGCCACGGTCTGAGAGCAGGCTACACAGCTCAGGGAATAGGCCCGCATTCACTGCATCTATATCCGTAATTGAACCTTGAGCCGTCCATCTCTTTCGAGGAGAGGCTCCAAGGAAGAGGTTGTCAACATGGATGGCATTTTCAGAGGCCAGGAACGAAAGAAGGACGAGCAAGCCTTGCCGTACTCAGACTGAATTTGACTGGGTTCAGAGACCGATTCTGAAAGGGCTGCAAGAACTGGTTGTTGAAACAAAGGCGGAGGCGGAGGCGGAGGGAGGTGGGATCTAGGTTGGTCTCAGGAGAGGGCAGCTGACTCATCATTGATGGCCCAAGCTTCATGTTCAACACTTTCAATTCTAGCTGGAAAAGTAGACTCCTAATAAATATGTCCCAGACAGCCCTTTTTCCTACCTCGTGCTCCGCCCAAGTAACGACCATTTCTATTGTGGCGGTATATATTTGATCGACATGTCAGATTTGCCACCTTCAAGATTCATCTCGGGATTGGACATGCTCGGCCGCGGGGCGACCGCCTGGGCGTTCAAGTTGGACCAGGACATCGCGATCAAGTATGTCCGCAAGGGACGGCTCAAAGAATTCCAGGCCGAAAACGAGATGTACGATCTCTTTGAGAAACACGGATCATCGCCATACATTGTACACAGCTTCTTCCGGCTCCCAGGGCTGAATTTCATGCAACTAATGTCCTCTGGCCTTGACCAACGTATTTACAGTAACCAGCGCCGCGATGCCAAAAATTTAAGGTGCCTCGAAGTCTTACGCCTGGAACCAACACCAAAGGTCGAACAGTGGGCCATGGAGCTATCCGGCGCTCTCGCTTGGTTAGATTCCTTGGGACTGGTTCAGGGGGACTTGAGACCACATAATATTTTGCTCGATGGTAATGACCATCTGAAACTCGCAGACTTCGACTGTGTCGCCAAGGTTGGCTCAAGAAACCCGGGCAATCCTCCCCCCTGGGCACGTCTGGTTCCTACTGATGGCTTTGGGATGTACGGGACGACAAGCGAACAGTTTACGTTTGGCTCGATTCTATATAATCTTACCCATGGCTGCGAGCCTTACGAAGAGTTGGATTTGGATGGTAATGAGGTTGTCGACCTGCTCAGGTTGATGAAATTCCCCGAGTTATCAGAATCTACACTAGACCAGGTCACGCTTCGTTGCTGGCACGGCGATTTTGAGTCTCTCGCGGACCTGGCGTGTGAGATGGCTAGCTTAGATGGTGCAAAGACCGCATCGCGTGCTGTTTCGTTTGATGAAGACTACATTGCTCAAATGCGCGAGAGGTGCCGCAAATTACTTACTGGAAGCCTAGCGGGCATAGATATCGCAGCAGTTTCTAGCGGGGAAGAAGAAAGGGTCTCGTCACATCATAGAGCTTGAAGCGTAGAAGGCTTCCTCCAGCGAAATTATACATTGCCCCTTCTCGCGACCCATCCATAGAGCCTGACAACCTTGTTCTCATCGTAGGGGTTCTTGTCCTCCCAAGCTTTGCACATCTGGAACTCATTCTTCTCCAAGACACGGTGGCTCGCCGCGTGGTCATGGAACGTAATTCCAACGACGCACTCATCCTTGACCTCCCCGTCACCATGAACCGTGCTCGCGTCCACGGTGAGCTTCACTGGTGACCGTGGCAATCTCCGCCATATGCCCAGAAACCCCTCCAGAAACTCGGTCGCATACCCTTGACCCCAGAGATCTCTCCGTATTCCGTATCCCACTTCTGGCCATCCGAGACTGCCATCACGACCAAGTCCACCGCCGTATCCGATGCACTCCCCGGTGGAGGTTAGGCAGATCGCATAGGCCAGAACCTTGGTATCATTTGGTGGGATGAAACGCTGGAAATGCTTCTGGTACGTTTCCTCCACGTCGGCATCGGGCTTTCTTTGAGGATTCTGACGCATCATCTCGGGATCGGCTCGCAAGGTGTGGATCGCCTCCAGATCTTGTCTGTTGTCGTTGAATGGCCGTATAGTGAGGCGCCTGGTGTTTATTGTCTCTCGCTCGCTGTTCGAGGGCAATGGGTACTCTGGCAGGGTGGTATTGATGGTGGTCCATTGTCTGACAGAAGCTAAATCCATGGTGCAGTGTGCAACGAATCTTTGCCATGAAGTAGTTTGACGGTGAGCACGGTAGCCTTTTCAGAAAAACAGAATCTGTTCTGTTGTATTACGGCGACTCAATGTGTTTATGCGTAAATGGTTGCAGTGGCTGACAACCTTGAAGTGACTTGACGGCTGTGGCTCGTGTGCCCTACCTAGCCACAAACCCCTTTCAATTGTGCAGGTTTCTGTAGTCCATGACGAATATGTCTCGGAATTTGGTAATTGTGACAGAAACAGTACATGTAAGCAAAGGAAATACAGTGCTCCATACGTGCGATTAGCCAGTTGATTAATCACCGGTGTAGGGTCATTTCTCCCTCAATCGCAGATGTCCATTTACATGATCAATACGGAAAAGAGCCTCGCTAAAAGAATGACTCTCCTTTTAGTAATTACAGCCCCTAGAAACAAATTCTTTCGTAATGCATAGATCAGATCAAAGCTTTATGGTAACTCTTCAATCTGCGGATCTAGCTCATGTGAAGATTTAGCATAGCATTGTTCCTCCAACGGCAGTTTTTTAAGCCGTGACGAAGATGGTTTACAAAGAAAAGCCAAGTTAAACAGAAGGCTCTATTATAACAACACTCCATGTCAACAAAAAAGACTCCTCGTCTGCGGGGCTACTCTAACAACAAGACCATCTCAATGACAAAGACGACGAATACATACACTTACGTCTATAGTTACATCAGACGTGGAAATGCAAAACGACGAAGAGGCAGCATTAATTCCCTACATCAACTCAGTGATGATGGGGATTTTTGTTGAAGGATAATTCCAAATGGAGAATCCCTTATCAGTTACACACTTTTGTCTCTTATGCACGACAACTTTCATGCGAGCAGACAAAGTGTTTGGCCTAATTCGATACGAATTACTAGCGGAAGATTAGTCAATAACATCCCTGCATGATATTATTTCTCTAGTAGTGATAGCCATAACAAGTCAAAGCGTACAGCTCACATTGACAACACCTTTTGTAACGATAGGTTGTTTGGTTTGCCTTGGGCCTCAGCGAGCTTCAATTGAGGAAAACCACGCGCTTAATACCTAGATGAAGCGAGGGACGTTCGACAAAATGCGTTTTACATCTAGTTGACTCATTTACCTCTCGTGAAATAAAAATAAAGATATTTATTGTAGTTCTATTTACTCACGTTCTGTAAATCCCTCTTCAGTCACGTGGGCTGGCCGGATTTTTCGCCAGGGTTGTAGCTCGAAACATTCACACCCCTGAGCAGTTTTGAACGCTTAGCTTTATCTCGAGAGTGTTCAACAGTTCAGTAGGTACCTTCATCGACATAAAATGGCTGGCGAGGATGCATACGAATACACGGCTATCACAGCCCCCAAAACCATCCGGCTCATTCATATTTCCCCTGAAACCGAAACTGATCCTGTCCACTTCTCTCTGGAGACTTCCCCGCTGGAATCCGCTCCCGATTTCGAAGCAATCTCATACTGCTGGGGCAATGATCAGGGCCAACATCAAGTCGTATGCAACGGGAAACCTCTTTTCATGCATAAGAGCCTCTTTGAAGCTCTCTCGTACTTCCGTTTCCCGGACAAGCCCCGCGTCCTCTGGGCAGACGCGGTATGCATCAATCAAGCGGATCCAATTGAGAAGAGTAGCCAGGTTCTCCTGATGCCACACATTTACTCCCAGGCCTCACGTGTGTTGGTTTGGCTCGGTGCTGCCGTTGATCCTGTCTTCGGGTCCGTCCCATCTCATACGAACCTGACAATACTGCAAGGGCTTCAGATGCTTCCCGGCTTTGACCCTGAGAATGCAGCCGACATGGCAGCCAAGACACAAATTATGTCCTACGATGCGCTGCGGCTACGCGCAGAGGGGAAGCCCAATATCCTGGATCACGACTGGGCACCTCTGGTAGCGCTGTTGCGACGGCCGTGGTTCCGCCGCAAATGGGTGGTCCAGGAGGTCGCGCTTGCAAAAGAAGCCCTGCTCTATGTTGGCGGCGGGGTTGAGATTCAATGGCTCGATATAGCAAGGCTCGCATTCGGTATGGAGACGCTAGGACTTGATAAGCCGTGGCGGTTGAAGCTTGAAGAGCCAAAACTGGATAGCGACATTGAGAAAACTGATACAGGGAAAGGCGGCTCTATTGAATTTCGTCCGGTCTTCATCACATTTCACCTGATCAGCGCGATGTACATGGTTCAAATATACAGACACGACGCCACACTAGTAGACGGGGTCATGAGCACAAAGTTCTTTGACTGCACAGATCCAAGAGACCACGTCTTCTCGCTTCTGGGTCTGGGTGGTGTCGGTCCTACGCTTCGGCCTGACTATGAAGCTTCAGTTAGCGATGTCTTCAGACGGTTCTCGATATCGATGATGATTGAGGGGAAGAGCCTAAAGTTGCTTAGCCTAGCTCCTGACAGGTCGCTCTTTCATACCCCAGAAGTGCAACGGCTCGAAGACCTGCCCACTTGGGTTCCAGATTTGCGTCTTATGAGGGCGGATGTGATGGCTAGCTTCACAGTCAGACCACAAGCCTTCTTCGCGGGTGGGCAAGGCAAGCCAGTACTAAGCGTATCTGACGATGAACGCTTCCTCCATTGTCAGGGTTTGTTGCTTGACAGCCCCCAAAGACTCGCTACATCGCTGGTTGAGATGCTCCTGGAAGATATCCCCGAAATTCGCAACTCATTCGAAACTACGGGCGACCCATCGCCAGAGCGGAGGGAGAGACGCTTCATCCGGTGGCTTGAGAGCGCCTATCAGACTGCATTTGGCCACGATCGCGCCTGCGATCCAGATCTCGTACCAGAACTAGAGGTCGCGAATTCCTTCTCGCGGGCTATGTCGTGCGGAACAGACTTCCTTCGCAACCGTCTATCGCCAGAGCAAGTGACCACAATATGGAACTTCATCCAGTGGAAACTAGGCCCTGATGCCAACAAGGATGAAGCCACGGAGCGGGATTCAACCATAGAACTGAATTATTCAAGTACCACTCGGGACTCCCTCCTTCTGCTGTCGATGGGCACCAAATTCTGCGTCACTGAGTCAGGCAGATTTGGCCAGGTACCTCTCAACTCGAAACTGGGGGACCGAATATGTGTTTTGGTTGGCGGTGAAGTGCCCTTTGCGGTTCGGCCAACAGGCAACGGAACCTACACCCTCATCGGAGAGTGCTATATCGATGGTATAATGGATGGGGAGGCTTTGCAGGAAGCAGCTTCGAGAGGGATGCCGCTTGAGACCATTATCTTGGAGTAAATGCAGCAAGATGATAACACTGATCCAGTTGCGCCGGTTTCAAATGGGTTAAGCGTTGTACTAACTTCGTGGCTCGGATCCTCTTGGTGCAATCGTCTGATCCGGCGATCAACAGTTTCGAATCATTGTTGGGCCCAAATATTGCATGGAGGGTTTGGAGTAGAAACTGAGGCCGGTTAGCAGTAATTGTCAAGGATTAGCATTTGGCTCCTCAGAAACACGGTCTGACCGCCATAATCGCCGTTCGAGTGATAGTTATGTGATGATGCTAGGAAAATCGTTGACAGCCATCTTGGGCGCAGGAGTCTGTGCGAGGACCTAGTGAAGGAAAGAGACATGTGGTTCAGGGGCGGCAGCCGTTGGGGCGGGTGGACAGCCACAAACTGACCTCTCCCGCCACATCGCGGTCCGACATAGATCCCGACCGCTACACTTCTGCATGCTCGCTCCTCTCCTAGACTCTCTTTTGCTTTCTCTTGTAAATTGTTACCTGTTCGTCCATGGGTTCCGCGTTTTTGTTGGATCTTCATCTTCTACAGTCCTTCATCCAATCGTATTTCATCTGTCAATGCTTCTTCGAAGTTCATGATCATCGTCTCCGAGATTGATCTCTGATGAAACCTCCGAAGAGGCAAAGGAAAGATTATCTTTGGTATGCAGATCCCAGCTAGAATCACGCACTATCTGATCATCATCCAATTCATCGCGGGCACTTACTCACAAGTCAGAACCATGACCCTAGTGGTCATGATCCCGAATTCCGCCTCCAGCCTGCCTCCTGTTCCGGCCCTTGCAGAGTTTCGAGTCCCCAATATTACGCTGCTGAGTATCAACACTACATCATTGAGATCCTAGCTAAGCCATCGATGTTGCCTGATAGAAATTTCACACCCGGGCTATCGTCGAACCGAAGAAGAAGCGGTAATACCGCCCCAATTTGACAAGCAACCCGACAAAACCCCAGATGTGCCAAAAACATATCATCCCTCGACTTCCAAAAGCCATGTCTAGGCGAATAAGAAAAAAGGCCGACGACGGTGCGAGCTACTGGTCAATCGCGTTAGAGGCCGTTCGGCTCAACGACTAATGGATCCCTCTACGGCGGAGAGGGACAACTGGCTGTCAGAAGAACAGGGACTGCAAAGTCACCTCGGTGGAATTATTGTGGCAAGCAGTCACATGATAATGCTTACTATCGTGTAATAGTAAGTGGATAATATTCCCTGATAAGTTCTCAATAATCTATTATTGTTATTATCATTAACTATTGTCTATCAATATCATGACCCGTATTGGAAAGTTGGGATCAAACACCTTTGCAGTCCCTGTTATTCTGACGCCCACTTGAGGGAGAAGGAGGCCTCTGTCTTGGCCCACCTTGACCGGACGTATAACTAAACTTATATCCAAATATTAGGGAGCAGTGCACCAATACGATACTGTGTAGTGATGGGGAATCATGATGGCTAAAAGCTTGCGGGTGCTGATTATTGGCTTGCTATTAGGACACGAGTCCCCTGGACCTCACCATCCCCTGAAGAGAACCAAGAGGCCCTCCTCGAATAAGCACCAAGGGATCACTCTTCTTTCACCGCCCCAAAAACCCTCATGACGATACATACCGAACGACATCAAATCAAGCGAGAATGCCACTTTTATCGTGTCAGGGGGATATTCCTGGGAAATTTAAGCCATAGTTACGAAAACGAGCTGTGGCTTCTCTTACGACACAATCAGAGAACACATCAAATGGAGCTACTCGGTGGCAAGTCTAAGTTCCTGAGCTCTTCAATGGTTTCCAGCATTCTAAGGTTCCGAATCTGCGCCATGTTCTAGATGAGCAAAATATGACTACTATTAGTCTCAAGGATTGAGGCGAAAGACGATAGGTATCGACTTGGATATTGCAATCTGCCCTTCACTTAGGTGCTTAATTTGAAAATGCAATAGAGTAGGTCTTGTTATGTCATCGCGAATCTCTCCCAAATCTCACTGGCCAGCTTCCAAACGATACTTGTCGTACTAGACAAGGCGAACTTGAATCCATCTCAACTGAGTCTCATCAAAAAAGCTACCGACTTCGTTTCTGCTCCCTTTATAACCTTGGGCAATCAAAATACCAATTCGAGTAGCAGTCTCCGAATTCCCCCATTCAACAACCAGCAGAAACCTCCAATCTTGCTCCTTGGAGGACTCTCCGGACCAGTAGTCCCCAAGCAACAGACAACTCCAAGCATTTGTTTCGAGTCTACCGAGAAAGGCCCTGGGCGTAGGGGTCGGCAGTTTCACCCCTTCAGCAACCAGGTGATGTCCCGCTACTGTGCAGTTACTCCAACTGTCAGTATCTCCCACGGTAGAGAAGAGTGTCGCTGGAACTTCGCGGGCTAATAAACTAACTGCACTAGCCGAGTCCGGACCATAAGAATGTCCACCAATTTGCAGATACCGTGCAGCTGGGTGTATATGTCCCGCTTTATCTTCCAAAAGAAACTCGCCTGTCCTCGAAACCCAGCGCCGTGGTTCGTATAAGCGAATCGATTGAATTGGCCCGGCCCAGCCGGCCCACGTCCACGACGGAAACTCACACCGCCGTCGTATTGAGTTGGACGCCAAGTGATACCAACAGAGCGAAGCCGTCAAATACGTCCCGATGGTATCGTCGTCAGTGCTGCCCAAAGCAACATATGGCAGCCCGCAAAGGTGCAAAGTAGGGGGCACGCTGTTTCTTTCCAGAAACCGCAGCACTGCCGAAAACGCATTAAGAGAGTCGGAATCAAAGGTCAACTCGCGCGAGCAGTATTTTTCTGCCCACTTGAAAAGCTCATAGTGCCTATGCTGAAGCATTTTATGCATTTCAGGGCTTCCAACATGCAGTGTCCCACACTCTTGCAGATACCCGCCGTCCCAATACGTCCTATGTATTTTCCGGCCTGAGTATAGGTTCATGAGAAACCGGCTGGCCTTCCAGGACGAGTGAAAGTCGACCTGTTCGGGGTTCTCGATAAACTCCAACCCACCAATGGATTCATTCCAACTGACTTCTCTGCATTCAAGATAGGTCTGATTCTTGGTGAACGCCAGTTTTCTCGGTGACAAAAAGGCCTCTTGGAAGGTCCACCCTCGCGTGCACCATTTCGATTCTGCAATGCTTGCTGTCGGATCCGGTCCCGTACTGAGAATTGTGAAACCCGGAAGCTCAACAACTTGCTGTTTGGATCTCTTCGTTGCTCCAATCCCGGGCAAACCCTGATCCTCACCTGTCCCGGATGCGGCAATGATGGTAACTTCGGCTCCTCCGTAGATCAAGTCCATATTGTTGATGTGTTCAATCTTCTCACGCTTATTCTGTTGGTCGATGCAGTACTTATCAACCCACAGGTATCGATATTCAAGGCTTTTGACAACCGCAATGCTATCACTGATCAACCGTGGAATAGGCGATGGAAGTTGGAGTGGAGGGAGTGATGGATGACTGTTGGACACATCTTCTTTCTGCGTTGCCCAAACGTAGCTCAACGCTACCCATGTCATGGAAGCGGTGGCTGGTATAATCTCCAGCGTTTCACAGTCAATCAGCTTCATAGCTGCGACCGTCTGAGATGGTCCACGGCACTCGCTCCCATGGCAATCTCTACAGTTTCGTAGCCACTTGCGCGTTCTGTCGCTGTCGAATGATTCCGAGACGATACGCGGTCTGAAAAGACCCGCCGCAGCTCCGTTGGGATAGACAACCACATATCCCGCGTCATTGCCACGAGACACTGCGGGAATGTTCTTTTCGTCGTTGTTGGGGGATTCGGGCGTTACCACAAGCATTGCACTCTCCTGCGCTCCTTTGAATCTCTCATCGGCCCATGGACAATTTTGCAAAAACGAGACGGCGCGCACCTCGAAGCCGCCTAATGTTTTGGATTGTTGTCTACAGCATGTCGACAAGATTCTACAAACAGCACAATTTGTTTGCAGGGGCGGTATGAAGCGGGATCCATCGGCGTCGAGCACGAGACTCTCAGTGTTGGGGGTAGCGCTCGTTAACTCTAGTACTTTGCTGAAATCTATTTTCTTGCATGCATTGCAGATGAACTCGGATGTTGTCGTTGGCAGATCCATCGCCTAGTTGAAGAGTAGGTAGATGGGGATTCTTAGCGAGGTACTATACTAAGACGACAGGCGGCTCCTCATAAGGGTGAAGATTTCGACAGGATGCAGAGGAAGGATAAATAAAGCTGGAGTTCCGGATTCAAGGACATCTCAACTCCAGTTCAAGAAGCAGGGGGCGCATACATTGGTGACATTTCATTGCGCTTGGGTTGTTGGTCGAGGCCACTGTATGCCTAACCGCTGCAGACAAGTGTCCATACAATGGTGACATTTGGTACATACATAGCCGCTGCAGATAAGGGTCCATGTGAGGGTGACATTTAGTGTTGTGATTGGGTTGTTGGTTGGGGCAAGTGAGTATATTGGTGCTCAGCTGACGACAAATATAGATGGGTGCTGTGCAGGCGTTTTACCCATCCACCAACACCTCTGTTCAATTGGCTCTTACTGCTCGGCGAGGCGCACGCAGCAACCCTTTGGACAGGCCGTGGCAGTTGCGCTGACGTCCAGGCGCTTATCTCTACCTTCGCCTTAATTAATCCCGCAGGTGAAGTCACGGCTTTACGCAGAATGCCGCAAGTCTCGTCTCATGTTGGGCCTCAAGTTGGAAAAAGTCCGAATTCTACACCAACAAGGTGAAGAGTGAATGATGTGCGTTCTCCATGAGGCAAGGCTTTCACAAGATCTGAGTTCAGTTCAATTTTGATTTTCTCTGAAGGCCGTTACAGTCATAATATGGAAGAAACCCCGACAAATCCAGCACAGTCTCGTTTTCCCATTAAAAAAAGAAAGAAAGAAAGAAATCACACAACATGCTTGTTACCCAAAGATACCCTGAACCCTGTTCAGTCTGCAAAGATGACACTCGTAGGATTGATTTTCCATTAAAACAACTCCTCCCCGCCTTTTGTTCACTGTGAGCTAATGCTTTCCATCAATACAAGTAATTCTCTCTGACATGGCGGCCCATAGGCTAGAGATGAAACTCCTTGTGTCTGTGGTCGCGATGCTCGGTAAATCTTGAACCAGGCTTTTCATGCGTTTTACCCTGTGTTAAATTTTGTTGAATTTGATTTTTTTTCCTCCCAAAACAGTTTGCAGTAAACAGATGTCTGTCTGAGTAGACAAGGAGCCGAGTTGGCACTCTGTCGTGCGGATTGTGGTTCACTCCAAGGAACGTCAATTTCGTAAACCCTCTTCGTTCATTCCCTTCGTAAATTTCGGCGCAAGTTGTTAACCGATTCGTTGTGGCCCAGCATTGTTTTCCGACACAAAGAAAAGCTCCGTTGAAGAGCGACATGGAAGAACTCTTCATCCCCCGTCTTCCAATTATTGTTCACCATCTCCGTCATGTCCAGAATCGTCGTTGTTTTCATGGACCTCGATATTTCCGTGAACTTGATTATCCTCTTCATCTTCATCGTTTTCGTCGATAGCATTGTTCCCATGAACTTGATTGTCATCATCACTCTCGTCATCGAACTCCTCAAGGGGATCCCAATCATCTGGCTCGGTTATATCATCTGGGTCCACGGGTGGCAGCATCATGGAGCCGCGATAACGCATGTCGCCCGGGTCCGGGCCCATGCCTCGATCGCGCAGGTACGTCGCCATGTCCTTCTCGACCAATGGCTCCGGGTAGGTATCGATCTGAAGGGATCGGAACTTATCCATCAGCGCTTCGCTCGGTGTCCAGCCAAGCAGCCAGGTCACCAGCTCCCTCGTCGTCCCGCGGCGACAGTTCGGGCACACCTGGATCGTCGGGTCCTTCCTCGCGCTGCCGCACGGCGCAAAGTACGCAAAGGTGAACCAGCCGGGCTCGCCGTCATACGTGTCGTCCTCTATCTGGCACCCCAGCATGGACGACTTGAGACGAGGCATTTGGGTCAAAGCATCCGCGTAGGCGTTGACAAAAGGTACCATGGTCGACTTGTTAACCTCGCCACGGAAGACACGAACTGGGGTAAGGTGTGAGTAGCGGGCTTCTCGGACGAAGCTGAAGATCTCATTGTGCAGGTTGGATGGGTCACCCTCGGCACCATCCGCTACTCCAGGTGGGTTTGCGTGGATATTGTTTGCTGCCATGTGTGCATAGGCGTGAGCTTCAAGTGGGCGGGGAATGAAGTACCAGCCACCAGAGGGTGTGTTGATATGGAGGTGGATGTCAAAGAACTGAAGGCTCGGCCAAGGCGTCGCGCCCATGGTCTCGAGCGGCCGAAGGAGAGTGATGTCGAATACGCCAGTGAGGGTCAAGTCCATGAGGTTGTGTGAGAGAGCGAAATTATGTACGGTTGAGCTCAGGATATCCGTATCGCCTTCCTCATGCAGGGCCTGGGGTGTGGCAAGCTCATCACGAAATCTTCGGAGCGTGAAGTCAAAATCGACTCTTCTTAATGATGGAAGGGAGAGGCCTTGCATCAGATTGGCAATCTCCTCTCGGTTCTGTTTCCGGATTTGGGGGAACCGCTTCTCATCGTCATCAACGCTGAAATTGAATTCCTCGAGGTTCGGCAGCTTCATCGCCAAGAAGACGGGGACGGTTGGGCGAGCGTTGCGATAGGCATATCTCTCTTCTGGTCGCAACATGGACAGGCGCTTGACCCGTTGCAACACTGGAAGGGTCTCAGGCCTATTCAGACTGATGTAAGAATGCAAATAGCGTCCTTCATGGATTGTGCTCCAATCTGTAACCGAGTTCGCATTCCATGGCGCGTACTTAGAAGGCCATGGGCGGTCACTGGGCGACTCCGGGTGGTTGACATCAAGGGACAGGCGCCGAGGCAGATCGGGATCTTCCGTCTCCCACTCACTTAGGAGATTGAAGAGGGAGTGAATGGCTTGTGTATAAGCCTCATCATTGGCAGCACGGTCTTCCGGAGACTCGGCTCGGATCGCGGCGTTTGCATCGTAGGATGGGAGGATGACGGTGAAGGTGAGGCTGGCCAAGGAAGCGCGGCGGGAGGGCGTGAAGAGCTTGGAGAACTCGGGCAGCTCGTCGCTCTTAATTTTGATGTGACGAAAGCTCCAGCGCTCGACAGCAGCCTGCATGCGGCGCGAGGTTGTTGCGACCGGGGTGAGAAGCCTGACGTTGGGTCTGGACCTGGAGGCTCTCTCGTAGGGCTCACGGACAGGCTCCACCAGGTTGGGGACCAAGAACGAGATGATGTGCTCAATGACCTCATGCGGCAAGGTATCCATGGCGGAGAGGGCCTTTTCCCTAGCCGGGGAGGGGTGGCAGCGTGGACAAGAGACGGCTGGGTGGGCGTCTGGGGAGGCAGATGCGAGCGGGATTAATAACAGCAACTAGGAGCAGGCAGGTAATTGATCTGTGCAAGGTTGGTTGGGATGGGATGGGAGGAAATGGAGATGGTCGGACCCAACAAACCCAACACGAGACACTCTCACCCCCTCATCTCTCCCCGCCTAATAAGACGATTGCTGCCTAGCCAGAGTTGGTGGGCTGCCGTCGCACCAATCACAGGCCAGGTCCTCGAGCTGTTAGCGCTAGACTTGCCGCCAGTACTAAACCGCTAACAACCCGGTACAAAAAGGTTGGCTGGTACCTGCCAGTACCTGCTCCCTACTGGCTGCCCGGCATAAGGTGCTGCGACGGGGATGCGCCTGAAGTTGCCATCTCGTACTTCCACGTCGCTACCACTGACTGACTGTTCCGGTCCTCAGTGCATCAACCACAGCACAGAGACACCCGTAGGCATTGTCGCAAGCACAAATTCAAACAGTCAGCAATAAAACAACATCCAGACAATATACGGCACCAAGGTTCGTTTTTTTCTTCATTGCGTAGCGAATTAGAGAATGCAAAGCCATCCCTTATGGTAGTTCAAGGCCAATTTGAGGACTACTCTCTGTGCTGCTTTCAATTTGGCGTACGAGAACCCTGACCGTAGGTACAGACCCCAGAAAATTGGGCGTCAGTCGCTGTACCAGCCTCAGCTACCCTATAGCGATCATTTTCCCATCAACAATCTAGTCACCACTTCAAGGGTTGCGCTGTTTAGATATTGGGTCAAAAGCTTGCCGTCGCGGATCCTCACTTCGTTGCTTGGTAATGGTCTTCATCTTTATTAGAAGAATCCCCAGCATCGAGGTGGTTGTTCCTACGACGCCGTATTTGCAAGCCGTGATACCGTCCGCTGTCCGTATGCTCGTGAGTCTGTTTCCCGTCTTATGTGGCTTGATGAGACTAAGTGCACCGATTCCATTCGCTTAACTCTATTGGCGACCCGTTACTTGGATTAGAGTCCCAAGTACGCCATACCAGTACTCCCCAACAGGCTTCACCTTGTTGTCTCTGAAGAAGGAGGTCTCTTGAGCCAGAGTCATATCTTCGAGATAGCCTACATGGCAATTATACTAGTCTGCCATATCCTCCAACCCCCCCTTGCATCTGTGTAGTCTTACGAACAATGCGTCTTGTTGTTTCATTCTGCTGGTACGTCGTCACCATCCCACCGACATAATTAATCTTACCGAGCAAGCGGTCCGAGGTGTACTTCTAGTTCTTCACAAGTGTAGTTCGCTCCACATCATCCTGACCTCTTGGGTCGAGGCTGCCCACTTTGCCTTGGAGGTCAAAAGTGCTGCGAGCAGTCCGACCAGCATGTCAGTTGAGAGATGTGGTCTGTTCAAGGCATCGTACTCGGCTCACACCTCCAGCTTCTCTGCTAGCTCAATGGCTCTCGGGTCAGTCCAATCCAGTGCTTTCTCATATTCCACTGCAACCAATGGGCCTTTTACATAGCAGTTCCCTTATATCATAGGCCTCGATTCCGTGAAAACCTGCCCGGCCTGTTACGCATCGGGCCTGTCCGATCATGCTTCCTTTCTTGGCATATTTTGCTTCCTCTCTGCATGTTATGTGGCCTTAGAGGATCTTAGAGGTACCGAACTTTTGTTTCGACCTTTTTGCGTAGAGCATCGTACACGAACCTCTGCTCCGAGCCTTCGATATTCGGGGTAAATAAAAGCCCACCCGTACGATTCTTGAGAGATATCTTGGTGCCTAAATCCGTGTTGGTGGCCATAAAGGTGTTTCCTAAAGTATCATTATGGCTTTGCCGTGTGATACTGCCTGAGCTATCACCTTCGCGCTCGATATTTCCATGGACGTCATGCTGTATAACCATGCTGAGATTTCTCGTGGGGGTTATTTGTTTTACGTCAGCAATCTCAAATCCCTGGGTGGAAAAATCAGAGATGGCAGGTGTGTGGCCATACACGCTGAGCCACTTGTTTGCCATAGCTTGGGCATGGGTGTCGTAGCTGGTGTCTACCTTTCCTAACGATAGTGGAAGAGCAAGACTTTTTCTAGCTTGGAAAAATATACTGTAAGATATTCATCCAAACACAGTTTGCCTGTTGGTCCGTCTTAATAATTCTTGGAATTAGTTTGAGCGATTGCAGAGCTCGACGGTCTCAAGCTTGAAGCTTGGCTTGGGGTTGGAGAGAGAAGGAGTTTCGCTGGGTGGGCGACAAGACTCTATTTGCCTGGTAATAAGAGAAGTGATGATTCTATTGATGCGTGTGCTAATTGTTACCAATGGACGGCCATGAGGAGGGAAGAAGAAGAAGAAGAAGAAGGGAGAGATGTTGACCATAATGGTATGAGGGGGCTGGGCCTCTTCCTGTCAGAGTCCCTTCTTTATTTAACGAGGCAGCTGATCTTGGTCTTGAACTTGTCATCGGAGAAATATCGTTGTGGGAATCGAACCCACTTCCCGTAGGGCTGCCAAAACGATATTCGGGCCTTGCCCAGGTTTTTCAACCATCAATAAATGTCCTTTAGTCCACCGCGGATGGAGAAAAGGGAGGCTTGCGCCCGTCAGATTGAGGGATGTAGGCTTGCGCCCGTCAAATTGGAGACGCCAAACTTGTAACCAGTTGATGTCCCTAGTCGTCCATAAATTCATCAAGATCCTCCCAATCTTCTGCCTTGATTCCAAAATAGGAACCGAAACCCATGTCCCAACTGACAGTGTTAGGCTCGCTTGGAGCTGTTGTTTCATTGGAACAGCGGTGTTCGCAACAGCGCTGTTGACTTTGGTCGGTTTGCGTTGAAGCATTTGTGTATTGCGAGGTAGGAGGGACCGCAGCCTCAACTGGAGCGAAGGTGGGAAGTACTGGAGCCGAAGTGACCGTAAACGCTGGGGCGGGTGCCAATGCTGGAGTTGATGCGGCCGCCAAAATGGTTTGAATGGGAATTTTACCGTCCAGGGGCTGTGGTTCTTGCTGCTATTACCTTGTTAGCATTGGAAACGGCGTCAAGGAAGGAATCTGTAGCATACTGCCATTCTTCTTGCTCGACCTATCTTGATCTCTCGTCCATGGAACTCCTAGTCCTTGAACTCGGAAAAAACTTTGGTGGCATGATCGCGAGTTTCAAGCCCCAGGTGCACGCAACCCTTGTGTCTTAAGTTGCTGTATTCAGTTGGGGGCCAGAAAAAAATCAAGGCGTCGGGGTTGCGACACTTTTCGCGAGCGGCGGTCTCGAATTCAGCCCGGGTAGCTTTGAAAGAGATGTTGTTGATGGTGAGGAGAGGGCGATTCTTTCGATATTCTGCGATGAGGTGCTCAAAAGCTGCGTTGTAGTTGGCCATTCTGAATCCTAGTTAATTACTTTCCCGATGACTCCTAGCAGTGGATGAAGACTCACTTGATGGGCCTTTGAAGTTGGTTTTTCTTGGTTGCGTTGGTGTTGTGAGGTTCTGGGATTCTTGTTTGGTTGTGGTGAGTTGGTGACTTGACAGAAAGCTGAGAGGTGAGGTGAAGTAAGTGTTGATGTTGCCTGAGGCATCTACCAAGTACGCGCCCTTCTCGCGTTCGATGCCTCAGGTGACCTGAGATAAGGCTGAGAACCTTCTAAGAGAGTGTTGATGTTGCCTGAGGTATCTACTTCTCGCTTTCGATACTTCAGGTTGTCAAGGTGCCGTGGATGCAAATTCCTACCTCACAAACTCAAGACCAACACCAGCAACAACAGCCGATTAGAAAAACCACCATTTCCTGCAAACGAGAATCCAATACGAATTGCTTCAGTCTCATTCTGACATGGATTCCATTTTTAGAAATCAAACTACCTTCGCTCAAATGTAAGCAACCCGCAACCCACTCACTGGAGTTGGACGACCTCCTGGCTACGATGCCATGCTTCAAAGCCGGCCCCTCCTACCAGTCCACGAGCGGTTCAAAGAGGCTCTGGACTACGCCAAATCTTCCACCTAGACGGCCAATGAGACGAAATAATGGGCGTTATTAGTTGTTTCCGTGTGCGTTATCTCTGGCCTTCCCCGTTTCTTTCTTTTCTTTTCTTTTCTTTTTGATGGGCCTAGCCTGATTCAATCGGTGCAAACCTGCCCCCACCTTTGACGGGCGCAAGCCTAACTTCATGGGTGCAAACCTGTCTTTATGGTTGAAAATCCTGGGCAAGACCCGAAGATAATTTCGGCAGCCCTGCGGGGAGTGGGTTCGATTCCCATGGCGATCTCAAGCTTGAATCTCAAAGAAACCAGTTAGGCAAGCGCCTCGCGATTTGGCTAACGGCAGCATTAAGCCCACAGCGATCATGTGCCATGACAACTAGCAGAGAAGCCAGGGCCACGCTCGTCTTGACGACTGATAGCTAGGTTAGCCTTGTAGCGATCGCACGTCTTGACGGCAGACAAATATGAAGCTCAGGACCACAACTATCTGTTGGTATAAAAGAAGATAGCTAGACTCACCTGCCGTCAGGAACACCAACATGACATTTAACAAAAAATCCCACCATCAAAACAACAAGCAAAATCACCACAAGCCATTCCGCAAAATCGAGTACCACGCCAACCTCGGAAGACTACCCAAGCCCACTAGAAAGTCGCCCTTCCTCCCTATGGGCCAATGAACTCCCCGATAGTCGCAAAAGTGGCCCTGCAAGACAAAGAATTGAGGGAGCAAATTAAACGCGAGCTACGGGTCTCAAGAAAGCTGAAGCAGAGGACGATCGTTTCCTAAGGTCTAGAGACGAAGGAGATAGAGGAGCCAACCTTGAAGGAGGCCTTGGACGAAAGGTCTAAGGGGGCGATGAAGGACGTGAAAATGGATTCAATCACCACAAAGCCACTCCTCAAGCTCAGCATCGAACTGGAAGTAACTAGAGTAGAGAACGCTCTCTCGAAAAAGCGAAAGATTTTCAACCTCAATCGCAAATACATCGATCGATGATACCAAAATGAGAAGTGATTTGGATCGGTAGGAGCTCACCTTATTAAACGATAATCGCCCAGCCTCGAGATTCCTCTACTTTCGGGCTATGACGGCACTTGTTCGGATCAAAGATATGAGAAATAACGGATGGGAAACCATCTGGAGCAAATACTACACAAACCGGCCCTTTCCAACACCAACTCCATACGTGCGGAAGAACATGCTGCTCGCTCTCGCAACCCATTTCGAAACCACTTCAATGGAAGTAATCGAATCCTGGATGACGGACGTCAGTTCTAGAACTGACCATCGAAGAGTCAGATGAAGTGGCCCGGATCATTATTGAAGCGATGGATCAAATCAATTCATGCTGAGGCAATTGACGAAACAGATGGGTCTAAAGATTCCTATGCTAAATACAGCGGTCAATGATTGGAGAGATCTTTGATAGGGGAAAGCCACCCCTTTTCTTTACCACGCGAAAACCAACCTACCTTCTAACCCTAACCCTAACCCTTAACCCTAAAAAACAAACATCCCTAAACACATACTTCTTTGCAATTATTGAGCATTGGGGTCCACTGCCCGGTTTATCTAGTCTTAATTCTGAGTTCAGAGTCATTTTACGTTTGCTAAGATGCGTCACGGGCCTATTTTGGCGTCTAATTTTGCTCATCATGAATCCCAAGCTCGAGATTTCCCTTGTTTGCAGGAAAAGGTAAGACGTGAAAGTAATAGCGTAATAGTCAAAATAATCAGACCAATAGCAGCTAAATAATCAAGACAATTCTTTTAATATGGTTTATTGTTTTTGCCTATTGTGGTTGCTATTCTCCATAACAGGCATTTTCAACAAGCCTTAGTGCTCAATGGCAGTACAACATCACCTCGCCGTCGACAAAGTTATCCGCAAGATTTATTTGGCCATTCGTGATTTTCTACCGTGTCTTTTGTGAGCCGGCGCCCATATAATTGCCAGTGCATGTGTTTGTCATAATCGTCCCAGGCAACAGCGATATAAGCTTCCCATAGATGTGTAATAGATTTCTAGTAGAAGTAGCTGAAGGTACTCAGAGCTGAAAATGCTTTTCAACGACGTAGCATCCTCATCGAACTATGAATGGCAGTCACTCAACTCACGTTTCAAACCCAGTAAGTTCTAGCTTTGTCTAATCAATTGCAACTTTTCACGCTGACACTCGAGGATACTATGTACAACCGATGGTGGAAATAAAATCTCTGATTGTTGACGCATGGCATGTGAAATGTCTCTTCTAGGAACCACGAAACATCCCCCATGGCAAGACTTCGCAGAGACGGACGAATATAATAATATTAATTCAAGCTGAAGGTATATTTCTAACGAACCAAAACCACCAAATGTACACGGGCCGAGTTTCGCGCTTAGCAGAGCTGGAAGAGGGCGACGGCGACACCAGCAGCGGCGAGGAAGCTGGAGACGGAGGCGGTAGTTCCCTTTTGAATGTTAGTGACTGTCTTGTTCGTCCGGACGACCCTGGCTTATTGCAGGGAAACTGAGGATAGGTCTGAACTTACCATGCTGATGGGGCCGGAGGGCGAGGTAGGGCTGGTACCGCCGGAGGTAGGGTTGCCAGTGGGCTTGGCAACGCCAGAGGCAGTGCTGTTGGAACCGCCGGGGACGGGGACGACGGGAGCGTTGGTGCTCTTGGGGCCGGAGGGGGCAGAGGTGACGGGGCAGACGGTGACGGTGGGGACGACCGAGGTGGTGGTCTTGCCGACGGGGCAGTTGGTGACGGTGGGAGGGCACTTGGTCACGACGAAGGTCTGGGTCTGGTAGACGGTCGAGAGGGAGAAGTCCTGGGTGACGGGGCAGACGGTGGTGGTGACGGGGACGGTCACAACGGTCACGTGAGGTCCGGCAGGGCAGTTGGTGACGGTGGGCGCGCAGGAGGTGACGGTGTGAGTCTGGGTGTCGTAGATGGTCTTGGTGGTCATGGCAGCTGGAGTGGTGGCAGCGGAGGAGATGGGGGTGACCTGTTTTTTGTGTGCTGGTTAGTTCTGGTGTCCAAGAAGCGTGTGAGAGTTGCAACGTACGGCAGCTGAGGCGGCAACAGAGGCCATGGCGAGGACAGCAACAGACTTCATCTTGATGATTATTGGTGGGTTTGGTTGTAGCGTAAAGTAGCGAGAGACTGGTTGAATTATTATTGAGTGAGTGGCAGCAGAATGAATGACTGGAGTGGATGAATCAAGATAGGATCAAGATTTAAGCAAAGACAGAGGAGCATCTTCTTCTTAAAGGCTCTCGATCCTCCGGTCGTTGCTATCACACCGCATCCGCCCCCCCTGGACGCTCAGAGATGTCCCTGCAGGCTCCATGAGCAGGGACCCGCGGGTTACTGCTTGTATGCAGGTACAAGCGCCAATCACCACCTCGGGACTGTAAGCAAGACAAGGGGCAGCGCTTGGACGTGGCCCAGTGCTCTGAGCAGTCTGGTTCATCGGCTGGTTGGCGCCGAAGCCCAATCTGTCTGACTGGACTGGCTCGTGTTGTGGGAAATTGGCAGCTGCACCTTTGCATCCATGTCACCCAATATTCCCTCTCCGCTGGCAAGCCGTGTCAGCGAGATTGGCAAGTGAAATCCGAGGGCGGTAACTCGCTGCCGCCGCCCCTGTCTGAATCATCCCCCCTGTGCACCATTCTAGAAACGGGTAGATCTTGGACGTCAAAGGGGCCTATGGCAGTCTGAGATGGTGTTGTCGCTCCACTCCCTCTTGAAAGGGGCACGTGTGGCTGCTCCCAAGCACACCAATGGCGGTGCCGAGAGAGAAGAGAATCCTGCACTGCTCATACGACATAGAGCAGGTGCAATAACCGAGCCGCCACACTTGGGCGTTGTTAATTACTGCTTCCGTCTGATCTTGCCATGTCATGTTAGCGTTATCGGTGCCTGGGCGAGGGATCGCAGCTGTGCAGTTGCCATTGATTGTTTCCCTCCCCACATGCTCGGCACAGGGGCTGCCCCCAGAAACGAGTCGATCCGGTTCACCTCCGCCGCAACACGATACGATGTCTTCTACCACCACGCGCGTAGCCATGCTTTGCTAGAGATTGCGGTCCGCGATCCACCTGGCCTGGGGCTTCTGACATTAGAAGTTTTTAGAACACGGCGCCTCGCAGGGAAGAGCCCGAGGGCTTATCTTGGGGAACGAGGCTCGTGATACCCCTGCGAGCCAAGGCGATTGTTCAGGTGGTAGTGGAGCTGCCTACAGGGGCTCCGTTCAGGGGAATACCTGGCACCAGAGATACTGCACAAGCACAATACTACGACGTCCTCGCCTTATCCAGATGTAACGATCAGGGATCGGACCACGGAGCGTTATCTACGAGCACGTCTGTCAGTATACGGTATCTCGTGGAAGGCAGGCTAATCAACTGGTATCTAGCTGTTTAGATCCTTCGCCGACACACTCCATCCCTCCACTCCGTGCCCGCTGACCAAATCAATGACTTCACTCGCCATGTGTATGTGGACGGCTCAATGAATCAACATCCCCTTTTTCCACGGTGCCAAGATCGATAGGCCACAAACGAGACCCAACGCCACATTCTATGCATGCACGTATGCAATTTCACAAGACGCTTTGTTAATCTCCGTGCCGTTGGTTGTTGGTTCAAGCACAAGAGGTGTAGCAGCCGAGCTGGCATGCGACTCCTGCTCAGAATTGAATTACCCTTTATCAATGATGAGTCCCGTTGGCTGCGACATACTTCATCCGAGACAGGCTTATGGGAGACTTATTAATCAGATAGGCCCGAAGCGTCCTCCGTGGTGGGTGTTTGTGTGACCATCGCGCTCCTCGCTTTCCACGGCGCCCGGAATTTCGTTTCATGCGATCATCGCGTTGATTGACTTCTTGGCATAATTTCGAGATCACGCTGCCAATTGCACTGTGAAAGCTCATTTCTCGTTGGAGGCCTTCCATTTATGCATTTATGCATTTATAATTAGCACAAAAGGAAAAAAAAAACAGCTTTCTGTGCACTCCGCAGTCTGGACCCGGAATGACATATCGAATTTTCAGCTCTCGTATTTATGAATAGTGGCAATTTTCCTAACACGAAGGAGCCAATCCAGTCCGCCCCAGCCTGGACCGTCAGACCGTGATCCACCACTAATAATACGGATCCAAGAGACAAGACACTGTTGATCCCTATCGGTGAATACTTCTCTATTCTTCTAGTTTGGCAAAAGTGCTCTGTTTAAGACTGCTCCCCGATTTAATGTCTGTCTCGTTTTGTTTCTAAACAGGCGCGGCAGGTGCAGCACGCAGCAAGTCTTAACTAATCAATCACCCTTAGATGCCCGCAGATCTACATCCATGCTGGTTTTTAAGGGATGCAAGCATACGGTCTTCTCATTCAACGCTTTATAATTGACGGCAGTAGTTCATAAGAAGGGTGGATATTTACCATCACGCAATCGCCATGTGTTCCCGTACACAGGTGCCCGTGTTCTTGGGAGCCTTTCCATCGAATATCCAAAAGTCTCGGAGCAAGACTTGAAGAATACGGGCATCGATCATCCGTGGCCCGGGGTGCGCGCAACGCGTGTTCTTTTGTAGTGAGGTTTTGCCTTGGTGGCTCGTATTATACGCGCTCTTGAGATGGACTCGGTCTCGGTCTAGGATGTCTATCCGCTTTTCTGAAACCTTCGTCTGACCGGTAAGATCGCCCTTTTTGTCGCTCTATGATACTGTCAACTTATGACCTCTGGAGGAAATTTCATAATCTGTCCAACTCTCCCGGGGTGGTTACGTGTGCGGATTTACAGCCAATTTCGCGGAATTATCCAACGACAAATATCAAAACCTCCTAGCCCCGCTTAACAACTCTGGAACCTATACGAAGTCGGTCATAGTTCTTCGTATCTATTTCGAGATTCTCGCCTTCCTTTAATGCCAGGAGTCTCAAGATTTGGACAGGTTGGGGCCGGGGCGGCTACAGTGAGAGACCCAGCTTTGAGGGGCGAGAATTAGGAGAAAAGAGTAAGACGTAGCCTCTTACGATTTAGAATGAAGATCATTGAGATGCAGGTGACGCGGAAAGGTCCTTCCTTGCATTTTACGATGTCGAGTCAAAATTAACTGATCTCGTACAGCTATTCTGAGTTGACGACGTAGCCACACAGACAACACTCACTCCCTCGATGACGATCCGATCCCCTTGCAGGTGTTTCACATTACGCAAGATCATGCAGGAGTATCTCGAACCCAGGGTAATAATTTCCTCTTCTTTCTTCTTTAGGCCAAAAAATGCAAGTCATGTTCTATCGAGCAGAGAGGTCCGATCAGGCCTGAGTGTTGGTGGTGGTCTAGATCTAGCTGGATGTGCTTGTTTATTTCTTTCTCGGCTTACACTCGCCGCTGGGCGGGTCAAGCTCTGCACCGAGTGGCTGGGGGATGCCAAAATCCGGCACATTGTTCTCGTCGAACGTGACCTTTTGCGCCATCGTGTACCGCGTTCTCCCACAATCTCCGTCCGAGTTGGCCGTGGCGTGGAAGGCATTCTAAACTACCTGGTAAGCTTTCATATTCTGATATCAAGAGAGCGAAAAGGAGAGAACTGGAGATGATTACCCAGATTTCCTTCCCGTCAGGCGATTTGAAGAAACTGTTGTGCCCAGTTCCGTAGTTACCGTTAGCCTGAGATAGGACCGGCCCCGATTTCTCCCATGAGGATGGCTGGAGGGGGTCGCCGCCGTTGTAGTAAAGGAGGCCTAGCGCATAGAATGCGGTGGAGCAATCCGAGCCGGAGTAGGCAAGCCAGATGTCGTCGCCGTGATACAAAGGCTGCGTTTCAGTGTGAGCAACGCGCCACTTTTCGAGGGAAGAATACACTCACATGGGGTGCTTCGTTAACTGCACCATTTCCCTTGTAGTGCTGTTCCCATTCCTGATCAGGTTGCGAAATGATATGCCAGGCATTTACGGTCCAGTCGGTGGTGTTGAGCTCGGTGATGGCGATGGACTGAAGTCTCTTCTCGTCCACGATGCTAAGGACGTGGTATCTCCCCTTGCCTGGGATTTCCAGATACGAGCCGTCGATGCTAAAGGCAAGGTCACTGGAGCTGCCTCTGGATCCCTCCGGCGGGACAAGCGTAGCGAGAAACTCGTACTCGCAGTCGTACGGGTTGGGCCCATCGCAGCCTTTGAGGACTCTTGTCTGGCAGCTATCGCAGCAGGCGAGGGATGCGTCGCAGCTGGAGTAGAAGTAATACCAGGTGTTATCGATGTGGTGGATTTCGGGAGCCCACATGTTGGCATTTCTTGTAGTGTTCGTGTCAGTCCAGATGACTCTGGACTCCCCCGAAGCCAGTCCGCCCAAAGTCCGAGACCTCACGATTTCGAATTGGGTATAGCCGGTGCAGGTGCTGGTGGTGCCATGGTCAGTTTTGATTCTACCGAGACGAACAGCGTCCCAAGGTTACTTGCAGGTAGTAATAGCCATCAGCGTAAACCAGCGATGGGTCTGGAGCTGGCTTGTCACGGATTGGGTTTTGGTAGGCTAGGGAAAAGCCCAGCTGTAGCACCGCGGCCACCAGCAACGACTGCATGAAGGAGGTCATCCTGGATCGCTGGGTCTCTAGGGTAGGTAATTAGCAGTACAGGCAGGCTGGCGGGATGGAGGAACGGGTTGTAATAACGTTGCATTGTGCTCGGGAGGGACAATCTTTATCTAGTGCCTATTCTCGGTGGGTAGCAACAACTGTCGATTGAAGCGACATGACGGCAGACGGGAGTGTCATTGGCGCGCATCGTCTCTTCTTTGATGGTATAGGCTCACGTTTGGTCCGTAGAACAAAGATGGGGATTTCTCTCGACCCCGCGCCTCTAGCAGATGGTGTTTGGAGCGCACCAATCATCAGATGCAGCAGAATACAAGCACCTGCCAATTAACCGGCAATATTCCCACTGCCTGTCTTTGATTTCATTACAAGCATGGCGCGGAAGTATCATTCCGGCCTAAATTGGGCCGATACCATAAGTTAGGATGGAGAGAAAGTCTTGCATGTCGTTTGATAACAAATTTGAGCTGGATGAGAAGCTAATACCTCTGATCTTCTACATGTTGCGGGCAGACCATGCATGTGAACCACCTATGGTCTGACATACGGATGAGAGTTCGAGTAAAAGTAAAAACAGCAATGAAAGATTCCAGACCCGACATCTCAACACAATAAACAAGTATGGCGCATACTCAACTTTGAGCGCCGCAATCCGATACAATATCAAGACAAAGCCATGGTCTATGCGTCTGGCCCAGTCTGCCCGTCAGGCATGGCTACTACCAGCGTGCCCGATTCTCCTCCTCATACCGATCCTCATTATACTCCCCCCATTCTTGCTCCATATTTGACGCGCTGACAGAGCTCCTTGTTCCCTGATCAGGTATCCTGCGACCGTCGAATTCAAGGCCTTGGTAGTCGAACCGACCCTCGATAACACCGCCACCCAGAAACCGAATCTCGCCTTTGTTATGGCCACCGTAGAATATGGGTCCCTCGTTCTCTCTGCCACGCCAGGTGAACGGCAGGCCCTCTTCAGACGAAGCCCAGGGTCGCTCGGAGAAATGCATGATCCCTTCGATGACACCCAGATCAAAGCGACCCCAGAGCTGCCTGCCAGATATGGTGAGGGTGAGGTCAAACTCGGAGCCAAAATGGTCCCATTGATCTGTTACGTCTGAGCTGCGAATGTGGTAATCTCCGTTCAGTAGTCCTAGGGGGGCGAGTTCATCATCTTCGACCATGCTATATGGTGGTGGGGGATCGTCGTCGTCGCTCGAGACTTCAATTCCGCCCGAAGGGAAGCCTTTTGATTGGGAAGGTGGATTTCTTGCAGTCGCACGAGATCCGCCACGACGGGCCGTCTGCCTTGGCATGGTAGATGCCTGCGATGCAGAGGGAATCGAAGCGCTTCGGCTTGGTCCGCTCGCAGCAACACCACCGCGACGGGCTGTCTGTCTTGGCATGGCAGATGCTTGCGATGTGGTGGTAATAGGAGAGCCTCGACTTGGTCCGCTTGCAGCAGTACCGCCACGCCTGGCAGTTTGTCTTGCCATGGCAGATGCTTGTGATGTAGCGGTGATAGGAGAGCCTCGACTTGGTCCGCTCGCTGCAGTACCACCGCGCCTGGCAGTCTGCTTCGCTCGGGGCTTGCTCGGCGTAGGCTCATCTAGCTTGGCAGGAGTGGGCTTGGCCTTGTTTGCAGCAGGCTGGGGTTTCTTTCGTGGGGTTGACTTCTCAGGCTCTGCTTTCCTCTTCGCTCCTCCTGCGGCGCTGGCAGTGCTGGCGGCGCCTTTACTCGCAGCCGGGGTGACGGCTTTCTTCTTGGCTTCCCTCTCGCTCTTGGTCCACACCGTCCTGAGCTTCTTTTCCAACTTGGAGACGTGATCCGGGACGGCCAGGTCGCTCCCGTTGACAGCGTCGAGCAGGCGCATCCGGGCCACCGACTTTGTCTTTGACGGCTTGAGGCCGTAGTGGAGAAGCTGGGCCTCGAACCAGTGGGCGGGGTGGTCCTTGTCAGTACCGGACGCGATCTGATCCTTCAGCTCGGGGATGGTGGCACGGCGATGGCGGTTCTGGCCCGTGGCCTCGGCAAAGAACTCGCCGTTGGCAAAGGCGAATCCGCCCTCGGAGGCAGGAGGGGCACCCGCCCATTCGGAGGCGCCGGTCAGCTTCTTGGACATACTTCCAGCACTTGCAATAAATGAAATTAGACCAAACGAAGGTGGGAAGGTGAAGAAAGTGATGAGACAGGTTGTGGTATATGGGGCTGGTGCAAGCTTGAAGGAGTCGGATGGAGAAATGAAGGTGGGAAACAAAAGCGGGGTCACTTCACTGTTTGCTCGCTACACTACCTGGAAATTAGTGAACTGATTAAGTTGTGCCAGTGGAATTTGCTTTGTGCATAAACTTAAGCTAGATATGACGTAAGCCCCCCCAGTGTGGCAGCTTCCGACTTAAAGGTTCCGGCTCTATGCTCCAAACTAAAGCTACCTGCGCCGACGACGATAAAAGTTATCAACACCACGGGAGATAGTTCGAGTATAAAGTTAAACAACCCTAGAAGATTCCAGACCCGACATCTCAACACAATCAATACTAAGTTTTTTTTTTTTTTTTTTTTTTTTTTTTTTTTTTTTTTTTTTTTAAAAGCCTTTATTAGCCTAAGGCTGCAGTCATAGGGACAGAAAAGTCTAGAAACCTTCACACCAATGACTCACTTGCCGTCAGAACGTCGAACAACTACAAAGCATACCCTCTTTCACCTGGCTTCCTTCGCACACTCGTACTCGAGAGGAAGGGAGGTGGAGGGGATCAGAGAGGATAGTTTTTATAGAAACGCTTTTCAAGCTTTGAAAACACAATGAGAGGTCATCAACACCACAAGCACTCAATATGCATTCTGTTTCGGACCTGGTTTGTTGTATGTAGTGTAGGACTGGATAGAGTCGTCATCGAGGCTGAGTCTGCTGTTTCTTTTTCTGGTCCGGGATTTGCGAGGGTTGGATCCGTTCGCCCTCTGGCCACGCGGGACCATGTCTGTGGATGGAGCCTGATCTCGGGGGTCTGAAGATGGAATCTCGCTCCGGAGTTGTTCTGCGGCGGCAGCGTCATCGGTTTGATTGGGCGTCTGGGGGTGGTTGGCGTCCTCAATGCCGTTCGAGTATTCTGCAGAGCTATATCAGTGCCATTCATCACGTATCGAAATCCGAGGCTGCTATTACCTGAGGTGTTATAGTGAGTATCGCGTTCCAAAAACTTCTCCTTGTACTCCTGGACCACGGCATGATGCTGTGAAGGAACACTCGACATATCAAGCTCGTAGAGGGTTGTAGCCTTCAAGAAGGCAAATCTGCATTGTTCGATATCGTTGTGGTCAAAAAAGCGGCAAGGAAACGCTCTCTGCCTGACCTTGGGACCGCCATCCTCGAACCCTGGAGCCCATCTGCTCAGCAATTTCGTCACTTTGTCGTAATTGTAGCATTTTGGGGGGGTTTTCATCGACTCGTCCATCGCCACGGGTGGGATCAGGGTTGATAATTCGCGAAGCGGAAGAAGTACGACAGCATACATCTGGCCCCTCCAACACGACATATATAGCTTGCCGAATTCCGGGTCGAGGATTGGGTGGCTGCCAGGAACTGCCCCGTTTCCAGAGTTGGCCTTGCGTCTCTTTCGCAGAGTGACAAGTCCAGGGTCGGCCACGCTCTTCGGATCATACCCATTCGCGAAGGCGGCTTCGACATCCTCGTTATTCCTCTTGGCAAGCTCAGCGGTGCATTCCAACACAAGCACCCCGAAAACGTCGATATTTCTGTTGGTTTTGCAACCTGGGCTACAGTCTGTGTGTTTCAGGAGATGTTTGGTGGGCCCTGAGCGGATTCCCCCTTTGGCAAATGCGAAATGACGATCGTGCTGCTCACAGCGCAAGATCCACCAGCGTCCTTTGACACTGGCGTCGGTGGTGAGCGAATGTTCACATTCTATTATCGTGTACTTGATTTCGGCTTTCCCATCCTGGTACACATCTTCGAAAGGAATTGTGGTGACGGTGCGCGGAACCGGCGCACACCAAGGCGTCTCGCTGAATCGACGCTTGTTCTGTGTGCTAGCACGTCGTGGGCGGGTGCTTTCAAGCGGCGCGGCATTGGTCTGAACCTCCTCGGCTTCTGAGTGATGAGTTGATGCTGTGACTGGGCCTTGGGAGCGTTCTGGGGACGGAGAAACCATGGACTGTGGATCGACAGCTGTATCTTCAAGGGAGCCACGCGCCTGGCTTGATATCTCAGAGGTGCTCTGGGATTGAGGATCGTTCGGCTGTGAAGAATATCCGTTGAGTGGGTTGAAGGCTGGCGCCAGGCTTGGGGAAAGCCTTGGTTGCGGAGGAGGCATGGCTGGTGAAGCTGCAATGAGTTGTCGGTGTCGAAGCTCCTCGAGTTGGGTTAGCTCCCCAAATGTTGGTGGCTGTTGATGCATAGGCGACAGTCCTTCGGGGGAAATCTGGTACGAGAGAGACGACTGATACTGTTTAGAAAAGCCGGCTAAGGTCGATGCTGTTTTGTGCAGCCATGCCTGCTGCTTCGCAGGGAAGGTATCCTTGTGCTCCTGAGCCAATCTGGCCTTCTCCATGCCAAACTGCATCATCTTGTCGGTCTGCTGTTGAATATCGAGCGAGGTGCTAAGCTCTCTGATGCGTCCGATCTCCTGTTGCATGCGGGACTCGAGGCTTCGGCACTGGGATTGATAAGTTTCGGTCGGCGTCTCGCTGGCGATGACGGTCCTGGCGCGATTGACAAACTCATCTAGACGAGCTGTCAATTGGAGACGATCATTGTCCTCGAAAGCCATGTTGGACGGGGTTGCAAGGCTGTGTGAGCCTGTCTCGTTATGTGAAAAGTGATTGTCTGCAAGGTGTCTGCTGTCGCAGTTGCGGATGATGGAGGAGGAGGAGAGAACGGCAGAGGCGGGGGGCCGGCCTGGACAGAATTTATGATACGGCTGTGATGTATCTTTCGTCACCGCCATGACACGCCTTCATTTCGTATCATGCAGACACGCATGAGCAGCTAGCTGGATTTCGAAGCTCTTTTGTGTGTGGTGCTCTCAGGCTTTCGCACATTGCGGGAGGAAGGTGCGTGCATGCAGCTCACTGCGCGCGCCACAGCTGCTGCCATTGGGCGATGGGTTAGGCAGCTAAGACATTGGCTGCGAGAGCCCCTCCGGAGAGAGCTTCATTGGCCTGCTCGTGCAGCTTTGGGGTAGCACAACCGTTGCTTCTTCCTGCCCAACCCGCCGCCCTCTCCCAACGGCCTATCAAGTGGCTGCTACCCCGCTCGTGGCGTATCAGCTGCATGTATGTCTCCTGTCGGGCGACTAATTGATTGTGTTTGGGGGAGGGAGAGAAATTTGGGAGGGAAGAGAGAAAATTCCTCAGACGCCGGGCGATTTTGGGGGAGCAACGAGCCGCCCTGTTAGCTGTGCAGTCGCGGCCACTTCTCATTTTCTACCCATTTCTCTGCTTTCTACTTACTTCTGAGTTAGATTCCAACAAAGGCTTCCCTAGCAATCATGTGAATGAGTATTCGTAGCGAGTAAAGCGCAGTTGGAAGCGGGCGGCCAGAAAGCTAATAAAAAGCAAAGAAATGTGGCAACGTCCTCAGCGTCTACCTGATCAGGCAGACCATGAGGAAACCAAGGTCTCCAAAAACAGAAGGAAAAAAAAGATGATCCTGCTCGGATTCGAACCCAGGTCCTCTCCCGCGGCTCCCATAAGGCGCCCGTTCTCTGCCCCTAACGTCGAGGGTAGACGGAGACTGCGCGTGGTTAGTAGTTCTTCAGTGCGAGGACACCACAGGAAGGCAGAACTATGCCACGGACTACTGTTTTATTGTTGAATTGTTGAATGCCATGTCCGAGGAACCTGTATATAGGCATTGGTGAAGTGGTGTACCGCTGTGGCCACAGGTGATGGCGGGAAGGGGATCGATACCACGCAGGAGAAGAGCTGGTCGATGCTTGCCACAGCGCCAGCGTCGAACTGCAACCCATTACTGCAGTAGCATTTTTTTCCATCACTCGGATACGCATGCGACATCGTGAACATACAGCATAACCAGTGAGAAATTCTCGTGGTCAAAGTTTCAATTGATCGCTAGCTATGTGTACCTAGGAACTCCGGTTCCCTGGCAGCGCCCAACAATCAATTGCCATATGGATTCCGTCGTGCGCATGCAGCTGACGAAAACTCCGAGAAGAACAGCGCTCCAAATTAAGGAAAAAAAAAAAAGCGAATTGAATTTCGCCATGTCGTTAGAATAAAAAAATAATAAATAAATAAAGTAAATGTAAAATAAATTTTAAATAAATAGGCCACCGGCTAGCGAGCGACCGCGAATTGTGTGAGCTTGTGCTTATCAGCACCCCTCGCATCCTGAATCCTGGTAAGAGATTCTCAGCCATATGTGCACATGCCCGGCTTTCCCTCGAATGGGAACGAGCAGAAATAGGCGCGGTAGCAGTCGGCGTTGCTCCAGCACTCTTTTCCGGGGGGCTCGAATCCCTGAGCGACAGGTGCGGCGGAAGTGATGCTGGCAAAGCCAACCGCGACGCATAGAAGAGCAGCTTTGAGGGAGGCCATTTGGTTGATGTGTTCCCCGTTGGTTGTTGAGTTTAGGACGGGACTTGGGATAGTGTTGTTTGCAGCTTGGAGTGTATGTATGTCTGGGGATTGATAAGCAGTCTAGTGAAGTCTAGGCGGCTTTGGGTCCTTTATAGGCGAGGCCGTCCACCTGTGTGACAACATAATTACCCACGTACTCCGTAGGGAAAAGGAGCTCGGCAAAGGCCTCCCATGCCAGACTAGTTTGGCATTCCGGGCAGGGCGAGTGGGGGCATTCCTAAAGACATCCAACCAAACCCTGGTCCCGAGGTTAAGCATAGATTTAATCTCAACTACGGCCGATCATATGTGGGTGTGATGACGTTTCGGCACTATGCTCAAGCGTGGCAGTGCCGCAGTGTAAACGCAATCTGGATCAAGTGACGAATCTCAATGATGATCTTCCCTGGTTGTCTTGGCAATGGGGTCTCGTTCCCATCCGTCGTTGCTTCCCGACATTTGAGGCTTAACTGGCCTGAGCTAGGTGTCCAGGCAGAAAGCGAATGGAATGAAGTGAATAGAGTCACAAATTCCCACATGGCCAGCTGATCTAGATCAAGCGCTCTCCTTGGTTGTATCAAACAAGCGGTGGAATGTGCGAGAGGGTTCCCCTCAGAAGTCTGAGGGTCGAGTGGATGGTGCTACGAACACCCTGGCTTGAGCTTGCTTGGCATGGGCTTGGCGGACCAGCTGCCATTCAACGTGACTGTAGCTGTGAGACAAACAACAGGTGACCAGCAAAGACTTAAAACAGAGAAAACAGGTTTCCTGTCATAATCGGTCCGCGTGTGCGCCAGTATTCCCACACAATGTAATCTCTTGAGCCATCTCGTTCTTGGATTCTGAAAACGAAACGAAGTCTCAGTACACGTATAACTCACACTCCATTAACTGAACTTCGATGGCTTGAGTCCAATGGAGGTTCCTTAGCATCACAATCTAACATGGTGACAAAGAGGTGATAGGGGGATGACAAAGAGCACCCATATGATCACCCACAGAGAAATACAGAATACAGAAAATAGAACCCATCGCATTGTTCAAGTTTGTACGCTTTCTGCAGAATTAATTGGCCAGTGTTCACTAAGCGATCGAGAAAGAATGGACAACGGTGTTTAGGCGTGTCAAGAGCAGAGTTGGCTAAACAATGCGTTTCATCGTCGTGCGGAGACTGACCAGCACAACATGGTTCTCAACTTGACCTTCGTTCGTGAACAGTGCCAAGGTGATTACCACTTCTCGCGTCCCTTATAAATAGGGGCCAGGCCCCCCCCCAATTCTTTCCTGTCGCTCCATCCACACAATAAACATACTAAAGTAATATGGTATGGCTATCGAGAATATTCGATGCCGCTCATGCTCCATCTTGACCTTTCAAGCCTGGATGAGTAGCACAGCAGGCTATCACTCGCCGCATCAACCGCTATCATCATCACCGAGAGCTCTAAGCCCTGGCAGAACGGGGGAGTCGACGATGGCGACCACGATCGCCGCTTCCACGCCCAGGCGATGATGGTCAACGTGAGCCTGCCTGACCTGAAGGCCACGGAACAGAACGAAAGTAACCATCGATCCGGACCCGCTCAACTTCACCGCGTCACTCGGCGTGGGACACGATCAGATTATCCCAGTAGATCCTCGGCCATTAATTCTAAATGCCCCGTCGCAGACTACAAACTACGTCCTAGGGGCATCGTCGAGCCCGGCAGCAACCCCACGGCTAATTCTGGTGGACCAAAGCACCAAATGCTTTCTCACCTACTCGAGCGTCGACCACCATTTTGCTGCTTCTCCCTCTGGCGTTGCTACTACAATATCTCCGTCTCTCCTCAATATGGGTATGGGCATAAATATGTACTATCAGAACCCTCATCCTCACCCTCACCAGAGTCTGCGTCCTCATCGCCCGACTCCTCCTCCCTCAATAATGATAACGAGATCAGCCACGACACTATCAAAATAGGCCTGTCGCCATCCGACGTGGAACTGGTTGACTCGGATGAGCTTAGCAGCGTCGGCAGCTCGAGTACTTTCAGACCCGTCACGGGCACCAGGCCGTTTCACAAGTTTAACGGGAAGACTCGGTTTCTACCCCCTGGGAATACAGCACTACGGCGGGTTTCCAGCAAAGAAGAAACAAATCAATGCCCCGGCACCACATTAGCCTGCATGGTACACTTCTTCGAAACCGACTACGGCTCTCAAAGAGTACGTCCGTGTCAGGGTAATTGCCTTCAAATGGAACATAATTAACAAATATTTCATAGCCCTGTATAGTCGATAATTAGGAATACTGGTGCTCCCTCTACAAGAATAAGAACAGGCGGTCGAGAAGGCGGGAATGGTCCCCACCACCAACATCCAGACATACGACTTCCCGCTCCTCCAGCAGAACCTGCTATCCTCTCGAGAGTGCGAGAGCTAAAGTTGATGCGCTGGCCTTCTTAATTGGTACCATAACCGCACGGACCGTGTGTCGAAGATCTTCACACACATCGAATCTGTCGTCTCCCGTGGGGGAAGTTGAACAATCCGAAAGATGTCCCTTCGTTTCACTCGCTCGGAGACACGAGCGCTTCATAAGTATTGGATTATGGGCGTTTAGGCTTATAGTGTTGTTCCCCCACAAACTTCCTCCGCGCTCGATCAGCTTTCTCGCAGGACGAATTCGCGGAGCAGAACTAAATTATTGTCGAACATATCATGAAACTTCATGAGTTTCCAAGTGGATCATCCTAGGGCGCAAGTTCAGCACCTAGGAGAAAGAGAATAAAGTTTAACAGCAATGGAAGCTACCAGAGCCCGACAACTCAACACAATGAATAGGAAAACCCCCCAAAAAAAGCCTTTGCTAGCCCAAGGCTGGCAAGTTCAGCACAGCAACGCAGATCTATGGCAGAAGGTGGCGTCAGTAAACACCACACTGGAAATTAGAAGTTTCTTATCATCTTATGCCTTTCTTTTCTGTGTTGAAGAGACCTAGATGATGTTCATCCAAAAGGTTCTAGCTTTCTCTGCACGCTACTTTGAGAGCAGGGTCGATATACATACCATCTCATAAATGACGACATCTCGGTTGAGTCGGGCAAATGTTATAGAGTAATTCGACACTTTGTGGAGAGACTGTATCAGGAGTGGTCGCCGAGCCATGTCGTCGAGCATGTCGTGAAACTCCCAGTGGCACGAAGACATACTCAATTCTTAGGTAACAGCCATCGGCCATTAAATTAGACAAAACCTCGTTTATTTGGGGCTCATATGATACAAAATGAACTCGCGTAAATAGCTAGCTTTTGCACATAGAAAACCGACACAAATCTCACTTAGTACTTATGTTTCCTTGAGAGACCCACTCGTTGAAGATTCTTCTTTCCTTCCCAGTCCAGATAAATGGAAATGATTTGCAAGTCGAATAACTTGATGCAGTAAGACCTCTGTTACATTTGCAGTCTCTAGCAGAGATTCATTTTACCAATGCCTCTCCAGTACGGGCTGTTGATGTCTCGTTCCCCAAGAGAATGTCCAGATTGACTAGAGCATCGATGATTTATATCTTATCTTTCGTATGGGATCCTACATTTCACTTGCCATGCCCATCAATCGTTTCAAAATAGAAACTAGATGCTGATATGTTCATTCCCTAATTTCCGTAAAGAATTTCGTCGACATAAGTTGGTTTCTCATCATCGACTTTCTCTTGGAAAGAGGGAATCACTCCAAGGTACAAAGAGACTGGTTGTTGCTTTTCATTCAGTACCTAAGTTACATCTTTCTAGAGTCCGTTTCTAAAGACTTGATGTTTTTCACACTCCTTTCATCGATGCTCCGTGGAACCTCTCAGCCCCGAAAAGCCGGTGGGTCCATCACGCTTTTTGATACACATTCCTCAGGATCTATTGCCCTCCATGGCTCTTAGTGAGAGATCTTCTTGGCCAGAAACTTGGCTCCCTCACCCTGTGCGGCCGCGCTATACAGGAGATGGGGAGTCTTGATCTTAAGAACACCCTGGCAGACCACATCGCCGTCATTGCAGAAGACCTTGGTTTGGTCAGCGGGGTATTCGGGGATGCGGCCATCGTTCTTCTTGTTCTGGGTGTAGCCGAAGAGGACGGCGCCTTTGATCTGCTGGCGCGCTGGGCCGACGAGAGTAGGGATAGTGGCGGCAAGGAGAGCTGCTCCCTGGCTACTCACGAGAAGATTAGCACATAGCCCAGAGACCGAGACTTGGTTGGTGGTTGGTATCTTCCTGCTTACCTGTAGCCGCCAATCAACACGAGGGAGCCGGGGCACTTCTCGTGAGCGAGATTGAACATCTTGTACGCCTCAACAATAGCCTCGGGGCTAGTTCCATCAGGGAGAAAGTTGTCGTCAATTTCGGCAGTGTAGTCACCGCCGATTCCCTGGATCCAAAGGCTCTGAACCTGAGCAGAGAGGCCCTGCGCAAGATAAGGTCCGACGAGGGTGCCCTATTATATGAGGTTAATCAACAAACCATCTCTTCATGCAGGAAGTCCGACGGGGAAGTTTCAACATACCAAATTTCCTTGTTCGGTTGATCCGCGAGCGAAGATCAAGATTGCGTGAGGGCAGTAGAAACCAAGCCCATCGACCAGATCGTTGGCTGTAGTCCGCAGCTCACTTGGAGCGGCAGCTACCAGGCCGACAAGAAAGGTCAAGCAAGTAGACAGCTTCATTTTCTATCCTTGTTCTAGATAGTGAAGCTTTCAAGACGTTTGGGTTTCCAAGTGTTGAGCGTTCAAGTGTTCGAAGTTTGGGAGAGGCTGAAGTTGACGCGTTCAGAAGGGTGAGGTTGTGAAGAGGAAAATAAACACGAGAGGTCCGGGGCTCTAATAAAAACCAAATAGGTACGTCACTTTGTGCGCTAAGGAAGTGAGCCGCTTCCAGGCACCAAGTGAAAGGCCGCATGCCCTTTTCATAACAACACGCCTTATGCACATCACTTTGCACATCACTCTACACTACGAACCATATCTTAACTAAGCATGCAGCTGGTGATGGATGCTTTCTTTCACCTTGCAGTTCATTACTGTACCTGCAAAGCTAGGCGGATTTGGGAAATTCTTGCGATAAAATCTCCTGCATCTCGGTAACATTGCAGAAGATCCTAAGTCAGGTGGCCGGGTTCAAGTCAGCTGAACCAACCAACGAACGTAACATGCGAGGAAACAACTCATACTGAATGTCATTTACTATAATTCCATTCATTATCCACTGCTAACATGCGCCACTGTTGTTGATTGACAAATAGTTGCCGTTAAAGAGACGAATGGCTGCCTCTCAGAGCCTGCAGAGGCCTGCTGCTGTTCTCCACTGTTCTGAGAGGGAGGGTCTTTTGTTCACAGCCGGATTCCCCAAAAACACAACGTGCAGACACATGCTCGGATCAAAATTCCTCCCGGTGTGTTGCCATGCAGCATAGAAAGTGGAGGTGCTGATATGCTACCCGTGTTTCGCAACACCTAACAGACGAGTTGTTGTATGTCTAAACCCAGGCGAGATGGGCGTTAATTGGTTCTTATTCTAAAAGAAACAAAAAGCCTTGTCTCATCGGATTCTAAAGCTTGTTCCTTCTACATCTGCCTGGAGGTTATGTTTTGCCAACTTTTTCTTAACCTAACCGGGCGAACCACAGGAATACTCGTTGCCGAGTAGGAGATCTGGCTCTGATATTCCTATCACGAAGTGTTATTTGGTGCTCAAAGACAGTCATCCTATATTTAGAGTAGCTCAAGAGGATGACCCTAAATCACTTGACTATTTACTGTCAACGCATGTAGAATCTAAGAAGGGCGCAATGTTCAGGGTAAGCAATCAGAGAGGAAGGATTTTCGAGGAGAATGTGCCATAAGCATCGTACATGTACACAACTAGACTCTTAGACCAGATTCATGTACTAATACACAATGAGTTCAAAATCAATATGTGGGCTACGATTCAGTTTCTTATCTAATCACAGCGTTGACGGTACGTAAGTCTCCAGGGTACGAGAGGGCTCCGTATGATCTTCTCTCAACCTTACACCAACACACGATAATGGACGCAACGCCGCCAACCTTCCTCACCATCCCCAAAACATCCGAAAACGAATTTAGTTCACGAATGTCCGACTTACTTGATCCGCCAAGACCGTGACACACATACGCTCCCGCGATCGGTGCCATGGTGGTTGCGGCTTGCCACAATAAATTCTAACTGTCCATTTCATCGAGAACCTCGTGGTCCCACACCCAACACGAAACAAGTCATTTGCCCAAATATACCGCCACAACCTTTATTCGTCAATAGCCTCATCTATAATGAGGTTCAGGAACTGCTATATGGTATGAACAAGTTTGTCGTGAGAGGCCGCGATGCTAGAGATCTTGAAAGTTTTCAAACTCTGCCAAACGAGGCGGTACATAAAATGCGTTACCTTTTAGTCCGGTTAAATAGCCAGCCTTACTGCCGAGGCCGTCACTGGGCCCATGAGACCGGTACATGCAGTGCATGCCGAATACTCGGCTCTGAGAGCATCATTGAGCAATGGGAGGCTACATGCAATCGCCTGGCAACTATATCCCCTCGAAGCCTCACTCTGGAGTTCATCTGCGATGCCAAAGACTTGACTACAGTTAAACAGGTGCTCGGCCCAATAGGTGCTCTCCCGCGCCTCAAACAACGCACAGTACAACTAGGAAGACAACACGGTTCAGAACTGACTTCGCTCGCCCGCTCAACTATGCTCAGACTGACTGGAGAGACTCAACACTTGGAAAGTAGTAACTCCTCACTCTCATTTCTGATTGCCACTAGATATCCGCACTTGAAATATACACATCTTGTCCTGGGAAGCGGTGACGTGGATGACGAGATTCCTATCACTAATGAGCGCGTTGATTATCGGCTCACTCTCAGTTATTTCCATGTCCACGGAAAATGCGGTTGCCGTTGCGCCTTCAATAGGCGACATTGCTCCCTCAGACTTACTATGGGATATTTTCAGCTACGAGCCAATGCTGACTGCTGCCGCCTCAGTCTCAAAGAGCCCAAAACTAACTGGATCGGGGCATTTCATTTCGAAAACATCCTGCAGATACCTTTCAATATATTAGCTATTCGTTATCTTATGTTTGATCCACCAAAAGAAACCGATGGCAATCTAGCTACATACGTTCAAGTAAACATTTCCATAGGGGAGGTGGCGATCTTGTGAGAAGGCCTCTGTGGGGGTCTCCCTAGACACATTTATGAACCAGGTGTAGAAACAGGGGGCTAGATAACACAGGGTATGGATGAGATGCATCTCCGAAGAGTCTTGAATCAAGATATACCCACACCCCTTACTTGAGTGGGGGCAGATCGGTATTATCTCTTGAAATCTCTCATGTGATGATATAAAAGGACAGAAACATCCTGACCACGGACAGCGTGGCCAGATCACACAAAAGTCCTATGCGTTGACACCCTGACTTCAACCTGCCCTCGGTCCTTGCTTGAGCCAGATTTCCTCTCAAACATGAGTCCCCATCGGATCCTCTCTCCTGAGGAGGAAAGCCTCGACCTCCCCCGCATTCTCTGCCTGCACGGCGGCGGAGTCAATAGCACCATCTTCCGCATGCAGTGCCGGATTATCGTCAAGGAGCTCAGGTCGACATTTCGACTGTGTTTTGCTGATGCGCCCTATACGTGCGGCCCTGGACCAGGCATGATCCCGACATACAAAGATTACGGGCCTTACCGACGGTGGCTCCGTCACAAGCCAGAGCATGAAGAGGTGGACGGCGCGGAGGGAGCGCAGGCAATCGTCGATTCCCTGGCTGAGGCCATCGAATCTGACAACCGACAGGGGGCCACGGGGGAATGGGTGGGACTATTGGGCTTCAGTCAGGGCGCAAAAGTCGCTGCCAGCATTCTCCTCATGCAGGATAACGAACGGAAGAACCAGCTTCCCCCCCGGCTTCCGTGCTCTTTTCGGTTCGCCGTCATCATGGCAGGATCTGCTCCTCTGATAACGTTCGATTCTGACGTGCTCTCGAGTCCGTATCTGGCAACCCCCGCGCAGAGCACCGCGGTACACCTCACCTTTGACAGCTGCCGGGGTGTCCCGTCCGAGAAGGCACACCTGGTGCGGTCCCCCACGGTCCACGTTCATGGGATGCGAGATCCAGGGATCAATCTACACTGGCAGCTGATGGAATACTACTGTCAGGGTCAAGGAGGCGCACGTCTTATTGAGTGGGATGGAGATCACCGCCTGCCAATCAGACTGAGAGACGTGCGGGCGATCACCACAGCCATCCTGGAAGTGGCGCAAGAGACTGCAGTTCTGTAACAGGCAGCTCCCGGCAGTCAGTGAAAAAAGGTCTTATCTTACATAGAAGGAGTTACTATAGCTTGTCAATATTGGCTTAAAAATAGATGACAAATATTCCATAGATGCCTCGATTATACGCAGTACGCCTATGATCACCCTAGTAAGCGCCAGGTTGCCGTTCTTCCCTTGCAAGTGATTGACAACTTGGCGTTTTATGTCCGGTCCGTGCAGCGGGACTGTCCCGCGTAACTTGCTGGTTTACGACAGCATCTGCTCGGGGATTCACAAGATCGCTCGGTGCCGACACAGGGAACTGGGTTCATTTGTTGTCCCACGAGCATGGGAGGTTTAGAGGCAAGAGAGGAAGAATGTCACTGAGACTGATAAGTTGTGAAATATCATGTCGGCAGCCATCCATTGGCCAGGATGGTGCCTCGGCGGCAGACGCGGTTTGTGTAACCTGGCTGGAACGAGAACTGGATACGTGTACCAGGATGTAACACCCTTATCAACCCTGCATATTGAGCTCGGCGATACGATATGGGATCGAATCCAGACAGACACTGGAGCTCGCCGACAATCCCGCGAGAGATCCAATAGATAATCTGAGCGGTGTAAGGCCCACCTTCTGCTGCCTGCAGGCTCCCTTGTCTCCCCCTGCCCATGTGATTGTCCTCTTGTCCCGGCATGATCCTTGACCGAAAAGGCCACAAACAGCATCGCGGAGATTCAATAGCCGGGTGAGTGGAGGGTCATGGTACGCCCAAGTACCTATCTATCAATCACATGAAGGCTGGTGATGTTATCTGGCCTTCACGGACCTGTTCTGCCAAGAAGAACAACTTCACTTCTCTTGCCTTTTTGGAATTCTTGGTCTCCTTGTTTCTTTCCCGTCGTGAAGGCCGCAGAACCAGGACACATCAAGCCAAAAGACATAGACAGGAGAGCCCCCATGTACGCTAGTTTCCCGCGCGCCGCGGAAGCCAGGCTCGGGGAGGCCGGCATCCAAGTACCCCAACAGTGGGTGGGCTTTTGAGACATCCTCCGATTCCTCCTCAGGGAATTGGAGCATCCCTGTCGTCTCCTTACGAGAGGCCAATTGGCTTGCAACCGTGAGGTGACGGGCCGTCCCGGGGGGGTTAGGCGGACAAGATGCTCATTCCAGCGCTCCTTAGCCCAGCTTGGGGTATATTCTCCGCACATTGAGGGATAGATGAGCCTAGTAAGAAAGAGATATATCATGGTTCTAGCTGCGTTTATAATGATATCTAAAAAAAAAAGACGGATGAAAGAACTTGACAACAGGAAACGGAGCCAAAGAGACTCAGGGGGTGTGGACAACCAATGGGGCACGATTCTCATGTCATCTGCCTGAGAATCCTCATGTTCATCATTAACCCCCGCTCAGTCAATGAATTCAGAACATCTCCAATTTCGGTAGAGTGTATATTCTCCAAAACTAGAGTGTAGTTTGTCAAAGACCCCCTGGATTCCAACCCTGCGGAACTCCGCGAGGACGGAGGAAAGACCGTGTCGGGCAACACACTGGAAGATTCTGGTGGCGTCGCCTGTTCGGGCAATGCCATTGAAGCAATCTGGTCGCAGTCGGCTGAATAAATGCCGGGGCTGTTCATCCACGAATCTATCCCCGTTGTTGTGAAGGACGGATCACCACCGTCGAGGCCCAATTGGGATCCCACCGACGGGAGATGCTCCCAGTCGTTGAAGCTGTGAGGGGTAAGTAGACCTAGGTTGCTGTTTGCCTCGTGAGGGGGACAGACGGCGAAGCATTGCGCTTGCGCGAAGCTCTGGGCCAAGATGTCTCCTTGGCTGATCGTATTGCTACCCAGTGTCGCGGTGGGATCGTCACACAACGTGGCGCCGGGACGATCGTCCTGTCGTCGTCGGCACATCAATTCGTATCTAAAATGAGGGGAGGCAAATTTAGAACAGTGCATATCACAGTTGCAGCCGGCAAAGGGTTGGAGGCTTGGCAGTGCATGAACCAACGTTCATTACCTCACATACCTGTTTTTCAGGTCTGTTGGTGACCGAGATGGCAGCTTGGTTGAAGCTATCAATCTCCATGATCGTCCCAGCTCGGACACTGCCTTTAATAGCTCGTCATCTTCTCGCGAGGTCCATGGGCCACGGTCAATTTTGGGGTCTAGTGAATGTTGCCATCGTTTTGCGCATTCTATTTTGTCAGAGAGTTCTCGAATAATGAACACACCTCTTGGAGGAGGATGGAAAAGGGGCTTACGGTCGGCGTTGCGAGTTCCAACACGCTGCGCAACTCGATTCCATCTATTGCAGAAATCACGGTCAAAAACTCTGTGCCGGTTGGTGTCATTCGGTGTAGAGCGAAGGAGGAAGGCATGTCTTATGGGGGATGGTTTCACACCGTGTTCCATATGTGTCCATTGCAGCCAACAGCCGTTGATCCTCATCCGCCGTCCACGGCCCTTTGCGGTACACTTCCACTGTCTTGAGCCAACGTTTGCGACAATCCTTATTGCTTCGATGGGGTAACTTTTCCGAAATTGCCGCCCAATTGGTAGGTTCATTGGCGTCTAGAGAGGGGAACGACATCACCTTGCAGTTAGCAAGCACGATCTTGCCCAAATTGAAGGGACTGTTGGCCGGCTGTATCTTACCCCGCTGGGCTTCTACTTCATACCGCAACACCATATCCTCCTCCATGGTCCATTTCCTGTGCCGATGAGAAGCCGCCATGTGGGTGTGGGAGATTGTCATGGAGCAGGCGTGTTGGTTCGGGAATAAATTATGTATCTGGCTGCGGAGAAGCGATCGATCACACACGGGGTGTTATTCTTGGCTTGGGGTAATAGCAAATGATTTGTAAGATGGAGCTTTATACGTGAAGTTCCGCCTCTCCCTCCGGTATTTTTTCTGTCCCTCTCTCTGCCGGGCTGGATGACTTCAACATGCTTGTGTTTACCTGCTCACTGCCAGCGATGATCACCAAACGCACCCCTCTCCACGGAAGGAAGGAAGCTCTGCATCCAGGTCAGCGACTGGCGCGCGGGGGCATGGGAAACCCTTGTCTGTTGGAGGCCACGGGCCACACCTGGCTGCAGTGTAACTCAGGGATGCAGAAGATGCCGAAAGCGCGAGGCCGTGCTTTCGTTGTCAGCCAATCGTACATTCGCTTGCTCCCTCCATTGAGGGCGGCGAGGTTGCGCGTGGGCACAGCAGTCGGATTGATCACAGCAGTCGGATTGATCACAGCAGTCGGATTGATCACAGCAGTCGGATTGATCACAGCAGTCGGATTGATCACAGCAGTCGGATTGATCACAGCAGTCGGATTGATCACAGCAGTCGGATTGATCACTGCAGCCTGATTGACGCCCCAGTCTACCAGAATCACACCAGCTAAACCTGTTTGGGACGACAGTGCCCCACCAGGAGTATTCACACCCAGAGAGTGACTTCCCAGTACATCCATAATTACAACATAGCAGAAGTAAATAGACAGACAGACACCAGGTCAGCTACGCATCGATCGCTTGTCTTGACGGCAGGCAGGCAGGCAGGCAGGTCGGGTCTGCAGCGATCGCCTGTCTCAACGGAAGACAGCTAGGTTGGGTCTGCAGCAACTGCTCGTCGCGCGGGAATCAATGGCCTTGCCCGAGCAGGCGACGCCACCAGAATCTTCCAGTTTGTTGCCCGACGCCGTCTTTCCTCCATCCTCGCCGGGTTCCGCTCCAGCAATCGCTCGTTATGTCAAAAGACAGGTCGGTCAGGGCTGCAGCGATTTTCATCTCGAACGGAGGACAGGTCGACCGGGGCTGCAGCAATCGCTTGTCGCGTCGGAAGACAGGCTGTTCAGGGCCACAGCAATCGCTCGTCGCTGCAGCGGACAGGGAGATCGGGCTCGCAGTAATCACTCGCCGTGTCGGAAGACAGCTAGGTCGGGTCTACAGCTATTGCTCGTCTTGACGGCAGACAGCCGGGTCAACCACACAGCAATCGTCCGTCTTGGCGAGAGACAGCCAGGTCAGGTCCGCAGCGATCGCTCGTCGCAATGGAAGACAGCCAAGTCTGCATCACAACTATTTCTCATCATCGCCAAAGACAGGCTGGTCAGCTTCGTAGCTATCGCTTGTCATGATGGTTTCATGTAGGTCGGATTCACTCGTTGAACATTGTACTGAGAAGTACCTTTCTTGCCTGCTAACTGTATTGCAATGTGGTGGGGATGGCCTGTCCGAAAACGACGTACTAACTGGTGTGATTCTGACAGACCATCGGACTGCAGTGGCGCGTGGGGTGTGACTTAGATAATCTCATCCCTTGGCCACGGCCGGCTCGGCCAGTGACTCTTGGCCAGGAAGCATGTGCCGCACCATTGTCCCCATCCACACACTGACAAGGACTGAAACGGCAGAGGGCAGGGAGCTACCGTCATTTCTAACTGTTTCCTCAGGCTAGGGATCCATCATGTATCAACACATAGCAATGGCAGGACGGGGCAGCAACTGTCTCTTGTGTGACAGCAGGGAATCCTGGCAAAATAAAGTATTATATTATACCCAGTCGCGACCAGGATACGCCTGCGGTTACTTGAATCAGGAACCTTGGGCATTTGATTTAGTATTTCGCCCTACCTGGAAATGAAAAGAATCTCCCATTGCTCAAATAATATGACGATGTAGGAAGGGTTTTCAAAGACAGCTCAGTGCAACGAAAAATTGATTTACAAATGATAAAACAATCATTTGTTTAATGAAAAAGAAATTAAATACAGTATTCAGTTTTACATTGGACAAATCTAGCGAGTACCGAGCCAATTGGAGCGTTCTCACAAGCAAAAGCTATTTTTTGACGTTCGAATCTCCTCTCAGATCCGCGGCCCTAGTTGAATCCTCTACTTGGAGCAGTCTGATTGGTAAATCTATCGCGACAAGAAACCCATATCCTTCCAAGCCTCCACATATCTGCGAAAGAGAGCTGCGCTCACTGGCGGCTCCTTCGCCATAGTTTCCGAGTGCTCCCTGGCATGTGCTGTGTCCATGACGAGCCCGCCACATGACATTCGGTGGAAATGCAAGTCTAAAAAGTCAATGAGCTTGGCTGCCGGGTTCTCTGAATCCGCAGAGCCTGGGTAAGCTTTGACCATGGCCACCCATTCGTCGAAAGGAACAACGTTGGCTGGAGGAATCCCGAGAGCATCGGCCATTATCCCAATCATCTCGCTCCACGGTTGGCGAGAAGGATTTTCAACGTGGTAGATTGGGTAGGGCGTGTTCTCGGCAAGCACCAGCTCACCGACAGATGCGGCCACGTCGTTGACTGGGCACCACGAAAGTTCCTGTGATATTTGGTTAGAATCATCAGCTCGGATTGGCCATGGAAATCTGGGGGAAGAAAGAATTACGTACCCCAGAGAGCTTGGGCAACGCTTGGAGGGTTAGAGATGATTTGACCATGAACGAGAAATGTTCTGTAGGATTCCAGTACCCGCTCTCGGCAGAACCTGCAATCTGGCCAATTCGCACTACCATAGCCCGAAATCTATTGGGATGTCTTCCGAATGTTTTGTCAATCATTCTTTCACAAACTAGCTTGGCATCACCGTAACCCGTAGGAAGAACGGATGAGACTGTCATAGGCTGCTCAGACACGAGCGGACGTTGGTTATGCAACGGATTGTAGCCTATGGTTGCAATGGACGAGACAAGGAGAAGGGAGGCTTTCTTGTTCCCTTGCCTCACAGCAGCGATGTCTCGTGCAAGATGAATGAGGTTCTGCATGACACGGAACTGCGACTTGAATGTGTGAATGTCTCGTGTGAGGCTCATTGGCCAAGCATTGTGAACAATATGTGTTGCATTTCCAACAAGAATCTCATAATTGGCCGGCGACAGACCAAGCAACGGCTTGGACGTGTCCGCCTCGAATATATTCAGTTTCGCCAGAGCCCTCTGATCAATTGAGACGCCCCTATCTTCCATAGACTGCTTCTGCCTCTGTATAGGGTTCACTCTACTTGCTCGGTTAAGACAGAACACTCCTTTGACCTCCTCGAGCCGTGCGAAGTATGCAGCCAGCTGACCTCCCAGACTTCCGGTTGCTCCAGTCAAGACGACATATGAGCCGTCCAAAGCAGCCACCCTTGATAGAGAAACCTGAGGTGACGGCTCCAAAGAAAAGCCCGCTGTGAATTGCTCCACGTAGGAATCAATTGCTGCTTCGCGAGCCGGGAGGTCAGTCCAATACTTTTGCGACAGAAGGGGGTGCGACGGTCCATCATACCTCGATGCTGATGAGGCCGTGGCCAGAATCAAACGCTGGATCTCATTTTCGGGGCGATTTCCGTCAGTCCAATCGACATGTCCATAGCCGACAGATGTCATGACCTTCTGCCAGAATTCAGGTTTGGCGAGGGCATGGTCTCTGCCGTCCTCAAAGAGCCACCAGCCTTCGACCATGCCGAAGATGAGATCAAACCAATACAGAGGCTTGGTTAGCTCCAGCAGGAGGAGGGCACCGCTGGGATTGAGCATGGTGTGGATGTTCTTGGTCGAGATCTTGAGATTTCGGGTCGCGTGGACGCAGTTTGTGGACAGAATGAGATGCTGGCTGCCAATCAAGTCGGCAGGAGGCTCCTTCTCGACATCGATGACTTTGAATTTCATGAAAGGATACCCCTTGAACCTCTTTCGAAGACCAGCGACCAGCGAAGAGGACAGATCAGTTGCTGTGTACTCGAAAGGGATACCGATCTTGGATAAATCCTCAATCAAATTCGATGTCGTGCCACCGGTTCCGGCTCCCAATTCTAAGATCTTGATGGGACCGGATGTTTCATTAAAAAGCCTCTCCGACACTTGCTTGATGATATCCTTCATTTCATCCATCCATGCCGTTTGGATGGGAGATTTTCCATACATCTCATTCGCGTATTTTCGTCCTTCTGGCGAGCTGAAGATGAGCTGAATTCCTTCTTCTTTGCCAATCAGACAATCTGCCAGGTTGAAGCCAATATGCGACGTCAGTCGGTGATCACTCTCATGGTTGAGGTTCTTCTGAACAAGGCTTTCAAGCAGGGATCGAGCAGATTCTATCGGAGCAGCCCCGGCGGTCCTAATAGTTGTACCGCCATCAATCTCAACAAGCCCAGCCTCTTTGAGGAACCGGTAGAGCTTATCAACCTGTCTCTTGTGTCTGGGAAGATGTTCGATGCGTGTCAGCTTTGTACCAGCTTCGGCGTGACGAATCGGGCAGCCGAGTTGCTCAAAGGCATCTAGAATGTGCACAATGACCAGCTTATTTGAGTCATCAAGAACGTTTTCGACGTATCCGGCTACGCCTCCTCTTAGTAGATAGTCGTCGGTATTGGCGTTTACCCTCGAGAAGACATCGAGAATGGCCTGAGCTGCGTCACCGGCATCGCCAAGTGTTGACGAACTATCAGTCTCAGCATCAGCACCATTGGAACCATTTGTATGGTTGCCATTAGTTCCATGAGTGCTAGTACCATTGACACCGTTAAGAACATGAGTCGTGGTATAGCCGTTAGTAACTAGCTCCGGGGCCTCTTCATCGTCTTCCTCGCCGGCATCGGTGCCGATCGCCTTGGAAATAGACTGGATGAGACCTTTGAAGTCATCAATGTCATTGAGCTCATCGCTATCATACGAGATCTTGAAGTGAGCCTCAATCTCACGACAAAGCTCCATGCCCATCAAGGAATCAATACCCAGCTCTGCCAACTCAGAGTCATCTTTGACATCCTCAGCTTCCAAACCAGACAGGTTCATCAGAATCTCAGTGGTAATCTTAACAACATCAACGGAAGGCCTCTTCTTGACCTCTTTCTTCTTCTGTGATAAGGCCACGGCTACAGGCGCCCTTGATGGAGTGGAATGTCCATTGAGCCCATTAGTACCATGAGGAACCGCAGCCACGGGCTTTGAAGCGCCCGCGGTTGCCGAAGGATGACTGCCGCCGAGCATCTTTACAAGCCCAAGTTTGCTGACACGCTGGAACCGGAGACCCATGATGACTTCAGCGAGCTCTCCTGTGTTGGCATCAAAAGCAAAGACATCACATAGATACTCCTTCTGAGAAGGCTGATGGTGGCAGGCATACACATCCCACTGGTCGGGGCGGGCGGCTGAAGGAACCAATCTCGGAGACCTGATCCACTGCTCAATCCTGTCAGATATGAACATCTCCTTCTCTGAGCGATCTGTCATGCAGTTGACGAAAATTCCAGCGACTTGGAGGAATGAATCCGCCAGGCCAATGTTGAAGAAGTGCTTCGGGTTGTGTGGCCATGACACACGCCCGGCCGACTCGGAGTCTCTCCCTGCAATCTTCTGAACGCCTCGGTACTTGTCGTTGTAGTCGACAATATCAGCAAAAGCTCGGTAGACATTTCGACCTTGGATGACCTCGTCAACATCGACATTGCCGTTGAGGAGGCCACGAGGTCGCTTGACAGTGATGAGCCGCTCAAACTGCGCAAACTCGCTCTTGAAGTCCTCATCCTCGACGGATCGCAGTGTGAGTCTCAATGAGAAATGCAGAAGGAAAGGACCTGATGGTTTATCCGAGTCCTGGCTAACGACGCTAAAGTCCCACACAAGCCTGTGGGCGTCGATAGCCTCAGCTTTCAACCACGCAGACTTGTTCGTGTTGATGGTCATGGGTGCATGGCTGATCATGTGTTTGAGGTGCGGCTGCAATTTAGAGTCATTGAAACCTGGCAGGATGCTGATCAGGGCCGCGGTGATGATACTGATCTGGAGAATGCTGGGACAGAGCGCAACGCTACCAGCAACTCTATGACCCGAGACGTATTCAATAAATTCCTTGGAATCAGTATTGATGCTGAATAGAGCAGATCGCTGCTCGTTGTCCTCAAATCGAACAAATTCCCACATTTCGTTGGAGATGGGTCTCTCAACGGATGTGGGAGCCGTCTGAAGCTTCGGGGCGTCTTTGAGCTCCATCCAATGCCGAGACTTCTCGAACTGATAGGGGGGCAATAGAATAGGTGTGTATTCAGCGGTCTGGATGCGGTGATGGGGCCAAAATGTCAAGTTAATGCCTTCTCTCCACAGATTGATGGTGGCGTCGGTCAGTGGCCGCAGACCGTTCCCAGCATTGATGCTGAGAGCTTGGAAGTGGCAGCCGTCGGGCTTTCCTAGAGCACGGCTGGCCATTATCGTGATTGTAGAGTTAGAGCTGGCCTCTAGATAAATGGCATTGGGGTGCTTCTGAGACAGGCGGCGGAGCGCGTGATTGAAGAAGACGGGCTGGCGCATGTGCTCGGCAACATAAGAAGCTCCTAGCTTTCCTGCGTGACCACCCTCAGTGGAGCGTTCAAATGGAATAATCGGGTTCCTGAAGTTAAGAGCCTCCCCAAGTTGTGTAAGCTGATCGATCAGAGGTTCGACAAGTGTAGATTGGAAAGCATTGGTGACATTGAGCCTCTTGTTCTTCGTGCCCCGGAAAGTAACATCGTTTGCTAGGGTGGCCTCAACTCGATCGATGGCTTCTACTGAGCCGCCCAGTGTGAAGCTAGTAGGGCCGTTGTAGCAAGCAATTGTGGCAGGGGAGTCTGCATTGTCCCCGTTGGCCACACTCAAAAGATCATTGACAACTCTAAGATCACCTTCTACAGCCACCATTGCTCCATTATCAGCACCCCATGATTCCTGGATGATGCGAGCACGGCCAATAATCAGCCGAAGACCATCCTCAAGAGAGAGAATGCCTGATACCACAAGTGAGGTGAGTTCACCAAAGCTGTGGCCAACAACGGCAGCCACGTTCACGCCAACTTCTATCCAAACCTTGGCAACAGAGTATTGAATAGCAAACAGTTGGGTTTGGAGATCAATAATATCTTCCACGGCCTCCTTCTGGAAGATGCCAGGGTAGATAGAGCCGTTTTGTCTCAGCACGGAACTGGTGGCATCAACCTGGTCTAAATACTTGCGGAGGATCCCCACACTCTCATAGACATCTTTGTCAAGACCAACGAATGTAGAGATCTGGCCACCGAAGCATAGAATGACCGGCCGAGGGGCAGGCGGCGTAACGGGAGTATGCTGTTGTCCCTTGAGGAAACTAGCCAAGATCTGTTCCAGTTCATCAACGGAGCCCGCATCAAAAATGAAGGCCCTGGGGAGTGTACGGTTGCTTTGGAGAGATAGTTGGAAGGCCAGATTAGCCAACACTATATCCTTGCGTCTCTGGATGAACTCGAGTAGCTTGGCGCAATACTCTACCAAGCTTCGGTCGTCAAATCCGCTAATCCAGAACGGATATCTTGTGGCCAACTTGTAAATAGGAGCCTGCAACAGGACATTTGTCTTGCTTGTTGGCGCCTGTGTAATTATCATAGAGGCATTGGAGCCAGAAGCACCGTAATTGTTGATGAGCATGGCCCGGAACTTGACGTCCCATGGCGTCAACTTGGTATGGATCTGAATCTTGTCCTCTGGGGTCATCTTTAGACTGGGATTGAGGGTATCGTGGCTGGCCTGGGGAGGTATATAACCATGATGGATCATGAGCAGAGACTTGATAAGTGACGTCAAGCCCGACGCAGATTCGGTATGACCAATAAGACCTTTGACGGAACCAAGGGCGAGGGTGTTGGATCGTTGGGCGCCGCCAAATACTGCACGAACACCCCCATACTCGGCCGGGTCGCCAACCGGGGTTCCTGTGCCGTGGGCCTCGACAACGGAGACCTCCTTGGGCTCCAGTCCGGCTTGGCGGGTGACGGAACGGAACATGTCTGCTAGAGAGGGCGAGTCTGGGACGGTGATGGCGGTGCAGTTTCTGTTCTGCGTCACCGAAGTTGCCGCGATGATGCCCAGCACCTGGTTGCCATCTGCAACGGCATCCGTGTACCTCTTGAGGAAGACGGCCCCCACGGCCTCGCCCCTGCAGTATCCGTCTCCCTTGACGTCAAATGGTTTGCACTGTCCGGTGGGACTGAGGAATCCTGCTCCACCAAGATTGTGGTACCAGTCAGGTCCGGTCATGATGTTGACACCTCCAGCAACTGCGGCAACGCTCTCTCCGGATAGAATAGTCCGGCAGGCGTGGTGAACTGCTACTGCAGATGAGGAACAGGCAGTGTCAAGAGTCAGACTCGGCCCAGTCCAACCAAAGTAGTGGCTGACCTTGCCCGCTCCAAAACTCCTTAGGTTGCCAGTAGCTGAGTATGCATTCGCTGGGTGGCATGCAATATTCTTCTCGTAGTCGTCCAGGCCAACACCCAGGTAGAAGGCAATGTTCAAGTCCTCGCCTTTGGGGTGGCGGCTGAGAGAACTGAAGTATCCGGACTGCTCTACAGCCTGGTAGACGACCTGCAGGACCTGTCGCTGCTGGGGATCCGTGGACGCCATCTCACGGGGGCTCTTTTTGAAGAATTTGTGGTCAAAACAATCATAGTCTTGGATGAAATTCCCATACCACTTCTTATTCTTGTCGGTCTCGCGCCATATGGAGTTGAATTTTATTCGTTCGGTGGGAACCTCAACGTGCTGAGACTTGCCCTCACAGAGGAGATCCCAATAGTCCTGGATGTTCGTAGCTCCCGGAACGTTGCATGCCATTCCAACCACGGCGATTCGATTATCGGGAACGTTGGGCTTGTTGCCGGAAAGTCGCAGGATACGGTCGTCGTAATCGGCAACATGGATGAGACGGGAGCCGAGCTTGGAGGCCAATGACGAGGGAACGCACTTGTCGGCACCGAAAACCACGAGCTTGGAGCTGTCACTGCCCGAGGGTGACGAGTAAACCGCCGAAACGGAGGCATACCAGTTCGATGTCTCGACAAGCATAGAACGAAGAGCGATTTCGTGGAGCTTGCCGTGTTTCACGTGCTCCCCGTTGTTGTTGGAACGAGTCGGAAGGTGCAGCTCAGACGCATCTGGCAGCTGGAAAGAAGCATGCGCTCCCACAAACTTGATATATTCATCCACCTCGTCCTCGTGTACTTGGCTATGAAATCGTCCAGATAACCCAATTTCTGTTACGGTCACTCGAGCGTCGTTGAATTGTTTTATCAGGTCGGCGACGGTTTTTGATGAAGTAGTGATGGTCGCGCGCCTCTGGTCGTAGTTGACTGAAATATATGCCTACGAAAGTTAGAATCGTAATATGTCACATCATTCGGTATCCCCAGATAGAAGTCTCACCTCAGGATAGCTGCTAAGAATAGACTTGAGTGTTGATTCTCCATCAGTTGACTTCCACGCGGCCGATAGAGACACAGCCTCCTCCGCAGTGCCCTCGGCGAAATTGTCTGCATCAACAATAGCGCCGATGAAAGCTGCTAATCGTATGGCAGCAGCTCCATGCTTCTGGATCTGGGTCTCATCCCGTGAGCTGGAGATTGCAAAGGCGCTGAGAAGACCCGTGCAGAAACCGAGGCTTTCGATACTCTCGGAATTGGATAGCCTCGATAGTTCCTTGTATTGGATGAACTGCACCAAGTGGCCAATTACTACCAGCGGAGTAACCACACTGTTGGGGAGGGGGCTGGGTAAATGCCCAGTCTTGATCCAACTGTCCAGCAGCTTGGCTCCGTGCACAAGGTCCAAGTGACAGAACACGTCCGCTACTGCACTGGCGGGAGGACCTTGAAGTTCGTACACGACGTCCACGATCCATTTGAATGCAGAGCTGGATAACAATGTTGCTCGTAGTTCCCTGAACGACTCCTCTCTAGGGAATAGTGTTTGCGAACCGAATATCAGAACTTTGGTGTCTGGTTGAGCATCCATGTTCTATTGCTCGCTAACAGGAAAATTTAATGTTGAATGTTGGAGGAATTGATCTAATCTACATGGAATGACTCTAGAGAAAAATGACCGTGGGTGATATATGGAATATCGAAGGCGAGAAAGTACCTTGACGAGTACTGCATCCCACCTTGTCGACAGACTACCTACGGTATGCCCTCTTCCATGCTAATCCTCTCGAATTCAATCATGATACAGAAACCAAAGATCACAACTGTCGCCACTTGTCCAAAGTGCCAAGCTGCAGCGACCTGTAACGTAGGATTACTCGGGGCCGCTGCTTACGAAACCGTACTACCGTGGGAAGCACTAATAGAAAGCAGAAATCGAGACTCCTGCCGGGAAGACCTGGTTTCGTTGCTCGTCATTTTCCGTTTCTGTCGAGACAGCGCAGATGACCCTGCTGCCAAATTGGGATTTGGGGGATTTATGTTCCCTGATTGCACCGCAGGGTGGAGCACACCTTGAACGCCTCCCACAGTGCCTCAGTAGGCACCCAACCGGGTGACATAATCGATGAGACACCAAATTCTTAAGCCTTCTTTCTAGCCATTTAATGCCGTAAGAGAGATATAATAAAACCTAAAAAAAAAAAAAACACCTTTATTCTTTCTTTAGCTTTTAAATTATATTAAGGCTTTTTCCTGGCCTTTTTATGGTAATTTAGGCTCAATTTGCGGTAGACAAAATGTAGAGCCTCTCCTGTTATGGACGCTTGAAGTACTGGTTTGGTGTCTCATCTCTTAGGTATGTCACCCACTTGGCACCCAATCACCCACTTGGCACCCACCTAGAGTATCTTGGCCTACCTAGTTGCAGCCTCAGATCTTTCCTCTCCTCGTTACCCGGCCGGGATCGAGATGGGGTGGATGTAGAAGCTAGAACAGGGGACTTTCGTCCCTGCTTGAAACCAGTGGAGTAGCCCTAAGCCTGCATGGCACCCTGATACGGTGATACCATCACTTCCAATTGCCGCTTTCCGGCTGACCGCGTAAAGATCAATGACGTTCATGCACCCAAGAATTGAATCTAGACCGAGAGGGATGAGCGATGAACTGATAAACAGATGCTGACTCTGCACATGTCCAGCTTTCAGCCAATGGTTCTCAGAAGTGGTTATCTCACTCGGGTGGCCATGGAATGCAACGGTGGCTAGATTGTGAACTTATCTACAAGGGTTTATTTGGTTTCGATCAAGCTTAGGAGCACCAGGATGCAGTGCCGGGATTGTGTCCTTCATACAAGCTTTGACTGACAGCACGCAGTGATACCCTAACCCCTGATGCCTTGTAGGGGACATCTTACAGAATGGTCTGATGTCTATCACATGCCTGGGTGGCATACACTCAACAAGGAAAGACAAGAGGATTATCAATCAGTCAACTGCTGCTATGAAGTACCATTTCGTTGTCGTGATTCTTATTGATTATCGAGATATATCTCGATACTACGTAGCTTATCAAGTCATCGGTGCCGAGCTAAGAACAAGGACCTGTCACCCGAGCCGAGCGTCACGCCAGGGCGCAGGCATCATCATCAGCACGGCCAGTAAAGGAGGTTTCAAGTCACCAAGTACATGCTTACACCGCTATCTCTGGACTTTCGAGGTCTACGATAATATCTAATTGTAGCTTATGCCCTTCTAATTGGACTTCGTTGGGAAATGTAGATCGATACCCGATGGATGCTCAACTAAAATGATACATTCGATGACGCTCTATGATAATAGATACGCTCAGGAGGTATTGATACCTTCCCTCATGGTGTCTTAGGTGGCGTCAGATTGTCTTCGGGCTCCTTGACAGGTGAACCCATAGCTTCAAGCCACTTGGGATCGATTGCCTCGAGATTTACATAAGGAGAGAGATCATATTTCTCCTGGTATCGATCAGACAAGGTGTATCCCAAGCCGAGGAGCCCCCACATGTTGTCCTCATGGTAGTCGATTTCCATGTCTTCCCATCTCACCTTGGTGATTGCTTCGCGGTAATGAAGGGCAGACCCTGGCCACACACTAGATATTCTCATGCGTTAGCACGGACATCCCGAGTTGGAGACAGAATTGAGAACTCACGCATGAATACGGCCAGTCTCTTGATTCTTAAACCATGAGCGGCATTCATTCTTCCATATGGTATATTTATACCATTCTTGAACATGCTGGTTGAACTTGTCCGTCACGCTCTGCTTGGGGGCCCAGCTCTTGATGTTGTCGGTCTGCATCTTTCGGATGCACTGGATCGCGTACTTGGTTACCTGAGTCAGAGGTCCAGAGATACTGCCATTGGTAACGGGCCAGGCAGGGCCGACGAAGATAACAAAGTTGGGAATTTCTGGTAGGACATCACCTTTCGTGTTAGAATTCCATGATGGGCTGGGGGTGAGATGCATCCGTCCACTTACCGGGAGCCGCCAGACCAAGGTATCCATTCGTCTCGTTCGCCCACTTATCCTGCAGGTTCACGCCATTCTTGCCAATGATGGGAAACTGAGGTCTCCAGGTCGTGTCGAATCCGGTGGCGCAGATGATTGTGTCACATTTTCTCTCAATGCCATCGTCGCCGACGACACCGTCTTCCGTGACAGAAGCCACGCCGGTGAAATGGGCGTCAACATTTTCCTTTGTCAATGCTTTCATGAATGCGTCACCAGGTGTGATACGCCGGCCTAGAACACAGGAGTTAGCTAGGAACATATCTTCATGTTTTTTGTGTGCTTCTCTTACAGCCAATCGGGAAATCCGGCTTGAAACCTTGGTACAAGCGCTCGTCTCCGCCAAAGAATCTCTTCATCCGATCACCGTATTCCTTCTGCAATATCCCTTGGAGGGGATTATCTTCGAAGAAAATGGTCCAGAGACGGTTTATGGTGGAATCAAGGTCCTTGGAGACAGCAACCAGCTTGTTGGGATCAGCCCGGAAACCCTCCTTCTCCTCTTCAGTGTAGGAGAAGTTGTCGGCAAACTCTTCTCGAATCTGCGAGAACCAGACGCCGGTGCGGGCAAAGATGTCGATGTGCTTAGCCTTAGGCTGCATTTGCGGGACGATCTGGATCGAGGAGGCCCCAGTGCCGATGACGGCAACTCGGTCATTAGCCCACTTCTCCTCGGTGTAGTCCTTATCCCAGCCGGCGGAATGGATGACTTTGCCCTTGAACTTGTCAAGTCCCGGGATCTTTGGCCAAGACCAGCTGTTCAGATAACCTTTGGCGTAGAGAATGATATCGCAGCTATCTTCGAATTCCCGGCTCTCTTGACCTGGGATGTTCTGTCTGAGCTTTACGAGCCACTTCCCTGTATCTTTCATCATTGTTAGTATATCGGTTACAAAACGAACCCGGCATCTAGAGCCTCACCTTCTTGCCAGTAAAGTCCGATGACTTCGGTGTAGAATACCATGTTCTTTTTAAGGTCAAACACTTCGCAGACTTTGTTCAGGTACTCCCAAATCTCTTCACGGGTGGCCAATAGCTTGCTCCAGTTGGGCTATTAATTCTTGATTAGCCAGATCCAGAAAACAAATGAGCCTTCTCTTGTCACAACAACTTACATTAAGAGCGAAAAGCATTGAGTAAGCATGCGCGGGAATGTCGCCTTAAACGTCACATCAGTCCAAAATCTTCCATGTTCCAGACCTACAACTTACAGGCACATCCGGGGTATGTGTTCTCAAACCATGTGCCGCCTAAGCCACGATATTTGGTTAGATGTCAAAGCCCAGGATCAAGATGCCTAGTGGGGAAAGCATATAAACTCACCGATATCTGAATTCTTCTCGTATGCAACGTGTTCAATGTTTTCAAGTTCCTTCTGCATGTAATATGAATTCATTATAGTGGATAAACCGCACCCGACCGAGATCACCTTGACCCGACGATTGGCGGGATCCTAAGATTCGTAAGAAAGGCGTACGAAATAAACAAGGATCATCAGATTCACGTACATTAAGGTTCACATCTGGAATGGTGTAGCCTTCGGAGCCCTTCTGGCTGTAATCACATATCTTCTTGCCATCAGTCGTAGCGATATATCGGTTGGTGGCGATAGGCTTGTTGTTCCTTGAGGCTGACATCTTGGTACTTCTTTTCTGTTGCTATGTTGCGCAATGGCCATGCACTTTTGGGTTGCAGGGTTGAAAGATTCTTTATTGAGTGCGAAAGTCTCGAATATAATAGCATTCACGACCTGCCAAGCATGAGGGCCGGGCTCCGGGGATTTTGTTTTATACTGCCAACACCAGCGAGAATCTTACGTTAGGCCGGTAAAATCCGCCAGAAATGAGAAAGACGCTTCCCGCAATGGAGAAAGATCAAGTATATAATCAGACCACAAGTCATCGCGAGAAAACCCCTTTAGGTGGCCTGGATATCTCTAGTCAAGCTCCACGAAAGAAGGACTTGACAAACCTGGTACCTTGAATGCTCAACTGACTAGAGACTAGGATGGAGTAGGTGACCTTTCTGAAACGGCAAAACGCCCCCGAGTAGAAATGCTACCTTTCAGAGTCAATGTAACGCTGCAGAGTAAACCCACATCTATACGACCAGGGAGGAGTGGGCATCTTGTCGGTGGAGCAAATCCTGCATGAACCCAAAACAGTTTATCACAGAGGATGTTCCGATCTTGTGTTACAAAGAAATAAATAAGCGTAGCATTGGCTGTTGCAGAATCACATAGCGCATGGGCAAGTCCAGGGAATACCTTGGCTCATAGGATACCGTGTCCAGTCTGCTTAATCACCAAATTGGTTGATTGCGTAGGCTTAGACGTCTCTCAAGCATTCAATCTGATGTTGAGGTGCAAGCTCAACCGGAGGGAAACCCAACATTATTATTCCAATATCTGGATGCTACGAAATGCGACCTAAAGTTCGCACGCCGGTGTTTGCGTAAACAAGTCAGGTGCAGATTTTCAGCTTTCTTAGATGATAACCTCCGAGTTAAATAGAACAGAGGAGAGGCGTAGAAGAGAGAGTATAGATGGTAATAAACCAAAATCGTCTGAGTTTGGTTTAACCTCCTTACTCAACTGGTTTTGAAGAATGTCTTTCACTGCCATCGTTGATCGAAGTCTGGGTCACTTCTTCTTCCTCAGAAAGTACAGCCAGATATCTCAAGACTCGATATCCAAAACTGATGCCGATAATGACGCTAATCTACGATTCTCAATTCCCGTGTTGATTTAAAATACCCCTTCAGAATGATTATTCCGTAGATCAGGCCCTACAAGCCGTGGTCGCTGACGTATATGCACTAGTACTACGGGCTCTAGCAGCGCAGGAATAATACCCCCCTGAATTTATTGACCTTGTGCCCTGAAAGATACGGTCGTTGGTAAAGTGGAAGATGTACTTGTGGAACGAGTTAGGGATTATTATGGTGACTAGAAAGCTGTTGATGACTGCCTACGGGTTGTAGCGAAGGCAGGGATGGTGAGGCGATGATGAAGATAACTCAGATGCTCGGGATGAGGATTATGAGGGACTTGGCAGCCGGGAGGTTCAGTTAAAAGATAGCTAGAGGATCTATGCGGTGCAGGTGGCGCTCTTAGTACGGAAGTTAGCGAGCTAGTATCGTGTAATAGCGAAAGATAGGGCGACGACGAGGAGGGAGCCTATTAAGCGGTTAACTAATATGAAGGGAAGGGACTAATAGCCGTTGGCCCGCTCGTTCTAGGATATGTGGAGGTTAGGAGAGAGCATGTACGTAACAGCTATGAATTGCTGCTAAAGAATATATTGAATTGATACGGGGTTGGATGTACTCTTACGAGGCCCGCAGGTGGATAAAGATGGTGCCTATAAGGATAGTCGAGAGACTTTGCAGGCTTGGTTCCAGCCAGATCAATCCCAGAGACAGTAACAGCTGTACTGTCAACTTGAGCTACAAGAACCTTGATATCATGTCAATTTGCTCAGATCCTACCTCTTGTTGCCTTAATCCAGTAATGACATAGATGGGCACTCGTCATGTGAAGTCTTAGCATAACCATTTCAGTATTAAGTCTATTAGCAGTCTATTCTATTTCGTAAATGCCAAGTGAATGCAGTACAAGCCAACAACTAGGTGGGAACGGGCTCCACGGCAGTCACCGGACGAGGAACGACGTTGGAGCGTGTCGTTCCGGTACTAGAGAGGAACACCGCGTTACCCGTGGTCTGGCTGTCGATGGAGAACTGGTCGTATTGGCCGGGTTGAGTGTTGCAGCCGCTCGGAGTACACGAGACGATTGGCACCGAGCAGGTCACGGCATGGTCCGTGAGCGACTGCACACAAGAGACGTAGCGTCGGTTGGAAGCTGAGAGTGGGGGTGTTGTCGTACAGAGAACAAGCCCAGTTTGGTAGCTGTATGCATAGCCTGCGCACACAAAGGCGCCCCCGTTGAGACGCAGGTAGCCCGTCGCCTCATCAATGACGAAGGTGGAGGTGGAACCGCCGGATTGATACGTCAAATAAGTGTTGGGAGTAGCCGGGACTTGGACATATTGACCAGTTGACGCGGCGTAGAGTTGGAAGGGCGTGATAGCCGTAGGGGACGGTGCGGCTGATGATGAGGACGACACGGTGGATGTAGACAACGTGGTGGCCGATGAAGGCGTAGGAGTAGAGGAGGTTTCAATAGTAGATGAGGGTTCAAGAGTAGATGAGGGCGTAGGAGTAGATGAGGATTCAACAGTGGATGAGGGCTCGATGGTAGATGAGGGCGTAGAAGAAGACGAAGGCGTGTCTGTGGCGCCTACGGCTGACGATGAAGGAGTGGAAGAGCTGGGGGTGGATTCAATGGTCGATGGTGTGGCATCAGAAGGGGTGGCAGATGCACTGGGGGTTGAGTCAAAGCTGGCTGAAGAGACTGAGACAGAAGATGTCGGAGTAACTGATGTCTCGGTCGAGGAGACAGCGGTCGCCGGAGTAGTTGTCTCTAGTTTCGAGGTTAGAACACATGTTACATCTCTCGTTTTCACATTGCAGACTTACTCGTGCGGTGCCGGCAAGTTTTGGCGGCGGCCGTGTCTACGGCAAGAAGGCATAGAGCCAGCGAGAGGAAGACGCGGTGCTGCATCGTGCAAACAGAGCTAACCAACGAAACACTAACTTGGATAGTTCAACGGCAGAGGTGAGGAAGAATGAAAGGAAACGCCACAAGGACTCAGACGCCTGATCAGCTTTTATAGGGGCTCCTATATCATGCCGAAGATCTCGACAAGTGCGGCGCTAACGCAGGACCAAATCAATAGTGCCAGAAAACGTCCATTAGCGGCGCCAACGATAGTTAGCGAAATTACATTGATGATAATCATTTTCTTAGTGAGTGAGAACCTCCCAATTGCTCCGGACAATGGATTGCGTAGGATGGTGGAGTCCGTTTTCCCATTTGCACGTCTTGCCTTCCCCAGGTTCGTTGCAAATAACAAGTCTCTTGTCAACCCTAACGAGCAGACGATCCAGAAGAAACTCCACCAGTCTCAACACAACCCATGGGGCTTATTGAAAGTCTCTAAAACTTGTACCGAAAGTGTCGAAGGTCAGCCATAATCGTCTCACAGCAGAGGTAACATTCAGGGGCAAAAAGGGATCAGGATTTCAGTCTCCTTTGTAGCCAAATTCTCTTTGATCTCGTGTACCTGAACAGAGCTCCGATCTTTCAGGTGGAGCTAGAGCTTCCGGCATCTTGCTGCCGTTAGCTTACGTACTCAACCTCATACCCTACGCCGGACAGCCGTTCCTTGAATGAACACATGTCTCTATGGTCACTCCTCTCACATGGAATGGTTTCATATTGAATCTCAAAGCTTTATAAAGATCAAAGAAGTCTTAACGTCTATTTCAACTACATTGAACAGCGAGCGTGCAATAACATCTAAATAACCAGAAAAAATGCTCCATTTCGCGTCCCCATGGTATATGGCAATGCCAAGCATGCACCTGTTTATCCATCATGAAAACCCAATGCTATTAAAAAAGGAAAGTTCCCAAAAGGTATTTCGGCCGTGACATTGCGTATCTATTAAAATGGAAAGTCCAAATACCCCGCTGGGCACCTCTTAGAGGGCCAGGGCGGCGGCGAGCAGGGCGACACCAACCCCGATCATGGGCCTAGCGACACCGCTACCGTCGTCGGTGCTAGTGGCGGAAGCGGAGGAGCTAGTGGAAGAAGCAGAAGAGGAAGAAGAAGAATCGGATGTGGAGGAAGCAGTGCCGGTGGCGTCGCCGGAGGTGGACCTGGTAAGGGTGGTGTCGGTGGCGCTGGAGGAGGAACCAGAGCTCGTGACGGAGACGGAGCCGGTGGAGGACCTGGAGGCAGAGCCGGAGGAGGTGGAGGCAGAGCCGCTCGAGGAACCTTCCGAGGTAGGGAGGAGGCTCAGGCTGCCGAGCCAGCTTGAGAGCTCAGCGCTGTTGGTGGGGATGACGATGTCCGAGGTAGGGAAAACGCTGTTGAGCCAGCTTGAGAGCTGGGCGTCGTTTGTGGGGAAGGGGATGTCGATGTCGAGCGAGGTCGTGGGGGCCCGAGTGGTCTGGGCAGAGACGGCACCAGCGGCAGCAAGGAGGACGAGAGTGGACTTCATGTTGGCGGTTGAGAGACGGGTTTGATTTGACGCTGTGTAGAGAGTGTAGGGACAGGTGACAAATGTGTTTTGATCTGGTCTCGGGATGAAGTACTCAAGGGACTGAGGTGGGATGGGAAGAAGCGGATCTCAAGTCAGAAGCAGGATGGGAGGGCAGGCTTTTATGTCTGTCCTCGCTCTTGAGTCTATGGCTGGTGACTTCTTGGCTCATCTTACTTGCACAGCACAAACGACAGGCCGGCAACAAGCCTACCTGTGCCTTGTGCTGTGACGTGTAATGTACATGGTAACTAGGCACAGACCCTGGAACACACTGCTGCTGTGGGTGATCAACGAGACAAGAAGGCTGAGTATCCATTCACTAAGCCATACAGTGTGGAATATAGACTGTTTCTAAAATTAACAAGTTGGGGTCTGAAGTGAATACCGAAGGCCTTCCGCCATTCCCGCCGTGACCTTGTTGGCACTGATCAGGGTGGCAGTACCAGTGCCCACCGAATGAGCTTACCCGGATCCCTGTATATTCTAAAATGTTGGCCAAATAAGGATCGATCTATTACCCCACGGTCGCTCTCTGACGCAAATCCCAGAGCATGAGTTGCTGTCGCCTGGAGAGTGCTGTCGCGTGCTTTGCTGTCAGTATGCGCTGGGTGCGGACAGCATTGGCGAACTGCAGATGTGACAGCTTAGGGGACAACATTGGTCCATCAAGGCATAATCAGACATAAAACACTTCAAGACTCTGGGCACCGAAAGACCAACCAACAAAGAACGGCGGCCATGCACGACCCCGACGTGTCTGTCTTACACAGGAGTGAAGTCATCGCACGCACGGACGAGCGCAGTGTGTAGCCTAATTGGACTGTCGGGAGTCATTACGAAACAACTTTAGTCCCCCAGAGGCATGACGCGCGTCCTGGGCCAGGGCGAAGCACCAGGCTCTAAACTCTCGGCACTGCATCATCTCGCTGGATGCTGAACAAGAACAGAAAGTCCAGCGACACAGAGGCTTCGGCCCCTGCACTGCCCCCCCATGGAACTGCGCTTGTATACTGCTTGTATACAGTATGATATGACGCTCACGCAGGGCTTACCAACGCGCGACATGGCTGACCCGGTCTCTGCTGACCTTTCCCCCCATTTCTTACTCAGTGTTGCCTGTAATGGCCATCTTGCGTGCTTCCAGCGTACATGAGCACCTGGGAATAATATCTTGGCTCTGCCAACATGAACCGCCGAAAGATCCGGCGGCGCAACAAGAGCACCTTGTTGTAATTTGAAATGTTTTTTTTTAAATAAGTTTACCCATGATTTGGAAATAAAAATAAAGCTACCTCGTGATTAACCGGGCCCCCTTTTATCCATCCTCCAGGAATACTTTACGTTTCAAAAATAATTCCCTGATGCCATCCGCCACTGCTGCATACGCGATGCCTTCCATTGGGGGCATCGGAATCTGTCAGGTCAGACAGTGCGGATAGCCCCTTGCCCCAGCTTCCGAGGTTGTAAGCCCAATCCCAGCGCAGTCCCATGTTGTAATATCCAAATCCAAGCTCCCTTTTCATAGCCAAAAAGAAATTCAAACCGAGAAGCAAGCCCCTACCGCGCATTGTGAATGTCCAGCACGAGGATATCCTGGGCGCCGACGCGTGACAAGTCGTCCATGACGAGCGCAATCTTCTTGGACTCCACCATGGAGCTGACCGCCACCCAGCCGTCGTCGTCGAGCGCCGTGACGGTCGCGGCCCGCTTGCCCGGCGTGATCTTGGTGGCCTCGACCAGCTGGGCGCGCTGGATGTTGTACTGGCAGAGGACGTACTTCTGCGCGGTGATGACGCCGCGGATGCGCGAGGCGATCAGGTCCAGGGTCTCGGGGTTCGACGGGCTCTGCGACTTGATCAGCACCGCGGTCGACTCGACGACTGTGTCGATGGCCTTGAGGCCTGCGGCTCGCATCGTCTCTCCGGATTCTAGGAGCGGTAAGAGTCCGTGTTAGCAGTCTGTTCTTTTGTAGCATAACAGAGACGAGGTAGGTCAGGCTTCATCCATACCAACAAGATCGACAATGCCCTCGGCGACACCAAGAGCGCATGCAGCCTCAACACTGCCGCTCAATTCGATGATCTGGGTCTTGAGCACTCGCTTTCCCGGGCTACCCGTGTCGCCGGCCTCCTCGGCCTCCAGCTTGGCAAAGTAGTCGGCAGCGAGGCCGACGAAGCTGGTGCCAATCGTCTTGCCGATCAGGTCCTTGCCCGTCTTGTACTCGCCCTTCTCGGGCACCTGGACCTGGAGCTTGCAGGCGCCGAAGGCGAGGTCCATGACCATGTCGCATCCTCCCGTTGTGAACTCGACGCCCCGCTGGAGGGCCGACGCGCGCACGTCGGCGTCGTGCTCCTGGATCTGGTCCCAGCCAGTGATGCCGAGGTCGACGCGGCCCTGGCCGACAAAGGTTGGGATGTCGGCGGCCGGGAGGAAGACGAGGGCGATGGGGAGGTTCTTGACGAGGGCGAGGTCGAGGCGGTTCTCGCGTCGGAATTGGATGTCGGCACCCTCGAGCAGGTTCAGTGCGGCTTGGTTTAGGCGACCCTCTGGATGAGATTGGCTGGTTAGCTCAGAATTGACAATGGGCAGGAAGGGGGTCTGCGGGCAGAGGGACAGGGACTCACTTTTGGGCACGGCGAATAGTAGCCGGCCTTCGAGGCTGTCAAGGTCGGTTAGGTCTGGTCGAGCATGTAGAGGGGGTCGGTCAAGGTAGGTCAGGCTGCATTTTGGGCACGTACTGATTTACCAAATCCATGATTGGCGTGCTGGCTGTGTGGGTGGTGGGAACGGAGAGCGAGCGTGGAGACCGAGAAAATGATCAATTGACGATGCTAAATTCGTGACAGTAGAGGGAGGGAGGCTTTGAGAGACGCAAGTCCACACGGTGAAAGAGGGAAGCGGGATATAGAACGACTGTGACTGGGTCGTGATTGTTTCTCTCCGACCGCGGGGCATCAAAATCTCCCGACCTGCCCCTCTGTTTGTGGCTGGTGAGAAGCTCTGGGATCGCGCTCCAAGAACGTGCCTGCGCTAAGCCCAAGACAGCAGACCGAGTTGTGGCACGCCTGATAAACCCCCACCCTCACCAGCCACAGGTCCCAAACACAGACCTTGTCCCCTGTCGCTAGGCCATTATCGGACGCAATGACTAACTTTATGGCGTGTTGTTATCTGCCTCTGGAGGTAGATAAGCAAACTAAACAACCTACCCTACAGCCTTCCTACTTGAAGAATCGTGTCGTTGTCCGTAGCAATCAACCAAGACTCATCGGTCAATTGTCTTGCTCGTTCTCCATCACGGGAGGAGGCTTGTTAAATACTGGTGTTTTTTCCTTTTGCACGCCCTAAAAGATTTTGCGTAAAACCTAATAAGGTGGCAATCCAAGCTGGGGTAACAATAAAAAGCACGACGATGACTTGGGTGATTCTTCTCGTTGTAGCTTGCTATTATATCATTACTCGCTAAAAATAATCTATAATCTATGAATTTTCTGGAAATACTAAGTATACTGATAATTTACTAAAAGCTGTTCTTGTAGGTAGTCGAGGTGCTGTCCCCAAAGGTGATGGTGACATTATAGTTGGACAAGGTTGGGCCCTTGCTAACGCCGTACAGGCTGTAGAGGCCAGCAGAAACGACACCCTCCCCAGTGGCAATGCTAGAAGGGAACGTGACTGTCTTCACGATGACTGCTTGTCCCAAGTTGGACTCATCTGTGTTCATACATCGTTAGGCTCTGATTAAATAGAATAGGCGGAACCAGGGTACTTACCAGGGCCAAGATAAAACGAGTCGAGAAGGTTGCCGAGAGTGTCGGGGTAGGCGGCTGCCTTGGAGTTATAACCGAAAGCAATGGCGATATCGTCGACTCTCTGGATGTAGCCCTGGCTGATGATCTTGAGATCAACTTTGTCTCCGGGCTTAATGGTCTCCGGGACAGAGATGCCATAGATGCGAGCCTGGGCGGTGGCTGCAAGAGTGGCAGCAACGGCGGCGACGGAGAAGCGCATGTTTGATAATTTGGGGATGAGAATGGTTTGTGCTATTTAAGAAATGAAGCCAAGTGATGGATGATGGTGATATTGGTCTATCTGAGCAACAGACGAGTATGAGCCTTATATAGGGTATGGGAGACAGGCTTCTCCGGTCATCAATGCACCGGCACGTTTTGCATGGAGTCTGTTCGTATTCAATAACTCCCCACAATGACATGCGCTGATCTTCGACTGCCTGGAGCAATCAATGAATAATTTACGAATAATATCCTTCGCCGCTGCCATGAGCGCAGTCAATCTTTGAACCAAAGTTCGGTATTAGATGAGAAAATAGTCCTCTTTCCCATCAGGAAACCAATCGCCGTCCGTTGAACCCGAGACCACGTTGGCGGGTGATCAATGGGGTAGCTAACCCGGAGTTTCAGACGGGTGATCAGCCATCAGCTCGTGTCCTAAAACTTATAACGGTCATGTAGATCGCCAAGAAAACCATCAGGTACCAATGCCCGAAGGTGAGTCTCTTCGATGATGCATTAAACCACCTTGTGGACGGATACGAGATGTTCCCGTGATCACAGCCGGATCACCGGTAATGTCATGCCTTTATGTAATCAGTGGTCGGCATCAATTGTTGGGGAAGGCATCCATGGATGGCTTGGCTTATTCAGCGTGGTTGGCTGCATGACACGGCTGTCTGTGACATTTCATTTTTCTCTCATCTCTCCATCTACGCAATTATCTGCACTTTATCATTGTCGCACTCTTTCGTTCTCTCGTTCATTTTGCTGTCATTTTGTTGTTGGGAGATGGCATCGCTGGGCCGGTCGCATCCTTGAATCTACCTGCCTAATGAAATTATGAGATGGAGCCCAACGAATTCTTAAAAATTCTTTTCCAGGACCGCCCTCATTCTGCCCCGCTTGAGTTGAAACGACCGAAAGCTTGTTGCGGTGAGTGGCATTGATTGGCAGGCGTCCGAATGGAGCAAACCCCCAGAGAGCAACCTGGCAAAGGATGGACTAGATCAAATCATTTCGCAAATGCTGCCATTCCCTGTTATCTGGGCGGAGGTAATTATTCCCTCGCCGCATTCAGACCGCCCTCATCTGCATCCGGATGTCACGTACCACCAGAGTGGATGAACGGTTCAGCCATCATTCCGCTGCGAGGAGTTGCCAAAAAAAGGCAGCTCGTACTATTGACGCATGCGCCCCAATGCTTGTTTGATGCACGGGCATAATAGTGCCTCTACTACCGAATGAAACACACGAGCAAATGAGAACTGGCGGGCAAAGGGGCACTGCCACGGCCCTATGAAGGACTTCAGGGGCTTTGCAGGGGCCTTCCAGGCGGCACCAGCACTACCGGTCGCGTACGGCCAATCAGCAGGCGCAGTGGGGGACTACCCGGCAGCACCGATGCAACCTTTCGGCCGGTGCAATCACTGAGGGGTCTAGGCTTGGCTTAGCTTGCTGCTGCCAGTCCACTGCAGTGAGAGGTTAATGCTATTCTTAGGGGCTCCCGTGCGCTGGACGTGGACAACCTCGGCGCTCGCTACTGCTACCTGCCGCTGGACGGGATGCGTAAAGCGTCGCGAGATCACTTCAGCCACAAATTAATTTTTCGGCTCTTCTCCTGCCTCCAGGAGCGCGGGAATCTCTGGTCGTCTCTCGCACCTCCCTGCCATTGTGTCGCCTCCCTCTGCTCAATCCATCACGAGCCCTCGATCGCGTCGTGCCGTTGCTCATGTACCCGGCTCCGAACCGCATTCCGGGCCACCAACATGTCGACGGGTCGTTTAACGAGGACGGCGACCTCAGGCCCATGATGGCCCCTCTCACTGGCAGCACGCAGCAGCCCCTTCCACCAGCGCCGTCCTCCGCGATGCCGTCGACTACCACTTCGGTGGCCAAGCCAGCTGTCCGTGTGGACCAGCCGCCCATCTCCACTGCCTGTATTACCTGCGTGAGTCGATCTTTCGTTGAATTGGGCTGAAATCGGCCGTGGCTGACCCTGGTCTTGGTGGTTTGCTCGTGCAGCGCACAAGACACCAGAAATGCGATGGCAAGAGACCATGTTCCCGCTGCATCATCCAGGAGACGGAGTGCACGTATGTAGCATCGCGTCGCGGCTATCGAGGCCCTCGCGTGGCTGCCATTTCCAAGTCCAAGAAGCAGCAGCAGCTTCGCACGCTGCAATCCGTCGCTCCCGAGTTCATGAGCAAGGATGTCGCCATCATCGGGCCTTCACCGCCGCCGTACACCCTCATCGGCTCGGCTCCCGCAACCTCAGCCCTGGATTATGTTCCCTTCTACGCGCCAACCATGGCCGGCGTCTTTGAGTCGGACTTCTTCGACTTTGGACCTATTCCCCCCTTCGCCTTCCAGAGCAGTGAGGTGCCCTCCGCCCAGTTCAACCCCACCCTGCCTCACGGCTACTCGTTTGTCGATGATGGCTTCAGCCTCTCCGCGCCTTACTATAGCCTCCAGCTGGACACGCTTGGGGATGTCTACCTTGATTCTTACTACCACCACATCCACGGCGCCCACGCCTTTGTTCTCCCCAAGCACTTTCTCCTTCGTTTCGTTGAGGAGAGCGCTATTAAGCATCTGCTGGCGGCTATGCGCTGGGTTGGATCCATCTACATCGAAACGGCAAATAGCGTCAATGCCATTACGCTCTTCAACGAGGCCTGGGGCCTTATTCACAAGCCGGACGTTCCGAAGGACGGGTTTCTCATCCAGGCCATGATGGTCCTCATCCTCGGCCTTGACGGAACGCGCCAGAGAGACAGGGTCCACAAGATTCTAAACGACCTGGAGACAACCGCTGTTGAAATAGGCATCAACACCCGCATATTTGCCTCGCTCCATGGGCAGGGGTTGCCGGTGCTGGAGGAGAGCTGGAGGAGAACTTGGTGGAATCTCTACCTCATCGACGCGTTGATCGCGGGGGTTCATCGCACTACGAACTTCAACCTGTACCACGTCCCGACCACTGTGGCCCTGCCATGCGAAGAGGATCAGTATCAAGCAGGGGTAAGCAGGCCACCGTGCATCCCCAGCTGATGATTTTTTTTGGAGCCAAATGTGTCAAACTAACATGTTCGTGTTCAGACCATACCTCCGCCACGCGACTTGGAACAAATGGAAAACAGTGGTTTCTTGGACGACATACAAGAGTTTTCGTCATTTGCATACCTGATTCAATGCGCTCGTTACATCGGGCAGATGATGAGCGCGCGCATCGTGGGTCCCAATGATGAGAACATCTCCAGGATCGAGACTCTTCTCTCGGGCTGGCGCTTGAACCTACCACTATCTAAACGAGAAGGGCTCTTCAATGGGACGAAACTGGACGAGATGATGTTCCAAGGCTACATGACCTTGCATGCTATCTCTATTCTCTTGCACCAGCCTCATTCCCAGCTCGACACGACCCCGACCCTAGCAATCGATGCCTGCACGCCCAACACACCTGCTCTTACTAGCTCCGGCCTCAACACCCACACCAAACATGCCATCCAATCCGCTAATGAGATTTCGAAGCTCATCACCCTGCGCGTTTCCCTGCTGAAGCATACGCCCTTCTTTGCGTACATGATCACGCTCGCATCCACCGTCCAGCTCAGCTGGTGGGGGCTCCCGTTTGTACGGCACGATGACGATGTCGGCCAGCGGATTCGCCTCAATCTTGGCGCATTATCCAAGTATGCATCCGTGTGGCCCGCATCTGAGCACCTGGTTGGGCAAGTCAAGGGCATCGCGCGCGAGGTGTACAAGATCAAGCAGTGGCAGCAACAGCAGATCTGGCCTAACCCGGTGTGAGGAGAGGGACACGATCTGTTCTTGATGGACCCCAGCATTTGTTTTACTGTATATTGCCCCCCTTGTGCGAGTTTGATACTCGTTGCTCTTTGATATATATTGTGTATGTCTGAACATTATTCTTGCGAGGAGTTCTCGAGTTGAAATTGGTATCTAAGGGTAAATTTTTTATTAGGTATGGATACACAAATTTTAGAAAGTCTAATAAGTTACACATGGAGCCATGCACCGCTCGTCTCGGCTATGCCTATTATTTGTTTAGCTAAGATGAGATCCCCCGAACATGGGTGCTATTACCTTATCCTGCATAAGATCGAACCTAATTACAATCAACATAAACACGATGATGCCGCGTCCTTCGAAAGATCTAGGCGTAACTGTGCCAGTGTAGTCATTGTGGATAATGATGGTGATGATGGGGTTGCGCATGTTGGTCATTGTCGCTGTCAAACTTCTTATTCTATGAGGTTGTAATAATGCAGATTCCAGCGAGAAGAATGAAAGACATATTAGTCTCAACAGGCTGTCTAATATCCGAAATCAAGGAGACCTGCTTCCTTTTGCAAACCTTCAAAAATCAATAAGTCAACTAGATGGGTTTTCTCGCGTAAAAGTAATATCCTATTCCACCGTTAACAATCCGTTGTCATACTTTGTCGAGCCAACTTAGACCGCCAAAACCGCCCTCTTATTTGATAAGTCTTGCGAGCAGTCTGCTTTACGTTTCTGTGGTCTCGCAATCGGAGATTGGTTGTTTCCCTTATATAATCCCTCGCCTGTCCCTCTGTCTAGAGAGGTATGGCCCGGGGTCATGCGACTAATGCATACTGCTTCGTCGCCCTCCACTCGCCCCGGGTCTGACCTTTCATCCTCACTTGGGGAATCCTCCGAGTCCAAGGAGTTTATCCAATCAACACACTGGACCCATAGTTCATCATCTTTGTGCATTTTTTTCAAAAATGCCTCTTCAAGCCTCAACGAAAACTCTCCATCAGATACTAGATGTGAAGGGAGGGCTGGTGTTGGCGGTTGGGTTATAAGTGTGGCCCCATTATTGGCGGTTGGACATGGGAGCGCCTAGAACAGATATTAGCCTGGCGCATTCCTGGAGCCTTGAAGTAATTGCATACATCATACTCCGGCAGATGAGAGGCAAATTCATATGTCCACCGATGTTGAAGAATGATCTCCTTGCAGGAGCTCACAGTCGCATCATCATCGTTCTTCATTTGGTGAGGAAATTGGTGCGAAGATGAGAGGGAACACGTCACGCGTGCGATTCATAGCAATGCGGATTACCTAAGGGGTCGGATAATAGTTTTGCCTTGCCGACGTAACCGCCTTGCACGTTAACCCCGCAATTCTTCCCTGCCTTTGTCTATCTACCCACGCAATAGCTCAGCTTGATCACTCGCCTCCCCTTGCCCATAATGCCTGTACTGGTCGGATGCCCCGATAATGCCTTCTTTACTTTGAAACCGAAGAATGCCGCTGCTTTGCTAGCCTTCACAGAGGTGGTCGACCATATCTTACAGGAACAGCAGCATAGTGATCTCCAGGAACGCGTAGCTCGTACTGCCCAGTTTTTATGGCTAGACTCTAATGAAAAGGTTGAATCAAAGCCAGTGGCTCAATTAATGAGCCGTCGCCTCAATACGATGCCTGGATCGTCATCTCCATTATCTTCCATAGATGGCGAGACAGGAATGTTTGTTTGGACTGGCGGATACTTCTTCGACCTTGAGAAGTCATCATCTGCTGGTTGGACTCTGGGGCGGTATAGTTCACGACTTTCCGCTGACCTAGTCTTGACAATGGATAGGCAAACCTCTGTTTCGCGTATTCATACTTCTCTGAGGGTCAATAACACCACTCGTCTTGCATATCTAGCCAGTCATCGGCCCAATCTCGTCTCGGTAAATTCAGAATCAGCTACAACAGGACCACCATACAGGCTTGGCCTTCCCTCCGCCAGTAATACACTTGATATTGGTGGATTGCAATTTGAATTCACTTATACGAACTTCAGCCAAACTGAACAAGCAAAAGTCATTCTGAGAGATTACTTGGCACGAGTATATGGTGCTGATTCACAGGCACCGAGCGAGACTATTTCTGCAACACCAACCCCTGGGTCTACCACAAGTACCCTTGGGCAGTACACCCTGTATGGAGCACTAGGTGCTGGTTCGTATGGATCTGTGCGGCCAGCAGTTAGCAGATCTGGTGATGAAATTTTCGCTATTAAAACCATAATCTCCAGACGAAACTTGGCTTCAGAATCAATTCCAACAATGAGGAGGATCACCAAGTTACTTGACTCATCACCTGGCAAGGGTAATGTCCTTCGCCTTATCGAGTCTTTCGAGATTCCTGGAGCCATGGATGAGATCCACCTTGTTCTATCCCCCTTTACACCTATTACCCTCGAAAAGCTTCCAGTACAAACGCAGTAGGTGATGTCCGAATAAATACTATAATATAATTTGAGTGATATTAACTTCTATCTATATCTACCTAGTAAACATAATTCAGAAATTATTTTCCGGGACTGCCTACGGGGCCTTAATTTTCTTCATCAAGGAAATTTCATTCATTCTGATGTCAAACCTGCCAATATTGGTCTCCAGCTCTCCGGCGAGACATTACTTACATCTTATCCCACACCCCATCCCTTCAAGGCAGTTCTCCTCGATATCGACTCTGCACAACCCCTGGCCTTGGGCTCATCTAGGGCTGCGACACCAGGCCACGGCGGTACCCCCGGTTATCTATCCCCTGAACGTGAAAGGACTTCATATAATCACACAGAAGACATTTGGGCCCTCGGTGTTACTGCCTGTTATGTTCTGCTTTGAATTCGGCCGTTCCAAGATAGTCAAGGAAACCCATGGAGAGCGGACGCGGCTGACAAGGAAACCAGGCGTGAAAGGTTTCATAGCCAATATGAGACTACCCTTGAACGAATAACTGAATTTCATACGAGCAGTAAGGTCTCCCATCACATAAAATTATCCCTAGTTATTGATTCAATTATAGGCGCGATACGGAGAATGATATTTAATGCCTTGCGTTTTGAAGAAGCGAAGTATTCTGGTCAGAGTTTTCCACGATATACAGGAGACCAGCTCCTGCAGGACCTGGTCAGAGGTTCAGACATTCTATCAGAATGGGACGAGTGAGATATTAGCTGAAAAAATGTTAGCTAATTTCTTACTATAACTGAAAGTGGTAATTATTTTGTGACTGTTTGACATATGAAAACAGTATAATTTCTCGGCAATATGAAGTCGTACCATTAGCTACCTAGCTTTGGTCGAATGTCACGAATTGCGGAAGCACGCAAGTATCTACTACCTAAGGTACGTTCCATCGACCAGGTTCATGTCCAGACTGCCGCCTCCGGAGAGACCGTAGAGTTCAATTGGACTCGTCCTGGGCGGCACAGTCTCCATCACTTTTCGGCCGCCATGACGTGCCATGCGAAAAGGGTTCAGTAGGCTCAAGCCTCAAAGTATAACCGAGGTTACGCGTCCAGCCGACCGTGATATGTCCGCGTATATTTACTCCTTTCGATTGTTTCAAGGTTCTAGACATTACTAGGATTAGTTTGCAGTAGGTACATGTAATCCGCTGTCACCCGTCTCCATTGTATCTAATCTTCCTCCTTTTCTATTGGAGATACGATCAAAGTGCTCCCAAAGGCCTCCTGCTATCTGGGTCACTGCTCATCTCCTCCTTTGTTCCTAAGGAGTATTGACCCTAATCCCCAGATTTTATATCCCATCACACCAAGTATTCAAGGCATGTGATGATGGGGCTTTGCTAAGGTTGGTCCCGTATTCGCACTAACCCTGATAGTGGATGTTAAAGTTAATATTCATGTATCCTTGATCACCATTTACGAGGGCTTAATCATTTGGTGGCTAAATCCCAGTTGCCCAGCTAATGAGGGATCTCACCCGGAGAACAAGTACGAGAAAAGTAAAGTAGGCAGGGCGGAGGCAAAAGAAAGGAGAGGAGATGGAGGATACGAAGGGGACAGGCAGGATGGCCACCCACCATTCTCCCAAACATCTCTTCTTCCAACCTTCACCTCATCCAACCCATCTAAAACATCCGAGACAGCTCCCAGTCGAAGGCGTCCTGATCGCTAACCACCGACCATGGCTACGTGTGACACAGTCGAGACACCTGGCTGGGCGAGGTTTGCCTTGCTCCCCGGGGAGCTGAAGAACAACATCCTAACCCAGCTCGACGCGATCGGCCTTGTCAGCCTCAGCCAGACTAACCATTATTTCCACACGCTGATCAAACCGAGAAAGAGGGAATTGGGTGAACGGCTTCTCGCAATAGGTAGGGACATCCACCGCGTCGTTGATTCATTCCACCAGATTGTAGCTCACCAGAACTAGAGGATCGCCGCCAGCACCAGGCCCATGCGCTCCGGTATCAGCAGCAGCGGCATCGCAAACGGTCTTCTCGGGAGCCTCAGAGCAAAAGCTGGGAGATCCATGAGTGGGCCTGTACGGGCTGCATGCAGATGCTGCCCCACGGCCATTTTGACACCAAGTCCTTGTGGTCGGTGTGCAGTGACCGGAGATGGAAACGATACGGTTACATCAAGACGTCGTGGAGGCCATCGAGGCGTCACGGGGGACGGCGCGGGGGTGAACGGGCATGGAAACGCCTGTGCAACGAGTGTAAGTACCAGGCGAGGAGGCTGGCGCGGCCGTCCCCCAGGTTCGATTGGCAGCGGCCGGTGCCCATCCAGGACAGCCGCATTGTCTCGTTCAGGTCGTCCCTGGACCGCTTCTATCCCGGCCTGGAGCGGGTGTTTGAGCCGAAGCGGCCCATGACACCCCATGCCAAGGATTGCGCCGACTGCCGCGAAAGGAGTGCCTATGTGTGGGATTGGATGATGTACATGGCCCGGTGCCCCCGGTGCGAGCAGTGGCAGGAGCTGAGGGAGTTCCGCGACGCCCCAGCGACGATCATGGCCTTGCCGCCCGATTCGACCTGCAACTCCTGTTTCGCCGTGGAGTTTGGCTGCGAGGCTCTGGGGGAGGACATGCTGCCGCGTGTGAAGGGGCTGATTGGGGAGACGCTTGCAACTCTGGAACGCCGCCTCACACTCGGAGGGGTGGTGTCGGGGACTCTGTGGAATCTCATCGAGACGAACCAGCCTCTGGTTTCCGTGATCCAGAATGTGGTTCGCATGAGTCAGGGGGGGCCACTTACCCGTGAAAACGTCTATTGGCTCAGCCAGTATCATGGCCAGTACTTGAAGCTCAGAGCCGAGGTGTTCAAAACGAGTGCCGACGGGCTGGTGGACGGTTTCCTAGCGCTGGAACAAAGGCTTGGGTTCGTGTCGTGGTCCCGTTGCTTTGACCAGCTCAAGGCTGAATGGCTCTGGCTGGGAGCGTGCGAGGAGGAGGCCGACCGTGAGCCTGCCTTGTTGGCGGAATGGGCACTGGCGAGAGATGGTGCTTCGTTGGAATAGTGCGGCGGACGGCACAGATATTGCTGACGAGCGAGGGGGCTGCCTTTGGAAATGGTGCGAATGATGCGAAAATTCTTTAGTTGCTGATCATGTTAACGTTGATAAACGAAACGTATCAGGATCAAGCAATAAAATTTGATTCTACCCAATATTTTGCAAGGCGAGGTGACACTTGGAAACATCCTGATCATGATCAGTGGTTGCCCCTACTAAGATGAGGGTCACTGGTGATGATAAATTGATCACTCTAACAGGGTTAAAGACCGTCTCTCTGCATCTTCCACATCGTCTTCTCGACCCCTTTCTGGACTCCTGGTCTCTGTCTAGATCCTCAATAGGAAATGAACTCAACCTATGTAATGTCAGCGATCGACAGAGCTTTCAGGTTGCTAGTGCCAGTTCATGCAATACAGCACGTCGCATTGGGGGACCAACGAGGCAATATCCCGCACGCTGTGGGCTACTCAGCCCAAGTTCGCCCCCAAGATATCTCAACCAAGAAGCAATGGTATTGTTCATCCACCTGCAGAGCCTCAGCTTACTCGGCAAACTAAGCGGGGAAGCATTTTATAGAAGTTGATTTTAGTCTTTCTAGAATTGGCCTTGGCCTCCTCCTTTGAAGCCAGTCGGGAAGCCAACACTGCCAACACAGTCGTTTGACCCACCGAACGAAGACCCGATTGACCACTTCCGGTCCATGTCTCCATGTTTCTTCACCGTTCGACGTGGGTCAAGAGACAGAATGCTTGCCACTCGTTAGTCAGTCGTCCAAACAGTTGCTCCGCTTCTTGAATCGTACGTTGCGTGCTTAAAAAACTAAGGGACTCTCCTCATGTCGTACGAAAACACACGTTTCCCTTCTTCTCTTCTCGTGGCTGTCAATTAGACAGACATCTAAACAGGATGACTACTCCTCTTACCACCAGGCAATGGAGTCTTGCCGCCCATCCCAGCGGAACTCCCACCCTCTCCGGCCCCGAGCCAACGTTCAAGCTCGAGACCGTCGAGCTACCCCGGCTTGAAGACGGCCAGGTCCTTGTCAAGATCCAGTACATCTCCAACGATGCCGGCCTGCGCACATACATCGGCTGCTCCGTGGACAACGACCGCATGTACGTGCCCCCCGTGCCCCCCGGCGAGCCCATGCGTGCCGGCATGATTGGCGAGGTGCTCGAGTCCAGGTCTCCCAAGTTCAAGGTCGGCGACGTCGTCCACGAGACTCACCGCGCGCCCTGGGCTGAGAAGGTGGTCATCAACGACTCGGATCTCCAGGCTCTGTCTCCGCTGCCCGGCGGTCTGTCCAACATCCATTACATGGGCGCGTTTGGAGGGACCGGCCTGGCTGCCTACGTGGGCCTTCTCCACGTCGCCCAGGCCAGGAAGGAGCACACAATTGTCGTTTCTGCGGCCGCCGGAGCCACGGGATCCATGGTCATTCAGATCGCTGCTAAGATCCTGGGGGCTAAGAGAGTTGTCGGCATTGCAGGAGGTGCAGAGAAGTGCGCCTGGGTCGTGGAGCACCTGGGGGCACATGCGTGCGTAGACTACAAGAGCCCTACCTTCAAAGAGGACCTGAAAGCCGCCACCCCCGACGAGGTCGACATCTTCTACGACAATGTCGGTGGCGCGGTCTTGGACGAGACTCTGGCGCGCATGAAGCGCCACAGCTTCGTTGCCGTGTGCGGTGCCGTCAGCGGATATAATTCGAGCGAGCCGATGGCCCTCCGCAACTGGTTTGAGGTTGTTTCACAGAGGATCACGCTCAGGGGGTTCTTCTTGTTTGACTACCTGGACCAGATCCCGGCCGCGATTGAGCAGCTCGTTGCTGCTGCTGTTGATGGCCGGATCAACCTGAACATCGAGGAGGTTCCCGCCACGATCGAGGGTGTGCCCCAGGTTTGGATCGACATGTACACTGGTTCGGCCAAGGGGAAGGTGATCACTAAGCTGGAGTATTAAAATGTCGCGGCAGATGCCTCTGGAATCTGATTAATGATGGATGATGAAATGAATAAACACTCTCGTTATGTCTCTGGACAAAGGACGGAGATTGAAAGCGGCGGAAGGGAAAATACACCATAGCAGAAACGAGAAATCTAATGAACAACCATATGTCATATGTATATTCTGATCCTTGATGTGAGCTGGCTGAGTAAAGTGTTTTCATACTCGAACATGGAGCGACGCTGGCGCCTCAGTTTTATGTCAGCGGTTGAGGGGTTATCTGGTTATCTGGTCGGTGAAATTCACGCAATCTGGGCTTCTCATGCGCAGCCATTGAATTTCAGAATTTTCCATGTCCGCCAGGCTTCATGTCTATTGAATCTGGCACTGGGATCGAGAAGCACAAGTGAGCCTGAGCGAGGGGAGCGTTCTGCGTCAATTCTCCCAGTTGAACAAATCAGCACTGACGATGGCGCTTCAAAGAGCCTCCCTTATTTCCATCGGAGAGGTGCCGTATTATGTGCCAGCTTCATCACGAAAAATCGCCTCGTCTCTAACACAGATCTGGACTGCTTCGAAAGAAGAGATACCTTCCGAGTTCGCGCCATGCACAATTTTCTTGTGCGATCATGCAACGCTGGTGAATTTGAGTTCCTTGTCATCCTTTCTTGAAGAGAAGTCGAGGCTCTGGCTTGCTAGCGATGACGTATTCTCTAATGACTTTCTCAAACATATCTACATCGTGCCATCCACTCCTATGGCTTTGGCTGTTGAGGACACTGATGAGCTTGGCATCTTGTTTAAGAAATGGGGAGTGGCGACTGCCCATCTCCTCCATGGCAGTGATGATAGCTACCCTTGGATGCCCGGACCGTATGTAAACTCGGGCTCCGTCTTTTATGCCGTTTGGCGATTATTCCCAGATACGAACGGGGCCTTCATGTTTCCGACAGTTCCTTCTGAGCATGACCCCAGAGCGTGCGTACAATTTTCTCCGTTGCGGACACTATTAAGTCACTGATACCATCGCAGATTTATCAATCCTGGAACTGCGGGTGTTCCTGTCCCAAGCCGATGCTACTACCCGGATCCGTCCCCGGAGAAGCCTCTTTCAGGAATGAGAGTTGCCATCAAAGACAACATCGACGTAGCTGGCGTTCCCACAAGTGTCGGTAGTAAAGCCTTCGCTGAACTCTACGGTAAGAGGAATAAGAATGCTCTCTGCGTCGAAAGGCTGCTTAATGCAGGAGCCCTGATTATCGGTAAAGCCAAGACCGTCCAGTTTGCTTCTGGAGAAGGCGCACGGGACTGGATCGACTATCAAGCTCCCTTTAACCCTAGGGGTGATGGCTACCAAGACCCTGAGTGCAGCAGCGCCGGGAGCGCAACGGCATGCTCAGCATATGACTGGGTTGATATTGCCCTTGGGACTGATAGTGAGAAGTCCCGAAACCTGTCGTTTTTGACCGTGACGGGGAATTAACATGCCACCTAGCTATTGGGAGCATCATAGGCCCGGCTGCTCATCACGGTCTGTTTGGTCTTCGGCCTTCGCTTGGAAGTGTTCCTATGTCTGGGATTGTCCCCTTTTCTAAGTGAGTTCATTCATGGGGTTGCTGTTTACATGACCGCACAAGCTGATTTCTAGTAGAGAATTGGACACTGTCGGTCCCTTCACTCGAACCGCGTCGTTGGCTACAAAGGTCATGCAGGTCTTGACTGCCGCTGATACGACAGCACTGCAACGTTCGGAAAACATTCAACTGCTTTACCCCGTCGATATTTTTGGCAGCTTACCTGAGTATTCTGCTTTTACCGAGCCATTTATTCAACAGCTTGAAGAGTTCCTTGGTGTGAAAAGAGTCAACATTAGTATAAGAGAAAAGTTCAAAGAGGAGCAGATCGCAGGGGGAAAGTCAATTGACGAGTTCCTAAGCCAAGTAAGCTTACAAACTAGATAACAATGAGCTGGAATCAGCTAACACGATTCAGACAACGGCTCATATTCAGTTATTCGATTGCTACAGAAGCTGTGCCCCCTTCTTGGATGAGTATAAGAAGAAGTTCAACAAGACGGCATTCGCGGATCCATACATCAGATTCAAATGGTTCGATTCTAGAGATTAATCTATACCAATTGCGCGGGCTAAATGGCATATAGGAAGCTCGGGGAGAAAATCACCCAAGAGCAGTACGAGAAAGCAATTGCCGAGAGGGACGTTTTGAGGGGATGGGCTTTACAGAAGATCATCCCTCAAAATGCTCCTAATGAGATGCAGAGCATTCTGATCATGCCCGATGGCAAGATGGAGGAGTTATATCGTTATCACTATGACGGGTAAGATTTGTCACAAGTTTTTCGTTCCATCCTACTTCTTTTTCTCAATCATTTGGTGAAACTTTCCCTGCGTCTGACTTTCAATCCGGTAGGCGGACACTCGAAGAAGAAGCAGGTTTGAAACAAGGCTATGGTTTTCAAGACAGCTTCCTTGCCACTTTATCCGGGCTACCATTTTTCAACGTGCCGGGTAAGAGGCATCTTCTCAGCACTAAGAGCTTGGAAACTGCCGCTAATGCCCCAATATAGTTGGCCAAATACCGTACATTTCTACCGTCACAGAAAGATCTGAAGTCATTCCAGGAAACATCGGTCTCGTTGGCCCGAAAGGTGAGGAACTATCCTGAGCTAGGCACTCTGCAATCACTAACATGAGCATCCTGGAGGCTCTGACGTTGCCCTGTTGCAACTCGTGGCAGATTTTCTAGATACCGCCCCTGGCCTTCACTCAAGCGTGATGACTGGAGCCAAGGCCTTTGAAGATATCGCCTGATTCGCCGCTATGAGTTTATATCCATCTATAGACAAACAATACAATGAGGAAAGCCAGTATGTGCGTTCCCTTCGAGCTACTTGATGACCTTGTTGCATTATTGGGTATGGAACTGGCCTTCCTTCAGGAGTGAGTCAAATGCCCTGCCAAAGAATAGGAGTAGCCTTAGTGAGATTGCTTTTAATTGTTCAAATGAATCTCATTGGAATGTGTGTAGGTTGTTTA